TCATGCCAACGGCGACGACATCACGAGATGTGTGGAACATGACAACTTTATAAATTCTCCTGCGATTGTAGTATTAATAAGATCTGACGTCTCGTGAAACAGAAGACAGAATATTAAAACCTTAATCTGATGGGAGAATGTAACTACTGCGACTACAGAAAGCAAGTGACACCAAGTATCCAATTTGAAGCCTATCTTCTAACAAGGTCCATGTCCACCCAGGAACTAAAATAATTCATAGTCAAGAATCATATCAAGTGTCAAAAGTAAACTAATTTTCTAGCAAACTGACAATGTCGAGCTACATATTTACGTAGCTAGGGGTGGTTAATTGGAATCGGAATTTGATGTGAACTAAACAAAGGACAATACAACTTTATTGGATCGAAATACATATTTTCTAGGAAAGCACTACAAGAAACATACATTCTGGCTGTTTTTTTAACGAACTTGTTTCGGTTAAGTTCACGGCTTTCTTTCTTTCCGGTTTCTTTAGGAGTTCATCATTCGAGGCTCGATCAAACTTTCCTACGCCACGTAACATGGAATGACAATATCAACGACAACCTAGGGTATTAATAAATACCACCCCGTCGTCGTGGTCGTCGCATTATGTACAGCAGTTCTTGAGCCAAGTGAAATGCATGCAATTTGGCCACCCTTCTTTCACTCGCTCGTTCGCCTGTCTGAAAACAAAATGTTGCCGGCGATTGATACAAGAATGAAACATAAAGGAAATAAGAGAATGAAAGGGAAAGATGCAGGGAAATTATTGTCCATTTGGGTCGGCAACCATATCACAAGGTGTTTCCCTCATTTCGGTAATCGTTGTCCCAGAAGAAATAATAAAATAACCCTCCCGCAACCCCTCCATTTGCTAAGAACTTGGGGTGACAAAGGCAGTCAGGTTACTAAGGAGGGTGGCATATATGTAGGTGTCCATTTACGACAGAATGAGTGTCCTTCTTGCATCACAGAAAAAAATATTGCTGGTAGCCCACGAAAAAATGTAATTCTCCGATGGAAGCTTGTTCATAATCCAACAACTGATATTTTTATAGACACATCTAAAAGTGTCTCACTTTGAGTTGAGTCACTACATAAAGTTGAGTTGCAGCAATGTGTGTACGGATGACATGTCCTTGCAACCAAAAGACGAATCTAATCCACGTGAGATTTTGATTTTCTTGAATCCCCCGACCTAAAAATCTCTTGAGGAATTAGAGAATTGATGCCCATCCCGTCGGAAATGCAATTTCTTTTGTTCAGCTCCAGCTCAATGTGTCATCCATTCATCTCTCGTAAAAGTGTGAGTAAGTGGCAAGAAGAAGACGAAGGAGCAGAGTGCAGACCGTAAGAGGAGACAAATACTCTTGATTGGTGCAAGTGAGTGACTGAGTTGAGCGCTTTGTGATAAAGATGACGAGATGAGGAGGTCCAATGAAGCGTTGATGTTAAGAGATGCTGAACGTCGTCGTCATTGTCGTACTGCCTGGGAAGTTGAAGGTCTGAGAAAATGGTGACATTATAGGCTAACCCCTGGGACGATTTCTTGCATTTGGAGGTGCACTCGGAGGAAATGACCAATTTGTTGCTCTCCCTGCCCTGCCTGGCTGTGTACTTCTGTCGCACACTCACCAGTCACCATCATCATCCCGTCGCCGTCAATTACTTTCTTTTCCATCACATTGGCTTCGGTCATCATCATCAGCCTCGTGTACCACAAACAAAATCCAAACCGCACTACGTATGTACATACTCGTCGGCTGAATGCATTACATTGCATTTGCATGACATAACAACATCAGTGAGAGTAGAATACAAAAAATGGCTAGCATTACGAATTTTATTACCAAACTTTTCGTCTATGCCTCCGATTGATATTGGTTGTTTCACCCTATGGTGCCATCCACCCACAACCCCAACGGCAAAGGTGAGCCTCTTCTTCGGAGCCCCACCAAACCATAAGAATAATTCTGGATCCGTCAACAACACCCTAAAAGCTCGATTACTATTTATACTGATATATACCCACGGAGAGGGAAGAAGGGTGGTTTAATTCGCGTGGGGTTGAAGTTGAAGTTCCTGCGAGCGAATGCGATATCTACATTAAGAGAGGCAATGTTATTACACTCTATTACGTAATCAAGGCAAGGGGATATTTTATAGTGGTCCCCTCGTGATGATAATTCTATGTATCCATTTGAATTCTTCATTTACTTTACGAGGCTGACAGAAGGAGTTGGTGGAGGTTGATACCTGGTGGAAATAAGCACCTTGCAGGCAAAGTATTCTCATCAAGCTAGGGTCGGAGAAACTTAGTGGCTGAAAGGGCTGGGAAACATGCAGCTACTTATTTATAGCCAGATATCTAGTCGTAATAGTTTTGATCTTTTGGAACTTTGGTGCATAAGCCCTTCTCGTGGTTCGGCTGGTGCACCATAATGCAATAAGGTTGTCATTTTCAGCTATGTGTGAGTGGACATTAACCACTCCTCCTGATTCGAATTGTTCCCGAAAGTTATACATTATTATTACAGGGGTTTGCCTATAAGGGTGGGAGAGGAGGATGGAATAGCGATAAAGGTGCAATAAGATAACCATTTAGCTTTTGAATCAAATTGCCAATGAGAAATATATATTATGTTCATGAATGACTATCATCATCAGAGTCTTGCATCACGTCGCATCTCCCGTTACTCACAGTTTACTTTCATCCGATCAGATTGAGGAGTTAATGAAATGTGCGAGATTTCTTTGGTGGAGAGTGAGTGAGAGAGAGAGAGTGAGTTACAAGGATGGGGAGAGACAAGTCATTGGGTGCTACTGCTAGAGGATAGCATTTGGTGCAGCAAAGGCGTTTCCGCTGTGGGTCAATTTAGCAAAGTGAAGAAGCTGAAGATGGGGCGAAAAGGATTCAATGGCTATTATTTTCTCTCTACTTTCTCTTCAGTCGTTCTCACTCAAGCCAATTTAGGATAGTGCCGCAAGATGTTCCTTGCCTTGCCCCACTCCATAAGTCACGGTGACCAAATTGGACAGTGCAATACAGCCAGAACGACCAAGAAAGTCTGCTGAGAGAGAGAGAGAGTTTGTACATTGATGGGGATAATTTTTACACCCACCCATCCATCCGCTCCCACTGGCTGGCGTTATTATTAGTGTTGGAGGAACCACCATTACACGGCACTCTGACGACATGATTCGTTTTGCTCGTACATAACGCGAGTGACAACTAGTCCAGTTTTCTTCAAACTACTTGATACTGGCGAGACTCAGACGCTCATCACTGTTTATTATCGACGACAAGAGATTTTGCAGAGAAATTACGATGAAACCGAGTGCCACGAAGTATCGGAGTCTTATGTTTTCTCTTCTTTATCTGCTGCATTCATTAGTTGACAGTAATGGTTCCGCGCCCAGATCTCCAGACAAGAAAGGGGTGGGCTCAAAATGAAATTATGGGCATTTATAAATTTTAGTTTTAGTGGGACTCTCATTAGTCTAAGAAAACTAATTGTCATGTTGATTGGTGAGGAATAGCCCTTAATCACAGGGAAAGAGACGGATAGAGAAAGGGGGCAAGTGCGTAGAGATCGAGATGGTTTGGAACTGGGACAAAATGGGCCAGTGCACTGGCAAAAGTGGTGGAAAGTGCGTGAACACGTGAAGGCGAGAAAAGGTCCAAATGCATTTTAAGTTAATTTGGAGAAAAATGTTGATGGTTCATAGCTAATTCATAAGAGTGGAGTAATTACACAAGCGGAGGGTTACTTTTGCCACCGCCACCCCACTCCATCAATCATTCTGGTCGCACTCGCATTACTTAAGTACTCAAGGGATGAAGTTGGTGTTGGTTTGGTTGGCTTTTTCGACTTGGTTTCATACACCAGCAGCAGCAACTTTTCCTTCCATTTCTCCTTTCTCGTAATATTTTCGACTGACTCTCTCTAAAAACAGTCACGCCAACCACTTCCTATTCCCCCCTTCCTCAGTTGCCTTGATTTTCCTCATATTTTTCTCCAGAAACTTTCAGAAACTCTTGCGAACCGAGACCAGTTTCAATTTTTCCCTTTCCAAAGTGTTTCGTGTTGGTAAATTAACCTCAGGAGATTTAGCCTCGTGGTATCATCCTTCGCCTGAATATCCTTCTCATGTTGGAGGTATAAAAGACAGATGAACACTGTTTTCATGGAAGAAAGGCTCACTTTTGAAGTGGATGTTTTTATTTGATAATCTTTACACGTATGGTAAAACAATATCGATAGTACATAACGTTTTTGTGAAAACTGTTCCAATTTCAAAACTGTTTCTAATTATAAACTGAATCCTGCAGCTACAAATATATCATCAATAAATGAACAAATCTGAAGTTGAGACATTTAATCCCGTCAAATGGAAACAACGCGATTTATGTCATTCGAGAGTTTATGCATACCTATATCATGGCATTTGATATGCTATATTTACATACATCCCTAGACCATCCTCAGTTTCACTCTAAGGGTCTCATTGACTATTATAAATACGTATCATCCGGTACTCACGATTTTCAGTGGAATGAAATTACAATAAGTCTTCGTCAATCTTTTGTTACATGGATTGCTGCTAAAATTCGTAAAAGAAAAAGACAATTGTGTGAACTTGGATTGGGACGCTTGGTCACGCCTGTTTTGTTTCCAGTTCTCTTCCGATGATGATGAACTAAGACGACCATCAGAGTGACCAAAAGAAATCGTGCCTTCTATGATCTTATGTAGGCATGTATGTATATGGCCGAATACCAATATACCAAATCTCTTGGATTTTAACTGAGACCAATTGCACGAGGAACAAATGACTGTTTCCATTTTATTCTATCCTTGACGAATGATATCCAGTTCAAGATTAATGATCCGACTGCATCCACGAATTGATCAATTTTATGCGTTGTTGTCATTGTTCGTGAGACTGAAAATGGGCGTACGCAGTTCATAAATGTGCTTCAGACTTGGTATAACTATGCATTTTGTTAGTAATGTCAAACTTTTATTAACAAAATAAATAATCTACAACATCAACATAGGTAAAATAATTTCTTGGGTTGATTAGATTTCAGGAAACTTTTCCATCTTCGTTTTTATATTTTTCTTTATCAATTATTTCATCCATTACAAATTCAGGATTATCGAATGCATGCACTTCGCTCTTGACCTGAAATTGTGTAAAATTTGTGAATTCAGTGTGTTATTGAGCTCATATCTGTATACTTTTGCAGCATGTATGATCATTTCTTACGGATAGTTTTCCGCTTGGGATAGTTCCCATTCCATAAGAGTCCTTTTTCGTTTTATTAGCATTTTCATCCTCATCTTCAAATTCGATCCATGATTCAAGCCTTGTTCTGCCGAGGATTTTCAACCACATTTTTAAAATCAGAGGGGATAAATACCGTGATTTTACAGGTGGAGACTTGCGATACATGTTGACTATAATACTGAAGAACAGGCCAAATACTACACTACCCACAATTGTGATTAATGGCTGCCAAAGATATGAAATAGAAAATATTGTGTTTAAAGTTGAGTATTCTTTGTCCTTCCATGCATCATTGTCTCTGATTGAAAACGGAGAATTCAAATTAGATGAAAATATGGTCGTTTCATTCAAATAGCATCCATCGGTACGCAGAGGCAATTTTTGATTCGGAAGGTTTCCAGCATTTCCGGCCATAATCGAACCGAGTCCAAGAAATAAAGTAATTGAAAGTGTAGGAATAATTCCAAGCAAGGAGCCCTACAAGAATTTTAAATATCCGTTAAAAATATAAATTCCTGTGCAAAGCCATTTAGTTTATTTAAATTACCAAAGAATTACTCCAGGGGAAGAACATTCCCAGACTAAACATGCCCACAATTGGCCCCACAAATGTTCCATGCAGAAGTGATGCAAACTATTTAGAAAAAGTTTAAATTGTGGTATGCAAAACTTGTTTAAAATACTCGTAATTAGTAATTATAAACTTATGTGTTATACTGGAAGGATATTCCCTACTGCCGCAATGACAAAAATTAATGAAAACGACAATAAGCCCCCAACTGCAGAAATAAGTTTTGAGATATATCCCAGTTTTAAGTCCGACAATCCAGGTTTGAACGGTTTCACATAATCCTCGACAATAATTGCTGGAAGGGCATTGAGTGCACTGGATACAGAGCTTAGGCTTCCACATGTGAGACCTGCAACGAGCAGGCCAGGCAGACCAGGATAATTTCCAAGAACATCCATAACAAACAGGGGAAGGAGCTGGTCTACATACATAAATAATTTCAAGGTGTCACATCAGCATTACGATCATGTAATCATGTTCAACGTTAAACAACTTTTATACCTGACGAACTAATGACCTAAAGTATTGTATAAAATATGATTAGTGAAATTGTATTAACATATTTATCATGGAAATCATAAAGGTATCGTAATTACACCAGAGTCAAGTAAGACCGGATCGCAATTGTAATATTTCGCAAAGATCAACAGTCCCGTAAGAGAACACAGAAAAATGACTGCAAAGAGCCCCAGCATATTCCAAAACAAACATCTGCAAAATTATTGCCATTGAACATTGGCCTCATATTTCCGGATAAGTAGCACACGTTCTTACTGTCTCGCCTGCCTCATTGTTGGTACGGAAAGATAGCGTTGGATTTGAGCCTGGGTGCCTGCGAACAGTGGTATCCAGCTGAAGTAAGCAGCAATTGTCCCCGTCCAAAATGTGTGTCTCGACCTAAGGTCTGGGTCGAAACTGATCGATAAAAAAGCATGAACAAAACTTAAGAAATAATTTTCTACTATTTTATACTTTCCGAGATTTACAAATGCACAAACCCTTACAACAAAACGTCCGTTCTTCCTGTAGCGGCAGCTCTTTCCCATACAACATCAATTCCTCCAACCTTATTTACTCCGACTACTATTACCTATTTAAAAGTTGTCTTGTACATATTTAACCATGATGCATAGTTATTTATTTATTATTGCGCATTAATTTCCTTACTGTGATCATAGTTCCAAACATAATGATGGCCTGCAGAGCGTCGCTCCATAGAACGGCTTTCAGTCCACCAATGGAGGAATATGCTATGCATACGAGAAAGATCACAGCCGATGTCATGTATCTATTAAGTCCAGCAACTGTGCAAGAATAAATAAATAATAATATTAATCAATTTAAACATCATATTATGAGTCAATAATAGTAATAAAGACCTTGATCAAGTGCTAAAGACGGGCCCCATACCGTCTTTAACGAGAAATTTGATAGAAAGGATTCAAAAATATTACTTCATGCAAAGTATTCAATTGTACCACAAATGACTTTGACTTACAAGCGGCATGTATATCATCTAAAAATAAATTGCATCAATGAATTGACTCATTCAAATTGATTCATCAATCAGAATCATCCTCAAAATTCTGGAACTTGACGCGATTTTACATACCAAATGAATTATTGCCGACGCCGAAACAATCTGTCGAGCTTTCTTGTCAAACCTCATCTCAAAATACTGAAATTTGTAATTATGCACAATCACGACTATTAAATTTCTCACTTATGTAATTAAAATGTCAATGATAATACAAATACATACATACAACATACCTCATATGCGGATGTGAGTTGTAGTTTAAAGAATACAGGCTATAGAGATATGTCAATTATGGTCAATGTACATATTTATGGACGTCGTTAAGTTTATCCTTGATATTTAGATTAACAAACCAAATAGCAGTACGAAATTATGAGCGTCATCGGGATGAATGATATGGAAAAATATAGGTAAATCAGCCCGTAAAAGTAAACTTCGACCGGATTGCCTTATGAAAATTACAAAAAAACAATAGGAAATAAAATTAGAACCCTTCTATGTAACACAAATGTTGCAAAAAATTGAAGGTGAAGTACCAAGTAGCGTGATGGCCGAAATAAAGCTGCAGATAAGACTTAAAGACACAGGGAAAACTCCCATCTTCCTCCCACCCATTAGATATTCCTCATTCGTCTTATTTTTCTTGCTAAAGAATCCGTAAAAGATTCCGATGCCCATGCTTGCCACCAGGACGGAGGCGAATACCAAATATTCCGGCCATTTAAACAGGGAACTATAATCGTCCTCAAAAATAAGTTTGCGAGTTGTTGCTTCCACCTCTTCCATTTTGGCACTATCTCCAAACGCTGGAGGAATTAATGTGCTATCTGGAAATAAAATTGTACATTACGAAAATAAATGGATAGTAAAACTACAATTGTAAATTGACAGTGTGCAAATACAAATACTTTATATAATGCTTACTCTATATAGTCCTTCTCGTCACAGTTTTGCCGTTCTGTTATTATTATTATTATTATGCATAAAAATGTATAGTTAGGCAGGATCCAGATTCAGGCAGAACAATCAGACCAGATTGCATATGCCGAATATATATTTTTGATGATAATTGATAGTTGAAAAATGAAGAGTCATGATGAAACAATTTAATCACTACTGTAACAAAAATTGTGTATTTTAAAAGGTACCTAGATCGTCACTGATTTAATACGACACTTGAGAAGTTATCAATATGAACGATTCCCAATTAAATCCGTGTACCGATGGGAAGGCTAATGGAAGGGGAATGAGATTCAAGCATGACAAGAACCGTTTATCTAACCGTAAAACAATGAGACATGATTAAAATGATTAAATAATATGGAAAGGCCTATATTACGCTAATCGCCAAAATTCACGTACAGTTCAGCACTGATGACGGGTGCGACTGCAGATATAGATTGGTGGTGTGATGCTGTCAATTATTTACTGACAATGCCGATAAAACCAAAGGAGTAATGACGACAGACCGATATGTAGTTTAGATAAATGCACAATACGAACTGACTACATCATAATGATTAAAAAGTAAAAGACTGCTGTTGCTACTTTTAAAATAAGTAAAAAATCACTCGGATATAATCAAGCCCCTCGTGAGGGTAGTAAAGTGATTGTATTGATCATATACAAAAATTAAAGTAGGTAAGCAAGTAATGATCTTCCAATAATCACTGTACGAATGAGTTTGCCATCAAATGCATTTGTAGGCCACGCTATGCAAATGTAACGCATGAGTGCAGTTTGATAGAAGAAGCGCTGTGTCTGTAGTATTGTTATTATGCATGCACAAAATATATAATAATAGTAGAAACAAAGTAGTATATGGTCAATTTAATGCATTAGTGAGTGTAGCTACCAATGAGAAAAGTCTTATGAAAACTCTATTAAAACGAATAAACTTGTAGCAAAGATCAGTGAGTATTTGAGAACACGTGCTTACACCCCAGCTTTGTAGTTCTGAGGTGCTCACGATTTTAAATTTTATTTAAAATATTGCTTGACTTTTTTATACAAATCAAGCTAATAAAATGTACATGATGGAAAAAAGTGGATAAAAAGGACAATTTCCATACCTTCGATGAACTGCAGACTTGTTGACATATAGAAATCAGGTTTAGTTTACGACAATGACATAATAATAATAATCTGTTAATCTGTCATGCTAGACACACCGCCGCCAGCACAGCTATAACTTTGGTGTTAACACAAACAGAATAGTTAAATGAATTAATGAAAAAAGAATACTGAAATTAGACGATGTTGAATGTTGTCGAGATAATTACTGCATAATTTAGAAAGTTAAAAATTCCACAAACACATTCATTAACCCGTAAAAAACCAAGTTTGGAGGAAGCTGAATTTTGATCAGTCGGGAAGGTCGTAGTAGTAGTAATATCGGTTAAACATTTCTGATTCCACTCCAGATTATGCCGTGTAATAAACTTTAACCCCCATAATTAGGGCGCTGAATTCACGATAACTTCACTTCCACGTTTTGATTTGTTACAGTTTCAACTTGTATAAATAATTAACTAATTATTTTAACGACTATACTTAAGAGTCACCAGTATCCAAGCCTAACATTGAAGAGGAATTGTCACGATCACTCTCTTCCAGGTGTTTAATTTGTTGCCTTAAAAAAAGAATCCGTTGATCCTGTAACGTTGCTGTAAAAGAGAAAGGATATCAATTGATACGTGGTCAGATAGTAACTTGAGGACAATGCCAAATACATATCCGTAATAGTCACTTTTGAAAGTGAGTATTACGAATATTACGTAATCACTGTTCGGGAAATGAATATTAAGCGAACGGGAGATTATACAAATCTGGCCATTTATTTTATAGATTGAAAATAATAATTATTTTTAATTATTTTTTTCTCTAATTATTAGAGACTCACCCTGAATATCAGTTAAACGCACTAAACTTCTTGCCATCTTTAACTCGGCACACACTTTAGACAACTGAACTGAACTTGTCGTCATTATCTCGTCGCTAAGATGATTTGCCTGCAATTGAAAAATATATACGAATGTCAATTATTATATGGGAACATGTACAAAACAGCAAATCAGAATATTATATTGGATTATAAACTATCAATATTATGTTGGATAAAAAGTTTGGCATAAATAAATGAACAGAAGACGTTAAAAACGTTAAAACGTTAAGACGTTAAAAATTAATATAGACAGAAGTCCCATAGGCTAAACTTAATGCTAGACTAATTAATCTGCCTGTTATTTCTATTCACCTTTCTTTCCAGTTCATCCCCGGGTAAGTCTTGCGCCTGAAAGATAAAAATTTAAATAGTTACTCTCTCTCCTTCATAATACAGTATTTGATACAATAATATTTCTTATTCATAAACTATTATTGTCAATAAAAAATTAATACAATAACTTATAAGAATATTAAAATATTAAAATTAGATTGTTACATGAGCTATGAGATCTTCGCGGAAGTACTGTGCCAGCGACTGCAAGGGAGTGGTTTCAGCGTCCGAGTTCAGAGCTGCCTATAAACATAAAAGAAGAAACAACGTTACACAAATCCAGCTAATTATTATGTCCAGTGTTGAGTATCATGAGTACACCTTAAAAAATTATTACTATATGCTTACCAGCGCCCCCAAGGACCCTAATCCTGTTACTCCTCCGGAATCACCTCCAGCTGCAAAACAAATTACAGAATTAGAATTCATTGTTGTTGATAATTGTGCATCTCAACCCGAAGTTTGTTGTGACATTGGTAAATATTTAAATTTGGAAAAAAACTTACGTCTTTCAGGTGTACCATCTCTTTCTCTTGGGCTTCTGGACCGCTCATCTCGTAATCTAGAACTAGATCTATGCCGTAACCTATCCCGGTGATCCCTATCCCTATTCCTACATCTATGGTCCCTATCTCTATCATTGCGGTCACGGTCGTAACGTCTTGGACTGTCTCTTGTGTCTCGGTCTCTCCGTAACCTGTCCCGATCACTTCTATCCCTATCCCTTGAGTCTTTATCTCTATAATCCCTATATTCCCTATCTTTATCCCTAAAATCCCTGGAATCCCTATTATCTATTCTTCTAGGACTGTCTCTCATGTCCCTATCACGATCTCGACCGTGATAGCCATTGTTTCCTAGATTACTACTTCCTGAATGATGTATCAGTCTTCCGCTATTGGGATGCTGGTGGAAGGCAGAATTTCTGATTTCTTCTCTGGATGACTCGTCCTGGTGGAGATTCTTCGAATTGGGATAATGATGGTGTGGATGGTGGTAGTGAGATTGAAAATTCGGGTGGGAGTTTTGGTGATGGGAATTTTGGACCTTGGAGGAATCGTGGTTCGACACCGGGGAATTGCTGTCATCCAAGGGGGATATGTCTAAAAAAAGTATTTCCATTTAAAATATATCCATATGATGATGAGCAAAAAACGAACCACGTTGACTTTTTACTTCATCAAGGGGGCAAGATTGCTATGTTAACTAGTCAACGTATCGTTTATAAAAGAAGATATAAAGTTGCTTACCCATATCTTCCGTTTGTAAATCTACACAAACGGACAAAAAAATATATTATCAAGACAATGTATCTAGCATTAGCAGCCAAAATTTGTATGTGTACAGGTATCATACCTTCGGAAGGTTTACGGGTATCCCGAAGGGATGCAGTGGCAAGGGAGTTAGCAGTGACCGCTGCAGAGGAGGAGTTTTTGATATCATTATTATTGGAGCCCCTTGCGCCAAAAGGGGTGGTGGTGGAACTTGAAGAATGGTGTATGGATGAATTCGACTCTAGTCTATGATTATTGGCGGCAGGGTGGGAATGATGATGAATATTAGAAGTTGCAGACGTATTGGATGTAGCATTTTGTTGTTGCTGTGTAGCATTTGTTCCGGAGCTGGTAGAATAATGGGATGAGTTGGCATTTGTTGAATTATGTGAAGTAGCGTTATGATGATGTTGTTGTTGCTGATGGTATGCTTGCGCCTTTCTTTCTCTTTGGTCGGAAGAGGTGTTGGTATTGACGTGATTAGAACCGGAAGAGGAGTTATGGGACTGATGGTGATGATGCTGCTGTTGTGACTGGTGAACTTTATTCTGGTTTTGCTTCTGCGACGAGGATGTATAAGGTACATTTGGGACCTTCAATAATAAAGTTACAGATTTTAGTTCTAGAAGCTTAACTGTCATATATAATGAAGCAATGACCATTAAATAATATTCACTTACAGGTCCATGTCGCTTTTCATAGTCTAGCCACTCCCGAGGTTTCTCCCACTGCGAAATTTGTTTAGTCACGTGGAAATAATATTCTTTGCCAGAGGAGCTAGTGTGTCGGACCCACTCCCCCACTTTTCCTTTCTGAAAACAATAAAACATAAATCAAGTTGAGTACAACAGAACAAAAGTGGTAACTGCAAGAACAGTGCTAGTTCGTGGTTTAGTAATTATAATTGAGAAACTTGAGTAATTATTTTTTAGTGCAATTAACCTGATTCAACGCTGAAAAATAACTTATTTATATTTTGTATACATTATACATTACTACAATCATCCAGATCAAAAAGGTAAACAATATATTACATTAGTTTGTAATCAAAAAATATTTTAAACAAGCAAATGACATTGATCAAGTTAAATATGAGCTTGTCGATTTAACTTTATAATACCTGTACTTTACGATAATTCATTATTGATCACATTGAAAAATAAATTCAAAACTATTTGATAAGGATGACTTGACAATACGTTCAATTTCTAAATGTCAACTGAATAAAAACCTTTCTGTATATAATCGAATATAAATCTATAACTTATTTTCATATTATCCAAAATCCTCATTTGATAACAGAGATTTACCAAACCTACAAATTGCACGACTCTGTAGTCTTGTTCGCGTAAACCTTTACTGATCGCAAACTATGAAAATCTACCCTTAAAATGTAATATTTTCGTTCTTAACATTGTATTACTGACAAAATTTATACTAATCACTGTAAAAACTTGAATTTGAATTAATTGTTATCAAAATTCGGTAAATATCGACAATTTGTCGAATTTGATTGAAATCTCAATTCTTTTAAAATTCGAAAGCGCTAAAACTACCTGGCCTAACTCTACCTACTTTGCATACCTCGAGTCAACTTTTTTCCCAAATTTCCACCTAATTTGTCGTTAATTGCAATTAATTTTTGATTTGTTTACAAGCCCTGCCTTATTATTTCTTCCCTCTTCGTTGGACTTACATTCATTCTACCGTCTACGAGACTTTATGGCGATTAAGGTCAGCCTAATGTAGCTCCTCTGAGGGAATGACCCTCAAGGGCCGCATTTGCTCAGCTGGAGGTGAATTTAGGGATGGAGTTGGCCACATAATCTACGCCAAAGTTAGATTTTAGCTGACCTCTCGTCTATAACTTGATATATGTTGTACAAATGATGGCTCGATTCGATGCTTTGACTTTACACTTGAATTTGGTACTAGTCTTCGCTCCCGTCGGGTTCAACCACCAATTTCGTCATCTCTCCGAGACCCAAATGTTTTTAGTCGTGCCTATTTTAATTGGAGAAAATTAACTTCATCGTGACATTCTACTCGTAAATGTTTAAAATATTGAAATACCAGCTCGAAAAGGGGGCATGATGTGGGGTCCACAATGTTGGAGACATAGGAGAGGAACCAAGCCAATCTGGGATCTGGCAGCATGGAAGCGTAACCTCGAGTAACCTGTTATAGGAGAAGGATAAGTTTTGGCAGGGTGGACGTGGGTCCGTGCTCCAATCTTGTTCCGAAGGTGACGGGCTCTTGCGGCCTTATCAACATATTTTGCCAGGAAAACCTCCCGTTTTGAATGGAGTGCGGTGTAGAAAAAGATGTTGCAGGGTTTAGTGTGTGATGTAATGTAATGTTGATATGGCTAAAATGATAATAATCATAATAATAATAATGACAACTTGGCAAAGAAGGGATGTGCAACTTTTGGAAGTGAGCATGGCGTCGGATGTGTTCTGAACTACTTGGACAAATGACAAATAAAAATATGGATAATTTTTTCTCAAGGCTTCATTTATTTTAGTCTCAGATTTCGAGAGGAGAATAGCGGCCGATTTGAGACGACTTTTTTTGACATTTGTTGTGGGGTTGGAACTTGCATTGATGGTTTCCATTCCACATGATTCTCATAGTGGGATGGTCAGTTTTAGGCCTGCAGACCCAAAGGCAAAATTTTGGTTGCCGGGAATGAAACCACCACCACCACGTCTCACTTTGTTTCACACTTTGTCTCACATCCAGCTCACGTTGTTTCGCATTTCATGAAACCAATGCTGGCTGCTGCATGGTTTCGTTTGCATTGAAACTTTCATGGTTTTATTACTGCGTCAATGCCTGTACATAAAATAATTATTATTGTATGATTGTACATAGATAGACGCAATGAAAACCAACACAGTGCATACTCCATGTAGATAGACTCAGACTCACCGAGTCAGGGACAGAGTCCCTGACTCGGTGAGTCTGAGTTCTAAATTTTTCTTCGAATTGACCAACATAATATTACAGAACTCCATGAAGTGCAGAGTTAAATGTTTGTTCGATTTTCTACTATTTGGTATCAAATACTTTAACATGTTGAACTTCCAAACCTGTGTGTGCTATCTAAAAGTGGTTTTTATCCCCCATACCAAATTTCAGATGGAAACTTTTAATAACCTGTCAGTACAGCTTTGCATAGCTCGAACCAGCATTGCTTAGTAAACCCATGTTTACTAATTTTCTATAAAATTATGTGCTCCTATTTTGCACTAATTCTGGACTCCATTCTAAATTTCAACTGATTATACTTTTAGAAATCCCACCTTTTAGAAATAGTAAGGGCCACTTAAAAGACCCCCACCGACCAAACCGATCATGTCTATCTTCGAACTTATCCTTACTTTTGACCCGAAAATGAACGTGGAAAAATTTCAGGTCGCTAGCTTGTGTTTAAAGAGAGGTAACTTCATATTCTTTCATGAGTAGCTATTAAGTATCACCGTGCCAGATTTCATATTTTTAAAGCAATTTCTAAAGATCGGTGTGGGTCACCCCATAGGGTCGCTCCAGATAAAAATTTCCCCAATTTCATTTCATATTCTTCCAATAAGACCCATAAGCAACCTCTCTGCCAAATTTCAACTCGATATAACGATTTTGAAAAATCGGTATGTCACATACCGTATGGGTCACCCCATAGGGTCCCTCAAGATGAAAATTTTGCCAATCTGAATTCATATTCTTCCATTAGGAGCCATTAGTAACCTGTGTACCAAATTTCAGCTTTCTAGCACAATTTTGAAATTTTGGTGCATAATATCCCACCCACTCCGATGACCCCCACCGGTCATCCACTGGACCGATTTCGCCCATCTTCGAACTCGTTCCCTAACTTTGTCCAATATGCATATGGTAAAAATTTCAAGTCGGTCAATTTGGCTCTATCGTGCCGGACAGACGGACGGACATGACGGTTCTATAAGCCCTGACTAGGGCTAAAAAGTGTATCATTTTACTGCTGTTTTACCATATCGGTAGCAAACTTTTACGGACCGGTATAATTTTAATACTAAGCGGTAGCAAATTTAATAACGAGAAATCAATATCTGCCTGACCATGCCAAATTTCTAACCGTGGACACTAATTATGGAAAATAAGTGCTGTTGCGAAGAATTTCCTTTAAAAGGTCTCGTGGAAGAGGGGTGTTTTATTTATTTTTGGATTAAATATTTATTAAAGTGGACAGAAGTTTTGACGAGAAACATGAGTGCACGTGCGTTTCATGTAAACAGTGCACTATTTGAGTATGCGTGATGGAGTGGTGGTGGAGCGGAGCGCAGCGTTACACTAGGATCTAGGACAGAATTTGACAATTTTTGCCTTTGGATCTCAACGCAGAAATCCTACCAACGTACTCTGTGAAACTGAGCAGTTGGCGCCCAACAAGAACTTGCACTGTGCGAGCATGAGTCATTAAGAATTGAATTATTAGTTTGGAATTATTTGTCGAAGAAAATTAGTAGGTATGGCGGATCCGAAATATGTCAACCTGCCGGGAATTGTAAGCTTATCTCTCCAGGTATGAAAGAGGTTTAAGAAAATAAAATAAAATTGTTATCGTTTTACAGGCGTATGACCAGCCAGACATTTATGAGACGACAGACTTACCGGAGAGTGACCAGTACACAGATTTTGCGGAGGTACGCAGGATATCAATTTAAATAATTGCATGTAAATATCATTTTCAGTTGGATTAAATTTATCTTGTTTTACGAGTTACTAATTGTTGGTGTGATTTTGTGGTGGAACAGGTCGAAGAGGACTCACGAGAAATAGAACGAGTTCATTTAAATCCAGAAACTGCTAGGTAGACTATTAACTGTAATATATATTATTGTAATATATTATTAATTAATTGTCAATTGTTTCACATTGTCTCAAATTATAGTGAACGATTTCGAGGGAAATATCTGGATGGATCGAAAGTTGATTTTGCTGACCAAGGTTTCACAAAGTCTCGAAAGAAGGGATATGATGCGATTACATGCTGGGAGTTGGCTCCAACAGGAGAACAAGAAACTGTGTTTCAAAGATTCTTGCGACTAAAGGTGTGCATTTGTACTTCACAAATGTAGTGCATAATCTAATTTCTTGAATTTCTCGTACCTAGTGCGAAATTAATGAGCTGATAAGTGAAGTTCAAGTTAAAGGAATGGGTGCAGATGCAGGGGATCCTAATTTGAGTGCCCAAGAAATTTTAAAGCAGGTCAGTTAGTCAGTTACATTATTAGCTACACGAGGATTAGTTGATAAATTCCACTAATCAGTACTGAATAATGTGTGAATTTAGGCAAATGGAATGCAAAAACAACTTTTGGAACTACGAATTGATCCAGCCAAAGCTTCTACTGGGAATGATGACTCTAATGCCTTAAAGAAGTTGGTTAATTAATGTTCTGCATGTTTTTATACTTTATTAATGCATGCATTTTCACTCAAATTTGCAGAAAATTGACAGTAAAACTTGGAGAAATGTCCCAGGAAAAGGCAAAAGCAGATAAATCTGCTGGATCTAAAGATGGTTTGCAGTATGAGCTGTGTGTTCCTTCAAGTTCGAATAAACCAGGTCAATTCAGCAGAATTACAGAACTAGAAAATAGAATAAAAATGTTGGAAGGTGTATTAGGAACTGAACAGAAGGATAAACTGGTAAGACTAAATGGTTAATCATGGCAAGATATAGTAGTGCAACAACATCAAGCCGATGAAATAAATAATTGAACATGTTTCAATTTTAGGCTACTGTTGCGATAAGCCCGAAAAATCATAGTGTTTTAGGCTGCCTTTCCGTCCTCAGCACCAAACTGAGTTTACTAGAACCAACTCACATTGAGCTGATTGAAACTAGGTTATCATCGGTGCTTCAGAAAGTAACCAAAATATCAGAGAAAAAATTAGATGTTCAAGAATTAGAAAGAACGTTAAAGGTAACTTGAATAAATTTCTTGTTAGTTGTTTACAAGATTCGATATTCATCTTTCTGTGTTTAATCTTTAGCTGTCCGACTTGTACGACTTGATGGAGGAATCTTCCAGCACCATTCAAGCCCTGCCAGAATTAGCCGAACGGCTAAACTCTTTGCAACAGCTTCATCAAGAAGCAAGTGAAGTGGTTAAAGAACTCTCAGAGATAAAAAGCCTTCAGGAAGCTATTGCTGGTGGCACGTTAGAAAACGATAAGATATTAAAGGAGTTGCAAATTGTTATTAGTGAGACTTTGAAACGTCCTGGTGGGAAATAATCCAAGGTGTCTTTCTAGCTAAAGGTATTTATTAATGTACATACATGTTTACATATACACGTATAATATTAATATAAAGCGATGTATGATTTTATTATGTGTAAGGTGCATTAGTTGGTAAAAGAGAGTATTGTACCAAAGCAGGAGATTTTTATTATTATTAAGAACAATCTTAACTAAAAATTGAAATACTATTCGGTAATTATTTGTATTCAAATTACGTTCATTAAACTTCTAAAATTTTAATATTGTTAGTTGATGTTAATCTAATTTTTTCTCCTTTCTTTACTATTAGTAATGGACTACTTATGATTACGTTGTTGGCTATATACTCAAGGTTTTCACCGTCGTATGACACTAAGGGAGAAATTTCTACTTCAGGAAGATTATTATTTAGATCCATTACTTCGTTATCTTTACCGTTGAAGGTGACCCCAGCGTTGAGTAATTGTTGTAGATTGTTAAAGAGCAGGTCATTTCTACACGTTGTTGGGGTATCCTTACTTTCAGTATCGGAATTCTTCAAAGGACTGAATTCATATTGCCTTTGAACTTCCCAAACGGCAAACTTGGAAGAAAATTGGAATACGTCAAAGACAAACTTTTCAAGCTTAACTCCATTCTGTGATTTTGGTGTTACAGTATTCCCTGAATTGGGATCAACTGTGGGGATCTTCTTCTTCGCAATATGATGAACCAGCGTATCCTCCAGCCCAGACAATAACTTTTCCAGAAAGTCAAGCGTGAAAAAATGGTTGCAAATATTTCCAGCATTGAATTGCAGTCCACCAGTTTTAGGATTCATCAGCTCAGCAGTTTGTGTTGTGATTTCTGAATATTCGACAACCTGATATTTCCCGTCAACTTTGCAAAATACTCCAACTTGTTCTGTTGGAATAGTTTTTTCCACAACTTTGGCCCCGGAATCGGCACCCTTTGTAATGCAGTAACCCATGAAGACCGGATCTGCCATTTTCAGAAGAATGTTATCTACACAGTAGACGTGGACATACTGAATATAACGAGACTTCATATCCTTCAATATCCCTTCATTGTGCAAAGCTTGATAAAGTCCGCCATTCCCGTCTGGGGCCTTGAACATCTTGTGCTTGTTTTCTAAGATGATCTTGCCATCAAACGTAAACGCTGGCAACATTCCCTGTTCAAAGACGATTACATTCTTTTCATCCAATCCGAAATAGTCCTTGGATTGGAAATACTGAACCGTTGGCCCTTTTGTACCCTCACTCGTCATGATATACCATGGCACCTTATGATCATTCTGGACTCCAGCGACTTGTTGGATTCTTTGTAATCTCTCTGCCTGAATTTGGAAGAGTGACTTGTGAGATGGAAGTTCAACATCAAACATCCCTTTCGGGTAGTTAACCCCCAATCGTGTCCCTTGTCCTCCTGCCAGAAGTAGGACAGCTACTTTGCCCTCCCGTAAAGCATCAAGTCCAATCTGTCTGTATTTCTGAAGCTCCTCTTTCGTGCAGTGGGAGGAGGAGGAGTACTGCTCCTCTGGAATCGGCTGCATCCTGCTGTCCAGTTTTTCTGTGGTGTTGGCCTTCATTGCCTTTTCAAAATACTGGGTAACTTGTGGGATATTGATCTTACACAAGTCGTTGTACAACTCTTGTTGTTGGTCTGGTTCTACATCATCCCAAAATTGCAGAAGATGGGATTGACCATTCTCCAGCAAAGTTTCCTTTAACGCCGTTAAATCCATTATAATGACTTTTTCTTTGGGAGCACAATAAGTTTAGGTGCTTGTGAAAATATATGTATTTTTACAGAGTCGATATGAGTCTGTAGTTCATGTTTCATGCATTTATATATGCAGATCAGAATGGGTGACGGAAATAGCAAAGAATTCATTGAATGTTGATTGTATATTTCGTCAGTGGTCAATAATCTGATATGTGAACGTGACATCATGCATACTAAATTTTTAATATGCATTCAATCAATCTAAAGTGTCTCTGAAGTGGTATCATCATTATTATCTGATTATGAAGATTGAAGTTGGTCTTCATTGTGCCTACGCAATAGTGCATAAATAAATATACGAGAAATTCAAACTATACTGAAATTATTTATGTAGTTACATACATGATTACGTTAATCCTTTGTTAAAGGATATAACATTTTCGCATTTCCGTAAGTTTAAAAATACACTACATACGTAATTCAGATAAATGCTATTTAGTTCTGAATTAAATCCTCCATCCAATTCAGTGAATTGGAATGGATTCTCGTGGATGTAATGTCAAACATTTTTAATCAATCGTCAAGTGCGTCAAATACCAGCCACCGATAATTGAAATCTAATAAAAATTGAGTGGCAGTCGACAAGAGAGGGGTGTAGCTGACAATATTACGTAATCGGATTACGTCAAATTATTTATCCTGCGCTACAATATAATATATTAATGTATTTATGCAGCAGCAGTTAAAGACATTACAGTACAGATCCAAAGTACACGATCGGAATCACATCATTCCTGTTAAACACGAGTTGTGCTATCTCTCAAAACTTCACATGCTTTTCCTCTTTGATAAATCTTTAATGAAACTCAGCACTAGTGATGAATTATTTCATCGGTCAAGCTCACGTATCATTTTGTATAATCCAATCTCATGTAGGCATATTTATTTATTTTTGTGTCTAGCACATTCTCGTACAAGTAAAAGTGGATGTTCTTGAATGGTAACATAGCATCTTTTAATGTATGAAATATACATATGTGACAGGGGTCACGAACATTTATTTTTTACTGCATCGGAAATTATTATTTTATCAGTAGAACTATGTATAAACTCACAAGATGATGATGATGGTCAATAATATTTGTCTGAAATGACGTTACATGACGTGAGGCATGAATTACTTGAAGAAATCACACGTATTGAATCACATCTTGGTCTCTCTCTTATAAAAGGCTGGGAAGAATTAGATCCATCTTGTTGGCTTTCAAAGCAAGTACAAATTCACCATTTCAAGTACTCCATAAACTTCATTTAAAATTTCTAAAATGGCTCACAGTACAAGAAAATCTTGTGTGTTTGAAGTTACATTCTTGTGCGTTTTAATCGTATGTGCTTCTTGCTCCCCGTTCTTATCAGCATGGAGGTCTCACTTGCCAGGTTGGTAATGGTATATGTATATTATTTAACTATTAGGACAATTTACAATTCGAACTAAATGTTAAAAATTAATTTCAGCACAGTGTGATGTTAGCATAGTTTCTCACGCTGGTCATCCAATTCATCCTCCTAATGTCCACTGCGACATAAATTTTACGGAATGGTTTTTCAAGAATAGAAAATGTTCCCAATCTACGTATCATGGGTGTAAAAGTGCCGGTGGATTTCATACGGAAGCTGAATGCAAAGATGCATGTAAACCAGACTCTGAAGTTCATCATTGGTATTCGACCTGGACTGACGATTAAGGAGGAGAAACTTATGGCTGATACTTATTTAAGATTAGTTTGAATCCTCATATTTATGTACAAAGTTACAAATTTCAATATAATGTCGTTCACTATTGTGTACAACTAAATACTTTGTTAAAACTAATACAGTAAGTGCAAAATGAAGAAGATATTGAAAATATATACTAAGAATATTTACTAACCCCCTTCAACCTGAAATAATAAACGACACATTTATTTAGCAAAATATTAAAAAGTCTAAAGTCTATTACAGCAAGCATATCTATGTACATAACGACATGGTGACAGACAGGGAAATGCAAAGCATGTTAACCTTTTAAAAACGGATTCCACCAATAAGGTGGAGGGCGATTTCGATCTCTTGGCGACGGACTACACCAATAAGGTGTAGGCCAAATTTTTCGCCTTAGCGACGGACTACACCACTAAGGTGTAGGCCAACTTTTTCTCGTTGGCGACGGATTCCACCAATAAGGTGTATGGTTACAGAATTCCGTTGAGACCGGGCTACATCAATAAGGTGTAGGAAAAAATAAAAATAAAATGACCGAGAAAATTTTCTCAGTTCCATTCTTTCCTCCTTATTTGTCGTTGGTTTTTCTTCAAGCCTGAACTAATTTTTTTAGAGTTTAGAGTTGTAGTTGTAGTGGGGGGAGGAACTCGGAGGAAGTGCATCAGAGGTCACGCCGCGCCCCCGAAAAATTATCCAACATTGGCGCCGCTAATAAATTGGTCGGCGTTGACCTCTGACCTGTATCATGTTGTAAATATGATACAGTTCATATTTTTTTAAAATTATCACAACGTTCTCTTTAGCTAATATATTCGCAATAGTGTCACCACCGATCGGAACAAGTCACAGAACACTGAAGGACAAAATTATAGCTAATAACTTGTTTAAAATATAAAATGCATCCTAAAATCAGTGTCATCAAATTGATGACATGAATGATGACGATTTATTCGTTTAGTTTATTTTTGTAGTACTATCAAAATCAAATCCGATCTTTTTATCAAAATTAATATCGTGTGTTCATTTGGTTCAGTTGCAATTTCATGTTAAAAATGTATTATGTTCTAATTTTTATTGTCGAATCAGTTCCAGGTCCCTAATAAATCATAACTACATCAGTAGAATATTCAAAATCGGTTTGCATTAATTCAGTCCCCAACTGATTTTATCACCGCCCCACAAGTCGGTCTCAATGGTATTCTGCCCCCAGTAAATCCGCCCCCAAATGCAATAGAAACCATTTTTAATTCCGTTTTTAAATGGTATCCAGGTCAAAATTAATTAGTTTTTATAAGGTTAAAGCACAAAATTACGAAACCCGGCATAATCTCACCACCCACCTCTGGCCGAATGAGTTGGTCACCAATTGATTGACTGCGCTCATCTACGTAAAGTACGCATAACAAACTGGAGAAGCAGCGACACTATAGAATAAGGTAGGTGTTCATCTTTTCTTAGCTAAACACAAAAAAGAACACTAAATTAGAGTAGTGAACGTATTAATTACACAGATTTCTTCTACCTACTTATATACGTGCTACACGTGTTAGGATAAATCTCTTTAAACCCGTGCAAAACAATTCTGTCATTATTGATATGTGTAGGGCACCGTACGTGGATAAAATGTGGTGATTAGACGGCAGTGATTCTATAAACTCTAAATATTAATCTCTCTAATACCATTGGAAGGAATATTTGTAAACTTAAAGGCAACGATGATTCATTTTCCTAAGAATGTCCCCTGTACCTAAACTACAATCACTGTTATTGACTGCATCATGATCATACGCGACAAATAGAAGCACCAATTATGTTGATACTTAATTTATGATTGGCTGTGACGTCAAAAAGTAGCAACCCCTCTGGATTACTTTAATTTACTATTACAGAGCTAATTATCATTATGTTCGAGTGAATGAGTAAGTATGCGCACTTTTTATGTTGGTCTTGATAGGTCCAGGGCCTTTAGGAGCAGCTGCAAAATAAGAAATGTCATATTGCGTTAAATCAAGAAAAAACAAACACTTTGTTTCATTATTATCTAAAAGTTGTCGATGAAATCGTCTACCCGGAGATGTGGTTGAAGTGGGCGTGGATGTTTGTCGTGATAGTTGAGGCACAGGTACGATTTTGAAAGCTCGTCCAGTCGCCAAGGCCGTGACCAACTCTTGTGTGTCCCCGTTTGAAAACGTTGGAGGAGGGCCACTTCGTTCCGCCGCTTCCCAGTCATCCCTGGCTGTGTTGATAATGTCCAGAACGTGGCTCGCCATCTTATTCATTGCCGCGGTTTGCTTCTATTGAGTTAAACATTTTCCCAAAAAAGACAATTAGTAAACAAATGCTAATTTAATGTACTCACTGTAACCGTGTCTTGGTTGACAACACTGGCTCGTGCTTCGACTGCATTATGCTTAAATTCTGCGTCAGGAACAGGCTTGGTACGCAGATAATCTGGTACGACCTGCCGATAACGTTAGACATGATCATTTATAACATGTATAATACATTACTGAATCAATCCATAAACGATGCTAAGTTTACACATTGACCATACCTCATGGTTAAAACAGGGAAGTCTGGCATCCGTCGTCGCCATTAAAGCTTGGTCAGGATCTTGGCTGAGCGAAAGTGGAAGGACGGTAAGGCCCTTCAACATGGGTACCTTGTCCGATCGCAGCAGTCTCATCAACGTGTTCATCTGAAACATACGTATAATCACAACACTGTATAGTTTCAAACTTTAGCAAATACAAATCCTTAAACAACTTCAAATTTAAAAAAAATTGCAGCGCTTGGCTTACCTGTCCTGAAATTACTGAAAACGCGTCCAAGAAGTCTGGAAAAGTGATATTTTGGTGGTCGTTGTCCAACTTCCACATAAGTGAATTTAATGACAATTTCATTTCGTTGATACGCTGAAGCATCACTTCCGTCGCCATCTCCAATTGCTTTTCTTCCCGATTAGCTGCCATCCTACCGTCTTAAAATATTCAACTCAACACAAATTAAAAACAAGGATCGACTTTGTAATAAATTATTATTACTAATTATGTAATGAATTCAAAGTTTAAATAAAATTAAAATGAAATCCCTGCAGTTAGTTAGTCAGCTCAGCCGGTTGAAAAGTGTGTATCTTTGTGAGTGTAGCGAATAGAGCGACAAAAATAATGTTGGTGGTGTTGAGATGTGTGGGTACCAATTTGAGACTAAATTTCAGTCTCAACTTCCCTCCCATTTTGACATTTATTTGCAAGAAAAATTACTGCTTGTACTATAAATATCAATTATAGTCTCGGCGTGCGTTAAAAATGTATTTTTAATTGCCATTTTCTAATGAATATTACACAGATACAATCGTCATTAGCAGTGAAAAATAGACATTGTTTGAATTATTGAGTCGCCATGAGTGGGACGACCCCTGTCACACTTTTGACCCCGTTACATTTGTGGTCAAGTATTTTGAAAAAGTATTCCAACTCGTAATAAGCATCCTCTGGCAGTTCAGTACAATGGATAGCGTTCTGAATTTTGTTCAGCCCGTGTCGAGCTGAAATAAGACACAAATGATTACAGCGAAATAATAGCTACATACGATTTCTGAGCCATGTAGTGTAGATGTAAAGCGATTTGTGGAGTACGTATACCGTAAATACGGCATGTGATCGAGTTTCGGAGAATTTTGACCCCTACCCGACCTTTATATATGCCCCGTGTGATAATAAATGTGAGAAGGATAGGGTACCTTGACCCTACCCCCTCCCCCCAAATCGATGACATGACTTTTCTACAGTCCCCAAAAGAAAAGTGTAAAGTCTTTTTTTTACCTCGAAGCGTCTGGGGTTTCACTTTTCTTGCCAAGTCCTGCGAAGAATCGTTCCAGTTATTACGACATATTTAGGCGAAAATTCTGCATATATCAAAATCATTACCGAGTCTGCAGGACCGCAAAAATGGCGAAACGCTTCGACAGCATTGCAGTCGCTGGAGGCATTAGTGTGACTCAGCTCGACGACCATGCATGGTCCAACTCCAAGCTCATCTACCATCGCCTGTAAGAAGCCGTAAATATGCATATCAATATGATAATCCTGCATACAGAGGAAATTCAATGTGCAATAAAATATGACCATGAACTCCGCTTCGATGTATATCCGCTGGTAAATCTCGTAAAACTCCTCAGCTTGTCTCCTGTTGAGCCAAAACACGCCCAAGGATATGATTTTGAAACCACATGCAACGACGTCTGTCAACACGACCCCAGCCCGTCCTGAGTCAAAACCAATTTCCGATGATAATACACATGATAAGCAACTAATATTTGCATTTACATTTTGTTTAACTAATACCTTCTCGCATAATGTGGGGCTTAATAACACAGCAAGTTGTTTGACCATTCATCAAAAAGAAACTTGGGATCACGCAAGTGGGACAGTCCGAGAAAAATTGGCTTGCTTGCTAAATTGTATGTTATATTAAGCAGCACTTAATATTTTTGGACTGACTTTTAATGCAAGTTAGTAATTTAAAAAAAAAACACCTTTAAAACGCAGCCAGGACTCTCAGAAAAGAAAAATCCATTTCGAAGCTCATCCATTCCAAACAGTGATCTCAACGATTGATGATTTTTTAACATTGCTTCTTTTGGATTCTTGTCAGAACCAACCAAATTTTTCATTTTCTCCAACGCGTTCTCCGCCATGAGAAGGAAAACGGCGACATTTTTGCCATCTAAGCTTCTTACGGACTCTCTGAGAATTAGAGTAATTACAAAATTTTGAAGGTGTCCATAATTAAACATATGCATACAAAAAATTCTCTTCTCCAGTGAATTCGCTTGACAGCTCGTAGGCCATGTTTTGCGGAATTGTAAATATCTTTCCACGCAAAATTCTAAAACATTTTTCCAATCGGGAGATAATACATGGAAGATTATCCATCGCTTCAGGACGCACCATGATAAAAGCTCTGAGTATAAACACAGCATTTCGATTGGTCATTCATAATGTAAACATTTTGACAAAAATAATACCTTTCGCATTTAGGTTCACAATATTCTTTCGTCAGACCATCTCCATAATCCAAAACTACAAGTTGACGACTAAGGATGAGCAGTTTATTCCCCAAGAAAAGCTCGCCTACTTTCACCGTGTCCAACCTCATTCTTCGCAAGAATGGTCTCTGATTGTCCAAATCTTTCTGCAGTCATCAATCATATTATATTTTCTTATCATCCATGCATTACGTTTTAAACACATCCACTAACCAACTCAATAGTCCCATCAAAATCATAGTACGACAACAAAAATTTCTTTTCCAGTTCCAATTTCTCAATATACCATTGCACAATGAAGGTGAGCTTGAAGGGTATTTCCTACTCATAATGATGAACTTAATTAAATACAATAATACAAAGGTTATTGGCGTCATACAACGAAAGTAGTTACCTTCCGAAATGGGGCTTTATAACCAATTCCATCGCATGGGTTGCATACAGGTAAAACATCCGTGAGTTGCGGAAAACTGTTTGCACCAGGACATGTATTTTTAGAACACATTGTAATTCAGCTTGGCGAAAGATAGTTTCGAATGAAACGATTTTAACAAAGGCAACGCAATTTGATACCATGCACGATTGTTTGACTTCAAGTATCTCGGCATTTTGTTTCCTTGGCCCCCTCAGCGTGGTCATTCATAAGATAAGTATTTGACAACTTGCCATAAAAAAAGTGTGACAATCTTGATGTCGCATTTCTCTTATTTCTTCCCAAGTTTCACTTTCAATTCAGTGCTGCAGTTGCAAAACATTTCACACGTCTACCTTATAATCTATAGACATACATCCACACATATGTATTTTTACATATGTATTTTTACACTTTGAATGCATATGCACGTCGTTTGCAAATGACTGTCTTCGCCGAGTTTTATTGGCATGCATGCTTGAGTCATTTATTTCATCAAGTTCACGGCCTGTTCGTGATTGCGTGGGTACGCACTTTCTTTACATCTGCTAAAAATGTTCACTTCTGTTTTTTTAATTTATTATGCCGATAAATTATTGGCATTTGTGTATATGGCTTTTATATGTATATGGTATTTACTAGCAAGTATATTTAGAAATAACTAACTGTAAGAATGAATTTATATATACCTGTAAGAATGCTGGATTTTAATGAAATCAATAGCAAACGCTAAAATTTTGTCGGCAGTGAGTTGCTTTATTGATTAAATAGTAGTATGATAAAAATTGCGCATTCACAAATAGTATCTCAGGGTGGGTTATGAATAGTGTAATAATATTATCTCATTGTTTCAGTTCCGGTAGTTCAGTGAATATTAATCCTGAATGCTTTACTTCCCTAAGATGATTTTTCTGCCTGCGCCCATATTCTGACCTGCCTGGCTTGCACCCTTGTTTTGTCCTGCTTGAAGTCCAATGATTGTCTTTCCGGCTTGTATAACTTCGTCGGTAAACTCTCGCTTGTTTTCTTCAGATGGTTTGGGTCCGAGAGTTGGTCCTGTCCATTCGGGGTGAAGGTACGTCTGCAAAGTGACAATTATAAGTTCAGAAAATACTTGCTTAAAAATCAAAATACACGAGGAGTTAAATAAGGTGGATCATCTCATCTTCGTACCGTGCGTCCCAGACTTGGTCACGGCTGAGACATCCTTTCCTTCATAGAGATCAACAGTTGGGAAAAGATCACTCTTGCAGACTCCATATTTTTCAATTGCTTGAAGGAAACTGAAAATTTTCAAAGTACTTAGAGATATGCAAATATAAATGCATGTCCATCCAAATTTTCGCGTGACTTACTTGTTAATATTTTCCATCATTTTGAATTGACCACCTGAGGAGTTGATTTTAGCGATGGCCCCCGGCTTCAGCTTATTCATCAATCTGCATAGAACGGTCCCATCCTTGAGAAGATCTTCGTAAAGAACTCCTGGGAATTTTTCTCCGAGAACGGATTCGATCCACTCTTGGGCCTCACTTTCCTGATCAGGATCCCGTTTGCTGAGGATCTGAAAGAAATAGAAAGCAAATTTTAATTCCCTATTCACAAATGAAATAATCGAAATTATATATTTAGATATGTATTGTGTACCTTAGCGCGGACTTGTCGTTCAAGGGCCATTGTAAGTGTTTGAAGGATTCGGAGATTATGTAGAGTCTTTATTTCTTGATCACTTTGTGAATACTGTGACCAGAAGTCGACGGCGGTTATCTTTTATACCAAGCAAAATGACATCACGATGCGTGTTTCAAATTCTAGGGGTTTCCTCATCGTTCCAAATAACAATAATTAAGTACAACATGCTCCCACCTCCGCATTCTTATTAAGTGTTATCTATTGCAACAGGAATTTGTTCTTTCGAGAAGTTTCCAAGTTTAAGTACTGTCCCCGCCTATGCAAATACATCGTAACGGTGTGTTTAAGTGTTTACTCACTGCACGACGCCCACACAGATTTTTAGTGTATTCAATGTTAAGTAAGAACATCTCTAAAATTATCTCTTCTCGGTTTATTTCAGAGAAATGGGAGTGGGCACAGTTTTCACTTTTTCATTTCCACCTAAAGCATTCATGTGCTCGTATGTATTATACGACGGAAGTTGGGTATAGTAGTCTGCTCTTAATTTGTTTTTATCACATTTAAGTATTATGTATTATCAGAGTTAATATGTGCGTTTGGCTTGAAATTATAATTATTTTCGCTGATATTCCTAACCCTATTAGCATACGAAATATGCAGCAAAGACATTTTTTTACAATTAATTAATACTAACTTGACATTGCCCTCTTTACTCTAATTTTAAAAGACTGTCAAGGAAAAGAGGTTGATTGAAAGATAAATTGATTCAAACATGAACTACATAAAACGAATTGTCGATTATAGGGTTATGCCAATTATGAAACCTTTGTAATGTTAAGCCCGAGTCATAGACGCTACATAAATATTTATAAGCTACAGATCTATAGTTTTGCGTATTTGTTTAATATCTTCTAACTATAAATAAAATGTGATTTACCAAAACATTTTTATTCATGCATGCATTAACGCATACTTTCACATGTGCAAATCTATGCAAATATTCAATACATTTAGTAATTGATCAAGAATGTGTCACTTTCGAATATTTTAATGTAAAATTTGAAGTTCATCGGTTGCGTCGTTCTCTATATGTATACATTTATAGTATGATTCGGAAAGACCGACATAACGGATACGTAAGCCTTGACTCGGGTTAAAAAAAGACTTGCTAACGGAATTTTGCATGCAACGTCGATGACATTTCAACTCTTATTTTTCAATTGGCGTCATGCCAGACAGAAAATGCAAAATGATTTGACTCATATGCAAATACCTATTTCATGCGTGCTGAATTTGGTAATATTTATAGAATTTCTACCCTTTTCAGTAATTTCTAATGAGTAATGATACCAAGCAAAAATTGTACTTTATGATACTGTAAAGACAAAGCACCCTAATTTTAATAAGTATAATATATTATTCCTTTTGTCATTTTGTAGTAACGCACATCTCATTAGATGACGTCATAAAGTTTGAAGCCCCCCTTCCCAAAAAATCATTATTGTCCAAAAGGGGATCAGATGTCGTTGCTAACTCTAGACGACTAGCTAAAACTAAAATCTAAAGCTAAAATAGTGCTATCAATGACCACGATTAATTGACACCGTTTCATTAGCGCTATGCCCCATAGAATGATAAAGTATCAAATTGCTTGACTTAGTATCTAAAGTAACTTTGGTCAAATCTAAAAAATTATACTTTTACTGGCTTGATGCTTCAACAGTTTGCGCCTGTCACTTTTATTACCCATTCAAAATAACCTTAGTTTTCCGCTTGTTTTTCTGACCTTAAAAATGTCTTCAATGAATGCCAGCTTCTCTAAACAAGAACTTATGACTTCCAGCAAATTGTACATGTTCCCACTAGCATTGCCAATCTTATTTGCATTCACATGCTTCTTAACGTAAGTATTTATATATAACAAAAATGTGGCACTTTTATACAACGTGAATTTAATTTAATAGAGAGTTGGAGATTCCTTGTACTCTGACTGTAGACTGTACTGTGGACTCTAGATGATGACGTCATCAGCTTTTTGTACTAATTCTACAGTCTACAGTAGACAAATTGAAACACGGGCTCAATTTGTACTACTGTGGAAAAATCAAGGGTTGGCAACTAGGATATCTCTAGAACGCCTCAATGTAATCAGACGCCGTTTTCGCCATTTTGCTTCTAATTTTTGACCCTAGGTCGAGTTCGAAGATGGGCTCCCTGTGGTCAAGGTCAAGGTCACCCTGGCGTGAAGTAAACGCAAAATTGTACCTTAATTTTCATATGCGGTATCATTTTAAAGGAAATTTCACCAAGAATTTATAGTCGTCAATACTTTTGACCTACGACCAACCAATGACCGAAAGGACGAGGTCAAAGGTCGCAATTTAAGTGTCGACTGTTTTAGACGTGTATTAAGGCGAGAATTTAAGAAATCTGCATAGCTTTAACGTATGAAGACCCCGTGACCATGTTCACGAGGTCAAAGGTCAAAAATGTTAATATTTTATTTCAACCGTTGCAGACGTAGTTCACTTTGAAGCGAGGAGTTCAGAAATTACTATCATTTCGGCTTATATCAGCCTGGTGACCGTTTTAATCGAGGTCAAGGGTAAAAAATTTCGACTTTTTGGTTTGATCGTTTTAAACGCACATGTTGGAGGGATTCTCATTTTGTATATCATGAGTTGATTTGTCTCAATTTTTGACTCATCTATTTCGCGGAGTTTTACAATACAATTTTTTCAGAGTACAAAATAATGAAATTCTCCAGGTCTTTTGATTTTTGTACTAATTTTTGTATTGTACTGTAGTCACAGTACAGTACAAGTAAAAGTACAAAAAATCTCCAACTCTCTAATATGCGCTCAACAGATATACATGGGCGATTATGATAGGACATGTCAACCCAATATTCAGCTTTATTTCTGATACTGGTACAGTTTCTCCTGAAATGTGCGTTTTCGGCCAATTTATGCATTTCATATGCATTCTCTGTAAGCGAAAGTTTAACATTTAATCTATTTACAATTCTGCAATTACATTACATTACATAAAAATTAATTTCGCAATTCATCAGATTTTGGAGTAGTTTACATTCGGTATAAGCAAGTGGAACTGTACTACAAGTTAAAGTATAATCAACCCGGTTCAAAAATTAATTTTGTCGCATACATCGCTGGATTGCTGTCTATTCTTGGTGTGAGCGTGGTAAGTCACACCCACGCAAATAAACTCGCTCAAATGCATATCACGCATATATGACACATGCTAAATTAAATTAGCGGAGAAGCTGCTATGTATAGATGTGACATGTATCTTTCTTGGAACAGGTGGCGAATTTCCAAGAAACGAACCTGCTAGTCGTGCATGTCATTGGAGCATCGCTGGTATTTCTGTGTGGAACGGTATGGAGCTGTCTGCAGGTAACATGATGATGATAACGCTCTGATATCATTTCCATATATGTACTACTTAATTAACTAACTAAACAAAGGGTAATAGGCTTATCTGAGCTTTAAGCTTTTGCCGGATTTTTCAACCCGAGTTATTGCATATACCCGATCAGTTTTAAGCATGATAACAATCGTACTGTGTATACTTTTCCTAATAACGGGAACCCTGTCTTTCTTCCAGTATAATGGTAACACTTAAACAATAAACAATTTATTTCCACGTTAATGTAATTTAACTGAAGCTGCACTTAATAAACTTTTTTACAGGTAGTCTGAGTGGGAGGGACATGCTAACCTGGGCCAAAGCCGACAGAGGGACGCTTAGAGGAATTGCAGTGACAATTGAATGGATCATGTCGTCATTATTTTTCGGGGTATTTATCACAACATTTATCCCAGAGTATAGGAAATTAAGATTCAGAGGAGCGGAGATTCTTTTTACGACTCAAACCCAAGAATGCAAAACTACGGAAAAACTTGTAGTGATGCCTGAGACAAACCTAACGTCAGAGGATTATATTTTGTCGATAAGTACGGTTGACACCATCGCAGAATAAATTCAGTATAAGAGCTAAGTACAAGCTGTACAAGCATTTTGTCCTATAAAGAAATATTGAGACACATAATAGGACTGAAAATATGAAGATGCAAAAATTTTATTTCAAGAGACGTAGTTATTAAATATGCATTGGAGTGGAAGAATTATTTTTGTCTGTCTGAACAATCCACGTTTACAGGAAAGTCACAAACTGACAGGAATTTGTTAAAGTAGAGTCCGGTTGGACATAACTGATGAATGGGTAGTCCATTGGTACAAGTGTAAAATGCTGTAAAAATGTTACAAGATTTTTATCAAATTAGTTAAACTTGTGTACGAATTAGTAAATCAACTATTTATTTCAACAAACCTGCACAATTGTTTCGATCCGGATATTTTGCGCCGTCCTCACCATTTTCGGGACATTGAAATTCTGGGCCTGGTGTGGGGCGAATTCTGTTTCCACAATTGACATCTTGTGCAAGAGCACAGCCAGTCCATTCCACTTGCGAATCATCGAATAGCGTTTCATTTGGGCACCTGAGAAGGGTTGAAATTCCTTCCCAGCAATCAAAGTACATCTCACAGAATAATGGGTGAGCATAAGCTCCATTTGTTGAGCAGTTGTAGATGGACCTGGGGGTCGTAGTTGTCGTCGTAGTTGTTGTTGTCACTGGAGGTCTCATAGTGTTGGAAACACCGTCTGGTCGGATTCGTTCTCCGCAATGCACTAATTCGGCATTGTTGCATTCCCCGTACTGGTCACTGAACAAGAGGTCTGCGGTCAACCTGCACGCCCAAATCTGTGGAGGTGAGCTTCCTATGGAACAGTTGTAGTACTTTTCACAAAATGTTTCATGAGGAAATATTCCGTCTCGAGGACAAACGAAAGTATCGTCCGGACCTAGAGCAATCCTGTACGCTTTTGAAAAGCTACTTCCTCTTTCGTATCGTGGAGATTGGGTTGAAATTTCAACTGCAATATAATTGGAATGGCAAGTTGTATAGATAAGTAATTGGGATATGAAAAATTAGGACGGACTGGTAATGACTTACTTTCAGCGAAGATTAAGAAAATTCCTACCAATAATGAAGCCATAATTTGGGCCATTATTAATAATAGATTGATTTTGAATTTTAGTATGCACGACGACTTGACCTTAAATTTTACAAAATATGAAAAGTGAGAAGCACAAAGCTTGACATCACCTGTCCAGCTACTGTGCTAACTATAACTGAACTTTTTGGTTGGACCATGAATAAACCTGTCGACTCGTTCACCAGGTGCTTGCCATAAATAAGGCTTTCGAATTGCGCTTTTGATAAGCTTTGCTTATGTATTGTGTATAGGCGCTATTCTTATCTTTTACGTTTTTCCATATGTCATTCTGGTATCTACTTCCACTCGTGGTGGGGTTTTGCATATGAATTTATGAAACGATTATGAATGAGGTGAACGATTGATGCGAGTATGATCCCCAGTTTAATTTTTGTCACAGTTTAGAAGTGGTCATTATACATACATATGTGAAGCTAAAATGTAAACTATTTGGTCATGCGTCATATTTTATGGCCAATAAAATAAAAATTTGTGGATTTGGCATTGCTCAACAAAACTACTTGCGTTTGGTTTATGGTATGGACGTGCGTATATACCTAATGACCAAACAATGTGATGTGGTCAGACTTATGTATGATCCATGGACAAATGTGTGTGTGCTGTCTGGAAAGTGATTTAATTAACTGCACAAATTGCATTATTTAATATTTGCATGCATGGGAGGTTTCTCTATACCCATATATGCATTTTTTGATTTCATGGTTGAAGTTGAAGTAAAGCATCTAATCGCTATATATTTTTAGCTTTAAATCGGGTCTATTTTTTATACCATGATAATTTTTAAGATCGAACTTTATTAAATAATTTGACCCATCATCGTCATTCATTATCTATAACATAATAATAGTTTAATCCTCCTCAAACACCCGACGGTAGCGAATAATCTCTAAAATTAACTTTTTAAAATGTACATGTACAAAACTATGGCTTATTTTTATAGACATTCATACAACCTCACTAATTACATTTTGTATCTTACTCATTGCTCTCACTCAGGTTAGTACATAGACCTGAGAGGTATGCATAGTGCATACTTCTTTCAAACTATGCTCAATTTGAGCCATAGTCTACACAAATACTTGTATTATAGTGTCACACAAGTTAGAATCGCCAGGAAATTCCTATTTTATGCCGAATATATAGAAATACGTATAAAAAGTGTACAATTTATATTCTTGTCAAAAAACTTCAAACGCATGTCCGTGCTCACATTGTATTGCATGCTGTAAAATATGTATAAACGCCAATTACGAACATTGTCCAAAGCTCTCTATAGCTAGTTTTTTGAAGCTTCACCATCGCTTCATAAGATAACATCTACATAGTTGAAAGAATTGCATGATTTGCAAGAAAGGAGTGCAAACAAAAGTTGAGCAAATATTTGTTGACGAGGATCTCATAAAGGTCGGTTTCTTTTTAAGCAGAACGAGGGGAATGTGAACCAAACAGTGTAGAAAAGTCTCCCTGTAGCAAGCAGGAAATGAAATCATAAATAAAATAATCCACCCAACCCAATCAAAGTGTTCCAGTTTTCCTTGCCTCACCAAATTTGCTTCACTTTATTGCCCTCCACTTTTTATCCCATTCGTCTTCATGTCACACGCCACAAACGAGGTATAAAAGTTAACCTTATCTGCCAAAGTCACGAAACCCTGAGTGAATCCTTCATTCTTCCGCACAAACCCCGATTTCCCGACTTATGCAATACTTTGGGTTCGGGCGATCCCCTTTCCCCACAACAAGTCGAAAAATATATATACACATTCGTGTATATCCCACCAATCTAACCATCCTTCATCACACAATAAAAAATGTGCTAGGCTTGATGGTCGACCAAGTGGAGCTGGAACGGAACAATGCTAATAAGACTACCCGGTTTTCCATTGTGTGCGAAAATGGAATAAAATATTAGTCTAAAACGAGAGGGAGAAAAGACCAAGCACCACCGGACGTTCAATTCATAGCTTATTTAGCTCACCTTTCTCTCTCTCTTGGTCCTGCCTATTTTAGAACAAACTTGCCACAACGTAGTGATAAAAATACCAACACTAACATTTAATAATAAAGGAGAGAATCGATACGAAGAAGCAGCAACAACAAAATGGTGAGCTACATGTCAGCAGAGATTCCTGCCTGTCTGTTGTACATATCCGTTATTCGTCGTCCTTGTTGGTTTTATCACTTAACATGTCTTTGCGATGTGGTAGGACAATTCATCATCAAATCCATTAATGGACGGACATGAACATTGGACTTTCACCAACTGAGTGGAGTGTGACACATCACACATAGCATCACGCTTCTTCCGTCATTGGATTCGGATAAAGTTGACGTCGACATTTGCCGGTGTTTTAAGCGTGCTTCCGGAGTCGATTAAATGTCAGTCTTCTAGTCCATATCGACTGTCAAAATCTATCAAAATATCAATAACAGGAACCCAGAGCTTTCTGCACTGTTAGTTGCACTGTTAGTTGTCAGTATATGAGATCAACTCAATAGTGACACTCAATCTAAAATCGATCCATCCAGAGGTGGGGGAGAACGGTAGTGAAGAATTATTATTGGTATTGATTGACCGATTAAATTGAAGGAGCCGAAACGAACTATATAATAACGACTCGACTACATACTACATACTACTGCCCAGGCCTGCACTGGTTCCAAACACACAATAAAAAATGCAATGACAGGACAGAAGAAGAGCACTTTAGTGAAGAAGGTACGTAATAAGTGTCATAACTCGTCAACATTTATTTTCGTTCAAGTGACACGCATGTTTAATGGCATGCCTTGAATAAAGCATGCCATTAAACACAATAAGCTCTCTCGAAAAAATAATGCTCTTTAAAATCTCAAGTTGTTGACTTAGGAGGGGAGCTTGCGAGGTTGATAATAACAGATATTGGTGCCCTTTGGATATGTGGTAGGGACCCATGAGTGTACTAAAACCCTGAAGTAGTTTGACTCCATGGCCACATTTGCGCCCGCCACACCCACTCAAAAATACCCAAAAAACGCTTTCACACCAGTTTTCACTCACTCAAATCCACGCCAAAAATCCAATTTTACTCGGATTTTGAAATTTCTTTCACCATTACACTCCCAGATAGTTGCTTTCTTCAATCCAATATCAAACTCAATTTTGCTGATGATTATTTCGCAGGGATAATTTGCGTTGTTGATTACTACAACAATGCTCATTCAGAATTTTAAATTTTAATAATACTAAAAATTTCGAAAATATTGAGTTTGATATTGGATTGAAGAAAGCAACTATCTGGGAGTGTAATGGTGAAAGAAATTTCAAAATCCGAGTAAAATTGGATTTTTGGCGTGGATTTGAGTGAGTGAAAACTGGTGTGAAAGCGTTTTTTGGGGATTTTTGAGTGGGTGTGGCGGGCGCAAATGTGGCCATGGAGTCAAACCACTTCAGGGTTTTAGTACACTCATGAGACCCTATCACATATCCAAAGGGTATCAAGATCTGTTATTATCAACCTCGCAAGCTCCCCTCCTTAGTTGTATCCACATATAGACTTTGGTTGCACTTAAGTACAAAAAGGCTACTTGATACGCTACTTCAAACTTGAGAGCTCTGGGAATTAGACACATAATCAAATCATCATTCTTGTTGTTGGTTTCAGGTAATCAGAACATTCTCCAAACATGACGAAACTACTTCCTGTCCCACGTCGGTTTCGATTTTGGGCAATCAGAGAAAGCAGACGCATTGCATGGACTCTATTCCTCTTGGTGTGTCTCGTAATCTGTATTGACAGCTTTGGATTTGTCAAGTTCTATTTCGAAAGAGACTTTGAGACAGAATTCAACTACCCATTAAATGTTCCCAACTTTCCAGAGTTGGTGAAGAGCTTTGGGTGAGGTTAACTGGATTTGAAAGTCATTAATCCCTGGTAGCAATTATACCCATTTTTTCAATTCTTTTAGGAAAGGGGAGCAAGTTAATATCCACCCAATTAATCAAAACTATTCTAGAATAAAGTTTTTAGACAATGAAAACGCAAAGTGTGTCGAGGAAGACCCTATCGGCCTATTGATCCTTGTAAAATCAGCTCCAAACTATTTTGACAAGAGGGCAGGTATAGTGCACAGTTTTGAGTAATTATTTTTTATGCGTTGATATTAATAAAAACTTAAATATTTAACAGTGATTAGAGCCACATGGGGACATCCAAGCTATCTCCAAAATATTTCTCGTTCAATATCTCACACGTCTCCATTGATTTCATGCCTCCAGCAAGGAGCTGGAAGAAACAAGAGATCATTCGATCCTTTAATAAAACCAGTGTTTCAAATTAAATTAGTGTTTCTAATTGGTCAGCAGAATCATGAGTCTACCAGTGCTCGAAATGTACTCCCAACCATGACGACGACAACTACTCCCCTTCCTTCAGACATTCTTCTTGCTCAGTTGGATAACTCAATCGAATCTCAATTATTAAAAAACAATAGAAAAGACAAAGCCCCAAGCCAAACAATTGCAGCTTTGCTCCAACATTCTCAAGCCAAAAAGAGACTTACAAAGGACGAAAGCAATTTCAACAAAATCTATAATTTTAGAGAAAGCTCGGTTGACGATGAAATACTCAAACATAACGATATAGTTAGGGCTGAATTTATTGACTCGTATATTAATAATACTTTTAAAACAATGATGGGGATTCGGTTTGCCGTTGAAAAGTGCTCGAACTTTCAATTTGTTTTCCTTGTCGATGATGATATGCACATCAATATAAAAAACTTGGTTCGATACTTGGAATATCCGAGAGAATATCCATTCGTCAACAACAATGTTAATTTCAACTCCAACGAAGAAGGGGTTCATAAAAAAACTCATTGTAATACTCTAGCAGCCAACAACTTGTATGCAGGAAAACTTTTAACAACAACCAGACCAGTTAGATACAAATTAGGTGCTTGTTTATTTTAAAAATCGCATACGTCATGCATTGTTGAACTTTCAACTTAATTTGCTCCTTACTTATTGCAGTTTCCAAGTGGTACTTATCCCTGGAAGAGTGGAAATACAACCTGTTTCCACCATACTTGCCTGCCGCAGCAATCCTAATGTCAAAATCTGTAGTGCAAGATTTTTATTTTGCATCTTTTTACACTGAACATTTTCGATTTGATGACGTCTACCTTGGATTGTTGGCATACAAAATGAACATTACTCCAACGAATTCCAATTATTTCTATGTTTGCCACAGCCCAAATGGAAGATGTCCTGATTCTAATGCGGACTCTGGTCATACTGTTCTGACAGCCAATTCTTACGAGGATCCCATGAAATATGTCATAGCAAGACATGGGCTTAACAGCGTGGAGGAACTCTATTCATTTTGGCAAGAACAAAAGACGAATGGCAATTTAGATTTGTAACTATTGTCCTGTAATAGACGATGATGAGGCTGATCAATTATGTATTTATTATAAACTGTGATAAGTAAGTTACCTGTGTAATATTACCCATACCTCCAATAGGGATGCAAATATATGTAAGCTATACTTAATTAGTAAAACCGTTAATACTGCATTATGTTTATGACTGAAAAATATGCAACATAAATACCATCTGCACAACAAATGGTGACTGACTAATTTGTACAATTATTGTATATAATGGAAAAGCTGTGACAAGGACTCTTGCCAGTGATGATTTCTGTGTCAAACTTTTTTATATGTACTTGCAGGCATTTAAATACGTTTTAAACTTTTAAGTGTAGGTATTTAAATCTCTAATAGAACTACTACACATATTGGGATTATTTTTTCGTAATCCCAGCTAAAGAATATATGGATTTGTTAAACAAGCAGTATGCATACATTTTCCAAGTTCTTGTGTATTGTGCTTCATGTGATTTTTGAGAATAATTAAATAAATCTATTCTGCTTGGCTATATGTACAACCTCCAAAATTATTTCACATATCATTTCCGAAAATCAGTGATAATACTAAAACAATAATTCTCAAATATATAACCGACCAAAGAAATAATTTCCTTTCTCACGTGTAGCGTTGTTGCAATTGTCACACGATCACCTTGAAAATAATAGTTCTGCAGTTTAACGTTCGTAAATTTTTGATGGCCGTCAATACTTGATAATAATCCAGCTAAAAGACAGTTTGCATATACATGAGTTTGTAGAAGAGTCGATGACAAAAACTAATCAATATTTGACGTTGATGGCCTACCAAATAATTCGAGAATATTGAGAAACAATATGAAAACTCTGCATATTATATTGTATCGAGCATAAAAGCTTTCCTCGGCAAAGCAAAACTATTTATTTTCCGTGCCCTTTCTTCGTGTGTAAATAAATAAATAAATAAACTTTTGTCCGCTTCGACCTCCCATTACATTTAATACGTATGTACTATCAACGAACCAATCTTACATAAACGAACCATATTCTTATCTTAGCCTAATTATGTTGAATATACTTTCATTCAAACCGTTGAGCATACGTAGATTAAGGAATATCGTTCATTGCCAACTTTAAACCTCCAGTTAAACGAACCAAAAGGACGAATCTTTACCACACATATCCGTCCGTAAGGTTAGTCATATCTTAAATGACATTCAAGCCCAAGTGATTAACACTCTGCCACCATTATTATTACTACCAAGTAACTAATAATGTGCTTCCAAAATGTGTAAGCAATTAGTACAATAATTATCTTTGAATATAATGCAGTGAGCGAGATGGTCAAAAGTAGGCACAATGCGGTGGAGACCATGACGAGTGATTCATGACCAAAGTAAAAAGCAAGAGCAATGCTTAAATGTTGTCCAGTAAATATTTAATAGTTGTCTCAACACTCTCAGTATTGTATATTCGCAAATAATTACTGTTGTTATTATTATTGTTATTAAGCATTACGCCGATATAAAGCACAAGAAGTGCATAACAGAAGAAATATTTAGTAAGGTCAAAGGTGGGATTCAGTTTCGGTTTTCTTCAGTGCGTGCGTGCCACCATATTTTATTTAAATCTCATCTGAGAAAACAATGGGAATTTTTTCTCCCAAGCCACTCAAGTTATCGTCTTATCAAAATCCAATCGATGATGGTAATATAAAAATTTATATTATGATTCAAAACAGTATTTTGTGTTATATTTATGCTTTTCAATTATTATTAATAGTAAAGTCAGGGTGGGGGCCATGCTGTCGACCTGTGTGTGCTAGAACAGGTGGGCGGCGACGGGAGCAGATCAAAAGAGTCGCGTATGTACTGTTATTTTTGTCTTTGGTGGGATTCTTGGACTATCTTTCGACGACTTGGGGAGAAATAGAAATACAACAAGAATTTGGATACCCTCTAAACATACCAAACTTTCCAGAGGTTAGTATAAATTCCAATTAGTATTTGTAATAATTTCAGCTCTAAATTCTAATGTCTGCCAATTCCAGGTTGTGGAGGAGTTTAGGTTAGTGTAAATAATCTTATTAGAGGAAATATGTAAAAATATACAATTTTTGACTATTAATTTCATAGGTTCAAAGTTGGCAATTTTGCATACACTCCTATAAACTTCAAATACTCAAGTATAGACTATATCCATAAGGCTTTGAGCAAAAATGAGAAGCAAGCCCATGGCTTACTGGTGTTGGTGAAAAGTGCAATCAAGAACTTTGAGAAAAGGGAATCTATCCGACAAACTTGGGGACAGCTTCAATACCTCGAGGATGCAAAAATTGATGACAATCTTCCTTCCAAACTCGTAAGTATACAAATATGTTTGTCAATAGCTAAATGCATGCATATTATATGTATGCACTTGAGGGGAATGAATTAAACACGGAGCAAAAGATACATATAATAGACAAGTATATAATACATGCTTAAATATGCATAGCTCTTCATTTGCGGTGTCCCACGAAACAGCGATTTTGACAGTGTCGAAGAGTTATTCCCGCAGGAGTGGGATAAGAATGACATTATTGTTGCAGACTTTTTGGATGAGTATGGAAACAATACGTACAAATCACTCCTGGCTCTAAGATGGGCTTCTCAGGAATTTCAGTCAGACTTTCAGTATTTATTGCTGGTCGACGACGACATGTACGTAGACCTAGTCAATTTGTCTACATATTTAAGAAATTTTCCGAAACGTACATTCGAGGAAAAGACAAACCTTCCTGGATCTCAGTTCCCTATCTACAGGTCAGTTTCAAATTTCCCGTATAGTTTATTTTAAAAGATTTAAATTAAAATCATACTTACAGAATGTCGACAAAGTACAAAAATAACCACACTCTTATCACTGGGAATAACATCTTGCAAAAGGGTTTATATATGGGTCAAATTTACTGGAACGCTACGCCCTTGCGAGAGTCGTACTTCATATTCCAAGGTGCATACATAATACAAATGGGATAAAATTGGTTAATTGTGCAATATAAAAAAATATGCTTGAATTTGATATTTTCAGCAAGAAGACGAGAGTGGGGGGTGCAGTTGGGGGACTACATGTACAATTTCTATCCTCCATATGCACCTGGAGCGGCCATTATCTTCTCGAAGGAAGCAGTCCACAAGTTTTATTATGCTTCCTTCTTTGTAAAGCACTTTGCAATTGATGATGTCTACTTGGGAATTATTGCCAAAAAGTTGGAGCTCTTACCCGTTCATAATCCGCATTTTTACGCATGGTACCCAAACAGAGAAATACAACTGCATAAGCCATATCTCTCTCACTATCGAAATGCTTTGATTGGTTATTCAATTTTATAATAACCGTAAAAGATTTTTACCTTCCGGGGGGACTCCTTCAATTTATGCAGACAAATGTAAACCCACGGAAAATAACTTTCGGCACGATTTTACCACCCAACTCTTAGCCCCTTGCGATGTCGCAAAATGTTCTCAAGTAATTTATGTGCATGTGTTACAGTGTTACGTGTTACATGTGCTTGTATAAGTTTAATTTGAGATCAGGTTCTCAAGAATACTGTTATCTTAATTTACAGTCCCCCAGGGAGAAAACTTTTACTGCTCGAAACCAATCAAAGTAGTTTTGTATGTTTGAGGGGAATGGCTTATGCAGTTGTACATATTTTCTGCGTGCTGGTATCCCAAAAACAAACTCCGCATCGATGAGGACCCTTTTTCCGAAGCCATTGCGATTCATGGATGTCAATGCGCAGCTCAAATGGTTGATCTCTGGGTGAATAGGAATCTCACAAACTTGGTGGAATGCAATAAACAAGATCTGTCCAATATTTAAGTTGAAAATTTCGATAACTTTTATTTAGTTTTGGACACACTTTTAGAAAAGCCATATTATGAATGAATTAATACATTATGTAATATGACAATGATGGTTATATATTTTTGAAAGTTATTAAAGAAAAGTGAATACACAATTTTAAATTTTATTGCCTCATATATTATTGGAAATACGCAATTGGGTCCGATTCAGGCTTTGGACCTGCAACTTTTGAGAGTTCCAGTGACCCCGAAAAGTGCTTGTAAATTCGCAAGTGGAAAATCTTTCCGTCAATGCGAACTTTCACAAAGTAGTTGAGCCCAGCCACGACTTGGGTTTTGTACGATAAAACGTCGATGCTGGAGTTCTTAAACTTGGTGGCGTCCGCATTTTCTCCAGACTGGGTCAAGCTGGTGAAAGCGGCGGTCTTGATGGAGTCAGAGAGGGAGGCGACAACCCCTTTCACGTCATCATCCACTTCCTTCTCGTCCCCTACACCCCCCACTAATCGCTCCTGAAATACAACCATAAGAACATTCAACTCGTATATCGAGGGCACACAGAGTTTGCAATGATTTTGGCAAAATAATCAAATATCTGTAATATTATTTATTAAATTACTAAGACTAATCTTTAAACGAATTTAAATATTTAAATTGATTGGATGAAACAAAATTAGCTATTGTATATATTCCTTAAAGTTTCAAAAACTTACAGAATGAATCATGGTGACTGCTGCGAGAAGAACCAACCCGAACACAAATGTCCCGAGAAATACTTTCATTTTGCTCACTCGTGTAGTAAATTAGCGAATTTGATACTTTTTGTACAAATTGTGGCACAACAAGGGCAATATTTTAGCACAACTACTGGCTGCAGCTGAGACCAAGCTGTTCGCTGTTGTGGTTAGGTTGGGTGGAGGTGAGAGTTGCGAATTTTAGCCTTTATTGTAAACTCGGCGTATAAAAAGTGCAATTTACATTGACGAGAGAGGAAACCTTGTATAAATCTTTTCTCAATAGCAACCAAATAGCCAGAACAAGTGTTCGTTCTGAACTCGTTCTCACTGATGATGATGTGTTTTTCTGCCGTACCATTTATTTGTATGCATCTTAATGAGTCAAGTAATTATTTTGTCAGTTGTTACCACAATGCGTTCTGCCGTATACCAATACTCGTGAATACTTGTTACCTATGTAGGAATGAATAATTGTATTTTAAGCCCATCCACCATCATCCTATGGATATGTAAGAACTGGAATGACTAATTTGCATACAATTACGTAGAGCTTCAAACATACAACCCTTTTGTCCCTATCGTCAGCGTCACTAGTCTAAAACGGCGTTTTAGTAAAACCTAAAAATGCATAAAAGTCAGTACGCAACCAGTTCTAGTCAAGAACTTGATTTATGGCATTAATGAAAATACCTGCCTGTTAGTGTGTGACTTTTGACGACATTTATTTCAACAATTCATCCCTAATTTGTCCTACAGAATTTTGTCGGGCAAATTATGTAAAATGTTTTTATGATGATGCAGCCTTTTCTAATAAATAACAAATGAGTTGTAATTCCGGCTCTTTTGTAAATAACCTTCTATGAAATGGAATATGAGGGGATTACCAAGTCTGGTGGTCTACACATTACTTTACTAAACAATGCTTTCACAGAATAAAACCATCTTCCACAAATAAAGTGATGACAAATACTTACAACGTTTATGTACTTAGCATACAGAAATAGCAATCTTTATTACTTTTTACATCAACATTTTCTTGGTTCAAATTATGAGTTATTTTTTACGACGGCTGTTTGTACTCACGCTTACAATAATAATTATTATTACTGCGAAGTTCATTATCGGTTGAGGTAATTCGATCCTTTATATCTCATATTATCTAACTCCCGACTTCTGGGTAATGCGATGGACGAATGTTTAACTAAAATGTTGTAATAAATTAGTCAAAACAGTTAGTAAGCACGCATCTATAATTTCCTCCGATTCCAGTGCAGTTGTATCTTGTGTTGGTTCCATTAAATTTGCATTTCTGACCTAGGAAAAATATTTAATAAATCAGTCTACATGAAACTCCAGTCCTAATGTTTTTACAAAGATCACTTACTAGCTGCTTCCACTTCTTCTTCAGTTGGTCGTGAGTAGACACTGATGACAAAAATGACTATGAGAAGACTTAGGAGAAGTACCCTTCGAAGCATATTGACTGAAATATGTACTCCCCACCCACTTTTGACCTACCACCGAGACCAATAAAATGCTTAAACGCCGTACAAAAAGTGTGTCATGTAAAGATGAGCATAAATATGAAACTAGTGTTGCGTAATGCGTATGATGGTGGGATGAAAAGTAGACCAAGTTTCAACGAGAAGATCGATAGTCTGCTGGAGGAAGAGGATCGAGACGAGATTGCGAATGAGACTGGGCGCAACCACCTCTGGAAGTTGAAAGTTTTATATTAAGAACATTCATTCTCGCACGGGTGACGGGTACGTCGGTATGTGCGAAATGAGAATCAGGTACAGATTTGCGAATTTTTGCGTCGAACCTTCGGTACATTTCCAATAAGAACACAAATTGTGGCCATCACTATTTTAATCTTCCTGCATGAGACAAAAATATTTTGCTCAATTGACCCTGCATAAAAATATGTATGTACATACGTACATATCATCACACGTCTCATGTTAGTCTCATGTTAGTCTCATATAAAAGGTTGTTTTTGGCTGCATTATTGCACAACACCTAATACTGGCTCTGGAGAATGTAGCTTTGATGTTTGCATTGCTGGGGCTGAATATGTGTGTCAGGATGTACAGAAAGTCTTGTTTGGATTATTTCATACAATTTACTTACAATTAGTCAGATAGGAATTTCAAGTGCACGGTTTTTCCACAATTATGTAATTTTCCGCCTTGAGCTCTGCGAAACACCGCAAATACAAACCTTCGCCTAGAATAAAATGCTGAACGGATTGATTTCACCTTTACCAAGTCCGATAACTATGTACATACATTATTTATTTGATGAAATATAAAACACTAAAAAAGAAGTATGTATTTGTATATGCAATATGTAATATCGGTCAATGGAGCAATACATGCTTATCAGTAGCTTATGAATTGAGTGTAATGTCTTAATGTATAATTATTACGGTAAACTTACAAAAATGCATAAACTACAACGATATACTATACTATATTGGACGTTGGGTGGATTATGCACACTGAAATTTCGCAATATGAGATTGAGACCATTTATTTGCGACATGATGTATAATATATATTTACCATGTATTCGTGAGAATCATTGAGCATTTGAGTATACCAAAGTTGAATTTGTTTATAAATATGCATGAAAAGAAAAGTATCGTCCTTGCATGCAAAACAACATGAATTTTGATTTACAGATCTGTCAAATTAAACGTCTTCAAATACATTTTAACAATAATAAATAACTAATACTAAGTTAGTATTACTAACTTCGACTTGGGTAAGTAACAGATCTGGGTTACGAGTCGTAATTTACGACTCGAAATAGTTAGTTATAATCGTTATTTTGTATTATAAACTTTTGTATAATAGTTGCCGAGTAATACTCGGCGAAGACTGATACCTGCAACTTATCTGATTTTCTGCTGTAGCAGATTTTTTTACCATTTACCTCTAACGATCTATAAATATTTCAATATAGTGATATCAATATTTGAACAGGGCCATCCTAAGATTTCACAAAACATCATCAAAGGGTACACAAAACTAATGTACAATCAACTTTCTGTGATATTTGTGGATCTTCATTTCCATCAACTAATTTTTGCATTCAGTGGCGGAGACATTTTTACATGCACTCGTAAGTTGAGATATTAAATTATTGGAAGTCGTGCATATTACCAATATTTATTATCAGGAAGTTGATTTTTTAATTTGTTATCCTATAGGTCCTATAGGTGCAGCTATCTCTAGATCCGTGGGTTCTACATAGTTAGTTCTCATCATATCCGTGGTCATCATGTATTTGTAGCGTACAACTTGATGTACGCTACAATTAGCTAATATTAGCAATTGTTTCATAAACTATAGTATTTCTTATAGCTATAAAAACAAATTTTGTTGTCAGATTTGGAAGGTGCTCACATCAAAGAGGTACATCCAGCTCAAAGTAATGTAAGGGATTGTAAATAATATACGTATGTATGTGACAAAGTGCTTCCAACCTCAAAAAGATATTTTATAAGTTGATAATCAATCCGCACATTTTCAATGCGTTTGCGGAGAGAATTTCAAATCAAAGCCCACGAGAAGAGGTTTTTATGCATGTAATTGTATTGTTGAATATGAAAATTCATAAAAAAGAGAAAGTTCAGAGGTCATCATGCTAAATTCATGTCATGTTAGAATGTTGTATTAAATTTTGGATAGAGTTGTGGCCTGTTTTCTATCCTTGATCCGTATTAGCATAATTAGTTCATTTTTATAACTTGAATAATTGTCATTGATTGATTTAATGCCGAATAAAATGTTAAGTTATATTTAAAAGGTTAAAAATAAAATAACAATTTTAGATCATTCTATTATGAATTACTATATCTAGTTCCAAACCCGGAAAATTTACCTCCCCATCTCGGCTTAGAGTTGTCTGGTATTACAATGAAGGGGTTTTGTTTAGAAGTGTGCGATATGCTCTCCCCATCATTCACGTTATCTTCTGAGTTACGGCTTCGGGGTCGTTCAAATTCCATAAAAGCACTGCCGCTATGATTTTGGTTAGTTCCTGTACAGTTGTGTTCAGATACAAATGACGGATTTGATCCATTGGTTTGGCTATTATCATTGTTGTAAGTATCGGAACGAGTTCTCAACCACATTCGATGTAATTTCATGGCTACAATCGCCCAAATTGTTTTCTTTCTTCGTGTTCGACACCAAGCTCGAAGAGTGTAAAAGTACAGCAATTCTATTGCGCTTAGTCCACTAAAGCCCAAACACAGGCCCAATAAGCCACCAGTGTTAGCTTATTATGTGAAAAGAATTAATTGTTAGACAATATTTACAACTACATTTGCACAGGACGATACGACAAATGGCAATTTTACTGTACCAATTAGGCTTGTAAGACTATAAAGCTCCTTCCTCTCCTTAGCATAGCTCGAGTCAGACGCGAAATAGATGTGCACGATGGATACGTTTTTCTTGGCCCTGAAAATTGTAATTCATCATTACTTATAAATTAATTAATTTGGAACGACATGTACGTACCATCTTGCTGAACGGTTGTTCTTATCTATCCACAAGTCGATACCTTTCTGGATTGGTGTGACTGTTGTTTCCGAAAAATACTCGAGTTCGGTACAAGTAGGGAGACAAAACCCACATTCTACTTTAATGCCGGTTTTGAGCCATGATTCTGTACAAAGAAAAATAATCTGCTCACTATTGGGACACTACGGGATCATTAAAATTTTGATGATTTTGATACCCAAGACCCACTTACTGCGGATTCCTTCTACGCAGTTGAACTTCATTGCCCCACAAAGGTCTCGAGTATCGTCACGTGGCATGTAGTACCGAACGCATCCACATTGTGAATACGTGATATTAGCCAAACATTCATCAAAACAATTAGATGTTGTGTAGTGGTTAAAGTAAGCTAGCTGATATTCGCCCCGAAAATAGCAGTTTCGTTTTTCCTGATTTAGATGCATGCGTAAAAATGCTATTAGATTGGAAGTGTTAACATGCTATACATGTGTAGGAATGATCCTAATGTTACACCAGTCTTACAAGTTTGAAATTGCGAATATCTTGGTCCGCAATTGTAAGCTCAGGTCGCAATCCCATAAAAATTTCTGAGTTTGGTCTAATCGCAATTCCGAAGTCCACCACGTGGGGTACATCCAGTGGTAAATGCTTAACTAGCTGCGCATCAAAAGATTTGTAAGAAAAATTGTGTTACACACTTTAAATTAAATCGTCTGAATACTCTAAAGCCTTGGCTGTCACTTGAAGTACAAAAGTAATCATCGAGATCCGGATTTAACAAAACTGAAAGCCCAGATGACCTTCCGGCTCGATATTGCCTTCGAGGATATGTCCTGGATAGTTTTTCAGAGTCGCGGATTAACAACCCATCATTTTCATAGTCCCAAGCCGACCATTCTGCAATTTCAGTTTTATCTTCACGATCATCCGTTCTGCAAAGAGTGCATAATGCTTATTTAGCGTAATTAATTTATTATGTAAATATGTACATACTTTAAGATTTATTACTCACAAATATCGCGACAACAATGTTTGAGGTATCATATTAAACACACAACCTTCAATAATCGTAACAATTTTTAAGCAACGCTTAGAATATCGAAAATTCATTAAATAAATAAAACTTATTATGATGTTACATTTTCCGAAATCTGTCTCAATCGCTTTAAATAATTTGGTGCAATTAATCGCCTCATCTTGCCACAAACATAGAGGCAGCATTTCCCCACAGCTTTGAGAAGCCTGTTAATTATGGAATAAAACAATTACGTCGTGTCACTTCATTCTTGAAATTTGCAAGTCTCTACCCGTCTCAGAAAGTTTGCTACGTCGCGTTGCTCATCTTCATCGTCTTTTAGTTTGACTTTGTCCAGAAGTTCGGCAGCTATTTCTCCTCTATGCGAAGAATAATTAAATTTCTGGCTGAAACTTTTGGAAGACGAGCAAACATGCTCCATATAGTAAATGTTCTTTTGAGCCTCTTTGACGTATTGGCTCGTATCGTTCCTACTGGCCGCCCTAGTTTTAATAATTGAAACGCATGCTGATAAAAATTGTCACGCAAGGTGGATATCTCAATTATGGCATTTGTCATTTTAAGCGTTTTTACTTTATGTATGAATTGGCCTTACTCCGTTGCACTTTGTTCATATTGCAGACTGGGAATCAATATGATGTGCTTGTACTTCTTTATGTAATGTACATATGAATTTGCTAGTTTAAACTTACTAGTAATTGCAGGAAACGGAATTTTGTCAATTGTAGTTTCGAAAGGCTGAAATGTAACTACGACCGGGGTATTAAAATAAGCAATCCATATTTCGCTTATTAGAAGCCCAGCGATAATTAGCGATGTTATGAATGCAATCAACCAAAAAATTCTGCAAAAAACGCATGTACATATTATTCAGAGGCCTTCAAAGTTCAAGTATTAATGCATACGAATTCCAACAGCGTCAAAAGATGCTTTCCTACCGTTCTGTCAAGTGGCGTTGTGGCTGACACAGAAATTTGAGCCCATGTAAAGAAGTTTCCTGAGTAAAGTCGACCGTGTCGTTGATGTCGTCCATGTCTGGGTCCCACCAACACAGCTTTGTCGCAGCACAACACTTGCTGTGGGGCTGGTACCTCTGAGAATTGTGCCGACTACGCTCATTGCTGGAAGGGTCATGATCAGAACGTATGTGACCGGACCGTCGGCTACCTTCAACTTCCATTGCAAAGTACTTAATAGTTTTCTCAATATTTCAACTAGATATTTCCATAAAGCAGCTTGATTCAAGGCCCACGAGAAGAGAGAGAAAGGGACTCGCCTGCCTTGAATATGATTTTAGGTCTGTGGCTTGAAGAATGATATTTGATAATATTGGACCCACAATAGTTAAGAAAATTTATCTGGAAAATCAAAAGTGAAACAGTACCACAAACTCAAAAATGCGGGTTGCACATACATACTTGATATAGTACAAGGTGAATTTTCAAATGAAAGTGGCAAATGTCACTAAAGGTGAAAAGGTGAAAATTGCGTCTCACATAATTATATTTTGTTCCGAGTGGGCGAGGTTGCTGGAACTCGGGAGGAAGTTCCATATTTCTGCCGGACACGTGTAATACGAAACGATCACGCAAGAAAATGATCTGCCTCACCTCGCCCAAGGATTGTGTGTGTATGATGACCGTAATACATACCTATAGCCAACATATTAATGAGTTTGTAATGAATTAACAAAGTAAATGCCGCTATATGTAAAGTATCATGCGATACATATGTATACTGGCAAAACATAACTTTTCTTTTTTTGACCAACCCATCCATCATTTTGGCACAATGCATAGAGTTTTTCGCACCAGTACAGCTTTCGGATTACTGAATTTTTAAGAGCAAAATGAAAAATTTATGTATTTCTTCAACACACATATATTGCAACTCACTTGTATTTTGTTGTGTTTAATAATTTTTGAGCGGACTCAGAGACAAACAAGGACTGCAATTTTATTTATTATGTAAATATATCAAATATGTATCGTAAAATTATCGTAACAATACGTTTTCATACTTCGGTCAATTCAGCGTCAACATTTTCTGTAAATAAAGTCACCAAATATATACATGCAACTCATTTCTTTTAATTAGATCCACAAAACTTGTAGCATGCTTAAGCTATTCTAAATATGTATACATAATGTACATGCATATCTATATAAATGCTATAGCAAGTCGAAACAATGTTAGCACATAGTTTTATATGGTACTTTCTTTTTGGGCGAAAATTTGTTACACACAGGCGCTTGTTCCATTGCAACTTTATGTAAATAGCTGCAACTTACATGCTATGACACTGACTTCCCAAGTTGCACAGAGGACTGGCCCTTCGACAAATGACTCTGAATCTTTATGACATAACATCAAGTGCAATTTTCTCACAACAGTTATTACAGGTGAAATCAGGTTAACACAGTCATGGAAGTACAGTTTCGACTCGTAAATAGCTAAATATATATGCAAGAAGACATAAAATCCATGCATTCTACTCAATCAACTGGATAGAAGATTATTAGCTTGATTGCGAATAAGTTTCTTTGTAAGCATCTAAAACATGCAAACATATAATTCAGCATCAAATTGTTTCAGCATATGTAAATATTTAAGTTTTCAAGAATATTTGAATCCACCCCTTATTTGTAACGAACGAATAGCATAGATTTTTTTAAATCACTTAAATGTATGCATATCAGAGTTTAAATGTATGCCATACGGTTTGCATGACTGTCAATTGCAAGAAAAGTGTCAAAAAACTACTACAAAGGAGTCGAAAATTAAAAAACCCTAACCTTATTTCTTATTTTGAGTTCACTATAACGCTATATTTGAAAATAAAGAAGATTTAACCCGGTTTATTTAACTTTGCTCGTTGGAAAGCTCAGCGATTACGAGTGAAGGACATGATGTTGTTTTGTGGTGGCATAAACGGTTTTCTGAAAAATGTACATGTATAACTGAACCTCTACCTAATAAATGCTAGCAAATAGTGGTGGTGAGTGATGCATAAACAAAGGTCAGAATTTTAAGAAATCATAATTTACCCCGTTCACATGGATTCATGGGATTCTTTCTTCCTTTCTTGGCGATGATGTGATTCTCTTATTCCATGAGACCCAAGCGGTATGAGAAGCGGAATTCGTCTCATGGTCATGTTTCACATTCACGGTGTGATCTGAATGACTTGTGGCTTGTTTCTCACCAAGATTTCATGCGAAGGAAAAATGTGCAAACGTTCTCATCAAATTCTTGTCATTTCAAACGTTTCTTTTACTTTGGAGAATAACCTCATCTAAAATCACGACATAAAATAATTTATTGTGTTCACACATCTTTGCAACATTGTTAAATGCTTGTACATTTTTTACAGTTGAAACTGATATATTTTTTTGCAAAGAGCAAGTCAATGTAAACAAGAATTTAAAAGTATCGTGGAATACGATGAAAAATTAATCATGTGCAACTTTTGTCTTTATAATTAAACTACGAACATGCATAAACATTCAAAGTCAGGGGAAGGATAATATTTCTTTGAGAAATCAATATGTTGTGTTGTATAACTTTCGTGAAGTATTACAAATGGCGAAACATAATGAGAATCAATTTACCAACTCTCAATAACCATTATCCTTCGTTCGTCTCGTCTAGCAGGCTATAATATTTCCAAGTGTGTGGGATAACCGATCCTATGATCTGTAGTACAGGCTTCGTTCGTTTGACAAAACGATCGACGGAAATGAACCATGTCTCAAATTCCCAGCCATGCATTTAGATACGTACAAAGAACCCAATCAGAGGAAAACCAATGAACGCCCAACCCAAAAATCATACTAATAAACGACAAGTTGGAACTTTCGGACATGAGATTTGAGAGGTGATGGTCACCTCTAAACCCTCTCAACCCCGTGAGAGATCTGTGAGAATTCTTTGTTGGCAAAAGTGTTAGTTTCTCCTTCTTCGTAACTCATCCTCTCAAAGCCACATCCATTCACACACAGGACTCTCATTGCATTTCATCCATGAGACTCATTCAAACTTGGTCAAAGCAAGAGCCGCAGCTAAGAAAGGATGGTGGATCTTCTCGCTTGGCCCAAGACGTTTACAGGATGATGAATTGACGATAGACGAGAAGAAACGGCCCATTATCAATTTTGCAACTAATGGTCTTTCCCACACCTAAAACCCACAATGAACAAAACATTTTAATGTATTCCTCTCCTTGTGGACTCTTTTTTTGTGTATATGTATATGCGCACATTAAGTCATTGTGTGTCATGTTGGAATACCTGTCGTCAAAATTTGCAGGCACAACATCTTTATGGGAGATAACTTGTAATAATTGTAATAAGTCAGAGTCAGTGAACAGCGCAGTCAACACGGGCGTTGCTCCCTTTTCATGACAATTCTATTAATCGCATCATCGTGATTGCAGACTTTTTATATAAGACTAATACATATTTATGTTAGGTTAAGGTATCATTTCGGTCATCAAACTTGTAGCATTATTTTCAGCATGTTTTACAAGTATTTGCATCAAAGTCAAATTTTTCGTCAAATTTTTGTCAAATTCTGTCTAGTGAAATTTCCTTTTGAACTCCAACCGACCTATTTAATATTTATTACGACTTCAAAGTTCATGCAGTTTACCAAAACATCATAAAATTTTTGTATGCCGACGTCAACATTCTGCAAAAAGAGAGATTATGTGAGATTCTTCTCTGCATGAAACAATTTTCACACGCTCGTTTGCCCTGATTTTTTTCAATTATTTTTTTGCAAAGATTCTTGTTGATGCAGATCCCACCACAGAGACGAATGAATCAGATTCTCCACCAAGACCATCAAGGACACAGACGGAGAATGAGAAGGATTGGGCCAAAGCAAGTGGGCAATTAAATATCATCTTAAGTTCGTGATTCATTCCCAAGCTACAAAGGTTCCAAGTTTCACTCTCAAAGTGCAGATTCTCACATGCGGGAAAAGCTATGTTACCTGAATTGAATTCATAATTTTATGTATCCACGAAATGAGGGAGAAATCTGAATGAGACTGAAGACCATGGGAAGACAAGAGCTTAGAAATGCTTGCGAGGAGTGGGAATAACTTGACTACAAGTTCTCTGAGGAAGAACCGTCGTCGTGGTCGTCATCGGAGGAAAGACAAGGACGACGGAGAGACGGGATGAAGAAGAAGAAGGCAAAGGAAGCCCCTTTGCGCTCGGAGTGAGAAAGGCCGTGGGAAAATCTGGCTGGAGGAAAAAACATTATTTTACACGGGATATCACCATCCTCGGTTTATACACGACGTAATCACTTATTAAGTATATAGCCCACACTCACCAACCACCAAACCAACCAGCTAACCAACCAACAACATACATATTCCTCACTCTTACTCTCACACAGCTATCTCAGGCATTATTCTTATTATTATTGTATTTACGTATAAAATATAAGCAAATACAATGAAAAGTTAAGTTGTATGCGGCAGTAACGTGTTTCTTTCTCAAGCTTGCTGACAGTCATTTACACACTTGGAGCAATTCTTCTTATCTCACTTTGATCCAAAGGAACTTTGACAGTTTGTCTCTTCACACCCATATTGATTGTGGTCCACTTTTTTGGCCTGGCATTTTTTAATCAAGGAAAGGGAGTTGTAATGACAAATATAAAATACCACAGTAAAATGACCAGTCTTAATTTCTTTAATTATCAGTATAATTATAATTTGACGAATTACTTTTCCTCATTACATTTCCCGTGGGCATTGTATTCGTATTTATAGCACGACAAATAGTCGTTAACTCAAAGGATGTTTCGGTTTTAGAGGTTGGTTTAGTTGAAAAATTGAAATTTCAACTGGACCAAAGTACATATAATTTTATATGCCAAAAAATGCAAACTCTTTGATAGGCAAAATCTTATAAAATAGCGTTTGGGGTGAGCCGATATTTTAACGTAAAACCAGCACAAATACATATGTGCTTGATAAAAATGTATGCAAATTAGCCTTTTCGACCCAGAATTGCCACCAAAGGTGAGTGCAAAAGGGGTCAGCAATAAAGCATAATTTGTTTTTTTGATTGAGATGGGTAAATTGAAAAACGAACAAATTCAAAATACTGAATACCAAATTAATTTATTTCCAATTGACAAACTAGTATAATAGACAAAAAGGTCCCGTTTCGTCCAATTTTTTTGTCTTCTTGTTGGGGGAAAGATGTGAGAAAGTCTCAGAGATTAAGAGGAAAGAACGTAATTGGATAAATACATCGTGAACACTGAATAGAATTTGAAATGATGAGAAAATGATGAGAATTTTGGGGATCACGTTTTCATGAAAGTTATGAAGGTTTTTAAGAGAAAATTTAATTTTTTTGTCTGCAATCGTGATACCAACAAATAGTCGGGTAGGTAAACATGAATTCGGATGATCATCACACACTATTTCACATCCATTCATCAGCACCGCCAGTGATAGCGATGAGTTACCACTACTATCATATCAATCATTACATACTACATATACCATCACAAAATAAAATTGCACTGCTGCTGCTGCTGCGTATGCTTAAAGTAATTGTCTAAAGTCAATTACGATCGATTCAACTTGATTATTTATCTTTTCGGTCTCCGTGATTCAGTTGAGAATGTATCTTAATAATAGCAAATATGAAATGTCAGCATATTAATGTATACACATGAAATTTCTTCTTAATTAGTTCACACCAAAGGAATCGAATGTCATCGTGAAACAGGAGATAAGTATGCCGAAGATCTGTTAAGGAATTAGAATGATGATGATGATGATGGAACCTCAGTCTTGAAAGAGGGACGACGACGGAGTGAGAATATATGTACGTACTTAATATGGGACACAGGAAGAAGGCCGATCAGCAGGTCAACATTCCGCCGTGGAAAGGAAAAGGTCTTAAAAATGTGCTTCATCGTCTTTCTTCAGCCTCATTGGGAAATCTCGTTCTCAATCACAGCCACATCCAGCTCAAGAATAGGAAATATGCACCCTTGGAAGAACAAGGAATGGAAAAAGTGAAAAGGGTCTCTCTTCAAACCCCGCTCTTCTTCACTGCATTTTTATAGGATTTATATTTTCATTTCAAAGAGAGAACCTCTTTAATGGAGAGAGAGATGAGGTCTTTTCTTCCTTTTGGTATTTAGGATTCGAGCATCGGAGACCTTCTGTTGCTCCTTCAAGTCTCAAATTCTACGCCTCCACTAACCGTATTATTATTAACCTATAAGATTTACATTACATTAAATTTATGCCATAACAATATTACATGAGAGCAAGTAGAGTTTGACTGGGTGTTGCTTCCCTTTATTCCTCCAGCATTGGTTCGGTACTGATGTACTTGGTGAGACCATAATGTTGTTGACTATTGAGAACTGCACTGCGTATATCTGTATGACAGCGATTATGAGAATGGTCAGAGTTTAAATGGAATTCCTTTCGTATTCTTCATCTTCGAAGGAAAAGGCCTTTTCTTGACATCCCGTTCTTCAATTCTTACTACACATTATCGTGGAGAGTCGTTCGTTATAGTACGCAATACGTATTTTTGGTGTATCTAGTCCCAGTTGTAGAAATGAAAATTTCATATAGTTACATAAGCAACCATGCCGTTAAATCATGAGCAATCTTTTCAACATTTCTAAAGGAATGGAATGTGGCATGCCGATTTTTTATACGTATATAAATATAAATATATATATAATGTACATACAAATACCAATATAACTCAGGATCACTGGTAACGGAATGAATCATGTACACATATTTTTCCTGTGCTGTCACATCAATTTAGCTGTTTGGAATCGAACCCCATAAAAAATACGTAGTAAATAGATATGCACTGCAAGCCTGTGTACATTATTGTGGCATTTTATAATTTGGATTCTTACTAATTAAAATAGCTGAAGAATGGACTACGTACAGTGTTCAAGATTGGTATAAAAACAGCTCGAATGACGCTTGTACACTGAGAGCTCTGCAGTCTTGGTCGTCTTGAAATCTCCTCTTCTTTCTCCAAAAAGCTCCAAAGCCATAAATTTTTATGGAGTGGAGACAAAGAGCATGTTTGGGATAGTCTTTCCTGAGAGATTAGATTTCGGTAATAAGATTTTTGGTGGAGCGAGGGGTTCCTTTGCTTAATTAGGCATTGAGAATGGAAAGGGTCATTCCATTTTTATTTTATTGAGAGAATAAGATGAGAACCCAAAGCGAAACCTTAAAAACAACAACAATATCTATGATATTCTTTGACCGGCTCGATCTCCCCCTTTTTTCTTCACTCTCACTTTACTTTGTCCGAGATTGCAGCAGGTTTATTTTCGTCCCATTTGATTCCCATTTCTATACAAGTTTCCCTCAATAAACTTTTAATTGCTGATTCACCAAGACATTGTAAATTCAGATTAGTTCAGAAGGCCTTTTTAATTTTAGAAAGCTCAAAAGCAGCTCAAAAACCCTCTCTGTGCAATGTAAATCCTCATGAGTGGATACATATTTCTAAATATATGGTGGCGGTGGTGTGCGGTGGGTGAGCAATGGTTGGACATAATGGAAGCAAATCAAATGAAAAATGAGATAAGGCATAAATAAATTGAGGAGAGAGCTGGTTATTTCATTGGAGTCGGACTGGACGACTAATAACGCAGACTTAAGAAGTTGTTCGGTGGCTGGCAGAGTGTGGGAACGTAATCTGAACACGTTATACAGAGGACGACCAAGAGATAAAGTCAGAGTAAATCCGTCACAAAACAACAATTTCTGGGCATATTTTATTTAGTTATGTTATGCATAATGCATCCATTAAGTCACAAGTCTCCGTTTTCACCCTTCACTCACTTATTCAATGGAATATCAATATGCAGCCGAATAAATACTAATCACACATGAATTTCTTCGTCCAAGCTCAACTGAAATCTCTGAATTAAGGCCACATGGTCAGACTGGGAGTCAAGAAAGTTGAAATGTAGTTCTAATTCCTGCTGTGACCTGTGAGACCAAAGTGGATGAAAACAAGGAGGTACAAGAAGAACTCGTTGATTATGCTGCTGAGATTTTCTTATACTTTTTGTTGTTGGAGCGAAGAAAATACATAATTTCAAGACAGGGAGCCTCGCCCTTCCTCAATCCGACGGAATCAACTCCCGGTAGCTACATACATATGACTTGAACTTACTTTTCAATGTAATTTATGAACCACTTATGCCAGATTTAGAACAGGTTGAACACAGATCATCCGGCCCTATCATTACTATTCTTACTCCATGATTTTATGGATCGATGTTGATTATCGTGATGCATTCTTGAGGAAAGATGAATTCAGATATGCACATGCTGTCTTACCTAACTGTGTACGTATGATATATACATATTTATGTGCACATTGATGCATATGTAGGGGTGCTTGGGTATCATTTTGGGAAGGATTTATTGGGCTTGATCTTGAGTAAAATGAGAAATAAGCCTCCATGAGAATTTCTTGCGGTAGCTGACGTTCTCTGATTTTTAATTTAAATCCTAATTACGAGAGAAGAGGGTAATTATGTGGGACAGTCACGCTACTTCACTGCTACAGTGGCTTAAGAATTTTGATTTCTCGATAAATAAATCAACGCTCTTTGTTTGTATAGATTTTACTTACTCCTGTTCACTTTGACCACAAAATTCATCAATTGATGCACTCCTTCGGTGAGGCCTGAAAGTCTCGAATGAAGGATGTTGTAGGCTCGTAATGAAATGTGGAGAATAATCCATATTATAGGATTGGTTTCATGGTAGAGTTGTCATTAACTCAACAAATGCATACCACATCTGGAAGGAATTTTGGTTGGGTTTCATAGTTTACACACACATATGTACATGGAACTCGATGATAATAATGATAAATTCAATGAAATGAGACGAACCCAATAATTTCAGTTTCAAAAGTGATATTATATGTATGAACCAGAACCTGTTTCACCAACACTTCATGCGTATGATGAACTGAGATTCAACTGAGATTCATTTCAGAATTCCAGGCCAAGCTACATATGTACGCGTAAGTAAATAAAATCAGGTCATTCTTATTTTACAATGACCCAAATAATATATTTAATTTCATATTTTTTGTATCAAATTCTTTTTAATCAGCTCAGGTAAACTTTATTTTTCCGTTTTAATAACCATTTCGCTCAGTGTACGAATAAAACATACCGAAAAACATAAGTAATAATGATTTGCTTTCACGTTGAGCTTTGTACATAAGGAATGAACCTGAGAGCGTCATATTTTGGATCATGATGATGCCACAGGTTGTACATATCTAATATATTATTGCTCCTCTCCATGATATTTTACTATTCTAAATAAATATAATTTAACTTCTTTTTGCGAGTCTTTTGTCAGCAGTAAACGTATGAAACCAAGATTATTTAAATACTTAAATAGATTCGTCGAAGAACTAGAAGTTGGTGATGATGATGATGATGATGAATAATCATGTTGATTAATAATGAACCACAGACTACAATTGCTTATATAGAAATTATAAGTGATGGACGAGTTGACTAGCTGTTGTCGTGACCGGAGCTGGATTTAAGTAAAAGTATCAAAATGTCGCTGTTCCCCGTAAAAGCAGCTGAAAATAAAATTACATAAAAAATCAATGTAAAGCCAAATAGTCTTTGTTTAATGTAGCAAATACGGCGTAGTATTTAAATGGTGTCTCTACCTAAATGGAAAGGTGACCACCCGTCTCGTGTAGCCTATCAAGAAACATTTTTCACATATTTATGTTTCATGTTGAAGAAGGAGCTCACTATAATTTTCGGTTTTCATAACACTGTAATACTTACCAGAGTAGCACTTGCCCCCAAAGATATCAACCTATCGACCTAATTTAGTTCAAGAATTACAAATTATTAGTGTCTCAAAAGACTTTCTTATAGGAAACTGGGAAATAGGATGCAATCAGAGGAGGAATATTTAGATAAGTTTTACAACAAACGCATAATATCATGAACTTACAAATTCAATTCTTTCTGCTAAAACACTCCTATGTAGTAAAGTAAACCCGTCCTTATCCATGCAATCGATGTGACGATTCTTCAAGATCTCTGGGAGTAGGCTGGGATTGTTCTGTTCAAGGGCTTGATGAAAGTGATGTGCTGTGGATTGCTGAAAGTTAAAACAAACAGTTAACTTTTTTAGTACTACTGAACTAAAAGTTATCAGATGTTCTTACAAAGTTCAGCAGAAACATTTGAGCATGAAATAGATAGATTGCTCAATCTGCTTAATCGTGGGAAAATTATTGGTATGTGGATGTTACAGGAACTCTAAATGGGTCTCAAGTTTGAAATTACAGATGTAGAGAATGTTTGCACGTAAAAATAGTCCACATATGTATGAAAGCAAACTGCAAAAAATGCCAACCTGCACATCAGTCCCACCAGAGTTAGTTGAAATCTTCATGGTGTCTCCAACAACTGGGAGCTGTGATGATTCCCAAAATATGGCCGACACTGACAATCTCCTCGTCTTGCGTTACGGATGAAAAACTGGTGGATTAAACTTGACGTTACTGTGTGTACATGTAATGTAAAATGTCTGGGGCTCTGTAAAGAGCTCAAGTAGTAAAAAGTGGGAATAAGTTGACCCAGCCCAGGGAATATGTAATGGGAGTCTCAAAACCAGAAAGGATCACTCGGATTGTTTTTCCAATCAAATCAAACGGCAATCAACATTTATTGCCATGTATCAAATAATAATCGTATCGTGGGTCCGTCCACACACTAAAACTGGTATATTTGACTGACGAGGATGGCACAAGAGACGATTGGCACAAGAAAATCAACCTTCTGTCTTAAACTCTTCTTCTACTCAATCCGTGGAAGAAGAAGCAGAAGAAGAAATAGAAGAAGAGGACTCGGAGGAGAGGATAATTACTTGTATTGCGTGTAATGTGGAATAAGTCCAAAATCTAGAGTAGAATCGTGATTCTTTGCTGGTTGGTATTTCGTAATGACTAAACATACCCAATATTATACGAATGTTGCTCTTCTTGTTCAGTCCAACAACATTAAAATGAAATGCTGAAAAATGGACCGACTTGGTTTATTCAGCAGGAATCCGACATGATCCGCTTGAGGATCTGTTATAGTTTCACTGCAGATGGGAACTTGTTGCTCTCATCTTAATAATAATACTACGAGAGTGTCTCTCAGTTAAAAACCCGGTGATGATGATGATCGTACAAGTTGTTCTCTCTCAGGGCATATATACGAACAGTCTCTTTAAAAAAATGATAAAAAACCAAGCTTCTGAAGAACTCGTTGCCTGCTACTGCCACCAACCACCGCTTGCTTTCCTCGCAGCCAACTGTGCCCCAACCACCTTTCGCCCAACAATGAGGGTTACAATTGCGTGGGTCTCCGTCTTATAGAATGTCTTCAGAAGAAGAACTTTGTGAAGGAGATGAAAAACAACACCCTGCAATACTTTTGTACAACTCGTAGCACATGCACATGTCGCATATACCAGAGGATGGCTGGGGGAGGAAAGGACTTCTTCCTCTGATGCTCGGAGACTAAGTTAAAATGAAGTTGCATAGACCATTTTAACAGACAACTCATCGTTATTACACCACACACGGTATTGCATACGTAGCTTTCCTCTATTTCTTCAGACTAAACAAGAACGGACCGCATTTAGGATAGAAAGATAGGTTGCATGCAGTTAGTACACAGTGTAGTTTTATACGTACAAGAGTAAAATCATGTTGCAACTGACATTACATGAAAAATGTCTCGCATATGTGCATAATCTGAATTGTGTTGCGTTATAAAGTGCCGGTTATGACTTTGTTAGCAATATCGATTGACCGTTTGAAGCTGCATAATAAATAATGCAGTTGAAGGATTCGCATCTCACTCGATCGCTGGCTGCCTGGGAAAATACCGAAAATATAAACCGACACTCGTCAAGGCCCCCTCGGTTTGGTTGGTTGACAAAGGGAGCACAAGTCCTGGCCGTATGCGTATTCCGGATCGGCACACGTTTTTGTAACGGAACCAGGAGGAATAGATGGCTATATTGGTGTGTGAACCAGTTCAGATCTGATCTGGTGGTGATCTGCCTCGTGCTGAGAAAATAGTCCGGTGAAAATTCTCTCAAGTCAAGTTCATGGGAAAATGAATGAGGGAAGAAAATGAATGAAATGGAAATGGCAATCTAAACTTACTACCAAAATTGGAATATTCAATATTTAATAAAATACACAAGTCTATTAGTCTATACCAATATTTCTAGAATACGCGTAGGGAATATTTTAAAATAATGCATAATTTCATAAATGCACACAAAACCGAAAGTGATTGAGGTTGCCTGCCACTTCTTCAGGAAACATGAGACGAAACATCCGTTATTAGATTTTCATTTTTTATACGCTTTATCCTTCACATGAAATGATAAACAAATATAAACACTGTCTAAGCGAGTCCTTAGAAAGGCATAAAATCCATACAAAAATGAGAGGAAGATGGAAGGATATAAACGGTACTTTCTCGTATCGGATCATCTACATTTTACAACGGGAGAAATTGAGACGTTATTCATTATACTGGAAGGACTTGAATCTGATAATGCAAGACAATTCCTTAGACGGAGAGAGAAGGTGACAGTTTTCTTGAGATGCGGTACACCATGGAAAGTTATGTATGCACCGTCTCGTCAGTCAGGGTCAATCTCTTTACCATTCTTGAACCCACAGAAGTAAACAATGCAAAGGCGTTGGTTACTAGGTTTCTTCGTTGCTGAAGGGGCCACAGGGTCGTCGAAAGAAGTGTCTGCCAATGCTCGTACATATACTTGGTAATAAGAAGGGCTCACTCGCCAGTCCGTTTGCTGGAGCCAGTCAACGAAGTACATAGTTAAATACGACGGCATGTATGTACCTTAAATCCATCTCACACAGTAATTTTGTTATCATCCTCCTTTTTGCATCATTTGAGTTGAGTAGTACTTGCACAGCTCATGCAATCATAAATGAATGATGAATATGTGCGTACCTACCGCGGAAAAGTATATTTAACCCGTGAAACCATATATGTATGCTTACATGGATATTAAAATACACCTGAACTGTAACCCTCTCTTATAAAAATTCCACAGTCCTCTCTCTCTCTCTCTCACCGAACTCACGCAGTCTGTCCGTTAGAAATAATATCAGAAATATGTGAGAGAGTGCTTATTATTCTCACTTATTGAGATAAATGGGAAAGAAGAATTTTCACACAGGAATTGGAATCCGAGGCATCATGAGAGTGTCGGTCGGGTGCAGCTCGATCGGATTCGATGAACAATGCAAATGCGAGGTGGCCGTTGGTTTGTTGGTTGTGGTAATTTTGTGTGTGAGCAAATCGGGAGGAGCAGCAGCAGCATATCCGCATCATCCGCATCCGTTTGTTTATTCCCATGAAATAATTTTCTCATCATTGGTTTTCATTATCACAATCCGAGTTTGGCCTGTGAAATGTGTTCCGAGGAGCGTTGTAACCAGAGCGGTGACGATGATACACTTTATCAAATCAACCAATAATATGCACTCACACTTACAATGGATTTTTGGCTGAGAAGCTCAAACATAATCTAATCACTTGTTGTTCACTCATATTTGTGTAATTCGTTCACACGGATGGAAATAAAGAAAATTAATAAACAAACATGTTTTATAATATGCTTCATAAAACCAATAATTATAAACATGGGTCCCACAATAAAAATAAGCTTAAGCAAGTCCATAGTTTTTCTAAGAAGATCTAACCATTTCTGATGCTCGTGTTAAAGTGGTTTTTAACCGCGATTGACATTGAGTCGGGAGGTCAACATGTCCAGCATCCACTAATCTTTTCAGGGCGCAATAAACTTAAAATCCAATAATTGTTAAACAAAATATGGCAGACGAAGGTGCATAGCAAAAAGAGTGCCACACACAGCGCAAAACAAATCTTCAGATTTATATGTACTTATTAGCCTGTTGCGGTGAAGGCTTTACGAAACATTGCACCATCTAAGGAATCAGGTTCATACTGTCCCACGACGTGCAATCCATTTTACCGTTCTAATACTCATCCGTGACAAACTGCCCAATGCTATAGAGCTACCAATTGGTTCTTTCCTTATTGCTCATACTTCACGATACCAACCGCGGAGAAAGTTTCAGAGTGACAACAAAGAGCATCGCTTGACATCAATGGGTGAGCAGAGGTGGCCAAAGCTAACCAAAATCAATAAACCATCATTATGGATTGGAGAGATTTACAACTTTTCTTCAAGATTGGTGGTCTTCTTCACAACCGCACCGGCGAGGTCCTTGAGTCTTCACTGTCCTACACACTACTGAATAACTTCTTGTGTGTTTTCTTACTATTGGTTTGTTGAATCTGAGGCAGGATGTTATTCTAGAGCAGTCGGATTTGGATTCATTCAGTCCATCAGGCAAAGGATGCTAAAGTTTGATGTATAATAATAACATTGGTTTTCATCGTGGCATAAAAAAAACTTGTCCTTTCATTCATTTATTTCACGCTTTAACTGTTTGGCAAGAGAGCTTGGAAACGCATGGAAAAATGAGAACTGCAACAACTCTCCCTTGCTTTACTTCTTAAGATTTGGATGAGTGAATTACAACCTTGTTTGATGTACAATTAGTCATTGAGGTTTAACTCAGTTAAAGAATTCAGTTGAAGCAAAACTCGCTGGAATGAGACGACGGCAATGGATGGACGGATGTAGGATTAGTGAAATAAAAGAGGTCTGCCATTGCTCAAGAAGACAGTTCATCAATGCGTTACATAGTTCCAACAGGTACGAGTACACGGGAAAGGAAATAGGATTTGAGGTCTAGAAATTAAAATTAGTCCTGGAGTCTTAAATTGGTATTAAAATTCTCAGGAGGTCGAAAAGACTGGGTTTGGCATTTTCTCATTCCTATAAATCGTGGGAGTGCCATTTGTCCGACAATGGTGCACGAAAAAGAATTATCTCATCTAGGGTGAGGTGACATAAATGGATAGCATATCCGTGGCATCGTTACTTACTTGGTTGCATACTCATACATACATACGCACACACCTAAAATGGAATAAAGTTCTTGTGAATTGCAACATTTAAATGATATGGACGACGTTCCAGATTCCATAATACTTTGAGACTCTGCTTGTCGGTCGTTTCTCACGACGAGTCCGTTTTTTTGCACCGATCAAACTACATACAAATCCATTGGTAAATATTGTTATCGGTGGATTTCTCTTGTAAATAAATGTGGGGCTGTTACTGATAAGTATCTTATTACTAATGCATGTCATCCAATACAAAGAGTTCAATTACTTGTATGCATTACAGCAACACTGCGTTTATATTTATATTTTTCCTGCAGTATGTGCATAATGTATATAACTTATGTATAAACTAACAGGTTATAGTTAAATATATGTGACAACTCACACACTCATGTCGTATGCATACGTGGTACAAGTGCTATCATTTTTTCGCAAAAGTGGCCTTATAAAAACCATTTAGTCATTTTGGTCAGATGGTCATTTACGAAGGACCTACACCCCTTACTCCTACACTCCTCCTTGAGAGCGGACGTGACAGAGAACAACTTTTTCTGCTCCTTGAAATCGGGGGAGTTTTTAATTGATTTTACAAATTTTGAATCATGTATATTTCTGATAGACCAGAGGTCGACGCCGACAAATTTTCGGCGGCGGCGGCGCCAGTTTTTGGTGATTTTTCGGCGGCGTCGGCGGCGCGGCGCGGCGTCGCAATGTTAAAGGTATAGGAAATTGAATTTTTCGGCGGCGGCGGCGCGTAAAATTCATCGGCGTATGGCGGCGCGGCGGCGTGAGATCGGCGGCGTCGACCTCTGTGATAGACTCTTTCATTTAAATACATTTTCACTAATTTCCTCGTATTTGTAACCCTTCAAGTACGAAATGTGCCTGGAATGTCATTAAATTCGTTATGATGAAGTGACGTCATTCGATGTACAGCTCTAAAATTTAACAATTCTCAAGTTTCAGCTTAGGAGTTCCTTAGCATTCTACTCAATGAATGAAACGGAGGGCAGAACAAGTGTCATCATTAAGTTACAACTACTTAAATAAATATTTGCAAAGTATTATTAATACATTCATCTCAAATGTCATTGTGTATGTACATGGTTGCTGCAGAACCGAGAATTCCAGATGCAGGAAGCGAAAAACAATTGTACAATACCCAATTTATTTCATTCATCAACCATTATGTCCACATGCGGCATGCTGTATAAAAATTTCTCGAACTCACATAAAATTTAGTTTGGGTTGTGATGTTGTTGCATAAAGCATTAAAAACATTATGTGTATATATTTATGTCTCACGGTCAATTTTCAGCAGTTTTTTATATTGCTTAAAATTTTACCGGCTAATCCTGCCGTTTTCTAATCAACTAACTAAAGATGTTCATAATACTGCCAATACTGGCTTTAACTTAATTCTAACTAATATGTATACTTAAAAATAATTTATAGTTTGGTAAATGAAAAACATGACGTATCGTCTCACAAAAATGATCATTGAAGTTATACGCCGGGGGCTGTCAGCCAAAACAGCGATCTTGTTATTTACATTTCTAAAATGAATACGTTGAAATACTTTTAACATAAGCACATAAAGTTATCATACAGACAGTGGCCATAAGTGTTGCATCAAATGTATCATTATCAGTCAGTACACACAACAGCCTGGAATTAGCAGTGTAGTGCATAATAAATCATATCTATTAAGAAATCAACAAACTCTTGCACCCGAAGCCCATATAAAATGGATGGAGAGGAGGAAATGCAGCCAAGATCTTCATGTAGCGAAAATTCTCCAGCTTGTCACCCGACGATGTCACAATCCCCAGCAGCAGCAGATGAAGAGGACGATGCGTTTCTGGAGGAACCCCCGGAAATGAGCATGGCCGAGACTCATCCGGACGCAAACATGCCTGGATTCGTCCCTGACGTAGCTGACAAATTTGTCAAAAAATATGTGTTCAGGTCCAAGTCCAAAACGACGCAAGGAGGATATGACACTGTCACCGTTGTGATTCAAGAGGTTTACTACTTACAAATTGAAATAGTCAAACTTTTGTACAATAACTGTGTACATCACGTATATTTTTTATGCAGAGAATGATGGACACTAAAGCTGGTCATGGTTTACGAGTTTGGGCTTGCGCCCCCATTTTGGCGTGGTACTTTAATTAAAAAATTTTGAAAAAATTTATAAAATAATTCTGGTATCATAATCAAAATCTCCGATTCGGATTATGAACTAGACATAAATAAGTAAAGATTAGTCATTCATACCTAATAATAAAAAATGCTGCTTGACAAAAATATAATTAAAATTTTGTCTTACTTGAGGAATTAATTTAATAATTTTCTGGGATGGAAAAAAGTGTGTGTGAGGGGAGGACTGAGGAGTAGAAGGTCGCTACTTGTCGGGCCCCGATTTCGATCTCCTTTGGATATGTTGTAGTACTACATGAGTGTAGAAAAAGTGAAGGAGGGTTAGACTCCATGAGCCCATTTACGCCCGCCACACCCCCTCAAAGGCGCCCAAACCCCCAGAGTTGCCGCACTAAAATCATCGCCAAAAATCGAGTTTTGGTCAGATTTTCAAGAAATTTACATTTTTGTGATCCCAGATAGTTGCTCTATCATATCCAATAGCAAACTCAATTTTTTTGAAATTTCGAATTTTTTCAATACATACCCTTGGTCAGAAAATCTTCGAAAATATTGAAAATTTCAAAAAAGTTGAGTTTGCTATTGGATATGATAGAGCAACTATCTGGGATCACAAAAATGTAAATTTCTTGAAAATCTGACCAAAACTCGATTTTTGGCGATGATTTTAGTGCGGCAACTCTGGGGGTTTGGGCGCCTTTGAGGGGGTGTGGCGGGCGTAAATGGGCTCATGGAGTCTAACCCTCCTTCACTTTTTCTACACTCATGTAGTACTACAACATATCCAAAGGAGATCGAAATCGGGGCCCGACAAGTAGTGACCTTCTACTCCTGAGCAGATGAAATGAAGATGATTTTTTGGAGTTGGCGGGTTGTGGTGGTGGTGCTCGGCTCGTTCCGGCAGGATTTAGTTGCTGTTTGGTAAAAAATACACACACAGGAAATCCGATGCGGATGTTGACATACAGCAAGCATCATTCTCCTCGAGACCACGGCACAGCGAGCTTGTAGCAAATCTTGAGCCGGTTTAAAAATCTTAGAAATTTTGAAAAAATGGCAAATTCAGATTCAGAGTGGGAAAGCGAATCAGAAGAGTGAGTAAAGTTAATGAACAATTAATTGGTTGTTATTTTAATTGGGGTTTTTATTTTTACAGTAGTGAGAGTTGCACATCAAGTTCCGAGTCGCCACCACCAACCAAAAAGCTTCGCTCCACGTCAACAACGAGCAGCAAAGCAGCGATTTCCGGAACGGATCAAGATGAAACGCCACCCCCAATTACAGTGGAATACAAGGGGTACACGAGAGCCGTGCCGTTCAAAGACTTTAGTCCTCGAGCAGGACACGTTCCTCTTTATGGACTCCCTTCAGACAAGAGAGGAAGAACTGCAAAAGCCGTGCTACTCGACTTGAAACGACGGTATTGGGAATAGAGCAAATTAATGTACCCCCTTAACTTACAGCAAATTAATGTTCATTTTTTCTAACATTAGTGTGTGCAAAAGAAATCCGCACATAATTCCCTCCGAAAATGAGGACGATTCCGGAACGGATACAGAAATTCAGTTTGAAGGGAAAAATATCCAATAAAATCCACCGGAAGAAAGTACTGCGGACATCGCGTATATAATTCTACTATTGATAAACAAGGTCGCACCAAAGCAGGACTACTTGAACGTCTAATGTCTCAGTAAGTTTTTACACATGACCCTGTTGCATAAATATTCTTCAACAACGATTTTTATATTTCCAGTAAAGCACAAAATAGTTTGGTAAAGAACCGAAAAGCTATACCGCCCAAACGTGGAGAAACGGTTAAAATTGTGGAAGGTACACATAAAGCAACACTTCGTATGGACACCGTAAAGACTCGCTCCGGTAAGCCTTTATTCCGGTTCGGAAATAGTAAACAAAGACACACCGAAGATGGGTGGAGAAAAGCCTTACAAAGATAGTAAGTCAATTTTTTCTATACTGGTGTATTACGTAAAATCATTAATTGATAAATTTTGCAAATATGTAGACATGTTCATAAATGAAATTAAGGGCCAAGGTTTTACTTAAATCCGTTTTGTTTGTAGTAAGAAAAGAAATGACCATTTGGTGGATTTGTATCGGGAATGGCGGAAGAATCCATCGTGGAAAATGTGACATTTCCAATTCTTAAAATGACTAAGTGAAAGTAAATTTAATTTGTGAATGACTATTTTTTTTATATCGCAGCCCATCGATTCTACAACATATAAATCCTTTCAAACTCAACCCCAAAGAGATCCACCGTAACTTATCGGAAGCTGTCAAAGACGTCAAATCAGTGGAAGCCATGGAGGAGCAGCTAAAACGAAGAAATAACTATTATGAGAGAACCCAGTCACATCGGCGTCGAAGGTACCTGTATCAGGTTGTGATCATTGACGAAGACCTCATTCCGGAAATCCCTCGCATCCGAGGCGGATTCTGTCCAGAACTGCTTGACTGGCTTCAGGAACACGAGGATGACCGCAGAGTCTCCGTTGGACTGTATACCGGTGTTAATTCGGAGTATGTTGTGTAATTAAATTGCCGAGTTTTATTTCTATATAAACCAATACCTGTTTTTAGTCGGGCCGAACCCAGTGCATATAATTGGAATAAACACATCAGGTCGTCCATAAGACATGAAATGCGTAAAGGAAGACGAGCGTTCGTGCTTCATGTTCACCAAGAACGAGGAAATAAGCACGCAACCAAAGCTGCAATCCGACTGCTGGAGGCCATCATAATTGTATGTGTACTCTTATTTTATTCAGCATCTGATTATCATAATAATTTTTAAAAATGCCTTTTTATATAGGCTTATATAATGTGGATCACCCCGCATCGTCCCGATTCGAAGACGTCCCAAACTGGAAAAATGAAATATCGAAGCGCAAATCGACACGCCGAGTTTGAGATTTTTTTCGATGCTCCCCGAAAAATTAAGCGTCACATCCATGCATTGGCCGCCACACGGTCAATACGCCCCTTTCATTTCGACGAAAACTGCACTGTTGATCACTCTCATCCTGACCAGCCGTATTCGGGAATGATACATCCGGATCGGAATGGAATTTGGGAAGTATTCATCGACAACTTGAATGAAGACAGTGGAGAGGAAGACCCGATTTATTCCGATTACTCAGGACCAGAAGACACCGATTCAGAAATGGCATCCGGATCGGAAAGTTTTTATGATTTAGATCTAGATGAAGACGAAGATGAAGAAGATGAATCATTGTCCCCGGAAGAGGAGACATTTTTGCGTGGTTTGCATTTCCAGAAAGTAAATTGTTTAGAGCCTAATTAACATTAATTGAGTTCAGATTCTGATTCCAACTTATAATTTTCAGCAACAGCGAGGTACAAACCAGTGCGGACTAAATGCAGTCAATAACTTTCTGCAAAATCCGTATAATTTTTACGATGATGAGACCATGCAAGATTTTGCCAACGAACTGCAGCACGCAGAAAATGATCTACTAAATACTGCCAATGTAAGCATTTACGTTAATATATTCAATTTAAATTACTACATTTACTCGTGTTTGACATGTACCCTGCAACAAGCCAATATGCATCCGCCAACGGAGACTATAATGTCGACGTCCTCGAGCGAGCCCTTGGTTATGCTGCTTATCGCGTCTCAAGACATGGGTCTGACTTTGCCCTTACCACTTCAGTTGGCTTCATATACAACGTTCATTATCACTGGATTGCTGTCCGCCGGATCGGGAACCAGTGGGTCAGATTTGACGGATTGAGTAGCCGACCGGAACTTGTATCCGAATCGGATGTAACGCATTTAGTCGATATGCATGGTGAGTATTTTGTGTGTATAAAGTTAAATAATAAACCTAACTAAATTTATTATGATTTCATCAGGTGACTCAATGATCGTGATCACGGAAGAAGAATAATGCAGAAAATAACTACTTGATTTTTACATTTATATACTTGGATTTAGTAATTTGTTAATGAACTTTTATCAATATTGTCTCAAATAAGACCAAATACGAAACTTTATACCATTAATTTTGTAAGTAAAATATTATTTGATTAATCATATCATAAATAACATTGACAAGTCGCGACCTCATCGACGCATGTGGCACATGGCACATCAAACAATTTCAAAAAATGGAAATTTAACTTGAAATTGTAATCATCTACGCAGTATAATCATAAAAAATCATTGATAAAGGAACAATTTAATTACTACAATAGGTACTTGTTTGAGCACAGAGAATTCTTGGTTGATAAAAGGGTACGAATTTTTATGCACATAATTTACTCGTTGAGAAGACTATTGAAGATGGAAATTTGTTTCACTTAAAGGTACTTGAATTAGGGGCTGGAACTTGTTTGCCAGGAATTATTGCGTCAAAATGTGGAGCAAAGGTGACGCTGTCCGATTCGTTGAAATATCCCCATTGCCTGGAACGATGTAGAACGATTGCAGAAATCAACGGGGTTTTGGACAAAGTAAAAATAATTGGGTTGACGTGGGGAATGTTTCTCAACAGTGTGACTAAGCTTCGGGATCAAGTAGATCTAATTATTGCTGCTGACTGTTTTTTCGACCCCGTGGTATTCGAAGATCTCATCTCTACTGTAGCATACATATTAGAAAATAATCCAAATGTAAGGGCATAACAATATATATGACTACATATAAGTAACCCGTATTATGCATGCAGTATTTCTATATTTTGTACGTGTGAATCATTAACTCAATTTATGTCCGTTGTTTATAGGCCAAATTTTTGTCAACTTACCAAGAAAGAAGCTCAGATTGGTCAATTGAAGTATTGTTACGCAAATGGGGATTAGAATGCAAACACGTGCCTTTGAAAGACCTTGTTACTAAATGCAGAACGGATCTCTTGAGTCTGATGCAAAATTACACTATACATTTGCTAGAAATAACTTTGAAAAAATAATATATTTTACTACGTATATATTATTGTATTTGTATTAGAATTTGTATAAATGGAAAGTATATTACATAATAATTAACATTGGTAAATCTCTGTCTTCATAACCCATTAAACATGTCGGTTAGATAATCAATTAATGAACATTCCAATCAATAACACTGTAAAAATGTCAGATAGTTAATTTACATAATTGATTTTACTCCACTTGAAACTGTCAAGTTTTAGATAGCAAGCAATTAACTATTGAGTTTCCAAAGTTGGGAAAAAATCCTTTCGCAATCACAATAAATGCATACATATAAACCAATTAAGACCACGGGACAAGACTATTTGCAGACTGACTTTCTACTTTCAATTGTCCTTTGGTTTTAATTGCAGTTTTATACTTCTACTGGAGTTATTTATATAATACTAATAAAATGGGGACGCCAATCCAATTCATTGTGGTATTATTGTGTTCTGTTTATACAATGTCCGATGGGTGTGACGAATTGTTCGAGGGTTTCGGGGTACATTTAGGAGCAATGGGTCATTTTTCACAATCGTTACCTTCAATGGTCCAACAAGTATTTGATAAGACATATAATGACCTTGAAATTCGGTAAGATTCAACCATATCTGTTATAAGTATGTAAACTAAAATAACTATATATATTATTTCTAAATACGTATGTACATACATATTATGTTGTACAACAGTTATTACAGAACCTCCTACGAGTCAAAATTTTCTCCCTCAAGAGACGTTTATGAAATAAAGTGTGAATCTCCTCCGAATACAATTTGTTCCTACATTGACATTCATCACGAAATTGCCAAATATCCAGATATCCACGTGATGGCATCCATTTGGAGCCCTCCTCTCTACATGAAAAATAATGAGCTGTCCACTCTTCTCGTTTCAGAGGAACTTAACTATTACTACTACATTAAAAACATTACAAATTTAATAAAGGACCAATTTAATATAACTATTGAACGCGTATCACCAGTAAATGAACCTGAAAATGTATTTGCTACCTGGGAACACACGTCCATGACGCCACAACAGTTGTGTCGAATGGTTCACGACTTTAATGATCCTCATATTTCTGTTTGTCCAGAAAATTCCTACTTCTGGATCAGTGAAGGTTGGTCATGAGTATAATGTTAGTGAGTTGTAAAATATTTAATTACTTATTTATGTACATGCCTTTGATGATACTTTACAGCGTATTCTAATACGACGGAAAATGCAACAGTAACGTGTTTGGAATCTTGCGAAATTTTTGGAACTCACGCCTACGCACTTCATCTCGGAGATGATGATGACAATCTACTTGCTTATTATGACCAGGTCAAGTACGCCAGAAAAGTCCCAAATGTTCCGATTTGGCAAACTGAAGTGAGCAGCACCTGGGGACGCTCCTCTGAGAGACAAATGGAAGAAGCACTTGACATGTCCGTCAACATAGCAAATTTTGTTGGACACACTTGCATTCAGCGATACTACTTGTGGTTGGCTTACACCCTCTACTCCTCTGGAGAGTCGTTAATGTGGGGACATGACGATGGCAGTCTCACTCTTCCTAAAAAGTACTTTGCCTATAAGCACTTTACCCACGCCGCTGCTGGGGGCACGAAACGAGTCACGAAATGTGCTCCGGATAACATACCCCAAGTTCAATGTCTTAAGTTTGGAGAGAACAATGCCGTGTTTGTCAACACCCTTGACTTTGTTGTTCACTGGGACAATATAATCTCATGCACGCCCGGTTCGTTCTGCTGCACTTCAGAAGCTAGCGACTGGACCTGCTCAAATACAAACAGCACAGAATTAAATCCACTGTCAATTTGCTCATGCATTGTGCAAAATAATTAATGTAAAATATATTTATATTTTATTATTGCCTTGCAAAGAACCAAAATAACATGAATTTATAAATACAATTATTAGCATCTTATCTGCTCTACAGATACTCCATACTAATCCTAAGTACTGCAATGGATATTATCACACCCATCATATTCCAGTTTAATCTGTTTGACGACGCATTTGCAGTAGTTAAAAATTCTGATACCGTTTTTGCAGTGCCATTAAACGCAGTGTTAGGAAGGGGCACTTGCATGATTTTTGAAAATAATGCCACCAAATCTACATTTTCTATTGGAACTGAAGACTTAAAAGATCGCTTAAAATTAGGCCCCCTTGCCATAAATATTGCGGTCATATTTTGATTATTATTGTCATAGCCATGCACTCCAGTGACGCCAGCATCGTTGAATCTCAAGTCTTCAAATCCATACCCAGGATCAGCCAGAAGAACGATATCAGCAATCCTACGGCTCTTGCCATACTTTAGATGGCCAAGATCGTTCTTTCTATAAACACTGAAATTTTTACCGATTGATGCGGTACGAAAAGCTTCATAAATCTGTGCCGTGTCATTTTTGTTTTTTGGTTTAATATGAAACACTGGACTATTTCCATTTCTAAAGTAGGTTTGAGGGTCAGCGAAACCGGTGGTGTTAATCATGTTTTCTTTGTGAACATTTTGCATGCCGTGATCGCTGAGAATAACCAAATTAATTTTTTCGTATATTCCAGACGCTTTTAATCTCTGGACCAGATGAGCTACGCGTTGATCCACTTTCTTGATTTCCGCTATGGTTTCAGGATCGTCCGTCCCTGAAGTGTGACCCCTAGAATCCGGCTCATTGTGATAGAGGAATACCATGTTAGCTGGTTTATCTGGATCGGTCATCCATGAAATCACTGTTTCCACCCTTTCTTCCCAAGGTACGGATCCATTATATTTCGGAATATAATAAGTTGGGAGTAATTGGGCTGGGCCATAACGCTGTGTTGACCCTGCCCACATGTAGCATCCGCTAAATCTTTTTTCGCCAGCCTGCTCGTTGCGTATCTTTAATAAAGAAAACGAAAAATGGGTCAGCGTACATGAACTTACGTAATTTAACTATCTATTTAATTTTATAAGTAGTAGTCAAGTGTGTACCCAAAATGGAATAACATCCGGACTGTAGTTCCAGAATGCAGGATCATCACTGAACCCACTAAGCTTCTTCCCATACATAGGATCGTACACGGTGTTATCAGTAATTCCATGAATGTCGGGATAGACACCTGTCGCAATGGATTGATGATTTGGAAACGTCTTGGTTGGAAATTGTGCTTTCATATAAGGTACAGAAACCCCCTCTTCTTGAATAACCCTCAGGGTGGGCATATCCGCCTTGGACATGTAGTCGTAACGAAATCCATCGAACGATACCGTTAACAAAACAGGGTGTTTGGACAAATGAGAACAAATTGCTTGTTGTGTGATACAAATTAATAGTACACTGCACAATAAATTTATCATGTTTTTTTCGGATCTGAGAGCAAGTCGGTAAAAATAAAGTTTTTGATGAAGTATTACAAATGGTTCAATTGTTACTGATGGAAAGTTTTTATACATAAAGTGAACGAGTTATGTACTGTGCGGGTGGAGCTAAAACCTACGGCCTCCTAAAGTATCTTGTGCTGAGACTAGGGTTTCTCGTAAGTTTTGCTCCATCCGCACAGTACATAACTCGTTCACTTTATGTATAGTTAGCCAATCCAATGAATTTTAATAACATGCAAGCACGATGAGATGGTTGTAATATGTGGTTTTTACATTTTTTTTATAACTTTTAACACTGCCGTGGAGGAAAATATCATGGAACTGTATGATGGAGGATTATGCACGAAGGTTGTACGACGACATGACAGTGACTGACAATGACAATGGGTTGCTAATTGTACGGCAATGCATGCAGTTCATGTCTCACTTCATCATCACCACTACCATCAATAATATCCACATACAGAAGGGTTTGGCACGTACGTGGATACGAATTTTACCTTGAATAACCCCAGAACGGTTTGTCGCAGCGGGTCAAAATTTTGAACAGACGAGAATGTTATCCTCAAATACGTGTGTGCAAAAATTCAACTCTCTACTTTCAAAAATGCCTCCCCCACAGCCCACAGAAGTTGAGACAGTCATTTTAACTTTTTCCAAACCCCGTCTAAAAAATTCGGTCTCCGCAGAAAAATTTTTGTTTTCAAGTATCCGACCCCAAATAAGTCCATTTGACTTATATCGGGGGATTGTATAGGTATTTCACTATTCGAAGTGATTTTTATCTCAAATCTAGCTTCAAAGTCGTTGGTATTATCTTGGGTCAACCTTGCCGTCTAGGAAGACGCTCCGTCATGATGAAAACTCACCTTAATTATTTTTTTACCGTGCAATTTATTAAAATGTTATTCTAAAAGTGGTTTCAATACACGGTCCACATAATACTTCGAAGATTCCTTCACTTTTTGGTGGACTTTGGTAAGTGGGAGGACACCACGACCCTACATTGCACCCATCACCATAAACTGTTTAAAAAAGTTCTCCTCACGCGGAAGCACCAACTTGCGTGAATTGTTTTCGGCATTTGTCGTGTAATAAGCTCTTCGAACCTAATTAGTAACTTGTGGAGAAATTAGTGCTTCGTCAAATGTCACCAATAACTCACTCTGATTCCTTGACAGAAAATTCAAATATTTTTTTTTGTAAACACGGGCATGAGTTTTTTCCTGTTTTTCGGTCAGCTGATGCATACGAGTTTTCCGACGACGTCGTTTCTTCAAAATCTAAATTTCTCTTTTCACTCAACGCTTAGACACCCCAACCTTACGGAAAATTTCCCTTTGGGTCGGTGGAGTGTCTTTTGAGGCCAAGAGGTCACTTTTCCTAAGCACGGCCGGAATTAACACTTTTTTTGCCTTCTTAGAGGGGGTGGTGGTTGCCCTTAGCTCAAAATTTCTCGCTTTTCACCTATATTTTTCAATACCAGATTGATTCTAGATTTCGAAAATGTTATCCCTTCACTTTTAAGATGTTCTGTTATTAGGCTAGACGAGTACTTAAGTTTGCAACGAGTTTTTATGACTGCCTCACCTTCTGGGGACTGTGGGGGAGGCATTTTGGAAAGTAGAGAGTTGAATTTTTGCACACACGTATTTGAGGATAACATTCTCGTCTGTTCAAAATTTTGACCCGCTGCGACAAACCGTTCTGGGGTTATTCAAGGTCAAATTCGTATCCACGTACGTGCCAAACCCTGTATAACATTAATTCTAAGAACTTTTGTATTTAAGGACGTGACATAAACTCTCTAGTTCTGCTAACATGCAGGAAAAATTTGATATTCACCTCAGCTTTTATTTTTAGTTATGAAAACTGACTCGCTGTAGCCCGAACTATAAATTATATTTGTGTCATTCTTAATTTATAAAATCATCAGGGACCCTGACCAATATCTTAGAAAAGTGGCATCTTTACAATTTCCATACTTACCCTGGAACACTTGAACTTTTATGACTGGTTTTTAAAGGTGTCACCCTTTCCTCTTGCAAAAATATTTAAATTTGCTTCATATTCGTAAATATGATATACAAGGTAGCAGTTAAGAGCAGAACAAGGGACAATGCAACACTTTTAAATACCTTGATGTCAAATTTCAGTTTTATTAAATACGACAATTTATAAAATTTGATACTGTTAATCACTGGACCCATCATCACGATCATGTCCACCTTCAAACTCATCCAAAGTCTTGTGAAGATATGCATTACTACTCTGATCAAAATAGATCCGCTAGAGTATCCCGGACAGACTGACAAGGCGGGTACATAAGCCCTGACCTGGCTAAAGAGCACATGAAAAGTATTCTGAGCTTATGAAGAGTGCACGTATGTACATATGCACACTCGAGACTCGATTATACCATGTCGATGCAGACAGTCGAATTCTTAATCCGGATGAATATTTTTTTGTGGAGTGCTAGCAAAAGGCCACAATGGTATATTAGTAACAGATGGAAAATATCTCCCAAGATTTATTACATTAATGTACAAGGAGTAAATCCACTACATACATAAATATATTCAATTATTAAGTAGATAAGCTTGCTGCTGTTGAGGAAGTTGTTGTCGAGCGACCGCTGGGGCGATCGCTGCACCAAAAAAACCGATGAGCTCCCTGGCGATGGCCTCCCTCCCGGCGTGTGCTGGGTTCGATACCACAGCCATAAGCAGGATGGCGTCCGTTATCTCCAAAGACTGCACTACCCTCAACATGTGGATGTACAGCCTCTCCTTGTCCGCAGGGCTCATCTCACTCAAAATTTGTCCCAGAGGTTTGTACGATTTGCACAGGGCTGATCCTGCAAGTCCACCCACTGTTCCTCCTGAAACAATATATAATCATAATTAAATCAGTATCAGTGCACAAATTAAGACATCGGCAGTATACACGCCTAATGAAATGATTGCTTAATTAATTTGCACACAAACCGATTGCAACACCGACTGGACCAAGTAAAACTCCACACACAAAGGCACTCGCTCCTGCTACCGCTGCCCCCTTCAAGGACTCGGTTACACAGACATCCAAATTTTCTTGATTGGCTATCACATGACAAGCACTTATCACTTCGTGTACCTCGATGGGCATTTTTGCTGCGATTGAGATTTGAGATTCCAAAAATGAGCACTTTTGTAATAACTTACAGCTATGTTAATAGAAAGCGATTAATTAATTAATACAATTTGAAGTGTGGTGCGCTTAGGAAGTTTATTTTTCTCACAATCCCACCAAAATTTCAACGAAAGTAAATATTGCAAAAAATGTATTGCAAAAACAACGTTTGTGTTTAGATTCTTTAGATGGATGGATGATGTAAAAGATTCACACGTAATTTTATCCATACAAAACTGAACCCGCTCTCAGCTTATACGCTGGACTTTGCGAAATTGCATGAAAAATGAGACGTTGCGTTTTGCTTATGTACACATGTACATATGGTAAATGTACATAAACAATTTACATGTAATTTTGCGTATGTACATAAGCAATATGTACATACGCAAAACGCACAAGTCTAATTTGTGATTCATGAAAACCTTACAAAATGAGGTACATCTACAATCGTTCCAGAATAAAAAATCTCACTGGGATTTCTATATTTGCAAAATAAATTCTCATATCTCCTTAAACATCTAGAATATGAATTTGGTCAAATAGATAACAAAATTATTAAATAGGTTGTCGGCTTCCAGGATTGTACCTATAGTACTATATACAATTCTGGAAGCGTGTACAGACACATATTACACATTATCTTTTATATTTTAAACGACTTCAAAGAGCTATAGATTGACATTGGATGTGAATCAATTGCACTAGTAGATGAGATGAGATGAAACGAGCTTATGCTTTGTGGGGAAGAAAAGTATGAGTGAGATTTGACGGGTGCATTGATATGGTGGTCGCGTAGTACAAAGGAGTACGTCTGGGGCTATACCGGGAAATGTTTCCTTCGATGGAGACCAGGGTCACCAAATTTTTGCACTATACCGTTATTTCTCATTCCTACAGCTTGAGGGCTGCATTCAATGTTTTGGGACGCACAAAAATCTAACGCATAATGATAATATATACCTAATGATAATGTGAAAATAAACAAGCAAAGAAAGCTTCTAAATAAATAAAAATAATTTTCACTTGCTCAATAAATCTGTAGCATAGTCAATAGAGTAATTTTTCTGCTGAAGTACTTTCTCCCAACAATAGCCATGTTTCCATGTGCAAGGCCCCTGTCCTTTGGTTTTCTTTCCCGATGTGCTGAAAAATACAAACAAAATCATGCCCATGCCAGTTACACACATATGTACTTATGTACATCTGCCTTTATTGACGCTTATTGATCTATATTTCGAGTTAAAGTTTGTGACTTTATTATCAACTTTATTTCGTACTTATTATCATCCTTTATTGCTGGCTGATAATGATGAATTAGTCTGACGATGATAACATTGTCAAGCTACATACTTACATAATGCGATTAATAGATTAGCGACAATTAATTTATGAACAAATGATCCCACTAAGTTATTGTTTAATATATCATAACAAATATCTGTAATCGACACATGTCATACAAGTTTTAGTTCATTGTAACATTCTTTTCACCAATTTTGATAAGCTGCACGTATACAATTCAATGCGGGTAGTGCAAGTCTTACTGTATTGGGTGTCGTCTTGTGACCAGAAGCTATCTCGTCATTGGAACTTGTGACAACACGTCAAAATGGAGAAACTGTTCAAAACCATAATTTTTATTTCATTTTTTGGCACGTTACTGGCTGCCCCATCATCAGTCCCAAACTTGTCGAAACATCCCGTAGTCCTCATAGTCTCATTTGACGGGTTCCGCTCCGACTATCTGACCAAGACCCCCACACCTCATCTCACCGCGCTTATGGAGGAGGGGGTTTCCGTTCCTTACATGAGCGCCCAGTTTCCCACCAAGACGTTCCCAAATCATCACTCAATGGCGACTGGTCTTTATCCTGACGTTCATGGAATCACAGATAATACGGTGTTTGATCCCCTGCATAACAAGAGGCTCAGCGGGTTCAATGATGACCCAGAGTTCTGGAATTACCATCCAGACGTCCTTCCCTTTTGGGTAGGCAATCTTAATTACGATAATCTTGATAGAATAGAATAGATTAAATAATAGTATCTTCATTTATATGTATGTGTAGTTGCGGAACGAACAAGCAGGAGATGGCAGAATATCAGGGTGTTATCTGTGGTCCGGGTCTTCTCAAGGATATGGGCCCGATGGAAAATTGGTATATACATACATTTTTCACTGAAATTATCTCTTCAAATGAGTTAAAATCTTTCCTAGTTCCCCACCTATTATTTACCGACTTATGACGAAAGCATTCCTTGGGAAACTCGCGTAGAAGAGGTCATTGGCTGGATAACACACCCATCAAAACCGGCAAATATTGTTTATCTTTATCACAATGAGCCAGGTGCGCTTCAAATGTGACATTTTTAGTTGGTTTAAAATAACTTTTTAAAGCTAGGATCAACTATTTATGTAGATTCGCATGGTCACTCATATGGGACAGATGACGAGGAGACTCTAGCAGAAATTAGACGATCTGACGACCGAGCTGGTCACTTGATTCAAGCTTTGAAGGATGCAAATATTTATGACAGGATCAATCTTATATTTGTAAGCGATCATGGAATGCAGTCTGTTCATCAGACAAATATTATAAACACGACCCTTATGGCGGATACATCTTTATACGCAAATCATGGGGGCACGCCAGTTTACCACATTTTGCCGAATAATTCTGCCGACCTGGAGGACTTGTATAATACCTTCAAACGTGAATCGGAGGGGAAGAACTTTACCGTTTATAAGAAGGAAGAGATGCTGGGGACATACAATTATGGAACGAATAGAAGAATTATGGACATTCTACTACTAGCAGAACCAGGATATGGGTTTGAAGACATGTGGAGATTCAGTGCTGATGGCATCGCTGGCGTGCACGGTTACGACAATCGATCGCCCAACATGCGAGCGTTGTTTATTGGGAGGGGACCGAATTTTAAAAAAAGCTACAAATTAACCGCACCAATCAGTAACTTGGACCTCGTTCCACTATTTTCACGACTCATGGGAGTACAAGAACCTCCCAATAACGGGTCCATTGATATCATTGGAGGAATCCTGGATACTTCCTCTTCAGGTGTTATTATTACATCCGGTACATTCCAGTTCTTGTTTGGTTTAACGTTCCTAGTTTATCAATCAATCTAGTTTTACATCTTTACATCGATCCCATTTATTGCTTAAATCATTTATTGTACTAATTCACAATTCAAACAATCCTCCGTAAACCGTAATAAGCTGCAGTCTACGCCTAACCACACATTCTTTTCTGAACAGACCGTTTAGACGTTTTCTTTTTACATTTGACAACATAACTTATGTAAAATTTACATATTAAAAAAATATCATATGGCATTGTATGTTGTTCATTTCAACAAAAATATAAAATTGGTTACTCTACAAATCCTCAAATTATCTTTAGCCATATATGAGTTGCATAAACTCCTTGGTTGGGCTGTCTATCGAGGGGGCGAAGCGTTTGGGGTGATTATTAACCGGTCTGGTGCTGGGAAAGAATTCTGTGAAAAAGTCAGTTGGGAGGGGGAAGAACATCTTGCAGCGTGGTGTCAACATTTGGACTAGCAAAGCTTGGCAGACCTTCGCCACCTGTGTTACCACCGGAAAATCCAGCCCCTGACCCACTTCTCAGTTCATCAATGTGAGTGACCACAACCCTGTTCACGGCCATGTTGGGCACTTCTGAGACCCATTCTTCCAAGGTGATCGGTCCCGGGACATCGTCAAAGCGGGGATCGAGTGGGTTAATGTTGTTGTTGGAATAAATCGGACGATCAAATCGATAGCCTGACAATGGATAATCAAACAAATTGCACATGTGCAAAATGGTTATAAATTATTTATGGAAATCAAATTCTGGCCCACTTACCCATGGGTCTTGCGTCTGGATAACGTTCGCCCACAATTCCGCAATAAATTGGAGCTGAGCGACACACAGATCCTCGCCCACTTTGTGGAACTGCATCCAATCTGGCGTCAGTGGCCATTACGAACAAGTCAAAGGCCATGCCTGTGGGCGTACCCTTTGGGATTAACAAGTGGTGGGGCCAGCCACAACCTACAAGTTTGTAACAATTGTTGTAGCTTTTTGTGGTCTGTCATTTCATAAGAATAATCAATGAGCAAAATCTATACCACAATCTGGAGTCTGATTGGCTACGTCAGTTTGTAGTTCCCTACGAATCAAAAGATAAATATTATGCTACCCAAAAATATTTAATGACATGTATATGTAAATACCGGTAACTTTGGGGAAAATCAATGGTTAGCAAGGAGTCGGCCGAGTTCCGAACCACTTTGTTCATTCCAGGGTTCACTAAGAAAATGGAAAAGTTTCGCCATTTTTAATCTAATCTAGTAATTTACTTCACACCAATTACAGTGACTCACGTGCAACAGTAAATTTGTCTAAAATAAAGAATCTCCGTCTCTGTTCTTCCAAAACGTAACGCCGACCCTTCTCATCAAATCTGGGGGCGAGATAAATTCGGAACGTTGCACGTCGAGCACGTTGACTATCCTGTAAAATATTTTGCAAAAAAATCGTGTTAAGGTCTGTTTTTATAATTACGGTTCTATATGTTCTATATACACATCTTTAATGAAAGAATGAACCGTACCACAGTGAATTGATACTGGAAATCGAGATGAATCGATGATCCAAATGTCGTATGCTGTAATTTATATAAAAAAATTCAAATTAAATTAAATTTCTAGTCGATCCCGGATTTACCACCACAATATTCATACCAAGTTAAAATGGGCCCTTGAACAGCAGTTCTATTAAAATCGAGACCTCGAGACAAATCAAATTGTCTTTCACTCCAAAATGTTTCTAAACTGTTTGCAGGTAGGCCAGGTGCAACCACTTTGACATTGAGAACCTCAACGCCGTCAAATACCAAAGGCCAATCTCCCTGAAGAACATTTAATTCATTCATTAATTACATAATTGAGCACGCACGTCATTAAAACTGAAGTCTAAATTACCCCTGAGAGTTGATAAGGCGGAAGTGTTCACTTGTGGGCTTCAAAGATATCGTCCATAAATGTGTGATAAGGGTAAAAGATAACATCTCGCATGGCCTAAGGAAAAGATTTTTGGATTTTACTTTTATAATCATTAAATGGTATCATAATTTGGTGAATATAGTAGTTAATACCGTAGCAGTATCACCCATCACGCCTGGCGGAAGTCCAAGTTCCTGAACTGGGTCCAACACTAAAGAGATTAAAACGTGACCCGTGTTATGGACTCCGTAGTAGCCGTAATATTCCGGATTTAACGAGTAGGCTAAAACAAATAAAAATAAGAAATTATAATTGTCACTGATGACAATCTGCATTCATGTAAAGTTTTCATACCCGATGCTTCTATAACGTCTCCGAGCAAGTCGATCCCTTGAACATTATCAATTGGCACCTGTCCTTGGAAAGCCTAAAGATAAATACGTTTTAAGAACTATGTTTTTTATTATAGGACAAGGAAGCATACGCTCAACAATGTTCGAAGTGCAATTGATTCCAAAATTCGCCCAAGATTGATTGTCCTGTTATCCACAGAAACGAAGAACGGAGCGTCAGGGATTGCGTTGGACATGGTGTCCTGTATTGGAACATTTGGTGGTCGTGGAGTCCAGTTTCTTCCAGAGTTTGTATCCGTTAAGTGGGAGTTGTAGGGCTCCCTTAGAATGGTACCCCTTTGCAAATTCAGGGGTAGCACTGGTGGAAGACCATGTGCTAACCTTTCAGCATGATAACGAGCAAGGAAACTAAGTAAGTAGTTTGGTTATTTTAATAATTTTTCCATGTAATTCATTTTAGAAGTAGAAAAGTATTTAAATAATGATAAAAAACTTTCTAGACCAAAAATATTTTGATATTGTTTTGTTTCCATGGCTCCCTCACTCTCCAATAGAGTTATATTGCTGCGGACAGCAAATATATGGTAAAATTTTCGCTAAATTCTGTCAAATTTGACTTAAATTTGTTAAAATTTTCACCCAATTCGCTCTAATTTACTGTATTACTTAACGTTCAGAATTCAACTGTTATATTCATTTTTTACAATATATCTTCCTGATCAAGGAAGATGAAGTCCGTCCTACAAATTATATTTCAAAATTTTTAAATTTAGCGAGTATGGGAAATTAAGGGTTTTTATAAATTACTTACACCATGGAAAGCGATGCATCCATGATTGCTTGGCTCAGGCTTAAAATTAGAAAAGATTGTGAGACTTGGAAAGAGAATTGCAGGTGGTAGTTAAACCATACAAACGCGACAGATAATCGCCTTGACGATTTGAATTATAAATTGTGTAAATTGGTGGGTACGAAAGTGTACATTAAGGTTAGAGAAATGACGGATACCAAATTATTTGCATTTACATATACTACTTTATTTGAATATAATACCACCAAGATGGACATCGACTTAATTGTGGGCGTGTGTTGTCAATAAATTGTGGGATCCAAAGTTTCATACCACAAATGCTACCAACAAAATTAAATGGTCGCCAAATGAAATGTATAAATGTGAAATATAGGCCCCATTTTAAACATTTTGTGAAGCCAATTTTATTGCGTAGTGAACACGATACAACCTTCACGGTTTTGCGGTATAAAGACGGGAAAAAGCTGCGAATTTTAAAGAAATTGTGATACATTTGACATTACTTAGTCTTCGTAGAATTTATGAAAAAAATTGCAGCAGCAATAAACATGCGTATTAAGCTCAAGAATGTCAAGGTCAAAACTCAAATTAATTCGAACGGTAATAATGATGAAATATTTTATCAATTCAACATTGTCTAAATATATTTACATGAATTACTATAAACAATAAATATATTTCATATTCAACTTTTGTCAATTTTCTCTTAATTGTGGTTAATTGTGTTGGTTTTCATCAAATTTTGTTCTTGATGCATGATTCGCAGAATCCATGTGTACGTTGTAAGCACCAACATACACAGATAAGTAGTTACATGTGCGACAACCGTACCATTTAAGTATATTTTCACTTCGGTGAACTGGACCATTTACATGAACATTCCAATCCTTTAATCTGTTTGTGGCCAGGACATTTCAAACAGATATATTTCGCACTCATATCCATTTCTGATCGTTTTTTATTACAAGCCTCAACATGTTGTTCGTACTGTTTTTGGATAGGCGTTGAGGCACCACACCCTGTGTTAGGACATTGCATGATAACATATGATGGGCGTGGCCCATTACATGTTTCCACATGTCTATTTAAACTTCCTGACGAAGCGCACCTATATCCGCAATCTTTAGGACAAATGTATGGTTTTAGGCCTTTTAAGATGGCCTTATAGATTTACCAAGATGTCTGTCTGTCCGTCCGTCTGTGCGTCCGTCTGTGCGCACGATAACTCTCTTTAAACAAAAGCTATCGACTTGAAATTTTGCACACTTCATCTTCGGGTCAAAAGTAAGGATGAGTTCGGAGATGGGCATGATCGGTCAAGTAATTGGCCGGTGGGGGTCATTTCCATCCAAATGCGTTGCCCTTAACTACCAAGAACCTTTAGAGCAGGTTAAATTATTTAAGTGTAAGTAAAATATTTGTAGCTTGAGAAATATCTATAGTAATAATTTTAAGTAATTTTAGTATGAAGATTGCGACTGACCTCAAAGCGTTTAAATTGGAGTGGAGTTTCAGAAATTTTAAACCTGGGAGACCCGATAGGGTGACCCGACGGATTTCTAAAATTTGTAGTAGGTAGTTGAAATTTGGAACAAAGGTTGCTAGTGGATTGTAACAGACAAAAATGAATTTAGGTTGGAAAAATTTTAATCTTGATGGACCCTATGGGGTGACCCATACTGATTTTTCAAAATCGTCATATCGAAGTGAAATTTGGGAGAGAGGTTGCAAATGGGTCTTAATGGAACAATATGAAATGAAATTGGTAAAATTTATATCTGATGCGGTTATCCATATCTATTTTTAGAAATTGCGTTAAAAACATGAAATCCGGCACGGTAATACTTACAATTAGTGGCTTCTCATCAAAGAATTTGAAATTAAAAGTTAGCTAACAAGGGATACTTTCGAGGTGATAGTCGTGTCCAGGGTACCACTCATTGGTCTAAATGTTTTTTGATCGAGTGTTTCTCACGGGTTCGGGTTCTTACTTCGGGTTTCGGGTTCGGATCGGGTTTGGGTCCTGCTTCGGATACGAAATTTTTGAACCCGAAACTTTCGGGTTCGGGTTCGGGTCCGAGAAATGTGATCCCAAAATTTCGGGTTCGGGTCGGGTTCGGGTTCCGACTAAGAACCCGAAACCCGAACCAACAAGAACTTTTTGCCACAACGAACACGAAAACATTAAAAAAGAAAATAAAGTGTTAACCAAACTTGCTACGACGGTTATGCTGCAGTAATTCATTAAATAATTCAAATTTTTAATTGTCGTAACTTCTTTTCACAAGTGTCTTCAATTAGTGTTATGGTTTGAATATTAAAATAAAATATATTTTTTATCAAAAATTTGCAAAATATTTAGCTTGAGCTTACTTTAATATTGGAAACTTGAAACTGAAAATCATTTTCAGTTTTCAACTGATTTAAAAATTTCTGAATGTCACGGAAAGCCATTATTCATGGTCGATTTTTTGAGATTGCATTATTATGGTCAAGGAATTAAGAGTTATGTACTTATGCAGAAATGTGCTTAATTATAATTCCTCGGTCATATTTACAGAAGTATTGTTTGTTTGAAACCTTCCAAAGAATTTTTAGCTAAAAAGCCAGTCACCCCTTAAAGTTAAAATATATTCGGGTTTTTCGGGTTCGGGTTTCGGATTTGATCCGCCAGTTCGGGTTCGGATCGTTGCAAACGGGTTTCGGGTTCTTCGGGTTCGGGTTGCCCTCAAGTTTCGGATCAGTGGCATCGGGTTCGGGTTCGGGTTTCGGATTTGCAAGAACCCGACCCGTGAGAAACACTAACCCATCTTCGAACTCGGTCGATGCCCAGATGCATGTCTGTATCAAATTTGGTAAAATTCAGCCTACTCCTTCGAGAGTTATGGAAAGACAGACAGACGGACAGGTCGATTACATAAGCCCTAGTCCGGGCTAAAAATTATATGCCAATCGTTCATTAGAGTCTGGCTTTTATGTAATAATGCCGTCTTAAAAGGCCCCGCAAAGTTGCTTGGAGTAGGTTTTTCTCCTGTATGTGATCTAATATGTACAACTAGCTCCGCAGGAGTGATACAACATTGTGGGCAATATGGACAAGATGTTGCAGTATTTTTCAGCTTAATAAGTTTTGGTGGGTCGAAAATCAGCTTTTGCATATCATCCAGCCTTGGAAACTCCTCTGTTGTTACACGAATTGAACCTTTGATGTTTACATGGTCGGAAAGAAACAACACGTCTTCGTCATAAATTGGTTGGATCGTATGATTAAATTCGTGAAGCTTGTGGCTTATTACAGCATAATCTAGAATAGAAGTTGCAAATCTCTCACCGCTCCATTGAAATCTAGTAAAGACATTGTTGTCCCACAAAATACTATTAAGATTGAGAAAATTATGTCTGGAAAATATTTCTTTGAATTGATTAAAAGCGATGCATCTATAGTCTGATTTTGCCATTGAAGGAACCAAAGTTCGATTGAACTCCATGGCATTAAAGTCGCCAATCCAGACGGCGAATTTGTCTGACAACTTACTACACAGGAACTCTGTTGTTAGGAACCATCTGTGTCTTTCATCATCTCGGATAGCATCACTCGAATGGTGACATGGAAAATACAAGTTTACGAAATATAACCCTTTATCTGCTAAAGGTGATTTCACTTTTACGACCATAATCCTTTCCGGGTTTGATGGAGTGCATTGCAAATTTTCTATTCTTTCTACGTGCATTCCGAGTTTAAAGAAGACACAAACACCGTAACTAAACCACCCTGGTGTTGAACCAGGGATTGAATCATTCAATATACAATTATAGCCATAAGATCTCGCTAGATCTCTAACGTCCTTTACTTTAGAAGGATCCAACTTGGTCTCTTGTATGAAAACCAGATCACTTTCCTTCCAAGTAGTTTCAAACATTTTTAGTAATTTGACCATTGGATTAATTGGTAGTGTAAGACCATTTGCATTCCAAAAATCATATTTCAGGACTTCGTTATTTCTTGATTTAGCCATTTTCTTCAAATATAAGGGATTAACCTACAAAGCAGTCCTTGTTTCAGTCAGATCAACTCAGACTTAACTTCGAAACAGACAAACTATTTCAAATTTTGAACCATACTAAATAGTTCTGGATTTTGAATAGCACAAAGCAATTCTGAATTTCAAACCGAACCAATCAGTTGTGACTTTCTTTGCATAAACCAGCTTTATTAAAGAATATGAAATTAAGTGAACTAATCACTTAATTATAAATTACAAAAAAAAAATAAAAACATAAAAATAAAAACGCAGATGTGAAAAAAATCGTTGAAATACTAGGAGTTCTGCAATTAAAAACATATCGTACGATGGGATTAGTATATACTAATATTTCCTTAATTTTAATTACTGCCATAAAATAACATATTCTTACTATTTCTTACCTTCGGAAAATGCTGATGAAAAAAAGGAGAAAAACGACGACAATCTACAATGGGGTGGATAATGCTACAAATGTACAAAAAATAGTATTTTAGTTAACTTCGCCAACCTGCCAGATTTATTACGAAGTATAACGTTTATTACTTGATCTTGCTCCTCCAAACCGTTTTCAAAAATCAACCAGGTCTGACAAAGTTTGAAGCGTCTTCCGAGAGTTCGAGAGTTCGTGGGTAACAACAAATCTTGAAATACGGCAGCAGCAAGTTACACCTCGTGATGGAAGACCCCATGCTAAGTAAGTATAAATTGATATTCATGTTACACATTGCTAATATACAAACATTTCCAATTACAAAAAATTCATTATAGCAACAATAGCGCCTGGTTTATACTTTCGCCGTTCGTCGCTCAATAACCTGGTTGGGATAGGAACAATTATCCTATCCTTTACATGTTATTGGGCGACGAACGGCGAAAGTATGACCCCGGTGTAAGTGTCAAACAATTTTGAGCCTACATTTTACCAGTGTGAACTGTTTGTGAAAAGGTTAATTGGTAGAATTTCACTGAATTTGCTTACCGTAGAGAATACCACGGGAAACAGCCTTGAAGGCGATGAAGAGGGGAGGAGCACGAACTCGAAAATCTGATGATGTATGGATAGGAGAGTGATAGTTTTGCAGGAGGGGTCAATTGTTATTAATTAAAATAAAATATCTGATTTATTTATCGACACACGAATTAGTAGTTTCTGCATACATCAGGAGCAGTGAATAAGTGAGACGGAAAGTGTGGTGTTGGTGAGTGGTGGTGACAAGTCAAAGAAAACGTTTTACCTTCTCCCCGCCAATCTTTACTAATTTCAACTTTATTTGATTTCCAGCTCGTGTCCGTACACCGAAGAAGAGGCAGCAACCAAGAAAGTCGCTGCACTTCAAAGACACGCCAACGCTGCTGCCCTCGCAGCTACCGCTGCTGCGAAAGCCATTGACGCCACAATTGATTCTGCCAGCGTTATTAAGCCACCATTCGATTCAGGATTCGCCACAGGAATCAAGATCCCATTTCCACCTAATGATGATGCACACATGACTTAGATTATTTTTTTGCGTGTTAATGTAATTCTTGGTATCGACATTCTTTTTCTTGATAATAAATTGGTCCAGAATTAAAATAGAATGAAATTATTTTCTAAAATTATAAAAAAACGATGTGGAACTCCGTCCCTTTTTAGCATTTAGTTAATTAATTATAGTTAATTATTAATTAACACTGAAAGAGAAAATCTGCTGTGGAGCAAACTTTTTCATACCATCGTTGCAAATTCGACAGAACTAGTAACTTTTCTGGCTCTGGGTTGATGATGCTGGCGAGTCCACTCGAACCACGGTTTGAAGTTGGAGTTGAGGAGGATTGTGGACCAACTTCTCTCTTAATTTCCCTACAGCACAACCTCTCCCACCACTGCTTGATTTATTATTGGGCGAAATTAAGGCACAATTAATATGGTCGATAGAGTCTGGTGAACTTTTCGATAACAGTATAAGCACGATAAGCACAAGCGTTGTCAAGCAATCGTGTAAAATAAGTAATACCAAGGTCCTGAATTTATACTTAGTTACCATCTACATAAGGTTACCTCACTTGATGGTAAATTTTGTGACCGAGAGCTTGGGACGAGCTTGGGATTAGTTTGAAGGAGTAAACCTACCAAATCCCCGTCTCTTTAACGGTGCATTCTTCGAAGGAGTAAACCTACCAAATCCCCGTCTCTTTAACGGTGCCATGACGACCCCAACGGCCCTTTTAAGGGCCACCAAATTTTCCAAAGAGCATCGGACTTTTATTAACGACACCACGGTTTATGAGTAACCTTTTTAATGGATTATTTTTGGCTATTTATACTCCTTATTTAGATTCACATGGTCACTCTTTTGGGACGGATGGAGAAGAAACGTTGGAAGAAATTAGACGATCTGATGACCGAGCTGGCCACTTGATTCAAGCTTTAAAAAATGCTAACATTTATGATAGGATCAACCTTATCTTTGTAAGCGATCATGGAATGCAGACTGTTCGACAGACAGACATCATAAATAGGACCCTTATGGCGGATAAATCTTTATATGTGAATTACGGGGGCACACCAGTTTACCACATTGTGCCAAATAATTCTGCAGACCTGGAAGGTTTGTACAGCTCTTTTAAACATGAATCGGAGGGGAAGAACTTTACCGTTTATAAGAAGGCGGAAATGCTGGAAACGTACAATTATGGGACGAACAGACGAATCATCTTCAGAGTCTACAGAATCCACAACGTCCTCGTCTGGTGTTATTTCGGGTGCATTTCAGTTCTTATTTAGTTTAAGTTTTCTAGTTTACCAATTTAGATAACATTACAATCTTTACACAAATCACATCAATTGTTTAAATGATTTATTGTTGTACTAATTCACAATTCAAACAATTCTCCGTAAATTATAATAAGCTGCAGTCTACGCCTAATACCACACCTGAGCGACCTTTTGACGTTTTATTTTTATTACATTTGACAACATAACTTATGTAAAATTTACATTAGAAATATCGTATGGCATTGTATGTTGTTCATTTCAACAAAAATATAAAATTGGTTACTCTATAGTCCTAAAATTGTTCTTAGCCATAAATGAGTTGCATGAACTCCTTCGTTGGGCTGTCTATGGAGGGGGCGAATCGTTTGGGATGATTATTGGCAGGCCTTGTGCTAGGAAAGAATTCTGTGAAAAAATCAGAGTTTGGAGGGGGAAGGACATCTTGCAGAGTGGTGTCAACATTTGCACTAGCACTGGATCCAAAGCTTTGTCCGCCGCCGCCACTACCTTCGGCGAATCCGACACCTGACCCTGTTCTCAATTCATCAATGTGAGTGACGACAACCCTGGCCACGGCCATGTTGGGCACTTCGGAGACCCATTCCTCCAACGTTATCGGTCCAGGGACATCGTCAAACCGGGGATCGAGTGGGTTAATGTTGTTGTTTGAATAGATCGGACGGTCAAATGGATATCCTGATAAATTTACACATTATATTACATACCAACCATTTCTAGCATAATGGTTATGGAATGGTTCCTGACCAGGTTATTTATTTAAAAATCAAATTCCGTGTACTCACCCATGGGTCTTGCGTCTGGGTAACGTTCGCCCACAATGCCGCAGTAAATTGGAGCTGAGCGACAAACAGATCCTCGTCCGCTTTGTGGAACGGCGTCCAATCTGGCGTCAGTGGCCATTACGAACAAGTCGAAGGCCATGCCTGTAGGGGTGCCCTTTGGAATTAGCAAGTGGTGGGGCCAGCCACAACCTGCAAATTTGTGATGGTCTTTTGTAGTCTCTCCTTTCACATTGGACAGTAATCAATGAGCAAAATCTATACCACAATCTGGAGTCTGATTAGCTACGTCGGTTTGAAGTTCTCGGTAACTCTGGGGAAAATCAATGGTTAACAAGGAGTCGGCCGAGTTCCGAACGACTTTGTTCATTCCAGGGTTAACTAAGAAATGGAAAAGTTTAATCTTTAATCTAATCTAGCAATTTAGCAAATATCAAGATCAATGACTCACGTGCAACAGTAAATTTGTCTAAAATAAAGAATCTACGTCTCTGCTCTTCCAACACGTAACGCCGACCCTTCTCATCAAATCTTGGGGCAAGATAAATTCGGAACGTTGCACGTCTCGCACGTTGACTATCCTGTAAAATATTTTACAACAAAATTCGTTTAAAACTATTCTTGTGTCTATAATTGTGATGCAATTATCTTAAATGAATGAATGAATCAAACCACAGTGAATTGATACTGGAAATCGAGATGATCCAGATGTCGTATACTGAAATTTATGCAATAGATTGTAATTTAAAGTAAATTTCTAGTCGAACCTTAATTTATTACCGATTTAACTACTTCATACCAAGTTAAAATGGGTCCTTGTACAGCAGTCCTATTAAAATCGAGACCCCGAGACAAATCTGAAAAACATGGATCAATTCTCATCCCACACACACAGCTCATTCATCTGTCATCATTTCACAAAATTGCTAATTAATTACCAAATTGTCTTTCACCCCAAAATGTTTCCAAACTGTTGGCCGGTAGACCTGGTGCAACCACTTTGATATTGAGAAGTTCCACGCCATCGAATACAAGAGGCCAATCCCCCTATTTAGCAGTAATCAATTTTAAATATCACTCATCACTACATACTAAAGTGCAATTACCCCTGAGAGTTGATAAGGCGGAAGTGTTCGCTTATGAGCTTCATAAATGTCATCCATAAATGTGTGGTAAGGGTAGAAGATAACGTCTCGCATGGCCTAATGAAAGCATTTGACATGATAGGAAGTTGTAATTACTAGTTGATATTTTATAATTTGGTGTATATAATACCGTAGCAGTGTCACCCATCACTCCAGGCGGTAGTCCGAGTTCCTGGACAGGATCCAATACTAAACTGATAAGGACGTGACCCGTGTTGTGGACTCCGTAGTAGCCATAATATTCTGGATTTAAGGAGAAGGCTAAAATAAAAAATAAAATAACAAATTAGATCATAAAACAATTTATAAGGTTATCCTTTACATTAATGTAAATAAAGCAGTCATACCCGACGCTTCTATTACATCTCCGAGCAAATCAATCCCTTGTACGTTATCAATTGGCACTTGCCCTTGGAATGCCTACAAAACACATATATTTTAGATAAATATATCTTTTTTATGTACAGTGCAAGGAAGCATACGCTCAACAATGTTCGGAGTGCAATGGATTCCAAAATTCGTCCAAGATTAATCGTCCTATTGTCGACAGAGACGAAGAAAGGAGCGTCAGGTATGGCGTTGGACATGGTATCAGAGATTGGTACATTTGGGGGTCGTGGAGTCCAGGGACGTCCAGAATTGCTATCACTGAAAACGTCAAAGGTTGAAATTGAAGTTAACTTAATTCAATCAAATTCCACTATTCAAAGTGTCCTGTACATAACAAAGTAATGTTTCTTACGTTAAGTGGGAGTTGTAGGGCTCTCTAAGAATGGTACCCCTTTGCAAATTGAGTGGGAGCACTACGTATAAAATATTAAAGCGTATTACGTAAGAGGAGCAGTTGCGTATCCTTTATATTATATTTTTGAAATATCTATGGAAGTACAATTGCGAATATGTCACCTGGTAATTTTAAAATTGATACTTTAAACCTTTTGTGGATATGGACAAAAAACGCGTTCGGGTGCGGGATATAACACGATTCGCGAACCCGAGTTTGATATATTATAATTGCTTTTAAAAAACGAGTGAATTATCAGCTGAAAGTGAAGGAAAAATACACAATTTCCATCGGAAGATAAACTAAAGATTTGCCGAGTTTTATCACCTTACATTATTATTATACTTGTAATATTTCCCTCCCCAAACTCGTTGCCTAATTCAATTTTGAAATTGATTGTACCTTCATAGGCCAACGTGGCCTCAATAGGACTGTAATAAATCATTCATTAATTCATTCAGTTATTATATTGCCGAATTCTAATTTCTGGGTGAAATGTTGCCCAGATTTCCCACTGTGGACACTGGGTGTATGCCACCGAAAAGTCGCATTTCTGGCTAGTCTGAAATATATATTGTATATATACTATACATTGTTTACATTGTACATATGTACGTTATGAATGATCATGCCATGTTGACAATTTCTAAAAGGTACGTCCAAATTTAGGGCAATGTTATGTTAATAAATGTTATTGGGTTCATGTGTGCGGGTTAGGGTTCAAAGAAACTTTGCGGGTTCGGATTCACACTATCTAGAACCTGATCCAGGTCATAAATTTTCCGGGTTCGGGTTCGCTTTTTTGAACTCGTGTCGAGCACTGGTTTTGCCATCCTTTCGTCATTATCTGTCTAATAGGAATCTAATAAGGAATAAAATAGTAGACTCACCAGGTTGAAGACCATGACACAATCTTTCAGCATGATAACGCTGTAAAACAATACAATCCCGAATAAACAAGTAAAACAATACAATCCCAAATAAACGAATAATTTTTGTTAATTGATCCAGACTTACTGCCAAGAAATCTGAATGCATCCATGCGAATAATTCACCTCGTCTGTCCCGTCGCGGCATATCTCGAGTGAATGGGTAAGCCATATGCCAATACCTGCAAGGGTCAGAAAGAGTCTTGATTATGGACCAAAATGAATTACAATTGAATGGACTAACCAATGGTGAGAGTTGAGCATTACGTCTTCCCTCCAGTACCACAGAGCATTTTCAATTCCATTGTCCCTGCCAACAGATCTAGAGAAAGACGAGATTTTGATCATCATAAGAACAATTAGCCCCGAAGATCAAGGGAAAATATCAAATCTAAAAACTTATTATTACCCATCGACGGGGATGCAATTCTGAAACAAGAGTAAATTATTAGCAATTTCTAATGTCAGTTTATTGCTCGTATGACCTACCCGACTTTGAGGACCCATTGATGCCTGTCGTCTCATTTCCCCTGTCGCCCTGTTATTTATAAGCATACCCGGCATGACTTCGATAATGGCTGGTTTGCGAAGACCTGTTTAGGTAAGTTAAGTGCATTAGTAAATTTGTATTTATAGTTATTATTGCATTAGTTAATTTGCATTATGGAGTGCTCATTAATAACGATAGTCAGACCAACGGCGGTAGCACATTAAAGGCTAATTGCCGAAGTCTTTCGTAAAATACTTGTAAATATTTTACCTTGCATATCCTGTCTGAATACCGACGCTCCGATCACTCCTCGCAGCCATGCATTAGGGTTAACTTCACGCTTATCTCTTAAAGTAGCTGCCATCAATATTGCATCCTGAGCATTGTTCTGTTCTATCAGTAGCCTCATGATTCTCATTGCTGCTCCCCTGAAAATCACAAAAAATTAGACTTCTTTCCTGATCGACTAATTTAAAAAAACAGATTTGCACCAACGCACAATTGAAATTTTGAAAGAATTCATCCTCATTCATACATTGTGCATTCTCAAATTAACCCTTTTATACCACAGTTTTATTTTTATAACCACACAAACAGTTACAGTCTCTAGCCCACCAAGTTCTTCACGTTTGATTGCATACGCCAATTAAATACGGTATGTTTCTACTTAATGATGTCAATGTGTGACGTAGTAATTAACAATGAGTGTAAATACGTGTGTGACCACAAATCAATAAAAAGTAAATAAGTTGAACGTTGATTTTACCTGTGTGATGGGTTTTGACCGTAAAAAAAGTCTTCCCTGGGGCAAATGTTCTGCAATTCGCGTAGAATTGGCAGCTCTTCTTCATTGTCCAGGAATGTGTTTACAATGTCAATTGCTGGCATTTCTCTGGTGTAATCAAACAATGCTGAAAAGCTGCTTTGTAAATCCCCTTGACCGAATTCTGTAGGTTTGACATTTTAATGTAATTTTCATTGTTTGCAATTTTCAGTTGCGTAAAAATTGCAACATAAATAAAATAGTAATTACCTGGGGACAACTCGATATCATTTGTTGTAAATGATCTCGATAATCTGCCGCCGATACCGATATTACTTCGCGCACCTAACGCACGCCCACCACCATCGTCAGGTCCGAATGAGGGCACAAACCCGTTAAATTCTCCGGGAATTTGGCAATTGATGACTGAATGGGAAATTATAACAAGAAATACGAAGATTTTGTGCGTCGTGGATGAGATCCAGCGAATGTTGCTCCACGATATTTTTGTCATTTTGTTCTGGAAAGGTAAGAAATTGTAGTCCACGGAGTCTAATTGGGGACTGTTTGGTTGATTGTTGAAGAGCTTTGTGAAATATAGCGTTCATAATCATAATTGAAACAACAAGGTTTTTGTTACTACCTCACTTTACTATAAAGACATTGCTACAATAATAACAACGACAGCATCTTTGTCAAGCGTTGAAATCAGAATATTTCCTGGTGTATGCATGTAGTTAGTGGTGCTGCATATGCTTTCATGATTATTATTATCTTTCAGCAACAAAGAAACCGAACCACAACTGTCACAAAATATGATGCAGAAGCATCTAATTTAGTGTGAATTAATATTGCGCTCACAATGCTCACAATGAACACCTAATTTGTCTTTATTGAAAATTAGTAGATAATCAGAACAATAAAAGGCGGTGGTGGTGTGCAATTCGTTGCGCAAAATTACATATTCAAAACTCATAAAGTTGATCGTGTTGAGTAAGGTACGCAAAAAATTAACAGGGCGGAAGCTGGTGTTTCCATTAAAAATGTAATTAAACATATTGCCTCCAGAGAAATTCGACATTGTATGCGAAAATCTTTTCTTTTGCCAAAATTTGTCATACACAAACGCAACAGTTTTCAGTCTTCCCTTGAAACACAATGGTCATTCACAACCCAATTGCATAATAATTAAAGTTTATCGAAGCTCTAATAAAGTTAATTGAAACTGACGTTTATATTTACGAGGTGAGAGAAAAACACAAACTGCACAGAAATTACTCTAATGTAAACAATAAATTTTGCAACTTACCGTTAACGCGTGGAAAATCCTTTGCAATGTTAAATCCTAAATAATTTTTTTTGAAATTTAATTTAAAATCACTTCACAATGACTAAAACTCAAGTTTCTGTTGAAATTTGAAAAACCACTCCCACAATCTTCATCGTTTCTGATATTTGACTATTTTCAGTCCCACATTCAGGTATTTATGTATTTAAAAGTATTTTGAGATTTGTATGAAAAAGTTGAAGGAATGCCAACACTTTCAGTCTCAGTCAGAGATGTGCATGAAGGTTTCAACGCCAGAGCGTCATGAAGTGGACTAATGCAGCTCTTTAAGCCATACCACCGTTAAATGAGGAGTGCACAGCGTCTATTAAACCTTTGCCTCTTGTACGCACACCAATAATACGAAATACCAGAAAATGTGAAAATAAGACAAAAAGGTATGTATGAAATATGAATTAAATAAGCAGGCAACCGTGGTTGGTTGGTATGATGTTATTATTAAGTAAGTCTTCTGACTGAGGATTCATATTAGAGCACCTTTATTCCTCTCAATAATTCACGCTTATCTTATTCAACACTTTTAATTCAGACACAATGTTGCAGCCACATTAACTGCATACAAAAGTCGGTAGCAATACATGTGTTATGCACTTTTCTGAGAATCATATTCGTACTTACAACCATGTATGCATGTTGAACTGCAGTCAATTATTATAACAAGTGTTTTGTACCCAAAGTACCCACCACACAACGTACGAGGAGACAATAACAAGTATTTAAACCAATTCTGTAAATTCATATTTGAATTGCATTGATGATGATGATAACTGCATCCAATTAAAAGAAATGCGGTGATGTGACTTTTGTTGAACGGAAACTAGGGAAGTTGAATGAAACGAAATGAAAGGGAAACACGAACAAAAAACACAAAAAATAAATGTGAGACACTTTTCTTAACAGAGGTGGAAATGGCAAAGCAGCATAAAAGACATTCAACGATCCAAGTCAAAGTCCCATCAAAAGAATTAAATAAACGCAAAAAAGCAAACTTTTCTTTCTCTTAATGGCAATTGTAATTCTGAAGCAAGCGGCCCACTCATCGTAATGACCGGCTAAGGATTTGTAATTTTGCTGCTCTAATGTGTAATGTGCATGATCTGCGAGCAAGCTCACGTCATAACAAAAGACGACATTGCAGAATTATAGTAAGTGCACAATAATATTAAGATTAAGAATATTTCTGTCGACTGTAATGCATGTGTAAGTGTATGCGGCTAAAGACAATGTGAATGACAATTGAATGTGTAATATGTCATAATTCAATATTTCCGGTCCTCCGTCCGGTATAAAATTGGCATACGTACATAATTGTGGATGGGAAGTGTTACAAAAGTCTGCATATAAAATTGAAATTTTTTTCTCTCGCCTGCAAACAATTTTTGCAGCATATGATATTTATTCTGCAACATTCTGAGATAAAATCTGTTTTGACGAACACGACTGCATACTATTTTTACCAAAAAGTAGGTACATTACATAGAACAAATTCTGAGTCTCAACTCAGGAATTATTGTTTAATCATTTACACCTCAGGAAAAAATCGTTGTTAAGAATCAGCAGACTTGAACTTCAGTGGGGCAAAAGCCACAAGACTATTTATAATTGTGTACGTGTATGTATGTACATATTCGTACCATGAGTTTACCAGCTCCACATTTTTACAATGCTGTACTCGTATTTGTTACAGTCTCAGTTTTAATTTGAGATCTTTTCAACAGAAACAGAGTGAGTGAGATGCAATGATTGGAATTTGTTATGCCTACCGTTTTGTTCATTTCTCTTTCTACTCATTTGTAAAATACTTTATTCTGTGGATCCACTCCTGCTACTGCTACTTTGTGGAAACATAATATTTGTAGCAGTGGGAGTCTGCATAATGTGTGATGCAATAAGAATCGATGAGATTTTATAAATTATCTTAGCAATCAAGAAGCTGTGTAATACGTATTAGCAACTGGGTTGGGCTAATAAATTAATTTGGACACTGTCAGGTTTAATGCTTAAATTATTTTGTAAGCTCAGGTTTAATGAGAAATTACGCGATCTGGTTAAGGTGGGAGCGACCACAAAGCACTCAACCGCAGCGTTCCTTATTAAAGGTGTCTCTATTATCGCTAGATCTAATATCTGAGGATAATAAACTAATCTGTGTATTAGCTTCGTGTTGAAAAGTGATTGGAAATGCAAGTCGGAAGGAAATTACAGATAGTGTTGTGGTGTTATAAAAATCTGTAAATTCTTATCTTTATTCATGTATATTGGGTACTAATAGCCAGCCAGTAAACAAAATCTGCAAGTATTTGCTAAAACAAAACCAGGTTGCTGCTTATTTGCATTTCCTTAATGTACTTACATAATTAAATTATGTCGGAACTATTTAGTGGGAAACCGTACATGTTTGTTGTGGCTTGCGAGTCTCATTCAATCCAATTAGCGATTGGTTTACGTCTTGCGTAAGCATACAAAATTTGTAATGTCGAAAAGAAATTCGTGATGAAGCCGTGCGGATCGTTGACGGATAATAATAACGCCAATATCTCCACCAGTCCATTTATTACTGCCCCATCTTCTCATTGTGTCCTGTGTGTAGGACAGACAAAAAGCCTTTCACGATTTCTTTTATTCTGCAGACCTTGATTTAGGGAATCGGATATCATGATTTGCTTTGTTTTGACAGCGAGTTACGTTATGAAACCTTTTTGGAGATTATTGGTCCGATAATTAAAATTGTTGCGACTTCTGATGTGCCACCGATAGACGTGTCTATCAGTTTCTAGCTAGCATGACCAATAGAACTCTGCGAGAGGTTATAGTGCATTTCTACTCTAGTCCTAAAAATTGGAAATCTACAATCACAACTGCAGCGTGTAGTTTCGTTTTCTTTCATGAGCATTATACATTCAGTGGCGTGAAGCAGAACAGAACGATGCGTAACTTTACATCAATTCATACGATTTGAGGTGTGCAATTGTTGTGTAGCAGTACAAGATGATCACAAATCATCATTTAATAGAAACTCATTTTGCCTCCACAATTAAACAAACACTTAAACAATAAGGTACTTGATACGGATCGTTGTTGGTAAATAACTTTAATTAGGGAAGACATCTGAAGCATTGTTTCATTTGTGACTAAAAACTCCCAAGATACAATTTGTGTATAGAAATTAGAAGCAATTGCCTTTTAAATTTGATTTAGATTTTTCGAGTGAAACCAGTCATTTATGAAGTTCATTTTTAATTAAGTACATTCCTCTTTACCTAAAAAGCAAAAAAAAAAACGGAAAAAGAGATAACTTTTTAAATCCAGTATTTATAATCAGTCAGCTTCCTTGATGGTAAAGAAGTGAGTGTAATAATTATCACTGTCGACGGTGAAATTTTTAATTTCCAATGATGCACCTTACACTTGCTTCAGGTCAAATTAATACATACATAATTATCTTATCCTAAGAACCAAGTATTTGACCCAAAGTTTTACATGCATGCCAAAACAATACATTTAATAAGATAGTAAATGCGTATTTATAACTTTAGCTTATTGTCCAAATTATTGCAATAATACAAAATCTGAGCAGTCCGTTTAGCAAATGAGCTAAAACGTTGTATCACGACGCCTCCTCCATCTCATATTGAATCGATAATGACGAATCACGAACTATTCAAGCAAATTTTTGAATTTATTTATTCCATAATCTTCAATCTTTTGTCGAATCCTAGTCTTTAATACTTTCGTGATTTTATTTAAAATTGATAAACAAAGGCCACGAAACGTCGACCAGTGAATTGCATTATTTGCAGTGTTTTGGTTGTGTAACCAACTTTTGTTGTTGCTGGTCCTCCTGAGTTAAAACGAGTCTGCTGCACTTGCAGCAGACGAAGAAAATAAATCAAAACTTGTTCTGTATTATTCCCATTTTTGAAATGCGTCCTGTGGTTAGCGGCCAACCATACTCATTTGTCACAAATTTAATTGCAAAAAGAAAGTGAGTTTGATTGGAATTAGTTGATTTGAAACACGAGTATTTGGATGTGGCTTAAAAAAAGCTTCGTATTAAAGATAAAGAAATAAAAAGATTTTAAAAAACTTTCAAAAGTCTTTTGAAGAGTAACCGGAAATAACATTTGACGAATTATTCCCCTTCCGGTCACTCTGCGTTGACCAAAAGGTGCGAGTGAGCAATCTCTGGCTCGTACTTACCGTGTACTTGCCTTCTTCTCTTCAGAGAAGGAAAACGAGAGAATGGCAAAACGTGTGTTCATGATTTTTTGAAATTTTGGATTAAACTATTCACTTGCGGATTTATTTGCATTGAATGACCATTGATAGTTATTACATTATTGTGTAAGAAAACCAAACCTCATTCGCAGAGCTCGTTACATTAGTAGACCAAGGATGCATGGATGGTTCATCAACAATAATGCAACCTAAACTGCAATGCTCTATTTTCTAGATTTGCATGCGATGCAGTAAAGCTATGTCATGTCGACGAATGGAATTTCCTTACAAACGTATCTACATTTGTTCATAGTTCATACGACACATAATTAAATGGAGAGTATGCGGTTTAGAGAACTGCGGAATTACCCATACATACATATTTAAATGCAGTATTATTGGCGAAGTAGAAATAGATGCCTGTGTGCCTTCAGGGAAGTTTGCTAGATAGTTTCATTCATATGACACAGATTTAATTTAATTGATAATCCTTGTTCTAACTGAAATTCGTTTCTCGCTCTGAAAGTCTTGTGTTTGTCTACCTGTCAATAATAATAATGTGCTGAATGAGCAAATTCCCACGGACGAGGGCAATTAAATTGTGATATAATTCTGGTGAGAAACATTATCTAATTGATGATCCTACGCGATACACTTTAAAGCAGCCAACCTTTCTCTTTCAAGATAAGAAAGTTTGTTCGTGTATTATATGAATGTTTACATAGTTCACACTAAATAAGCTTTGCTCAGTCATTCAACTGCTGTGTGTAGTTTTCATAATTCATTAATAAATAAATTAAGGAAGGTTGAGTGCTGAAAATAACTTGTAGTCTTTTATCTGCATGTATTACCACTGTCATTATTATCTAACACGACTACTGAATATTTTTGCGCTCGAGATCCTGATTTTCAGACAAGTCAATCTGTAACGTGGCAAAAACGAGTCATTCTAGTTAATTAAAACAATGACTTGATCAACTTATGTGGACTAATAAACGAGTAATGTGTTTGCTTTGAAATTGAGTGCTAATTATTGCAAACGGGGTTTTATATTATCTGAAACAACATCTAATTCTGTAGAAAATAAAATTACGCCTTGATCCATTATTATAGTTGGACCGCGACCTTAGAGGACACAAAATTGCAAGAAATAAGAGCATTCCATTAATTGCACCATTATACAAAATTTAATATTCGTGCGTTAATTCAAGGCTTGATTGTTGGTTCACTTGAAATACATAAAATAGGGATCAATCACGGCTCGTCATAGTGTTTGTCTTTCTCCTTTTACAGATTTTGGCCAACCAGATGGATGGATTGACGTATTTAAAATCGTGGTTTACTTTAGAATAATGCCTCAGAGAGCACCAAGTAATAAAAAGGAGTCAATGGGAGCGAGCAGTGGTGTCCTTCTAGGGCAATGTGACTTGAATTTAAATTATCTGTCAATCAATGCCGCAGTTCAGTGTCTATAACAGGGCTGCGACTGCTGCCAATTTTCCGAAATTCATACTGCCAAATTATATGAATACTGTATACCTACAGACACACAAAAAAGTACACAGAGAGAGAGAGATCCAATCACAATTTGTCAATGCAAATTAAGGCAGTGCAGAGGTGATTGCAAAACGTGTAGACAGACACGGGCAATGTCTGCCTTCCAATTTCCAAATATACTTAATCAGAGTCCTGCATAAAGTACCTTTGTCTTTCCTCAGTTTGTCTAAAAAAATATTTATTCTGGTTTTAGATAAGAGTTTGTAAATTGCTGGTGGTGGAATATATTTATTATTATTGTTGTTTGCGGTTTCAGCTACAATTGAGATTGAATATTTGCATTTTAAAGAAAAAAATAACGAACGTAATTTTACAGCAGATTGCAATCATAAAAAGTTTGGGTTAGATTGGGGACACTAATTTAATCCGCGTCAAGAAATTTGACGTTGATTACATGAGTTTATAATAACTTTATCAGTTTGTGGAATTGAGTTTCATGAAAAACAAAAGTACGCAGATTTGAGGCTTGTCATTGTGCAATATTAGAAATAATTGGCCATGTACAGAATTATACGTACGCATGAAAACGATACAAAGTCGAATGTATTTCGTCGTGCATATGCATGTACCCAGTGTAAAAAGATACTCGAGAACAAATGCGTCCTTTAACAATTTGACTTGCATTACAGCAATTATCTATGTAATGACCATTTCCCATTAATACAATAGCACTGAAAATATACACATAAATGTGGTGAAAAGCAACTAGCCACAAGTACTTATGTATATCGATGAAATTGTCGTATTGTAAATGTATGTTGTTGTACAATGTTGGGAGCAATTATTTTCTTGCTGAAATTACATAAAGTATTATTGCGCTCTATGAAATTATTTAGAGTAAGACGACGACATGTGATCCTTATACACATTCTAATCCCAGAGTAATTGGGGCTACTTTTATGAATTAAGTTCTTTTAATTACTGCACTGCCCCAGTTACTGAATACGTGTGTGTACAAAATATTAGCAGTGGTGGTAACACTCCCATTACAAAGTTTAAGTGTTTCTGTGTGGCTTTAAATCCGCATATCAAGGCGCATCGATATAATTAGCTAATCGTTATCTCATGAGTAATCGTCAGTACAGCATTGACCTAAACACAATCGTTGAAAAGGAGTCATTCTCGTCCCCGGAAGTTCGTTGTTCGTCGATTCTAACTCCAAGTCATCCATGGCGTTAAAAACTTCTTCCAACGTGCTCTCCGTCATGCTGTAGTACGCCACGCTCGCAGACAACTGGGTTCGTATTTTTTCGAGTCTCTCAACAATGCTTCCCCAATTTTGAGTTTTTTGAGGAATTAAGTATTTCAATGTGTTTTGAAATGCGTCTCTAAACAAGGCATCATCAAGGCAGGCTTCAATGCTTGTCTTGATATCACTCACAGTTTCCAAGTCGGACGCATCATCGACAGAATACCGTTTCGTGAGCTTGAAGGTGACAGTATATCCATTTAGAAATCTGCTCTTTATCTCCCTAGCCGACCCTACATATTGTAAGCGTCCGTGGACCATGAGACCAAGTTTTCCGCACAGGTTTTCACACTCGTGAACATTTTGAGAAGCAAGAAGAATCACTTTCCCATCCTTCTGAAGCCGCTGTAGAGTGCCCCAGATATATTTTTTCATTGAAGGGTCGATATCTCGGCTTGGTTCGTCTGTTTTTTCAATGAAGAAATGATTATTCAACGATTTTATGACACATAAAAAAGGAATGATGAATGCTATGCTACCTAAAATGATAACCTGTGGATTTCCTATTAAAGCTACGGCCACACATAATCTCCTTTTCATGCCAGGAGTAAAATTTCCACAAAGGAGATTGGAATCATTTTCTAAACCTGGACATTAATTGCAAACAAACATGTTAAGCGTACATCAATTGACGATGAATTAAAACCTCTCGTACCAAGAGCCGACAGCCACTGTCTCACTTCAGTCATCAAATCGCTTAGACATATTCCCTTTAATGAACCATACAGTTGCAGTGTTTCGCGTGCAGTTAACCCAGAAAACACACAATTTGCTTGAGGGCAGTATCCAATGTTCGTCGTAAACTAAATAATAACAATGGCAAGAAGTAAAGACAAAAAAAATGTGTGAAAATGGATTCGTTCATTCCACAATAAAATATGACCATCACATCGGCACGTTTCATTGAGGTGTTAATAAATATGTACGTATTAGCAATCATTTGCATTTGTTCTCTACTTATGTATGTATGAATTACCTGCCTCCGGTTCCTCAGCATGCTGTACGGAGGGATGACCGAGTCCCCGACATCGGGGAGAATTTCTCCAGTTAGAGTCTTGAACACCAAAGACTTAGCATCCCCTAACCCTACAGCCCAAATTTAATACACATAATTAACAATTATATTAATTAAACACAAAATTCTATCTTTACCTAATAATCCAAAGCATTGTCCTTTTTTAACATCAAACGAAACCTGGGAATATATTTCGCCAATATTTCCATGATTTCTGCATAAATTATCAACCAGCAGCCCTTCATCATCAGGTACGTCTACACCTTTAAGCAAATGATGAAACAGCATCAAATCAGGAAATGTTATAATTTCCAATTTGTCAAAACGCAATCAATGAACCTAATCCAATCAGTCTTCGAACATTTTCAGCCTCTTGTGCTGCGCTGGGGTCTTTTTCGCCTCTCTCCGAACTGAAGTCTTCACTTGGAGCGGAGAGGAAGTACCGATTGAGTTTTTGGAAGTAGTTGTAGTCCATTAGCACCACAAGTACAAAATAAATCAAGGCGACAAGTCCCATAATGACCAAGTCTCGAGTCAGCGTGTAGCTCTCATAACCATAACTTGCATCAAAATAGTTTCGTGGTTGAAAACAATTGCTGCTGTTGCATTGGGCTGTAATATGTAAATAATAACAATGATCATAAATAAAGGATGTCACACTTTTGGGTTTAACATACAAAGGAAAAAATTGAAGCCATAAAATTTACCACAGCATGAGTAAGCAGGAAGATGGATGTAGAGTCCCTTCCGTTTGCAAATACCGGAGGAAAAGTGATGTGCTACAAGCTCGCAGCGACTATTGTCGATTACGACTTTGCCGTACACGTAAAACGAATGTACCATGAATGGAATTGGGAAGGGTGTGATGAGCTGTTGTGATTAGTCGATTAAGTCGATTTCAATACTGTTGATGCACTAAATTGAGACGAATCAATGATCATTTGTTATGATTACCCAAAAGTATAGTTCCGACACTCCATCATTTATTCCATCATGAGTGCGAAACATGATATGACTCCCCAGAACTGTGGTAACGATAAGCAAGTTGCGAGTTACAAGAACATGCAGAAATAGTCCGCAGCCAGAGATGGTTACATAATTTTAAAATAGTTTTACGCATGGTGGTTACCTGCCAATAAATGTAGCATGTTCAACCATACAAATGATGATGCTGCGTCATTGACGACTTGGCTAAAAAAGTAACCAAAGCAAACGACAGCGAATCCTCCCAAGAGGAAAATGAGAAACAGGGCCACTGAAATATTGCAACATTTTTTTGCAATAAAGATTTTATACACACGTAAGTACATATGTACGTGAGCATGGTTCAAAATTGTGGATGCGCTAATATTGGAATAATAATATTTAATGGTATTCCGAGTACCCGATCCTCCATGCATCGTGAACAAGTAGCGTTCTTGAGCAAAGAAGAAAATGAGAACTGCCACTCCAGCAAAAACGGTGACATACAAGCCATCCAGGATCAGGTAAGATGCCCAAAAGGTGAACGGATTAACTCCTGACATTGTTTGAAGGTGATGACTCTGTTTGCGAGTATCATAAAAAAATAGTTTTTCTTTTAACTCGCGACTATTTAATAATACGCATTTTTGCAAATCACGGCTTCATGCTGCAAAATTGAAGTGTAATTGCGTGCGTTGTAATTAATTATAGCGTAGTATAGGATACCCCAGAAACCCTTTCAAGCATCGGCTTCACAGCTACCATTGCACAAATAAGAGCCAACGCGTAGGCATTTAAACACAAGGACTTCAATAAGGCTGCTCCCCCACTATCACTTGCTACACTGCTCGTGGTTTCCTGTTTAATTAAACAATAAGTACGCTCGCATGCTTGATCTAACTTTAATCCACTAATATTTTGGGGCCTTACATCAGCTCCTGAGCTGTTCTTTAGTGGATGGTTTTCAACAATTATTCGCTGCTTAGAATTTGGGTAGACGACGGTTCTCAGGATCGTATTTGTCACGAGATTCAATGATAAAGGGGGTGAATTGAAGGGTACCGTCGAGTACATGGCCGTTATACTTGAATTCGTCTCGTTGGCAGCGACGAGATAATTGTGACGATACTTGGCAATGTTTTTCTCTCCAGCTTCCAACAATGCGTCGGAAATTTTAATATTTTGCGGAATGATTGGATTGGAATAATTTCCAACCACGAGCGGATATAGCATCTTAAGCCTCTGCGCACACATACATATGTGGATTTTCAAAATCAGAGTTATGATCGATACGGTAATTATTATATGTTACATTGTGGGTCATCCCGTAAAGAGTTATCGGGTTTCGATATCCATCCAGTCCAATATTAATTTGACCAAACCGTCGAATATCTTGATTTCTCAATGCTCTATTGGCCCCATTCACGCCAGAAATAATTAATATCACTGGAATTAGTACCTTCAAGAAAACAAATAATTATAAAACATCAGTTTCCCAAGACATATACTCATATAAGCTTTGTCTATGTTTCAAACCTGAAATATTAAGACGTTAATTTGACTGCAGGAAAGCCGATAATTTTTGACTAGCAAGGCCCAAAATCTGATAAATGCCAAACGACACCCAGATGATTTTGCTCCAATGAAAAATGAAGAATTTGAAAATTGGCTTTTTTTGGCTGGATTGGAAACGTCCGTACTGGAAGAGCTCTTGACGTTTAAAATTGGAGTTAGTGGCTGTTGCTTGAATTCACGCATTTCATGGACACTGTGAAACACGTCCTCGACGGACAAACTGTCAATTTGGACAGTGATCAACCCCAACGCGTCTTTGTTATCGTACAACTGGTAAAATAGTCTTGGGAAAAGGAATGCGTAGGCTTGAGGGACAATAAATGTCACATCTTCGCCTCCCACCGTGAGAGTTCTATTCTTCACATGAGCATGTTCCATTTCTGAGCAGATCATACGCACCAATCTTTCAGCACTATCTGCAATGCTAAGTTTGATTGTATACCCATCTCCTGTTGTTGTGATAAAGTTCGAAATAGTAAATAATTTCAAAATGATATAATTTACGTATACCTTGAAAATCAATTAATATGTATCAAATACTCACCAAAAACAGAATTCAAATACTGTGGCGTCCCAAAACAACGAAGTTTGCCATCGTTAATTATGGCAATTCTGTCTGCAATATCTGCTGCGTTTTCAATGGATTCTGACGAAAAAATTATTGTTCTTCCTTCTTTGTATTTCTTAAATTAAAAATCAGGCAATATACATCTTGAGTTTTTGCTATGTACACATATATTTTGGTTAGCAGATGTTTTAATATATGTACCAGCAGCGCATTCCAAAATATTTTTGAAGTGTCCACATCCATGTCGTGAACTGGGTCGTCCAAAATAATTACTTTTGGGTTCCCCATCATAGCAATCGCACAGCAGAGTAACCGTTTAGTGGATTTTGTTAATCTTATTTTTTCATAAATTAAAAATATGATGTAGCACATATAATTACATCTTTGCAAACTTTGTGATTACTTTTTTGCTGGCGTCTTAAGTGCGTCATTTAATTTCAGTATGGTTGCGACATGTCGAGCTTGAACCATTGTTGAGCTCCAATCTTTCCCTTTTAACTGAAATACATAAGGAATACAGATACACATAATAAGCATCAATTTACATCAAGATGTACATAACACTCACCCATCCAAATAACAGCAAGTGTTCCATAACTGAAAGATCGGCGAATAACATGTTCTTTTGAGGACAGAATCCTACACTTCTTTTCACGTCGGGCAAGTAGTCGTTGATGTCATACGAATTCACATACGCAATTCCTTCATCCCCTTTTATTACCCCTGCACATCAAAGAACGCATCAAATGTGCATCATATTATATAGGATATTATTATCATACACAACTGTATCTCCGCGAAAGCCATAAAAAATATTCATACTCACCAAGTAAAATGTCTATCAAAATTGTCTTTCCACTCCCACTATCTCCCAAAATGCAGGAAATTTCGTTTACATAAAAATCGCAAGTGAACCCCTTAATCATTTCCAAATTAAAGCTCTTTGTCATGTTTCTTATTTTAACTCCACATTCCTTGGCGGAATCGAGTTGTTCCACTGGTTCCGTCAATGGTGATTTTGCATTATCCGAGTGAAGAAGCCCCATGTCGTCCAAAACCTTCATCCTCAATGCACCCACGGGCGACTCGAACTGAACATCTTTCCCTGGATGATCAACTGCTTTTGACTTTTTGATAAACTTGCAACCCTTTTTGAAAAAACGGATCAGCTCTGGAAACTTGGTGTCGTCATATAATGCATCGTAGAGAAGTTGATAAGGTTTCTTCAGCCGTCTATTTGCTATTAGAGGATGACGGATGATCACAGTGAGAAGGAAGTAAAATATGCTGTTAAAAATTAGCATTGAAAACATGGACGCCATATTCAGCGAGTGGGTTGCACTCGCATATTCTTGCATGTTTGACCATTTGATACCGACCACTGTAATTTAATTTAATAAATTTACATGTTACCGGTATAAAATCTAACAGGTAAAAACATTCCGTTTTCATCTATTGATTCATACCTCGAGATTCCCAGGTTGCAATTATATTAAAACCCCAGAACAAGCACATATTTGGTGAAATCGCAATAAGAAACTGGGTCGCCAAAAATCGTTGAGATGTGCCAACCAAGATTGCTGGAACAATAAATGTCCCAAACCAGATTACAGCAGCTAAGCCTCTTGCATACGATGCTGTTATGAAAAATTAGGTTGATATTAATAATAGCTGCTCACTCATGCATGTGGGGATGACAAAAAAATCAAAATTACTCACCCGAGCGGAGCAAGTTTGCAATGAAAAAGCAAAACCACAAAGCAGAAACGGCGTATAATAGCAAGAATGTCCAAATTACAGAAGTTGAAGACGTGACAAGTGCTGCACCATCTCCGGTTAAATTTGTCGTCAAAATCAGAACAATAAAGATTATCGACACCAGTGCAACACAAAACAGGTCAAAAAACCATCCAAACCAATATCCCACGTGGCTCAATCCAAGCATTGTCAAGAATTGCTATAAGAAAAGCATAATATTCCGTTTGAAATTTACAATTGTGACCTTACATCATGCATTCAATTATTGTGATTTGTCTTACCTTGACCCCTGTAGTAGCAAAATAATACAATAAATGATAATTAATATGTTAGTGCTAAATTGATTTAACCTTTGAACGCTTGTTTGTTGTAGTTATTTTTTACCCGTAACTCTTTCCTCCACGATAACCTTAATAGAAATGCTGATCATGTAAACGAATCCAATTATTATTGCGGACGGCAAAAGTGTTGAGAGGACCATTGTGTAATGAGATTTATCCAACTTCCTGTACGGTGGATAAGGAAATGGTTTGGTCTCCACAACAAAATTATCTGCTGTCACATTGGTCATTGTAGAAATTAATTGTATGAAAGCATCATCGATGGCAAATTGTAGTCCAAGGAATCCTGTTTTTTCGTACTCGACATATTCTTAAATTCAAATGAATCAAGGTCAAAATCATCATATGCATAAAATTTATGCATTTATGAAGAACAAAAAACTACGTTTTCCAGGCCCAGCAATTTCAATATCCGGAAATTGCTTCCCAGTGATGAATTTCCATGTCAGTAGTCTAATCTTATAGACCAAATTTGTGTCCACGCCTGGATTGTTCACGAAAATCACGGCCCCCGTGAGAGAACTTGGAGATCCAAAGTATCCACTGGAATTTTGTTGCAGTAATGAGGCCAATGCTTCAACCTCTTGTTCACTTTTAAATCCATGTATCTCTGAGTTGACGATAAATCAATAATAAGTACATATGCATGTGCATGATGTAATCACTTTAATTTAGTTTGTACAACTATACCTAAATCTGCCCCGTTATTTTTAATTTTTACTCCAACATGTGTCATTAGTTCATTTATAAATGTGGTGTTGGGAGCATATGCTAAAATAGCTGTTTTTGATTGGACGGAGCATCCAATACTGCAGAGGCCAGATGTCAAGCTCTGATGTCATTTTATCAAGAACAATATGTAGTAAATAATTAGGTTTGTATCCACTACTTGATATACTGAAATAAATATAAATTAGATTTACAAACCTTCATGTTTTGAGTAGGAAAGATTGTTGGCTTATAATTATCGACAACGTCGGAATCTGGTTCCATGACGGCTTTGACTGACACAAGAAGGAGGACAAGTAGGACGGGGGCACAGATTTCTATCAAGGTTTGCCACTTCCGGTGCTTCCGTATTCTCCACGACTTCCATAGCACAACAGCTAGCATGCGACATTCGTACTGAAAAATCGCCATCGAAAATTTCATAGGAGGAAAAACCTTGTCGAAATTGTGGACAATAATATGATTGCTGCAAATATCTCTTTGATGAAGAATGGGCAATAAATGGATAGAGGGAATGAAATTAGAGAAACCCAAATCGTTTAAAGGCCAACTTTTATGAACTTCAAATTTTATTCAAACAAACTATAGTTACTAGAATTACACTGGACATTACATGATGGCAGTGTGGATTGTCATAATGATAAGATTTATGACGGTAAGTAGCGTCTTCGGGCATCTTGTCATCACTGATGAGCTTTTTCCAACATGTTGTTTGGCTATTGACTTCGCGTCTGCCCACACATATCGTTGCAATGTCAAATCATTGATTGCCTCCACGATATAAATTTCTTTCCCGTTTTTCGTTGCTATATCGTGTGGCATTGACAATTTGACATCTTTTGGAGAAGTCACATTAAGTTTTGGAGTTGGTGCTTTCTGTTTCATAATCGGGTGTGAGGAAATTATAGTAAAGTTTTTGGCCTGTAGTCCCACAATCACCATTTTCGCTTCTCCCACTGGCACATGACCTTTGATTATGAATGCTTGTCCAAATTCAAAGTTTTTTGCCGTTACGGTGGCTACGCTCAGGATCATTGCATGCTCAGATCCAAGATCACTTGCTCCAATTTCGTAAAGAAATGTTCCATTAAGGTCAAAAATTTGAATTCTTGCGCTATCTCGGTCAACAACTAGCAATATTGTTTGAGGTTGTTCTATTTCGCCGTGCGTGGAGTTGGTGCTTGTCCGCTTCGCCAAGGCCAAGGCATGAGTGACGTTAAAGGGAATTGGTGGAATTGAAAGGTCTGAGGAACCTGCTCCAAATTCGAGAAGATATTTTCCATTTTTATCAAATTTTACGACACGCGAATGACAATAGCCATCTGCCACGAAAAAATTTCCAGTTTCTGGATCTTCAACAATGTCTGCCGGACTGCAAAATCGATAGTGGCCATAACCTGCCACAAAGGGTTCCCCAATAACTAGAGAAGACTCATTGTTCCACTGTTTAGTCGAATTGTCCCAATCAAACTTAAAGAAATGTTATTTCAAATTACATATTTTTTTTCTTTATCTGCATTTTTGACATATGACCAGATTAAAGTAAAATTGTAGTTACTTTAAAGATTTGATGCATGACTGTGTCAGTGATGAAAAGGTCTCCATCTTTGTTGATAAAAAGTCCATGAGGCTTGAGGAATTTGTTGCTTCCCCATTCTCTCAAAATTTTGCCAGTATTTTTATCTATAATTGCCACCGTGTTTTCATGAATAATTGAATTTCTAGGTTTTGACCCCCCTTGAAATCCACGATGGAGTAAAACAATATTGCCAGAATTGTCAATTGTAACACTCGATCCAAATACTTGTAAATCGGACACGTTCTTATGTGGCCACCCTTTATCCAAACTATATTCACCCAAAGTTTTATTCTTGGAAATATCTTCTACAGTTTTTAAAGAAGAAGAGGAACTAATTTTAATTGCAAAAGCCAAAATTACGAATCTAAGCATTGTAATAAAATTTGTACTATGAAGGAAGACTTTCAACAAATGAGAGTTTGGACGTCAAAAGCAGAATGAACTTGAGTGAAGCCTGAGCTGGAATTAATTTCAGATTTCTGGGTTAAGAATTTCAAGAACCGTGTACATATGTAATTTTCTCCTTCTTGAATTTATTGCATATAAAACATCCCGTAAATCAATTTTAATTTGTTTTAACCTTGATTACGTTAACTATTCCATGCTCACCTCATAAAGGAGACACCTTCTTTTTTATGATTGACTTATATTTTGACACGAATGCTCCTATAACTCGTGCCTGTGTTCTAAAAGAAGCCTTGTGACGCCTGATAATGTTGTACTGCTTGATTCGAAGAATTTCATCTTTGACTTTTTCTTCCACCTAAACAAATTTTGATTAAAATTGAGTTCAACCTTTAAAACTGAGATTTAAAATTAGTACATGTATAAAAAATTAAAAAGCATACAGCGAATCCAAGCAAGTCTTTTCTTGTAACGATTCCCTGTACTTCGTTATACTCGTCAACAACTACCAAGTGTCGAAGGCCAAGATCTCTAAACACGACGTAGGCACGGTGCAAAGAAAAAGTGTTCGCCACACTGAGATACGATAAGTTAATGTACGGATACTGTAACATAAATTTCATTTTTGAGTAATAAAAAGTGCTATGTAGATAACGTGGATGCATCATTTTTTACATGCACACACACTAAAATGCTCACCAAATTTACAAATACTTGTTGATAGCGTTGGTCGGTGCTGTACATTTGCAAAATCTTGTTTGTTACTGCGCAATCTTTAAGTTTGGTGGATGTGTACTCGGGATAAGTTATTCTAATTCTGTCAATGTCATCTCTATTCAACTCGTTAACATCAAACCCTTCAGTTTTTGTCAGGAGAATCGTAAGCTCCATTCTATTAATATTCAACCAAATTACCATTATCTTGTTCAAAACAACGTCATAATTAAATTATATTCTGCAAGCGAATATGTATTAACCTGGAAATTAACCCCATGAACACGCACTTCTTATTTGGATCACTAGGTATCGGTTTCACCACTGGAAATGCTCCATGATTTGTGTCAAGCAGTAAATTCGCCAAAGTGAATACTGATGAGCGCAATAATGTTGTTATTGGCGGAGACATCATTAGGGAAACGGGAAAAAGTTCCAAGTCCACTCTGTAGCAATTTTCAATTAGTTAACACAATATTTTAGTATGAAGCTTCTAAGACGCCTTCTTCATATTTAGGTATTTATGCATGCTGTACCGCATATTATTATGATAAATTTTCAACTCAGGTTCAAGAATTGGGATGCATTTGAATTCGAGCAATGAGTGAACCAAGGAATGCGTGAATCTATCTCCGACGAATTTTGCTAACATTACCGAGACCATTACCAAGAGCGACATATTTATGTCATTCGTCATTTCAGCCTAAAATTAATCATACTCAACTGTAATTTATGAACTATTGCTATCAACGAATTGAAGTATTTTCTGTTGGATTACAATTATTATCACGGACGTTATTGGTTGCCTTGATGTTCCAGCAAAAAATGAAGCGGCACCTAAACATTGGAAATTGAATTGGTTAGTGTGTTATGAAACGACAGCAATAGAAATATTTTACCCAGCACAGCAAGGCCTCCTGGGTCCGAAAAATCCTATTTGGACATAAATTTATATAGGTATAAAAATCATTTGAGGTCAATCAATACATATGCAAAAGGAACTGCAATTAAAACTATCTATCACAATTAATGCAATTTAAAAAATACCCATTCAGACTCTGCGTTGTCATCGTCTGGACCCATATACCCTCCAAAAATGTCATGAATACATTTTCCTAACAATCTTCCATATAGCGCACCGATTGCTCTGAAAGATAAAGTCTACATAATAATTATGACAAACAAATGTCCAAGTTTCAACACGTTAGTTAATTACAATTGAGGGATGAGAAGTCCGCTGGCTATGCTAACCATCCCAGACCAAGATGAGAATACAAAGAAATAGAAAAATACACATGACAAACATGTAATTCCAAAAAAATCTGCTGTCTTCCTGGACAAGAGATTTCTGATCATTTGCTCCCACGACCCGAACATCAATGTAGCTCCTGAAATAAATCGTTTCATGTAGATGGATGGGTGTGGGTTCAATTTATATTAGCCATTTAAATAGCCAGCATTATGTATTGAATTATAATACCTTCATGAAATTCCCCAACATGTCGAACAATGGAGTTTTCTCTGTCAAATGTCTTGACAGATAACAACGATTCAATTAATAACCAACGAATCCCTATATGGCCTACTTTACTTAAATTATTACAAGCGAGAAAAATTGCTCAAAACCTTGATAAGACGTCGATGACAGTTGAAATTTCTTAGAACCATATGTCGAACTTCTCCATCACTTGAGACTGGCTCACTATGATTCACTCGGTTGCAATAAAACATGGGCATAGACATCATTATGATTGAGGAGCAAATAAACTGTGTAATTATTTTTTTAGGATTACACATGGTATAGGAAATAGTAGAATCACACTTACACAGAGAATCACAACTTCAATCACTTTGAAGGCGTTTGTCACTTCTGGTCTTTTAATCTTGTGGATGAGTCTCCTCCGAGCCTTGGCCATTTTTAAATACATGAAAATGTACAGTGATCCCAAAAGGCCACCCAACACACCAATAATCACGGCTGGGATGAAAACTACAAGGTTCAGCTTCAAATTGACCTTCATCTAAATATGTGAATCAATTGGATTTTAAAATTCAACTAATTGTTTAAGTGTCTGGTTAAGACATAAAGATTATCTCTCTTACATCAAACAAAGCTGATTCACCCAGTTCAAAAATGCCAAACTGACGCCCATGTTCGATTTGCTGTTCTATTGTTCCTGTGACACTGTGAAGCAATTCCGTAGTACTTCGAGCCAAAATACAGCACACAAAAGTCTGCCAAGTTAATCCAGTCGACCAACTGTACGAAAAAATGCATCACACAAATCATCGATTGCAAATCTAATATGATTGACTCTCATACTGTGTGGACATTTCCTCCATAGCGAAACACAGGCCAGTGATAGGGGACGAAAAAGCGCTCGCGACCCCAGCCGCTGCCCCAACACACAGTAAATTGTGCCTTGAAAATATTTTTTATATGAAAGAGTAGTATGTTTCAGAACGTTCAAACAATTAGTATTCTACCGTTCTTGGCAATCTCGATATCGACAGATTTTTTTATATTTTTGGCTAAAGCAACAATTCCCATTTCCAGTGCTTGGGGGTTTCTCAATATAAATATTTTCTTGGCAAGTCTGACAACGACAAGGACGAGCCATCAATGCCCCAACCATTGCACTTGAGAAAATTTCTATTAGTAACTTCGGATAGTTTTCCTCAACAACTTGATTGAACTTACCCAATATGAATCTATTAAATAAAGGATATGTATTAATAAGTACCCAAATCCATCACCACGAAATACTATAAAGAGCCATAATACAAGTTAATTGCTCGTATATTAAATAAAAAAATATGTACCATAGGCCCCTCAAAACCCACTGGAAGGCCACTTATTACAGTGAATATGCACGATATAATTTTGTAAGCGAGGGTTTTAACCCCTAAAACATTCCGAACCTGTGTATGCAATAATTTTACATCAAATAAGAATCGTTTGTCAACAATTGCATATTCAGAAATTAAATATCTCACCACACAACCATTTAGAACACCAATTATTTCTGGGACCTAGAATCAAACTTTTTTTTATATTTTGGTCAGTTTAGAATGATTTTTATTTTTCAACTGACCCCAGAGCCCCCTGCGTGGGGACACAGGTATACAACTACAATGGCTGATAATGCTCCACAAGTGCAACTAATTCCAGTGAAATAGACCCATAATCGGAAAGCTCTACCTCTCTGCAAAAATATTTTGTATAAATCACTGCATGTTTTTTACTTGTTTGAAAATTGCCTTATTCCGGGCACCTCTACAAAATTCTTCATAAAAGGGTTGTAAAATATCTGGAATTTTTCGCAAATCATTTTCATTACAAAGGTTAGCACACCAATTATTATTGCAATTAAGCCAATAATGAGCCAAGATTCAGAGTCACTTCTGTAAAAATTTTCCAAAGAAGCATTTGCATATAAATAAATTGAAGGTTTTATATTTTTTTGAGTGGATTTGATACCGTGGGGGCAAGGAAGCAAGCCAATGTCGAAATACAGCCGTGTGAGAGGGTTTCAAAGGTGCGCTTTCAAAAGTGGCCATGATTCCTTTTTCTTCTTCAGTGAAATGATGCTTCTGTTTTCTTGGTTGGTAATCCCTTCCCTAAAATCAATTGCAGGTTTATTTATGACTAAACTGTACAGACTTTGTTAATTTATCCATTTGGGTAATACGGAATTCACACTTTTTTAAAAAATTCCAAGTTTTCATCCTTCGAATTAATTTGCCACTCATCTTCTGGAAGATTGACCACATTAACGGCATATTCGCTCAATTTCTTGGAATTCCTGTCAGTTGACGAAGAAAAACTGCTCGACACTTTTCCTGTCGTCGGTGAACTCGATAATCGTTCACTTGTTCTGGCGTGAGGTTTTAGAACATTTTCACTCACTTTTCGATTATCTTTTTTCATCGTGACTTTATAATCTTACAAAGTAAAACTTCTTTCAAAGTTGCAACACAATTTTGCATTGAGCCATCATTATTTGTGGCACGGTGTGCCATTTCTTCCCCTTAGGGGAAGTAACTACGGAAATGTCAAGCAATCTTGGTACTTATAGTTTGGGGAAAAAGTGAGTCGGTTTTTATGCACATTTTTAGCCCGAGCCAGGGCTTTTGGGGGACCAGTTAGGGTCAGATAGGTCGAGTAGGGTCGTAGTGAAATTAACAGAAAATGTGGCTGAATATGTATGCAAATTCTTTGTCTTATGAATATGTGGTTAAACTCATTGGTATTTACTTTATCAACGTATTTTAATAAACTAAGCGAATAGGTAAAAAAATTGGCGTATATGCATTTTATGCAAGCGTATGAATAAAGTAAATTTTCACAAAGTAAGATAATTTATTTACAAACGTATTATCAATCAACACCTATAAAAGCATAATAATTACACCTCTGATGATGATGATCTTTCTGGAACATAAAACAATACTCTGCAGTATTTTAATGCTTTTTGTAGTAACACCGGAATTTCTTCAAGATTCACTTGCTTCTCTTCGTCCAATAAACTTTCCAACCAATATCCAAATCCAGAAAGCTCCTTAATCTGTAATAATTACCATCATATCATAACAATTTTGCCTGACGAAGAATTTCTGAATGAATACCAAAAGCTTAATGTTATGTAAAATGGCCTCAAACACCGAAGTACTGATTATAATAATACTAATTTTGAACCAATTCATTCGAAAACGTATTAATTGTATACCTGCAACTTTCCATTCACGACGCCATTCACGTACACCCATGGACTATACGTGTCTCTGCCATCCTTCAAGAACACGGAGTACTGATTGTCCTTCAAGCAAATTAATGCGGACAGAGAAAGGGTTAATGAGGACGAGGAGGAAATTGGAGTCATCTCCAATTCGTGGTCCGTCTTCATATGAAGTCCTTCCAATAAATCCTTGCATTCTTCACAAAACAAAACTGCACCGCTTCCATGCACCTCGGAACATTTTTTACATTGCAATGTTGCTGAATGATCACAGTAGCATTTTTGTAAATAATTTGTAGAATCTGTTGAACGGATGAAATTGTACGTCTTGCGGGCATTATTTTTATTCAGATATGTATTTGTGGATATTCTTACCCTTTTTATCGATGAGGTGGTCAATTACCATTGTCAGGTTTGGAATTATCGCATCATAGTGAATTACTCCATCGTTGGAAGAATGTGGCATTTGCAGAATCAGAGAGGGACTCGGAGTATCCTCCAGTTTGAGATTGTCTTGAAGCTGCAAGCTTTTTTCAAAAAGGTCTAAAACACTTCGAATTTTGGACTTGTCCGTAAAATCGATGAAAAACTGATGCAAGTAATCACACATATCTAATGAGTAATTTATGAACGGAGTCATTTTGTAAGTAAATTCAAATAAGATGGTCAGAAGTTCCTCAACATCTGCGCAATTAAAGGAGTATTTTCATATTAATGGTATAATTTCAAAGAAATCACTGGTTGGACTTGAAACTCACCTAAAGTGCCAGAACATAGATGTGCTAACGACTCTTTCAACAAATATGCAAAATCAGGATGAACAGAGTTTGATTGCCTCAACGGAACAGCAAATTTTTCCCGAATTATCCATTTCACTGTTCTACAAAACTCGTTATCCTGCGCGCTATACATTAACATTTGTTGGTCAAATCCATTGGACTCATATAGTAAGGACAGAAGTGTAACTCCGAAACAGTTGTCATTATTCAGTGCCAGCGTCTCATCAAGTTCTAAAGTATACATGCAAAGAAGGTGTAAGAAAACCAGGCAATTTATGCGTACAAAAATAATTTTCATGCAACGTACCCTCATCAAATACGTCAGAAATAGATCCACTATTTTCAGGGGCTGCAGAAACTATCGCTACATTTGATGGAACAATTTCTTTGCCCTCATCATCCTCTGGAGTTAATGGCACAGGATTAGGATTGAAGTTAAGCTCACTGCCATCATCGGTGGTGCCAAATTCTTGCGAATCTTGGCTATCTAAATTTGACGGAAGAGAAATAATGGGCCGAGGTGGAGGTGTTGGACCAGTAACTTTCGACTGAATTGGAGCATCTCGCTTTTCATGCTGGCAAATGAAACCCCGTGTTTTTTAAAAAACCGCAGGAGCAAGATAAACCAAATACATATTCAAACTTACGAAAACAACGGAAGAAGGAAAATTTACGTATGGTGTGTCCGAATTTATCGATGACAATGATTCCCCAGATTCTGGTACCTTTTCTAACGACGTTCCAGCATTACTGGACGAAGCTAAAATATTTAATTGTTTCACTCATCATCATTCGATTCAAATTTTCAGGATCGTAAAAATTAACTACACACACATAGTGCATATTTTACTCACTTGCAAATGTGAATTTTGGCACAGCATGGTCATCTGCGAACGTTACGTGTTTGTTTTTGTAATCTGGTGGAGAACCTCTGCTGTCTACTTGTTTTGGCTTTGTGAGTTTAAAAATGTATTATCATTTAAGTAGCTGATAAGTTCCAACATTGCTCATACGATAAAATTCTCATTTTAATACCTGCGGTTTGCTCCTCATCCAAGGTGGAGTGATCACAACATAATCTCTCTGCTGATCTAACGATGCACTAGAACTGGACACAGATGAAGATCCTTGATGACTAAATCGATTTTCATTTTTTGAAGTAGAACTTCCCACTGGAAATCCTGGAGAATAACTCACACTCCTGTTCAGCGTTGGTCTTGTGGGGGAAGCGTGGTCTGTGGCGGTCACGTGCTGAGTTTAAAAATAGACAAAAATAATGACCAGCAAGGTCAATATAATGATGGATATTAATAAGCTTATGAATACACCTTGTGAATTTATGTACATACATTATTAACGTAGTTGTCTTCGTTCTCTGCATTAATTGATGTGGTGGATTCATTCATGGATTCCCTTATCCCAAAAAGACGCTTCGATTCTCCTGGAAGGCTCAAAGTACTGTTTCTCATGTTGATGGAAGAATTTGAGGTATTGTTGTACATCGGGTAAATATTCGTCGATGAGAGTGACTTTCCATATGCACTCATATTACTAAATAATCCCGGATTCGTATTATTCGCAGTGCTCGAAGAACTTATTGAACTTGTCGACTTATTTGCATTCACATCTTTTTCTAGCATAATTTCTTCAAAGGGAATTGTCACCTCCTGTTTCTTGTCCGTGCGAAATGAGCTAAAAAGTCTATTGCTTCGTTGTGTAGTTCTTATCTTTCTGTCCTGCGATAAAGGGTAAGCAAGTCAACTAAATTATTGTGTAAAGCATTTGCAAATGCATTAATTTCTAGTATTTACGAGTCGTATTTTTGCACAAAGCTTCCCCTCTTTTTTAAAAATGGATAGCACAACGCCACTCAGCGGTTCTTCATCCTTCCTCATCCATTTTACACGGTCATTTTTCACAATTGTGTCATAATCCTCTACAAGTATTTAATAGTCAGTAACCGAATTAAAACGTAGAGACTTGACTTTGGTCTTTACTGTATGAATATGAATACACATGTACATATGTACGCACCTAAAGGTGACGTCGGTGGGGTCAGGATTGTGTTGACCATAACATCATTTTCTCGCTGGAGTTGATGTAATTGAATTTCTAATTGATGGCAATAAATTTCCAAATTTTCTTGCCTCTCCAGGAGCTTGGCCTTTTCCAACGCTTCGACATGATCTTCGAGTAAATAAATTCGCCGATTTTCCTCTTCTTTCACTCGAGTCAAGCATGATGGACAAATGTTTCCGCTTTAAGTAAAATTCAGAGTATCATTCAGTAATCATCGTATACGAATGTATTTTCTATCATAAATTCTATTAATTTCCCACTTACTTTTCTGTTCCAGGGCTATTTTGGTTCTTAATTTTTTGAGTTCTAAACCAACTTTGAAGACATTCATAATGATACAAGTGGCCACAGCTTGTTGAAATCACCACATTTTCTACTAATTGCTCCAATAATGAACCATTTAACCCACCAGGCGAGTAACTTATCAATTTTTCTTTGCAAATTAGACATAAAACCGACATCTTTTACAATAAATTTTACAAATGATTTTCAAATTGCGAGAATTTTTTTATAAATGGAATAAGTTATTATTTCAAATACACTCCAATGGTTTTTCTTTAAACTACAATTCATATTAATTATAGTACAACAAAAGCAGATGTATATTTGGATAAGTTACCTTATTTTGGCCTATACCCTGCATAATCTACACATTCCAGCACAATAGTAGAATGGTTCTGTTAATCTCATAGATTAGATAATACATAAATACCTAATGGAGTAAAAGATAAAGAGAATGTTGACGCGAGATTTGCACTGAACTACTGATTTTTGTGATGCCACAAGGAAAATTTATTTGAAGAGGTTGATGTGACGTGGATAATGGATATACAATAATATTAGCATGCGACAACATATTTATTATAGTTATTTATTTATGTATTTATTTATGCATATGTTCATTTTCCTTTCAGAGGGTGGGTAAATTCATTTTCACTTAACGTCTAAGTATGGCAATAATTAGATTTTTGTTCAAGGATCACAATTAGTTCCGTAATTTGTTCGAAGCCGACAAAAGGAACATTTAACTACTTCCATAATCAATTAAGGTTGCATTCGATTATTGCACATTTTACGATATGAAAAATTGAACTATACCAAATAGTGAACAACTCATTGTAATGCTGTATTAGAATTATATTATTGGAACTGTTACATATTTAGAGACTATATGAGGTTTAGCAACAAAAAGTACTTATTCAACAAAACAGCATACACAAAGAGGAAATAAAGTTTGGGAGTCGCTCCTAAACTTAATTGCAATGGATTTGCAAATAAGCACCTCCTACTAACCCCCTCCCTCCTCCCACACTGGAGAGTAAATGTTGGTAAAATGAACATCACCGTCATCACCGGATGATCGGGTGTGGTATGCCGAGTCCCATCAACATGTCCCCAAAATTTTTTAGAGGATCGTGTGTGCTCAAGTATTCGAAACGTTGCAGTGTTAGAAATTAGATAGTTGCGTATGTACCTAAATATTTACATTAGTATGCATGCAAATAATTAAGACCATGTATGTAATATGCGCACATACATATATTTAATAAAGGAGGTAAAAGTGTTTGAAAATTTCTGGTCATAAATTACTATTAGTATATGGGTTAAATTTAATGCACCGCCGAATAAGCTGAAATTTACCACAAATTTAGACTGAATTCGCCACCGGATGAATTTTTTCCAACTTTGGCCTTTTTAACCATAAATTACGATGGTGGTTACCACAAATTTAGATGAGTTGCAACTAACGTATTTCATGGGTACAGAATTATAAATACAATATTTAATTTACAGTATGATTGATTTATTTATAATCTTTGACGTCTTTTTTTAAAATACACCCGAAATTAACTAACAATGAGCGTTTTTTTAGCTTTCGCAACCCTACCCCGTTTACGCTTTTCACCTAATGGAACGGTTTTGGCTTCCGGTCGAACATCATAAACCGTATTCTGAACTGCTAAACCAAGTATATGCTTACAAACATGTTCTTTTAAGTAAACGGGACATGAACATGTGGAATTAGTCCATTGATTGGTGTGGAATTTAACCATCCATAATCTTGTGGTGCTGGCGACGTACGAGTCGAAAGTTCTCCAAGATTTGTTCGTATTCATTCGCAAGTACTTTTTAACATCATCCTCTTTCAAAGGAGGTTGATTTGAAGCAGAGACAAAATAATGCCTGACATAAAGTTCATCTTCAGATGTCTTATACCTTGGAATCTGAGGTACCTTTTTGCTGTTTTAAAGCATGGTCATGCTGTTCTATGGTGGCTTGAAGTTCGACAATGGTAGATACGGCCTTCAAAATTAGTCTCCGTTTGGCAGAACATGCAGAGGAAGATCGACAATTGTACTTCACGGTTACTCCTTCTTCAGTAGAATATTTACAGTGATAAATCCATTGTCCCTCTTCCTTTAAGTAAGTCTCGGCCTCTTTTTTATTTTCAAATTGACGAAGAACAGACCACTCGCCACTACGCCTGGGTTTCTTAGATTTGGGAGAATTTTCCTCAGAGAGAGAGGAATCAGCATCACTGGTCCAGTTAAAAACTTGGGAACACGCCATTTCTTTGGTTTTAAAAATTTTTCTTTAGATGGATATATTTTAACTGCAGGACAACTGACTGTGAGAGTGATGACCAGCCGAATGGTAATACATATTCAGTCAGTTCTCATGCCCATAGTCTTGTCAATGATACACAAATATATACATATGTACATGAAACGATAAAGAAATTACCATGATTCCTTGAGATTATTGTAATTATAGTATTGTTTTATAATCCTGTACCCATGAAATACGTTAGTGCCAGCTCATCTAAATTTGTGGTAACCACCATCCTAATATATGGTTAAAAAGGCCAAAGTTGGAAAAAATTCATCCGGTGGCGAAATCAGTCTAAATTTGTGGTAAATTTCAGCTTATTCGGTGGTGCATTAAATTTAACCCTTAGTATATTTACTGGGGACGCCAAACAAACAAATTCCACACCTGAATTATCTAACATCATAGTGATGATCCCATAAGCGGTCATATGCATGCAAAGCTTCCCAGTTGACATGAAAAATTGTCATCTTTTTTCCCATTCATTCGTACATAAATACGTAATTCCGTAATTATTATGTAGGTACATATAAAAAGTAAAGCAGCCACAAACTTTCCAAGCCTTGAAACTTTCCTTTCGCATGTGAAATCCCATAATCGGTTGGTCAACCGTACAAATCCTCTCGATCAAATTTTTAATCTCGTCACGGCACACTTATCTCCAGGAATTTCCAGACATTCACCCCAAATAAACCAGAATTATGTTTATAACTCTAAATATCTATGCAAGATTCGCAAGATTGATTTATATGTCAATATATAATAAGTACCTTGATACGATAAGCATCTCAAAGAATAAATTGGATAACCCACAATTCTAACCGTTTATTGAATATAAATGCGTATTTATTTATTGTTATTTAAACATATCAATCAACAACAATTGAACATCTTTCGTATTTCCCAAATTTTTGATACGATAATATTTTCGTATAAATAGTACCCCGTCTTGATCTCGTTATTACAATCAACCAGTCTTCTCCCATTTTACGAACCCATTCCATTCCAATCTTTACAAATCATCAAAATGAACTTCGCCAGTATCCTCATCGGCGTCATTTCTCTTTTCACCTTCACTTCCGCCGGACCAGTAAATGTGTCTCGATGTGAAGGTAGTAAGCCATCTTTTAACAATTATACTGGTGACAATAGTTTACAGAAATTATTATTTTACCAGGTTTTGGAACACCGATTGAGACCAGAATTTCTGACTGTGACGGATACTGCACATTCATTCCGGGACGAGTATATAATGCGGAGCAAGATTTTATGCCAAGTAAATTAGACAACTCATGCATCATAATTCACAATAATTTCTAATTAATAATTTCATACGATCTTTTTAGTCAATAATTTCAAATTAATTTAATTTAATTCATGTGTGTAGGTGCTGCCACTCCATCGCTCACCCTTAAGGTTGAAATTTGCATGAGTGCTGGATTCTGTATGCAAATTTTCGAAGTGGAGCTTCCCGGTTCATCCGTCCAGCCTGGATTCGTCTACACGTCTAAATACTCCGTTGTACCAAACGATATTTTGGCAGGTCAAACGGTCCAGATGAGGGCCCAAATCTCCCACACCGATACTCGCCGTGTCGACGTTTGCATCTATTGTGATGTTGATATTGCAGCATTGAAATAAATAAAAAGTTGGAATTATTCCAATCGTAAATAAATTTTGGCAGTTATTTAAAATAGATATGTACATACAACGTATGCAAATAATTCATGGTATATCTTCATTTCTCAGATGACCTTAATTCAAGTTAAATCAATTTAGTTTATGGAAATTTATCCAAATTTAACTGGTTTTATTATTTCGAAAAGTTAAAGTATTAAGTATGATTCGAAACCTTTGAGCAGGAATCGAACATAGCAGATGTTTATCCTTACAACTAAAATTAAAATCAAGGGCGTCTTTCTACGTATTTTGTAAAAGTTTGTAAAATTATTTTACAGAATTTACGGACTTTACAAAATTGCTAAGAACTGCGTGAATTGATTCATTATCACTTAGGAGTAGTTAGGAGAAATTTAAATATGAACCAGAGCGTAGAATTTTCCTTGATTTGATAATGTAACTGTAAAAATTGAGACCTCCGTAGACAACCTGTTTCTTTGCTGAAATAAACTCTGGAATGCATATCGAGTAATTTAAATCCAATATTATTTGACACTTTATCATTCTATACATGTTGCGACAAATGAATTGTTTCCAACACAAATTTTCATTTTTGAAGAAATTAAATTTTAATTAGAATATATTTAAGCTAAAAATTAGGATGATTTCATCCTCAGGAATTAAGTCGCTTTGTCTGCCTATTCAAAAGTTATTCAAGGTTAAAGTCGTTGGGGCAAACCAAAGGACTTTTGCCCCAACGATTTAAAAAATGAAAATTTTCTAAAAAATAATCCATTTGTCGCAACCGTATGGGGCACCACCCCATAGAAACGATGTCAGTTAATCGTGATTTAAATCAGATATCTTTGAACATAATTATGAAAAGTTAAGGTACCACAAGAGGTTGAATATTTCAATTTTTTATGGACTTAGCAACATGATTTTTTAGAGAACATGAGTCAAGACATGAAGTACAGCTCCGCATAGAAACAAGGGCATTGGGGTATTTTTAAGAGCTCCCCGCGATGGAGGGGGAGGACTTTGAGGTCATAATGGTTGTTATTTGGAGTCGTTATATATTTCTGCAGGGTGTATAATCGGTTTGTGGGCTCATTTGTGTCGGGTAATGAGATGTGAACCATTTTTGTCCTCAGAAACATAAAATAATAGGGAGGGGCAAGTGTAGAAATACTATTTCGAAAAGTATGGAGGACAATATGGAAATGAGACCCATTATGCTCCCCATATACAACTATTTCGCACGATATGGGAATCGTCGCACATTTGTGCTCCGGATGGTTTTGACGCTAGGACGTTTTAAAAAAAATCATCACGTTCGACTATTTTGGCTATAAATACTTAAGTATAAGCAACAGCAGAAGGGGACATTTACCAAAATTTAGAGCAGTATATTTTTTACAAAATTTGTATTTGAACCAAATTTCTACCTACTATAATTTCTGAGAAAATTACAATCAAAGTGAGTGGTATAATTCCTTGCCAACTCTCTTGTGGTACCTTAACAAAACCCAGGAAATAAAAATCAACCGTAATGAATCCTATCGCTCGTCCATTGAATATTTTCATCTCTAAAAAATTTCGCCTGATCAAAAAATCACATTTTCATACAAATCCTGACCTCGTCATGTAAGCACAAAGAATTTGCAACCTGTCGAAATATCGTTTGGTACAACGGAGTATTTAGACGTGTAGACGAATCCAGGCTGGACGGATGAACCTTATTTTGAAAGATCTCGCAATGGAGAAAAAACGATAATCTCCGGAGCGTCCTTTCGACCAATAGCCAAATCCATGACGACCGTGGGTTATATTTTATGCTCAGCATGTATTCAGTAATTCAGTTGCACATATTTGCATAGATGCACAGGATAATTCAGTTACATATGATTTAAAACCCCACCCATATTGTGTCATCCTTGCAATGGAGAAGGTGAAAATTGTGCCACCTCCTTCAACACTTTCCGTCTCCAGCTCAGGGAATATTGTTGACGATGTTTACAATGCATTTAGTATTCGTGTATCCTCACTAACAAATAGGAGACCAGTCTGGGTCGTAAATTTTACCGTGGATCAAATCTCATTTTACATTGGTGCTTTGGGTATGAGCTTAATGAAAGTCATCCTTTTAATGAGTTACGTACCTACGACATTAATTTTGAATGCTTATTTTCTAGGTGGGATAGGCATGGCGTACTTGATGAGCCAGTACGACCTTCAAAATATTGACAACATGGAATACTTTAATCATGATGACAGAGAAAGTCCTCCCAACGTCTTCTTGGACTTGATACGTCACATTATTACCAATCCATTGCACATTGTCCATCGCTTCTTTGTCTCTGGAAGTGTGTATTGTCTTATCGGCTTGGCCACCAGTCGGGTAAATATGTAGTTGTGGCTTTGTTGCCGTATATTGTTTAAGAGCAACTGTACCATACAAGCCCATTGATTTTTATAATTGATAGATATTCAGACAGGATGGATGGATGAGACCTTTAACGTGTGGAAGTTTTACTGGTCTCTACTTTACTAATGGAGGTTAGATGTACATATTCTTTTAATGTTTGAAATTTCATGATTCTTAAAATTTAATCTTTACTTAAACGTAGGTACTTTCATGGACAGGATAAAGGGTGCCGTTGGATTTTCTGTATTTGCTTTATTGATGGAGGGATTTTTTTCTATTGCTACAAGATAAACTTCCTTACAACTGTCAGGATTATGTGGTTGGCAGAAATTTATTTTGCTTATTATCATTATTCTAAGGGACTGTGCAAAAAGCATGTGATCGATTTGAGAGGGACAGGGGTCAAGGAATCATATAGGTCACACCAAGGGGTAGGGTTCAAAATTCTCTGAAAATCCATCACATGCTATATGTCCGGCCCCTAAGTAATCTCTGAATAAAGTGTAATTAAATCACAGTACTATTACATGTTCATATTATTGCACGCTTACACATGTACCAGCATCTTTTTAACCACTCAATTACGCTTATTTCATATTATTAAGTATTTTGACCAGTAATGGCAGTTATTGAGCTTAAGTAGGACTAGTGACGCATCCAAATATGTACAGGTTATCATGTATATGTACTAATTAAATAGAATCTCATTGTCTTTGATTATCCAAATTTATAACCCTTTGTTGAAGTAAACTTTCTCCACAGGAGTTGGCAGCTTTCTTATCCGATCCTGTATAGAATTAATAATTACAGTGATTAGGTATTATTTTTGTATAATTTCGTCAGCAAGAGACTACCTGAATTTCTGGCTCGAGACTGGAAACACTTATCGATGCCTTTTGGGGGAAGAGTGCACATGCGAGCGGCGTCGCGAAGGTGTAGCACAACCCGCAGAATAAAATTTGAATAGGTGCGGATGAGCGCGGGTAGCGTGCCAAAAATCCACGTTTTTCAAGATAGTTCATAAAAAATGGGGGAATTACTACGAAAACATTATTCGTCATTGGTATGATTTCACAGTCTCAGTATGTAATATCGCTCACTAACCGAATCCTGGTGCAGCCATCACAATTCTACTAAATGTGACTTAAGAGTTTTTAATGATTAGATTTAAATAGTACTTTAATTATTTAATAGGGCAATATTGACCTCACCTGCAGTAATTCCATATTTCGCAGCGGCTTTTGAATTACCTAACTCATTTCCATTCTTGTCCATAACAGGGATACCCTCATTAATTTCTCTGTAATGCATAAATCCATATAAATCCAAATTCCGACACAATTGAAGCTATGTATATGCATACTTCATTCTCATTAACGGGATATTGATGCAATTGGCCACTGCAATGGCAGCGAACGGTACGAATCTTCCCACAAGTGGAGGCGATTTCTAAACGGTTAAAAATTCCTCAGTAGTCATATGAAAATTCCTTTTTTCAAAACCTTACTTTGACTAATGCATTTAGTCCCAATGCGGCAGCCAACGCTTAAAAATAATTATACATAATTTTAGATTTGTAACAATATTCCACATCGAATATATTTGTATCAATATTCCACTTAAGTACCTCCAGTTGTGGCAAATACGTAAGACGTACCCAATTGTCTGCAATTGTGGTAAACGTCATTTTTTCAAGTCAAAAGTTAAATAAGAGTATTATCAGGCTGCTTGCATTTAACTTACTCCACAGTTATTGGAGTCTTCCCAGATCTATTCGTATAGTTGACCACTGCATTAAAGGATTGATTAAACCATTGCCAAAAAACTACTTCTCGAGTGCTCCTACAAATGCATCAACATACAAATTAAATAAGACTTTCGTGAAAATAACAAATTTAACATTTGTAATTAATTTACTTGTAGAATGTCAACATGCAGCCCCCGATAATCTGGAATTTTCATGCACGTTTATTAGCAAATTACTAAATATAATACTTGGAGTTTATGAATTAGAGTTACTAATTATGCTCATTACCATACACATTGGCACCTGGGCTGACATTCGGCCAATTAGCACCATTTTCTCGCCTGTATCCGGATGAAAGGCAGAGTCGTACACATTTTTTGCCTTCCACAACTCATCTTCCGATAAGCCGGTGCTTTCTCCATTTCTGTTTAATCAAAAAATCACCAATTTGAGTCAAACAAGTGTAAAACAAGGCTTTGCGGTAATTCTAAATTGAGGTGCTGTGAGAATTTTAGCCAACCTGTGTTTGGTCACAATATCCTTCGCACTGGCGAGTTCCGACCCAGTGCACAAAATATTGAGAGGATTTGTCGTGTTAAAAAAATGCCGACACCGGCCAAAATATGTACTGAAAAGCACGAAAAAATTAGTACCTAAGATTGTTTGAAATACGCAGGTTGCCGTTTACCTCTGATCAAATCTAGGCTGATCTAAATTTATTTGCTTTATTTCTAACGACTGCATCGTGCTGCGATTATATTTTCTTAAATCCTATCAATGTGTAACTACGATCTAACTGTGACAAATTTCTCTATCAAAATTAAATAGATGTGCACAATCTTGTGTTCCTTGTTACTAGTTATGAGTCAAGACTCATAATAGGTCTGGAAAAGCAGATTCACTTTTGTTACACAATTACTACATGATACTTGAGTTGCTGATACCACGCCAGAACCACTTTAATTATCCAGCCTAACCAGTTTTCCTGTAAAATGATCTATGTATTTACAAGAACTTAAATTTACTAAACTGATACAAAAGGATGTTCATACTATCCGTACTTGATATCATAATATTGAATTCGGGTGCAAGTTTTCTCAACTCCTTTTTATCAACCAAATGCAAAAATCGATGTGCATACAGAGTCCCATGAAACTGGAAGAAATCAGTTACATGAAGTCAAGTAGACTTTTATTCAAGGGTCAATAGATACTAATTTAGTAATTTCACTACAAATGATCTGATCTGATACACACATATAAAAAAGCAAACCTGTAATATTGAAAAAGAGCACTTGACTTGTTTCAAGAATACCGATATTCTGAGTTGAATAATAAATCAAACATTTATATTGAGAAGTCGTGCATATATGCTATATGCTTTATAATATAATCTTTAGAACTTGATAAATTGGGCTGGAGCTGGAGGTGCAGGGGGTGGAACGGGAAGTTCTTCTTCAAAGGGTGGCATTGGCATCGACCTTGGCTCTGCTTTAACCTCTTCTTCGCAAATGTTTCTACTGCATTCGTAACTGGCTACGCAGACACATTTATTGCACTTGTCGGGCAGGTAAAATCGGCCCCTGGAACATCCATCTACACAAAAAAATTGAAACCAAACTACGTGGGTATTAAGTATGCCCGTCGAACGAGTAAAAGCTTGATAATTAAGTAATTACCCTGACCGTCGTTTCCTTGAAAAAATATAAACACTACCAAAATCGACAAAATCGTCACCATGAAGTTTGGCATGTTGCCTTTTAGCTAATGTTTAGTTTTTAAATGCATAATACAATTATGCAGTAGTGAGAATGCATGTACATACATACATTTTTTTTTCATTTTGTTATTTGACTTGCCCTTTTTTATTGGGCATTCATAATTATAATTTTGATGGAATACAGTGTCGGACAGATGTCTACGTCCACATAGTCGCGTCAATTTCATTTTCAAATTGTCACTGAACTACTGAACCAATTTTCATCATTGATATATCAAATTCTCACAAATTTAACGTAATTTCATAGCACATTATTAGTTTTCCGCTAAAAAATTTATTTTAGGCCAGAGATGTATTTTAATTCAAAATGAAAACAATTGGATGGACAAAAGTCAACGTCCAGTCAGAGAAAACATACAAAAAAAACTGTAATTTATAAGGAATGTTATAACAATTAATTTTTAATATTTGGTTGGGCCTCCGTTCGCTTTAAGGACGGCTTCAAGGCGTCGAGTCATTGAGTTTGCCAAATTCTTGGTCACATCTTCAGAAATGGTTTCCCAAACTTCACGAATTCTGGATTTAAGGCCCGGAATTCCTGAAAAAGATTGTTTTCTTATTTCTCTTTCAATGTGGTCGCACAGATGCTCAATGGGATTCAAGTCTGGAGATTGGGGAGGCCATTCTAGCTTCGGAATTTTTTTTTCTTGAAGTATTCCATGGTGGACTTGGCAGAGTGTTTCGGATCGTTGTCTTGTTGGAAGGCAAATCGTCGTCCAAGTCCAAGTTTTCGAACAGATTCCTGGATATTACGGTCAAGTATTCCCTGGTACTTGTATTGGTCCATAATTCCGTCAATAAATTCCATTTTTCCTGCCCCACTTGAAGCCATGCATCCCCACACCATTACCGACCCGCCGCCGTGCTTAACTGTGGGGTTGAGATTTTTTGGATTCAAAGCTTCTTTTGGATATCTCCACACTCTACGACGCCCATCTGACCCAAAGACATTGAACTTTGACTCGTCAGTCCATAAAATATGTCCCAGAATGTTTGTGTCTTGGAAATGTGGTCTCTGGCAAACTTCACTCGTTTGGTTGCATTCCTCGGTACAATAAGAGGCTTCCGGACTGCTCTGTGGGATTTCAAATTTCCCTTATTCAGTGTTCTTTGGATGGTCATAGGACTAACCTGTTTGCCGAACATCTCCTTGATCTCGGTAGATAGCTTTGGAGCACTAAGTGAGGGTGTAACGTTGACTTTGTTGAGCACGTGGCGTACTTCTCGGTGAGCCAAAATGGGTTTTCGACCACTTCTGACCTTGTTTTGGACTGAACCATTAGCTTTAAAGTTCTTAATGATTGTCTGGATGGTTGTCCTTGCTAATTTATACTTGGTCCATATTTGTCTCTGCGACAGCCCCCTTTTTGTCCACCCTTCCAGTCCTGAATGACAAGATCTCGAATAGCGATAGGAATTTCCTTGCGTGTCGACGCCATCATATTTTTCTGGAAGAAAATTATTTAAAAATTAATGCGGCATATGTTATTGATAGATTTATTAAGTTACCTGATTTTATAAATTGGAGAGATTTTTGTTGTTGACAATTAAAGTGAAGTGGACGTAGACTTTTGTCCGCTCAAATTTCATCCTCTCTCGCTCTGCACTATGATTCTCAGTTTTCCCAGAATTTTCAGAAATAACTCATATGTTTTATGAAATTACGTTAAATTTGTGAGAATTTGATATATCAATGATGAAAATTGGTTCAGTAGTTCAGTGACAATTTGAAAATGAAATTGACGCGACTATGTGGACGTAGACATCTGTCCGACACTGTATATGACATTGAAATATTTCCTCGATTTACTTATGTTTCATATTAAACTTTCTATGTATGCTTTGACTTCTCTGTTCGCTTAAGAAAAAAATGTTTCGGTCCGCGTCCAAATGCATACATATGTCCATTATGTACATATTTAGATCAATTATGTATGTATCCGTGTTAGTAAGTTGTGTAAATATGCATGCATCATAAAATGACAGACGCATGCACTAAATAAGTAAAAACAAAACAATGCCATGTCTTTAATAATGTGATTTAGATTTAGACGGGTCAATAACTTGATAAATGATTATTTATTATGATTAATTATGATGGGAAAATTTCAGACTATTCGTGATCATATTTCTATTTATTTTATCTTCATTATCTGAGCTTGATCTAACGTGAGCTATACGTTGAAGAATCTTTAAACTACATATTTACACAATATGAGGAATCTGGTCGTCTTTAAAGTGGGGTTTGGTATCCTGCTTATCAGCATACTTTGCTCCAAGGTACTAATATTTGTATAATTAGTTATCATAATATGCATGATGACAAAATTTCAGATATAATTTTATGGCAATTTTCGTGAAGGTTTCAGGTCAGTACTCAGAGGAAGACGATGAGGACAATGAAGAACTAGACGTCGGACAGAATGGTAACCTGACAGCATCTGGAAATTCCACTGGTCCAATTTCCAACGCCACTCTGAACCGGGTCTTGGGCCAAATCACTAATGTGTTTTCGAACGTAGAGAAATTGAACATTACGGGAATTGTCGATGCATCACTTGGAATTAGGAATGACACGTCTGTCCGAAATTTTGTCAATTCTATAATGGCGACTATATTTTGTAACGATTTTTTGGCAAATTACAATAATTGTGCACGTCTTAAGAAAATGCAGTAGGCAGAGCAGACAAGTAAATTAGAATTACCAACTTATGAAATGACAAATTAAGTGTAATCCGCATTCCAATTCAATGATACATATGATATTTTAACCCCAGTAATAAACACGCAAAAAAATAATCAATTGAAAATTGCTTATCTAGTGTCATAAATACTACTATTAAATATTCATTTCTTGTTTCCTATTTTTTATGGGACATTCAGAACCCTAAATTAGGCGATGAAGGTACTGTAGTTGGGTAACTCTGCTGTGCGTGCCCCGCAGAAACAGAAAGGATTTATGTCCCCTGCTCGGTATATCTATGAAATAGCGTTTAAAATTTTTAGAATAAATTTCGTAATATGGTCCATGATGATAATGATGACTTGCATATAAGAATTTATGACACATGTATTGGGTTATACATCGGTGAAATAATAATAATAATAAAACACCTTGACGTAATTTGGTTGCTGGTTGGCTCGTAGTTGGTTTGTACTAAATACTACAAACTACGTATGTATATATGTACGTATAATATGGTACTATTTTATCAATGCAGGCAGATAACAGATTATTCATAACTCAAACCTTCAATTCTCGTTACCACAAAAGAGTCCGCATATGTATGATATTGATCCGAGTTTAATTATTATTGTTGTGTGATGTGTGTGGCACATTATTTGCAAAAGTTCGCAAATATGGAAAAGATGTTCCAGATACTCCAGCATTATAACCTTGAGATTTAATAGTTAGTAACCGCACGCAGGCTTTTCACTCAAAATGGTTTTCTTTTGTCGAATTTGTGGTGGGAGATTTATGAGATCATTTAGGTCTGATGACGACGAGATACTAGTAACAATTTGTGGCCACTTATTTCACAAAAAGTGCTTAGATGTTTCATTTACGCATCAGAAACTATCTCACGCAACTTCGGGAACTGGTCCGTTCAGGTATCGTACATTATTATGTGTTCATTTATGCATATGTGCATTATTGTGCATATTGCATTGATGATGACCATTTTTTGAGAGTATGTATACTTGCAGACGTTTCTGCCCTGCCTACCAATGTACCAAAGAAATGCCAGAGAATGGAGTTATTGAAATTTCAACCACCGCACCGAAAAGCCCGAAAGGTGATGAAATTTCAGAGGACCACGATGACACAGAGGCCAAGCTTACGAAGAAGGTTCAACTACTAGCCATTGAAAATGATAAATTGCAGCAGCAAGTCAGCAAGCTCGAAAATGAAAATGAAGGGTTTCGAGAAGTCATTGACGAAATTAAGGCAGAATGTGGTACGCAAATGAATTTGATTTTCAATAGCCTCTTCAAGTAGCAACATTTGTTACTTTCATATATTTACACATGACAAGATATATTGGTTTACAGGAGAAATTGCAACCTTTCTATTAGACAATAATATGATGAAAAAAGGGGACAGGGTTTTTTGGGCCACGAAAGAAAGATCTCTAGCACCAGGTCGAATTATTGAAATGAGAAGGAAATTAAATCCCTCAAAATCACAAGAAAACTGCCCTTTCGCAATTATAAAATTGGTACAGCTTCACAAATTAAATAATTAGATATTGCATTAATTAAAAATACGGTGAATATAAATTTTTACACTCAGGACAAGAAAATAATAATTCCTTCATTGGGAATAGAACGTGAAACTGCAATCGTACCAATTTCAGAAGTTGTGACCTTCAAGTCTTTTTTTAAAGATTCGTTCCACGATTTTAGACATAAATTGTGGAAAATATTGGACGAATCGAAAGAAAGAGCTACAGAAATTGGCAGACAGCGACTTTTGAGGTCAAAGTTTCGAGAGAGTTGTCTCCGTTTGTCGATGGACACTCCGGTTGCGCGTGTATCACTATCTGGGTCACACGAAGCAATTGATTCTATTGCATTGGACGATTTGACTTCACCTAACGACGGAGAAGCACAAAGTACGTTTTATAAATCAACTCTAGGTTGCAGTCCATACCTATAATTTAAAAAAATAAAAACTCAATTTACTGTTCCTGCAGAAGTTCTAAAAAGGGGAAAAAGGATTTCTAGGGCCAAGTCCATGTATTTTGGGATGCATCGATCTCAATCGCAAGATTTCGATGAAAAGCATAGATCAACATCTTGGACTACTCGTAGCAATTCAAATAAACCATCCCCATTGTCTGAAGAGGTGTTATTTAATAACCATTCGAGTGATTCATCGTCGGTCATCCAATCTCCAACATTTTCATGCGGTCCAGCTGGTGACGACGATGGTAATTGAAGCTTACAGCAATTAGCATACGTTGTATAAAAATACAAAAATTGGCGATTAGGAGGAACAGAGAACTACATCACCGAGGGAGAAAAAGTTATTTATTATGACCAGACGTCCCAGTTCCCTCAAACCGGAGAGGTGGAATGCGTACTGAAATACACGCCTTGTGCAATCGTCAAATTTGTAAGCCTAAAATATCTTCCGACGCAATTTCTGTATGCATTCAATTCAGATTTGTTACTTACATATGCTTATTATTTACAGGATGATTTGCCCGATACGCAACAAATTTTTAAATACAGAACGGTTCCTTTAGTCCAGTTATTTCCTTATGCGTTATCCAGCCCAGAAGAAAAGTTTAAAATTGCAGAATCATATGGGAAAATATACGAGTTTGTGCAGGAGCATTCCGACATGTTTAAAAATTTTGACGATGATCCACAATACAGTGATGCACATGATGATGAAGAGTATTTTTCAACAAGTTCTGCAGAGGAATTAGTTATTGATATAGTTCATCAAGTATGAATGAAACGAATTTATGTACGAACAGAGAAAAACAAATGAATTGAAATTTGGGTTGTTTAGAATGTTTCCTTCATATATTTTGTGTCTCTCAAAGTACAAAATAATTGTGTGGCATTTAGTGCAAGTCTTATTTTGATCAGTTTAACGCATTCCATGTTTTTTTTTAAAATTAAAATATGACAGTAGTAGTTATATTGTCATAAAATCGAATAAAATCTCAAAAAAAATATCACTATCTTTATACATATGTACATATATCATAGCACTGAATTTAATTGAACTAATTCATGACGATGGTAAACATAAAAAGATTGTGGAAAAACTGGCATACTTAAAAATGAAATATCAGTTTATCAACATATCTGTCCGTTTCTTCATTTGTCAAAATATTAGAGATACAATCTTGTAATGAATGCAAATTACAGAGCGAATTTTTTACACTGTGGTCTGACTTGTGTCACGTCAACTTGAAAAAAGTATGCTTGCATACAAAATTATGTTCCAAAATAGTCATCTCCAATCCAAACATCCCTCATTAAAACTAGGTTTATAATGATTAACGGTATCCGTCTTCAGAGCACGTAAGCTAGAAATTGTAAAACATACGTACACACAAACATACGTGTATGCATTCATATGTAGTACGTTCATACATATGTACTTACATATGTTTGGGATGTATAATAACTTGCAATTGAAAGATAATTTTAAAAGGTCATTTTAATTCAAGTTAATTGTTGTTGACCACAAAAGTCGGAAAATCTATATATTTATGTATCTAAACTATGATACAGTGGTTTGGACCTCATTTGCATATTGTAGCTGGAAGTATTTACAGTTGCATGTTTTTACTAACTTTCAATTTTTCATTACAAAATTGCATTATCTAAAACTTACAATTTAAAACGGGCAATATTTTCAAAGAGAAAGCTAACCATTAATAATCATTAGAATAATGGTGAAATACTCTGATCGGTCTCGTGTCATACTAATTTTAATCTCTTCATTGTGCATAGTTTCATCACGTCCCCTGCAGCTTTACAACGATCCATTATTCCTGGACGCAGAAATTCGGAGGATTCGTGCTGGAAAAGCAGGCATGACGGTATGACATGCATATGTAACACATTGATAATTTTGTCAAATTTTATTTTAGGCGAGCCCATCAAGCCGCCCGTCATCCGCGGAAAAACCTTGATGCATCTGCGAAGTTCTGAAGAGTCTTCCGCAGTCGAGTCGGGGGACGGAGAGGGAGGTGACGACGACGAGTATGAGTACACCAGCAGCGAGGAAATTGATGTCACCTGTGCACCTGGGAAGGGGTGGCACCATAGAGGTCCGATGCGACCCCACATTCGCCGTGACTAAAACATAATGATATTTTTTGTAATGGTGTAATGTAAAATGTAGGTCAAAGGTGTGTCCCTGTCCATTGTCCTGGAGGAACGGATCAAAGAGATTTCAATACTGGGGAATGCCTTCATGCCAGACAAGTGCCTCCCATGGGAAGGTGAGTCTCGATACCCCTCGGAATTTATTCGGTACTCAAATATATTTTTGAAACTTTTCTGTGTGTAGGTATAAGCCATACTCTAATTGGAACAGTCTCAAGTAATGATCAAAACAACTCCAAATATAAAATCAATATTCTTGTGTTGCGTGATAATAATAGTGTCATTTGCAATTTTTTTATCTAGCCACGTCTACCGAACCCACCCTGCTCAGCGTTCACTGTCTCGAGGAATGCTTTCTCTCCTCCGTCGGGGTTGAAAGGGATCCTATTCAAATTATGGCTGAGCTACTTTATACATAAATCCTCATGTGCAAATAACAAATAGCTGAGAGAAGAATTGGTACTTCACGTCGCTATGTATTTTGTGGAAGCAATGACAGAGCGGAACCTATGGGACCGGAAACAAACGCAGTACAAATACATACACACCCACGAGGATGACAATCAATGCTGGTAACATTCTCTATGTTACTGGACCGTCAGGTTGAAAAAAAACTGACGTCTGAGTCATTCATCCGATATCAAAATTAGTATTGTTATTCTTGCATCTTCTTTTTATTAAGTTTGATATTTTTTTAGTTTTGTCACGTTTACATAACATAATAATATTGCTTGTAAATAAACAAAAAAATAATCATGATTATTAAGAGAACTAGAAGCTGACTTACACATACGTGATTACTTTGCTTATACTGGGAAAGCTTTTTCCTGTGGAGGCTGGTTTCGACAAGTGTGGCGTTGTTGAGAGCGGTGTCTGGTATAAGTAGGAGAATAAGAATCTCTTCTAGTGAAAAGAAACTACTTCTCCACTCATCCCAAGACACCAAAAAGTTGCCGACGAAATGACGATGATTTGTGAGAAAATTGGAGACAAACTGGACCAACGACGAGGAGGAAATGCATCTTGTCCAGCTGATTATTGAGGTCAGAGATGGTGGGTCAAAGGATAATTTCCGTGAGCTGGAAGAATAGATCTGGCACGAATCGTCGTAATACTTTCAGACTGCGAGAAGTGCCGAGAGATCTTCTTTCCAACTCACTGAAACTCCATCACAGGAAAACAATCTGCATGCGGTGGTCTTCTTGTTGAATGAGGCAACCATGAGGAGTGGGATGTTGTGGTTTGCACACTAGATTTGTGGCAAAAATCTGCACATTTGTATATTGAAAGAGTCCCGAAGAATGGAAATGGAGGAAACGGTGAAGCTGCGGAGAACGGGTTGAATGAAATGAGGAAGAATGAATTTACTTGTGGATTTTTGAAGGATTTTATGTCCACGAAGCAACACTGATAAGTCATAAGCACACATTCAACATTCCTAACCCAAATTCAGTGTGATAAGGACAAGTGGTGACGTGATAAGAAGACTCGTCGTTTACTCTGTTTGTTCCCTTTTTCCAATCCTCGGCTTCATCCCAGTACACACAGTTAAACTTAATTTGTTTTAAAATAGGAAGGGAGTATTTATTATTGTATGATAAATTCCCTCTCCTGTGGTGCAGTGAACAATACACAGCTTACCAACTTTACATATTCAATTTGGTCTACTTTATCAGCTACATACATCGCTCATACATTCATAAATTAGTAAATCTACATAAATACATTATTTGTTAACTCGTTTATCAATAAAAAATGTATTTGAAATCTGGCGACTGTATTCTATCTTATCCGGTCGAGCAGACGGACTGTACATGCACATATTTCAGAATTATCATGTTATTTTTTACGCCACTTTATGACCGCAATTATTCTTTTGCTGGCTGCATTCGTAACAGCTCAAATATTTCAGTTTTATCTGCAAACAATTTGACTTGACAGGAAAATAAAAATTAGATATGAACAAAATGAAGGGTTACAAATTATTACTGCTGTGTCGTGTCATGTTCTGGTGAGTGGAATTAATCTTATCTCGTAATTTCGGAATGTTTATCGCAGACAGTGTTGGTTCAAGAGGCGTCTGGAGACTTTGCATTGTTAACAAAATATTGGATTTCCTACCAATAGTAGCGAACGGACGGGTTAAATTTATTGGGAGCTTGGGTTCTCCTTTTCATACTGAGATTCTCATGTGAAAATAGTTTCCTGATATGATGACGAAATGCAAACAAGACATTAATACTTGAATGAATGGCTTGCCCAATGTTTGAAGAAGATTCCACCTTGCATTGAAAAACCATAAAGAGTAACCCACTGGGCCACCGAGGCATGTACTCGTACATATATGTATGCACATATGCCATATGCAAATGTTCATAACTTTTCTTATTAACTATCTATACAACTCCAAAAATTAATTGTATCAAGAATATGGTAGGTGGACAACCACGTTGCAGTAATTATTACTTTATATATTTTATGAACAAAGTTTTCCAAAAAGAACTTATAGTGAAAGAGCAAAGTGGTTCGATTTCTCGTGTTGTTCATGTAAAGACAAATTTTGAGCATGGAAAATTCAGATTTTTTGGGGCGTATACTGACAAGATACAGATCTGCTCTTGATTTACTCTTGGCCAAAGGGAGGATTTTGATTTGTTCGAAGGTAGTATTTTCCACGAGCACTAAAATAAGTAAAAATCTTGGTTAGACGATGTAAATGAATGACTGGACAGGTATTTATGTACTAAAAATTGACTGCAAATGTAGCTACTTACGAAGGTGAGCATGGTTCCCCCATAAAAGCCCTGTCGGTCATTGAACATCTGCCACTGTCATACTCCTCCCAACTATTACATTTATAACCTGGGAAGCCATTAGTGTGCCAAATTGATTCAGCGAAAAATTCATAAGCGCGACTGTGACTGCAGGTTGCTAAAAGATATTCCGAAAATGTATCAAATCTGTCTATTAGAGCTATTGCTATAAATATAATGAGCTAAGAAACCACTTACAAATGACGTCTATGCCACACCCCGGTTGATATGGGGCTCCGCCATTCGGATAAAAATCAACGTCTCCACGTGCTTCTAGGAACGCCAATCCTCCCCCTGCAGTGTGAATGACATCAACAAAAGTAGCGTCGGTAGGGTCGATTCGTTCAGAGTCGGGTCTTTCTCCAAAAAGTGGGAGCGCTGGGTCCATTGCTATTGAAGAAGAGTACGATTATTTTTAGTTTACTTAGTATAGATAAACCCCATAAATTAACAAGCCCAAAAAGGCATTAAAATATATTACCAGTAATTCTGGCAATTTTGGTTCCCAGATTTCCTAAATGGCTGCCAACATGTGCACCTGACAAAAAAGACACAAGTTTTTTATTCTCATACTTACATGTATCAGTTAATCTTAACCCAAACAAGCTTTCTAATTCTTAACGTGTATTAAGACACACATTAAATAAATACCTGTCAACTATATTTATAAATTTGCATATGTTCATCTAGTTTTAACTCTAATTAAAAAATAACTGCCAACCTAATGAATGTCCACTGTAATGAATTCTTGAATGTGTAGTATATCCATTGCTAACCAGCCAATTCACAAATCGCGTAACATACTGGCCGACAGGAATAGTATTCGCCGCTGCGGTATCGTACCATCTAAACAATACATAATCGTAATTGCTCAAATCAATCCGCAAATTATTCGTTTCTTTCAACTAAAATCAATAAATACAGCAAAGAAGACTCACGGAGCTGCAGCAAGAGCTTCCCAGTTTACGTGAATAATATTAAAAAATTCACTTCGTCCAATGAACGCTTAAATTAGAAGAGACATTTCAATATTCCAATCGTATGTACATGATGTTGAACTCTTAATCTTGTAATACCATTTCGAAGAAGGACATCCATACTGCTCTGGTAATCCGCCGTGAATCCGTGGCAAACAAATTTTACGGGCGCATTGCGGTCAAAGCCCGAATTTGCAATGCAATCGGGACAGTCGGGTTTCAATTCTAAATATTTGCATTCGTTTTTTTATTTAATTTGCGATAACCTACTGTATAAAGCGGTAGCTCCAACGAGCCTGGGCGTACTTACCCCATGGGGTTGGGTGGCTTCTATATAGATAAACAAGTTTAAAGTTACAGTGCAATTAAACAATGAGCTTGTGTACACACGTGTTGAACGAACTTTGTGAATAGGAAGAAATGAACGTCGTCCTCCGTTGCCTGAACCACGGGGGCTGGACCACCTTCAATGAGGAGGAAAGAGGATAATTAATAATTATTCACCTTAATTGTCCACCTTAATAATTATTCACCTTCGATGAACGCTTGTTGAAATCCCCCCTTTTCATCTGGATGCCAAAAATACTTGAGTCCTGAGCTGGGATCTTTAAAAATTGTCAAATTTTTCGTATCCAATGTTGATGGGTAGGCCAGCGCGACGCCGACTAGGAGGGAAACCATCCCCAAAATAGCGAATCTTGACATTTCTTAAATATAGTTTACTACCTTCAAGTTTATTATTGAAAAATAAGCTTGTGGAGGAATTAAACTTGCATCAAGTAAAATAGCTTTGACAGTGATTTTATTTCAATGTCATCACGTTTTATGAAGAGTATGCTACCTACGTATATAATATATAATATCTGTTTATATGTAGGAGGTGTCATAATTATTAGTTTCGCAATGAAGAGATTGCCCACACCTGAACATTCCGATAATCAATAATCAATCACCCTAAAGATCAATTGATACATATAATTGTTCATCCATCCATCCATAAATAAAACTGGTTAATGACATTGAAACAACGTTATAAAACACAGTAAACATACGTAATTTAAAGGTTATGAAATACAATAACACACGTAATATTTATCAAGGGTTCTCCCATAAATGCGAACAACATGTGAAATCTGGAATTTCCAATCATTCGATGCATCCTGTTATCTACTACATATTCTTGATTTATATAATATGCATGTTTCTGATCAGTGATTGTTTCACTTGATTTATTTATAGTGAGATGAAGCACAGAATGCATCTTGTCGACATCTTATTATGCATGTAATAATAATATTACGTTGCATTTCTAAAATCTTATGTTATGCATAAACTCAATTCACCCCGTTGTTTGTGTTTGTCAGCCATGGCCTTTTTGCTCACTTTTACGTCACTTTGGTCACAAGTCACGCAACGCTCATGCTACAGAATTATTAAAATCTTTTGAAAATCTCCGATTTTGTCGTGTGGTCTGTGGACCTTTTGCAAAACAAACATGTCTTCCCTTCCTGAACCCAGAGCCCCTCACGCACTTATCAAGGTATTAATTTACTGTTGTGTTGAATTTGTGATATAGTGAAATATCTAGCTGAACTGAGTTTATATTTATATGAATTTGTATTTTCGGAAAAAGCTGTCTCGCTGGACAATGCTAAGCTTGGGACTTTTTTACGGATTCCAGAGAAATAAGGTTTTGAGCAGACGAGAAACGGCACGACGAGCGAAGGAGGAGGAGGAACGACCAGCCAGGGAGGCGGCGTTGAAGGCCGAAAAGGACAAGAAATACAATGGTTGTTCATAAATATTGCGGTCATTTTCTAACTTTTAAAATCTGGCTTTTCACTTTGATTATAGAGGATATGGAGTATTTGGGACGAGAGACGGGGGTCATTGCTCCTGGAACTGTCCCCGGAGGTGGAAGGTGAGCATGTAATTAATAAATAAAACTATAATGAGAGATAATAGTTTAAGATTATATGGAATTTCCTCCTTCAGGGTGGGAGCTGATTCAAAGTTTCAGTCCGAATGTGGGTGCAAATACTGATGCTCGACGGAAGCTGCAACTTTTCAAGAACTTAATCTCTAATTATCTAATTTATACCAACCATAAATTTTTATATTTGTACCAATTGATTTTACATTGGTCCTGAAATAAAAACCTTGTATAATGGGAGATGAACTGAAGTTTTTGACCATTGTAGTTCTTGACGACCATAAAAGTAGTATAATCAGTGTGTTTGTGCTATGAAAAAAATGGCGCATTATCTTCTCGTGCATAGTTCCTATTTTCGTTTTGTACAAACAAACTTCTTTTGTTGATGGTGGCCAAGGTATGGAATTGATCTAAGTCTTTCAATCATGTTTGTGATACTGATTGCTAATTTACGATTTTAGGCCAACGATAGACAATGGCGACACCAGAACCAATAAGTAATGTGACAACGGATCTAACCGAGGAGTCTCCAGAAAAACCAATTGTTGAACCAGCACATCCGAACTTTGAACCCACATTGCAACAATCTCCTATTCCTATATTCCCGAAATATAGGAGATCATGGAAATCCAGACTGGCTGTCCTTCAAAATTTCAAATTCTTTGCAATATTTTTAATCCCAATATTCCTGATTTGGCTGCTCTTTATTCCTTCAGTCTTACCAAAAAGCAGGGACAACAAAGGACTTTTCATACTCTTAACCACCGGATGGTACACATATTTTTTCAATATCAATTATTATTACGTTTAGTATTAGTAGATAAAATGTCTTTTTTTTACAACCACAGCTATTGGTTAGTTGACTGCATGCCATTTCCAGGGGCTGCTTTTATACGTAAGTAGTAATTAATTAGTATTTACTGTTAGTAATACGATTGGGTATTGCCCACTACCTCTTACTTTACCTTTTTATTTAGCTCTGATTGCGTACCCACTTTTCAACATCAAACCGGCCAAGGCTCTCATCAGTATGTACATGCAGGATGCAAACATGATGGCTTTTGCTGCTATATTTTTGGCTTTGAGTGGATGGACATCAGGGCTGACTAAACGCGTGGCTTTAAAGTTTCTGGCAATGTCAGGAGGTGAATTCCGGAAATGTAGCTATCTGACGGTTGCATTATCTGCGCTATTATCCATGTGGTTCCCTGACACAGGTTGGCAATAACGAACATGAGGAAAGCTATTTTTAATGGATAAGAGTTAATCCTAATTACTTATAACTCCGCAGCTGTAATGATGTTCATGATTGGGGTAATGGAGAAGATGTTGGTCGAGTTAAACAGCACCATTAGTCTCGGAAGCTTAGGTGACGCCAGAATGGGTCAAATGAAAGCCATTGAGCAGAAAATTAAAGATGAGGCTGCTGCTGAGCTTGTAAGACGGATATTAATTGATGGCTACTTTATAAGTGTGTTTAAACAAGTCGACGCGGCATTAACAAAATTCCGAGTAGTTAACAAAACCTTGCATTAATTCCAAAATTCCGAATTGGCAAAAGGTCATATCAGACATCCGTTCTAATATTGAACATAAACTCCTTACTCATATTCTAACTTTGATTTCGTTCAAATTTTGTTGCAAAATGTGTCGCAAATGGTACCCAAATTTAAGGCAATATAATTGCAAACGTCGAAGAGTTGCGTATTTATTAACAACATTCCCAATTGGATTAAAAATTCGGAAAAGTAACGGATTCTATCTAGCGATTCTGCTCTGTTATTAGACTTATGGATTATACCAAAATTGAGCAAGATATGTACTGTGCGGGTGAAGCTTAGCACGTGAAAAAGCAGTGTTGGCCCCCACATAACAGGAAGAACTGGGGCGCGACACTGCTTTTTCACGCTAAGCTCCACCCACACAGTGCATATCTTGCTCAATTTTAGTGTGACTTAAAATGCTAACCAAAATTCCATAATTCGATCGTGGCATACTAATATGGAAATTGCAATTAGTTTGCAAAGTTCAACATATTGGAAAATTAGGGTCCAAAATCAAGGCAGCGGCCAAATTCTAGTCCAAAATAAATTTATAAAATTGTTTGCAGTCATATTATACCAACTTTGGACGAGTTTGAGACAAAACTCAAAATTTGCAAAAAATTCGCACATTTCAGCTCAGATCTCGAAAACCACCAATCTACGCCCCCAATATTATTACAGATTCATCATGTACACAAAATTATGAAAATTTTAAGCTATCAAACTTGAAAATGTTCGAGTGCGAAAAAACACGATCTCATTGTATATATCTATCTTAACTAATATGGAAAATGCAATTATTTTGCAAAGTTCAACATATTGCAAAATTGGGGTCCAAAATCAAGGCAGCGGCCAAATTCTAGTCCAGTATAATTTTTCAAAATTATTTACTGTGATATTTGACCAACTTTGAATAAGACAAAACTCAAAATTTGCAAAAAATTCGCACATTTTTGCATAGATCTCGAAAGCTGCCCGTGGGCCACCCCAATTTTATTACGGATTATTGATCTACTCATTTTTACGCAAATTTTAAGCTATATAACTTGAAAATCGTTGGAAGCTGAAAAAACACTATTTCATTGTATATATCTATCTTAAAAATCTATTTATTCTATTTTTTCATTATTAAAAGAATGCTGAAACGGAGCTTGGAAATATCAAGAAATTATTGGAAACTGCAGATGATACCACGAATGTAGACGAAGAATCGTCTCAAGCAGGGGCTGAAAGTGAACAACCATATTCTGGCTTAAAGGAGGAACAAATTTATTCTAGCAACGACTCAGAAAATGCGGATAAAATGCAAATGTTTATTGACGAGACGATATTCAAACTCGAAAACGAGAAAATTTTAAGCACTTTCAGCCTAAATATTCTTCACAGTGTGGGGATTATTGTCAACATTGGCGGCTTGTTTTGGCCATTTTGCTCAACGGGAGCTATTCAGTTGATGTCGCGTGCCGGAGTGGTCGACATGGGCGTGTGGATGAGCTTTGTGGGACCCGTGATGGCGATAATGCTGCCCTTCACTATTTGGTACCTGGACTTCATAAGTTTTATCCTTCCTTCAATTTGTTCTGCAAAGAGGAAAGTCAAGCCGGAAAACCAACCTCCAAGGATACAGCGAAGGTCCTTGGATATAGAAATTGCTGATACTACTCGACAGAATGTAGTGTAGATATTATTTAAAATTTTACTTCCAACTGACCACATATATAATACGTGCATATAAATTCTATCTAGCTGGAGTCGCACTACAATGCAGAGTATGCTGCCCTAGGAAAATTCACTTCTTATGAAAAAGGTCTCATCACGGTGTTGGCGTTGACCGAAGGACTCTGCATTATATCAGACACGCGCTTTTGTGGGGGATGGTCAGCATCACTTGCTAAGGAAGGAGGCGTACATGCCAAAGTGTCAACTATTGCAATGTTTCTAGCAATTTTCTCATTTGTATTTCCCAAATGCGGAAGTGACATGTTCAGAGGGCCAAAGAGCCCCACGGACAAAGCCAGTTTCACTGCCCTTCTCGGATGGAAGATTATTCAAGCACAATTTCCCTGGGGTCTCCTCATTTTCATCGGAGGTGGTCTTGCCATTGGCTGCGGAAGTAGAGCGTCCCAATTGAGCGATAGTATGGGAGGTACATTAGTTGGCCTACTTGGAAATAGCAGCTTCTATGTGTATCTATTAGTGTTGATGGTGATGACTTTTGTACTGGCGTGCTTGGTGTCGAACACGGTATTTATTACTTTACTTCCATTCATTTATTTACTGCAACTCGTTTAAATATATAATACTTAATAATTTATTTTTAATATATGTAGGCTGCTGCTGGTATTGCAATTCAGATCACTGTTTATATTTCTAACAATCAACATATACGACCACATCTACTACTGATTCCGTGCGTTGCTGTGTCTGCATTTGCATTTGTGCACCCTGCAGGAACACCAGCTCTGGCTTTATTGCACATGAGGACTCAAGATAAGCCCATTTGGCAATATTTCCTTATGGGATCGCCACTCACACTTTTAGGTTTTGTATTGATATACGTGGTTGGGATCTGTTGTAACCTGGTGGGATAGCTTAAAACTGTACGCCGTTTCTGGATACGGATACATTTATTAAAATTAAAATGTCATTTGTAAAAATTCATGCAAGATATTGTAGCGCCCAATATATTATTCGATGATTCAATGATCTGTATTTTGTCCATTTTTCAATCGTACTTAGATTTATATACATTTAAATATGCGAATATGGGTATGTAACCACTTTATTGTTGCAGGCTTTGAAACTTTAAAGTTTTTTTGCAGTTAAACCTGACCAAAAACCTGGAAGTCTATATTTCCACTTTTGTATATCTTCATTATTGCTCCAGCGTTTTGACCTAGACGAGACCGGTGCTTATTTTCAGCCATTTAATGAATAATTTATTTTGATGTATTTTTTACGTGAATAGTTTGGAGCGGAGAAAACTAGAAAAATATATAAACGTTTGCTCATAGTTTTATGTATGTAGGTTTCAATTGCAAAATATCAAGTTGTATTAAAAATTTGGACTACCTGTCACCAATTGTTTTTCGAATTGCCATCGGTATCCGGTACTTACGCACTCATGCGCTCGACACACCTTTTCAAGCCGGTTGTTGTCCAAAAATTCTTCTAGTGCTTTTTGACCAAATAAATAACCAAGTCCTCGATGTTTTGGATTGTGTAACGGATTGTTCTGTTTCTCCCAGCCCTGGATATCTTCGTCAGGATCTATAAGGTTTAAATGCGACATTAATGGATTGCTGCAAGCAGAGTGTACTAATTACGCGGTTAATTCACCTGACCAAACTAGATCGGTCATCCATCCACTACGAATATGACTAGGTCGGCGACTCTGTCGAATTTGATCTAATTTCTTAAGATAAGGGCTTAACCCCCCGTGACAGCAGAAAATCTTTTTCTCGATCACAGCTGCTAGAGGAACATGATCGAAGGCACGATTCATTCCTGCACAGAAAGAAGGTCAGGTGAAATCCGAAATATACTTTCTATTTGGTACACAAATATTGAAATATCAAACGGTACGTTCAAACACAATGACGAAATCTTTGGGGCTGAATCGACGACGAATCTCAGAGTAAAATCCATACGTTCGGTTGATTGGTGATGATTCATGGTTTCCTCGTATCATATAAAAGGATTTTGGATACTTAGCTTTCAAGGCAAAAAGAAGCATAATTACTTCAAGAGAGTTCTTCCCTCGATCGACCTAAAGATGAAAATTATCAGTATATTTATTAGTTCATTAATTTCCCCTCAAAAATTTAACATTTACATACTTATATCTGTAATGTACTTATGTGCATATGTTGTAACTCACAAAATCTCCTAGAAATATGTATCGCGTCTTTGGCGGAAGACCTCCGAATTGAAAGAGTTTTAATAAATCGAAATATTGACCGTGAATGTCTCCACACACTTTAATTGGTGCTTCCAGTTCCAGCAAGGAGGATTCTGCTAAGAAACATTTTTCTGCCTCTCGACAAACGCTACGAACCTCTTCCAATGTGAACTTTGCTAATCTATTTCGATTATTCACGTCCAGTAGCTTCATGTTCAGAAGCCGCCCCAAAATGTCGTCGATCGCTATATACATATGTAGATTGGTGTCAAATTAGAGAGAAGAGATGCTCAGGGTATTTTATAACTTACGGTTTTCATCGTTGCCGTCTATGGCGTTCATGCCCCTTGCTTGATAATTTGCCATTATATATTATAGATATTGCCCCACAATTAAGTGATTGACGATGGTGCAAAATAATATTCAAAGTATTGTTCCAGTTGATTCATGCTTTATAAATACCTTTCCACAACTCTTCCAAAAACCCAAAGTTGCTGGACAACCCTATCAATGTGCTAAATATGCAATAAACCTAACAAAATTTGACAACTACTTAGTGAAATTGTTGTTAGGGAATGTTTTGGTTTAATCCCGATTAATTTAATTACTAATTAATGCAGTTCCAGTTTTCAAGATATCTGAATACGATATTCATTACAATACGAAGGCTTGAGTCGGGCTAAAAACTGGAATTTTTCAATTTGGTTCAATATGTCAAGAACAGATAAATTAAATTCCAGCATTCAGATTGAGCTTAAAGATGGAAAGAAATGATGAAGTGTAGAGCACATTGAAAATCCGAATGCACCGATTATCCCAGTATGAAATCCACCTAAGTAATTATGGAACAGTTACATGCATATAAAATAATTTCCATGAAAAATACAAGTGGAATTGAGATTTGAATTGCAAACCTCTTAACCCAAATGCGGCTCCACAAAAGAATCCTGCAAACGCAGGGTTCATCCAGTCATCTTTACCTCGTTCCTAATATTTAAGTATTTGAAATATATGAACTCATAGTAATAAATAAATAACAAACAAGTAGTAGCTGATTCAACACCTTTTCAGCATTTCTCTTCAAAAGGTCAAATAAAACAGCCCCCATCAGAGCTCGTTTTGCAATTCGGGTCGCGACAATTGATCCATATGCAAATCTTTGAACCCCCGTTGCCGTTCCTAGTTCCACTCTCTTGAGCCAAGTTTGAGAGGTCAGCTGCGCAAGGCGACCATAAGTTTTGAAGTAGTGTTGAGTTCCTAGCCCAATAAGTAAACCTCCTGCGGACATGGAAATTAATAATAATAAAATCAGTATTTAGTCACACCCACTTCGTAATAAATTATGTAGCTTGTCGACAATGTAATCCATCACCTGTGGCACCCACGGCCAAGTTGGTTGTGTCAAAATTGAGGTAGATTCGCCGAGGAACGTTGACATGGTCTTTTAAGTAAATCGAGGGGGTAAAAAATGATTGTTTTCCACTGATTGTGAATTCCCTCTCTCGTGAAACAATGGGATGTAGGAAAAACGGCAATCGCTTTGGATTATCGACAATTTGGTAATACTCTTCTTTAATGGCGTTTGTAATGTAGCCTCTTTTAAAAGAAGGGAACCATCCAAAGATGGGTCCTGGTTTTTCGCTCTCTAGCATGTCTTCACCCGATGGATCCATGTTAACCCTGGTTTTATTTGTTGGGTATAGAACACAAAAAGTACACAAGAGATGATTACACACAAATTGCTAGTCAATGGAACTTGGGTGTAGACAGGGTGCAAATTAGTTTTGTTTATTGACGTGTCGTCATGGCTTAAATTTTGTCAATTTTTTATTTGGAACGTATTATTTCATGATCATAATGTGGCGTATGTATGTACATTTTATCATACTCAATTTCATCTTACATATAATGCTTCGCAAATTCATTTTGACCGATCCCTACCCCTTCGAGCTTCATCAATCAAAGATGGTAACTTCGCTCCTGCTAAATATCCCATCAATACTGCTGAAGAGTACACAGCATTAGGTAATGGTTGACCTGATGAATCACGAAAAATGCATTTAAAGTTAAAACCTCTCATTGCATAAGTAAATATGTATTTTTGTATGACTTCTTTTGTAGAAATTTTGTTGCTATTAAATTATATATGTAGAAATTATACTTACTGCACACTGGAAATGCGACTACACATGTTAACAACCCCATAAAAATTGTCATCGTATTTGTGTGAGACTTGTTCATCTGCAACATATTTGGAGTAAATTTACAAAGTGAAATACACTAAGAAAAGTTGTTTTCTAAAACCTTTTTTGCTGCATATTGTTCCACGTAATCGAACAATAGTCCAGCAACGGTAATTCGCCGAAGAACACGCGATGAAATGATCCAAGTGCGCTTCAGGGGACCTGGAGGATGACTTACCGCACTAGCAAAAGTTCTTGGTGTCGATAGGGGAATGAAGAATATTTTGGTGCAGTAACCTGATAACAGACCCCCTAAAAAATATAAAGACTTTTTGGTAAATCATGGAAATTTAATGTTACTGAAGCTTTACAATAGTGACATATTTATTTATTTACATAATGCTCCGAACATAAAATTATCCTTCAATAAGACGCTTTTAACACGTGTTAGTTCACCATTAGCATTTCTGACATCTAACCACAGTGGTCTTCCTACGATGCGAGTGGTATCAATTTTCTTCAAAGACGGATTGCAAAATAATTCTATAAGAGGATATGGCAAAGGAAAGCCATTGTTTATAGTACTTGGTGAAATCGTTTTCGAGGATTCTTTACTAGAATTTGTATTCATTTTACCAGGCTAAAAATATTTGAAATTATGATTATGAAATTATGAAAATAAGAGTCCAATAAACCCAGTCCAATCAATTATTTTTTATACAGCAATTTTGTAGAAAAATTGGTGGTCATATCGACTTAATTGTAGTACAATAAATCCAGCCAGGAAATGCAGCCATCCTGGTTTAGAGTATTAATTAATTCTTCAGTAAGAACTCTTAATTTGAAAACTTGAAAAAGCAGAACAGGGAGCTCAAAAGTGGCTTCCAAGTATGGGAATCAGAAATTCAACACGGTGAAATTGATGGTGATATGAAAATGTATTTTAACAACCAAGTACAAGACAGTCAAGAGGACAAGGAACTTACATTTTTATTTTCATAATGAATTGTATATACATAGATATTATTCATTGAAATCGGCATTTATCATATTTTAGTTACATACATCATTTAATAAATCCATCAATTCATTCCAAGCAAAAAATAACTCAATCAAGCCTCTGAATTTAATTAACTAGCCTCCAATAAATGTTTACACAATAAGCCTAAATTATGCATTATATAATTATGACCCATTTTGTGACTAGATACTGTTTCATATTAAAGATTCATCTAATACGACGCTACATATATCGGCAATCAAATGTATGTAAGTACACGAACACTCGCAAATATGAATTACGTTTAATTATGTTAATTGATAGAGAATCGAGATACTTGTAAGTATGTAATAAATAGTCAATTTTATCATTCTCGTTCCGTTAATGCTCACGGATTAAAAATTCTGGATCTTATTTGTTCTTTTCTTGTGTATAATTCCCACCCTCCAGGAAGTGATGTGAAAAGTCCAATTCCCAACAACATTCCTGACAATCCACCTAAATTTCAAGGACAATTAATATTTTAGAAACCTATTATTCAATCTCTACAATTTGAAATTATAAAACATTCGCTTATTATATGTATCTATACCGCGTAAGCCAAATATTGCTCCAGAAACAGATCCTGCAATAATGGACCCCTTCCATTTTTCAGACGGTTTCTGAACAAACTACAAAATAGAAATTACATCATACATCATCATCACGTTATGCATACATCAAAATCTATTGGATAACAAAACAAACATCTTTAAAATTACCTACATAAGGTAACATTACATGCATTGAGTCACATTACCTCTTTAAAATCACATTCCAAAACAGCAAAGAGAATCGTTCCCAAAATTGTTCTCTTGGCCACTCGCCATAAAACTGAACTGCCGATGATGGATGTCCTCAAAAATGTTTGAATTCTTGGGAGAAACGGCCCAGGAATTATCGTCCTGACTGGCATAGGGACTCTGCTAGTGGAAAAGAATCCCGCCAAGAGCCCTGTAACAACGCCTCCTAAAATATCGCATGCATATACATATTAAAATTTCACCTCATATTCATCTGGCTATAAACAAACTGTGATTATAATTTATAATTTATAATTTATAAATGTAATTAAATTACCAGTAGCGCCAATGATAAATGACGAATTTGGAGGGTGGCAATCGTCAGCGACGGCTTCTCCAATGAAACTGTCATCCCAAAATTTTTGTGGTGGTTTAGCAAACGCTCGAAGATCGTCGCCCAAGAGTTTGATCGTTTTGAAACGCTTGTCACTCGAGACCTCGTCCCCCATCATTGTGGGCTTCGTCACGTCAATTGCAGGACTCTCGTCTTCTTTCATCTTCTGCAAACTGACAACTGCTACCATTGCCCTTTACTCGTTAACCCAGAAATGTACAAACTATATTTTTGAAATATTAAATCTTTTGTTATTTTCAATGATCATGCAGTGCAGTGGTAAGTATTATAATGACAGTTGATGTTCACGGAGGTTTGTTTACAAACACAGCATCAGCAGTGAACTTGACATTTTAGTTTAAAGCCCAGAGGGGAAGGCGAATCTTCTATGACTTGCATACTCCAAGAATACAAGAAACTCTCGTTTTCCAGTACCGTTTTTCATTTATAATATGACGAGAATTGCATTTATTTCAGAAGTGTTTTCATATTAAAATCATACAATATTGTCTTTATCAGAAAAAAGGTTTGCTCTAAAATTAGTTGCTCGTCAATCTAAGAAGTTCTCCTAAATAGTAAATACATTATACCGGCATATGCTGCAAACCCTCCTGCACCCAACGCTGCTCCAGTCTTTAAACCTGTTCATTATGAAACCGGCAAAACATTCAAACAATTCATCAAGATAGATTTAGCCCGATAATTTGCGTAAACAATATTCTTAATTAATAACATACTTCCACCACCAAGTGGGACGCCACTCAATGCAAAAGCACCCCCGGTGATAGCACCAGCAAACATGCAATCAACTAGACTCCTTTTCGACCAGCCCTGTTAAAATTAGCGATTATTTTATGGACAATGATCTATTAGATAATTGCGCAGAGTAATACTGGTAGTGTTACCCCCTGGAATTTGCATTCGAGGTAGCTGTATAGGACCATGGCTCCAACAACTTGGCCACCCACCCTCCAATAGAAATTACCACCTAATTGGATGTTCTGCAATGGTTTTAAATATCTGTTGTTCCTGAAAGAGTCGGACGTCATCGCAATCGTCATCTTGTCAACGGGTTTCTTTGGATCAAAAACCTTTGTCAAATAACCCAGCGCAGCTCCACCTGAAATTCACATCAATTTTAATCTTCATTCTTCACATGTATTCATCTTTATTCGAATTAGTATTTATATTCCTGTAAATAGTTTCACCTGTGGAGCCAACAAAAAGCGACCCAAATGAAAAGCATTTGTCTTTAGAGTTATTTTGAACAATAATTTCTGACATTTTTTAAACCTGTCTGCAAATAAGTGTAGCGAATTTTGATTTATTTATTTCATTTGATTCATGAACACCCTGGGAGCTTTCAGGGACCCATGTATTTATATTCAACTTTAAAATTATTCAATAAAAGTTACCATGTTATTAGGCGAAGATTTCATGAAATAACCGATAAGTCAATTGAGATATCGATCATGCCCACGTTCTGACTCGCTGGCGTTACATTGCCAATATATGTTTGTACATTCCACCAAATTAAATAAAAATCAGTCAATGAGCTCATATGAGTTATCAAAATATGAACATGTTGAAGTGACACATGCATACGGATTCAGACTAAATAAAATTGCAATTACATGAGGTTTCATGATCCAGCAGATGTTTTTTACGAATTTTATTGATAATTTGAATGACGTAAAAATATTTTATTATATCTATCTTCGAAATATGTACAAACGAGACAGATCCGTATTAATATGACGAAAATAAGTATGAAACTGGCCATCTGAGTCATTAGTCATGAGTCAGAGTCACAAGAGTCCTGCTCGTATATATGCAAATTAAGAGAAGCTTAGCAGTTCATGAACAATTTCAAATTTTTGTGTTTTCTATTTCCGTCCTGAATATAATAACCACATTTACCAGTTATAACCAGCTATCAATGCTGTCTGTTGTTGTCCATAAAGTATTTCTGCAATTCTCTTAATTTTCCATAGCCGATCAACCTGTGTGATTTGACGTATTTTAAATAATACAAACATTACTCGATTAGAATAATGTATGTAATACGTTTTTCCTATGACATTGTTTACGATCCATACACAGATGTACCTCAAGTTGAAATTCCGACAGAGGCGAAGTCCCAACTTCCAGATAGGTTAATTCAAGGCAATTATCCTATCTGTATTCTAAAATATTCATGAACAATGTCTGAGCATAATGAAATATTTTACAGTGGAACAAGCTGCACTGGAACTTCCGATTTCTGTTTTTATATTTGCCTGATCTGTTAATTTGCATTATTTATTGAAACATGTTAGACAAACCTATAAAACCCAATATTCAGGTTGGGCAATAACTCAGAGTCAGTCCAATACTGTCTGTACAAGGGGATTGTTGTTTGGTTGGGTGTGGTTCGCTGGTAAAATACACAATAATACATCTCGACAAATATTGTATTTCAGAAATAATTGATCATTCAGTGTCACTTTAAAAGAAACATTTGCACTATGAGGTAATAACATTAGACATTTTCATGTCTAGAGCATTATTTTCTCAGAAATGTATGTACATGATGTATTGTTTTAATTAAATATATTAGGATCTTAATTTACTTGTTCATTTGGACCGCACAACTCGTGTCATCCCAGCCTTATGACGTGAAATCCTCGGAAAACTTGCTTGAAGTAAGTACATAATCACGACTTCATCTCAATACATAAATCCCCTTTGTCTAGTGGAGATACATAATTTCTGTATTAATTTTTAGTCCTTGGCAAAATTTCCTACCCAAGATTTCTACGCAAATGATTTGAGCACCGATGATTTTTTGGGTCAACGACCACTAGCTCGAAATCGAACTGAGGGGAGAAGATCTGCTCGATTTACATCGCTGACCACGGCGATTGGTGATCAGAGCAGTAACAACCTTCGAGATTACGACCGTCTCGTTTCCCTCGGTCTTCCAAAGTCGTGGGTTTTGGGGATTTTACGCACACGACGACATCCCAGTTGCTACAGGACAGTTTATGCTTGCTTCCCAAACAACAAGTACCGCACCATCGATGGGACTTGTAACAATTACTTACATCCAGTTTGGGGGTCATCGTATAACACGTTTCAGAGACTCTTTCCGGCCCAATATTCAGATGGTAACGCCAACAATTTTTGTCATGATGGCTTTATTATACAGATAATTACTGTTTGATCTTATTTTTACAGGGTACAACTCACCAAAAGGACTTCCACCCCAGCGTCCTTTACCAAATGCACGTTTGGTCAGTTCCACTATACATTCTGACCTGATTCATCCTGATTCAACTTTAACAAATATGGTACCACAGGTGAGATTGTTTATTAACAAGTAGTTATTTTAAGTTAGATTTATAATTTATTGGACTGACAATTTTATTTTAATTCGATTAGATTGGTCAATTTCTAGACCATGATTTCGCTCTTACAATTGATGACGGTATTATATATAGATGCATAAATTAACTTAACATTTGTGCATAAGTGGCATAACTGATCTGATTTCGAATTTTAGACCGAAGATGCTGTACTACGGAAGAAGGCCATCGCGACTGCTTTTCAATTTCGATTCCTACAAATGACTATTTCTACTCGAACCTATCAACTCCACAAACTTGCATGGATTTTACCAGATCAACGCCGTTTTGCTTTCCAAGTAACTTTTACTTCTTACATTATTGGAAAGTTTTTAATTAACTAAAGTAACTTCATGACATGTTTTATTTAGCTGAATCTGGTGTTAGAGAGCAGTTCAACATTGACACTTCATACATTGACGCATCACAAGTATATGGTTCAGAGAATAAGAGGTCACAGCATTTGCGACAATTCAGCGGAGGTAAAATTTTGATTGTGAATGTTTTGAAACTTTAACCCAATGCAATGCATTAAAATGATGCATTATTCAACACAAGGACGGCTGGCAATGAGTTCGGAGAATGGACGACTTTTACCCCCAGTGAAACAAGTCGAGGAGAAGTATAAAACTCAAATTGAATTCATGGGAAAATTTTTGGGTGGAGATGAACGTGTTAACGAAATGCCTGCGTTAACAGTAATGCATACATGTCAGTATATTATTATATCACTATTTTGTGTATTAACTGATGACTATTAAGGGAACTTGCTTACTTTAAATAATGTTTAGTGTGGGTCCTTGAACATAATCGAATCGCCGGCTTAATTGCGAAATTCAAACCAGATTGGATCGACGAGGTTATTTTCCAAGAAACGAGGTAGAATAATTTACTATACACATCTTATTTAAAGGACTATGCTGCTATTTTAAAACTACGGCTAATGATAATTGATTAATGTTGTATTGTTTTTCCTGTAGACGTATTGTTATTGCGGAATGGCAAACAGTAATTTATGGACAATTCTTAACTACCGTTTTGGGAAATGCCACGATGGAAAAATACAAATTGGGACTTGGTTCTGGTTCTGAGAAGGGTTTCACCGAATACAACCCCAATCTAGACGCCACTTTATTTCATCACTTTGCCACAGCTGCGTATCGGTTTGGTCACACCCTCCTCAATGGTCTTATTCGACTGGTGAGAGGACTCACAGAGGTTGGCTCCTATTTCGTGAGGGACAATTACTTTGACTCAGCTCAAGTGAGTACATATTTATTACTAATTTAGTTCCAATTACATACTTAACTATGCTTATCAAACATCTATGAATCATTTTCATTGTTAACATAGATCGAGAGGAATGGCTCACTCGGATATGAGCTAATTTTAGGGGGGCTTATGACTCAAAACGCCCAGACTCATGACAGATTTGTTAGCGTTGACTTTACAAATTTCTTGTTGAAAGAAAAACACATGAACTTTGGTGCAGACCTGATCGCCAGAAATATTCAGGTAAAAAACTTGAATGTAATTGTGAATTGAGGAAAACATAGTGTGCTTATGTAACAAGTTTACTGACTGATTCTACTATGATTTTATCAACCGAATAGAGAAGCAGAGATCATGCAATTCCAAATTACGGAGTTTACAGAACACATTGTGGATTAGGACCTCTCTCAAATGATTGGAGAAGAAGGCCTCCCGAATTTTCAGAGGAAACTTGGCAGAAATTTAAGAGCGTTTATAGCAGCCCCCGAGATATTGGTACGTGTGCATCAACATTAATAATTCTACTATTCAGTTCAGCTAAACGGCTTGTAAGATTCGTGATTACATGAATTTTTACTGTTTAGAATTATTTCCTGGTGGACTTTCGGAGCTACCCTTAAACGGAGCCGTGTCGGGACCAACATTCAACTGTCTAAAAGTAAGTGCTTAAAAGTAGGTTTGAAGAGTTTAACCTTGATGCAAATTATAATCAATCCGTTCTCAGGCAAAACAATTCAAGATGTTAAAGTACGGAGATCGATTTTTCTTTACGCATCGGAACCAGGCCGGTTCTTTCACTGCTAGACAAATCCAATCTATCAGAAGGCGTACCCTTGGGGATGTGATTTGTGAAAACAGCGACATTGAGCGAACTACAGTCAATGTGTTCAATATTGCCAGTGATTCGTAAGCAAAATAATACGAAAAACAATACGTCCATTCATAAACGAGAGTTATTAAAATACTACATTTAAATACGTTTTTTACAGAAATCCTTGGGTAGATTGCACAGATTCGAGACGGACGAAAATAAGAATAGCTGACTTTGTTTGATATGGCAGAATCGGTGAAATTTTGTATCTTTTTTAGTTTGGTATTTTATTTATTGATTAATATATTATCGTGTTCAGTCGTTTGAACTTTTCAATGTACTTTACCGGTACGGTTGTTAGTAAATATTTCTGAACTTTTGAAATAGTTTTATTTAATGCTTTAATAAAGAACAATTGCGACTGACAGTTTTGACAATTGTTAACTTGAGAAAAGTTTTTGCCATTACTTTTGATCACTTATTCTAATTGAGCAATTTTCGAGTGCTGGTATAGACGTAGAATGAAAGCTAGTATTTTGGTTGAATAAGTAATATTAGCTCAAGATTGGATAAGTTGATGCAATTAATCCAAATTGTTCGTTTAAACGGTCTAGGAAATCTTACTCGTTTTAAACTGATGGCATAAAAGAAATGGTAATTTTGGACACCATACAATTTATGTTGACAAAATCTATTAATACGCATTTAATACTCTATAGTGAATAATTCCAATCCACAGGTAAATTGTTATGCATATACGTACGATTTAATATCTGCAAATCATACAGTAGTACTGTTTCCACGATCAGAATAGAAAGCTACATTGCAACACCATAAAAAATAAAGGTTAATTTGGAATAAAGTTTGTGTATCTGCAGAAACCTCCCTTTAACATGACTCTACTAGAGTAATGAACTGATGAGACGGCATGGATGCGACAGAAAGTCGCGTGTGTGCAATATCGGTATCAGTTCCGTTCTAATATCCCTTGTTTAATGACTCTTGAGCATACATCCTCCCTCCTTCTGCTAATGAGGATATAAATTGCAGGTAATTATGGGTACCTTCCATTCCACTCTGTTTACTTGAGAGATAAATAAATACTTGACATGCAGTACAATGCACATCACCACATAATATAACACAACTATTGCATTACAAATTTACTATCTATGCTACGGTTTAATAAATGAGTCACCAAAAAGTCCAACAAACCCGGACGATTAGGAACAAAACAATAATTTCGAAGTCATGCGAAGGAGGAAGGAAAAAGATGAGAATGACAAAACAAAAGATAATCTGAAACATTCCTGGTGACACTATTACATATTATGTCATTACAACAATAAATAATACATGCTCCAAATCCAGGATACCATACATGAGGTACTGCACTACTACTACGGAGCAACTTCAGGTTTACATCGGATGCTCAAACGCTTAGACTTTTTCTCCCGGTTTCGTCACAAGCTAACTAACTTGGTTTTGATATAAAGGTGAAACTCATGAATTGAGAGCCCACAGTCGGTGGCTGGCTTGCTCCTCTTGCTCATCGCCCAAGTGAGAAAGTGAGCATCTTTCTCCACCACGCAGCATTTTCTTCAGATTTTGGGACCCTGTGGCGATTTAAACAACTTTTCGTACTTCTCACATTTTACAACTTTGTAAAATCAAGCACTGACGCCTACTCCTGCTGGGTTTCACTACCGAGTGGTGTTTAAATTATTTTCAGGAAGTGTACATTTCTATTTACGCACACGATAGCGGGCGTATCATCCCCCTTCGATTCCGGTGATTTCCTATTCTTCCATTGAGACTCAAAATTTAGAGATATGATCAACTTAAACTGGAAGAATTTAATTTCCGGTGGTAAATATAAAATACATAAAAGAGAAGGGTGAATTTTAAGCCAAACCAACCAACCTGACTATTATGCAGAAAGAGGGGGTGAGATGAGAAAGTTGGTGAACGAATAACACGCAGTGTATCGGAGATGTGGTGACTAGTGAGAATACTGGAAAAGTGCGTACATGCAAGTATTATGTAATGCATGACTAACGTGTCTTATCATCCCAGCCATCCAATTGAATTTTCCCTGCGGAAGAAAACTTTCTGTATAAAAAGATTCAAATTTGACATTGACACTCCCTCATCAACCAGCAGTACATAATTTTGTACCGAAATCATTCCCAAAAAAGTTTGACTTCCCCCATGACGAGGAAGAGACAGAGTTCATACATACAAATGATCAAAAGGTACGTAAAAAAGTTCTGAATGTACTAATTACATATACACCGGAAAGCAAATACGTAGATAGTGAAAGCCAAAGTAAAATATGCTGCTGGTTCATGATGTCGTGGGCGAGTTTATAGCCCATGGCGCAAACTTGTTTTCACTAAACAACAGGAAAAGTATTTCATTACATTTCTGAAAAGAACAAGCTCATTTTCAGTAATAGAAATGCGGGTATTAATAAACTCTAATTGAAATATATCCCAGTTTGACAAGAATGAATAGGAGGGATGGCTAATGGGGAAAAGTGGCTTCGAGCTGTTTGAACATCCCAGCATGTTGTTTCCGTATACTAAATATGTTCTGACGACTATTCCTTCCCATATCTACACCACAGCGTAGTCTACAATTTTCACTTTTACTTTTCTATAAAAAACTTGGACGTGCATGTTTCTTTTGCCTCTGTAAAATGCAATGGTAAGGTATATATGCGGCCATGCACGGATCTCTGGTGTGAACATTTTTCCCTCTCGAAGCTTTCACCAACGAAGGATAGATAGATACGTACGTAGCTAACGTAATAATAGCTGGATAGCGAAAGTCTGAAAAATTCAATGAGTCCCCAGAGGATTTTGTTTAACGAATATAAATTATCCCACAACAGCCACTACGCTGCAGTAAATGATAACGTGTGGAGAGAGCTAAAAAAATTCATGGCTACCAATTTTGCCATAAAGTCCGAGCGCATAAAACGCAGCAGGTACTCGCATTTTAAAAGCATACATTTTTAGCTTTACATAAATGCTCGGAGCTAAACATATTCCGCAGAACTGTTTCTGCCAGCGAGTCATGTCAGTCAGGTAAGTAATGATTGAGCTGGAGGAAGTGGTTCTGAAGTTATTTATGCTTTGAAACCAGTGTGCATTTATGTACATGTATCTATGTGTGTATATAAATGAAGTGAGATTAATCAGCAAAATTTGCTGAGGGTATAGAAAAAGGGAAAGGGGCATCATTTGAGTCTTTGCTCTAGCTTAGTCTGGTAGTGTTAGATAGAAATTCTCTTGGTGTGAACAGGAGAAAAAGTGGAGAAAGGAATCCCAGTGAAAGTCACTAACCGTAGTACTTTATATTTGAATAACCGCTTAAAGGAAATGAAATCTCGACTTTGCTAAATCGAGCATTTCTTCAGGAATTCAAGGAAAGCATAATATTTGCATAATTTGGAATTACTTGCCGTTCAATGTCGGCTTTATTTTCACTGTGAAATAATAGGATTTGAAACTAATATATAATTCTCTTCGTCTTGGGTTTCCTGACTTTTGCAAAACTCGTATCCTTACCTTCCCTACATCTGCACATTTTTATAGAGCTTTTGTAAATATGAACTGACGATGTACCCAATTTCTTCAGCTGACTCGCTTGAAAATGTATTTTAATGTCGTGACTGGACGAGGATAATGTCATAATGTTGAGCAATTTATTGGTGATAACTAGTTTTGTCATTTTTTGTGGCTAGTCAGCAATTGTAATGAAAAATATTAAGAAGACAACACTTGAATTGTCCTTCATATCAAGCCGTCTCAAGCACTCTGTATTGATAGCAAGTCGGCAAAGCACAAGTGAAATGGTTTTAAGAGAAATCTCAGCGAAATTGATGTGGCTCTTATTTTGTTTATTTTGTACTATCTGCTGTATTATAGCTTATATCACACTGACAATAGAAAAGAGCAGCAAAGTCTACTTTACATTCTCGTCTTATTTTTTGTCGCTGCATAAATGATGGTGTGTGTATTATGCCATCATCGTCGTCTTATCATAAATGGGGTTGAAAGTCTTGAAAGAGGAAAGTGGTCGCATTTTTTATTGGAGACAAAGACCATGCCTGGTGGTGGGTGGTTGGTGAGAAAAGAGTGTGAATGAGAGGGAATGGTGTGTAAATATTGAATTTTATTATATCGAAACGCAAAGTGAAATGGGAGCAGGAGATCGACGAGTTTTATCCAAACACGTCCTCATATCTCGCCAAGAAATTGCCGCAAGGGCGACACCACTCAATTTTCTTGGCTCAATTTGACTCCTCCACTCCACGCACTCATCCTCCTCATCCGATATGCTCTTTGCGACTCGTCCTCACTTCGCCAGTTTAGAAAGGTCACACAAACATCACATTTTAGCGAGCAAATTGATTTCGTATCTTCTTACCAGTAAGGCATACAAACTAGTCGAGTTCGGTGATTTCGGATTGCTCGGCATGAAATTGTCTTCCCACATACATGAAACACATAATGAATATCAATTTCCGAGGTATAGAAATGTCTTTTTGATGTAAAATTCTCTATGAATATTTTCGGCACTATAAGTATGTATATCATTTCATCCATTGAGAAATAAATTCGACAAAGGGATGAATCAAATTGACAACAAAGTCCTGATAATTCAGAGTCAAGAAGGAAAACAACCTCAATTTCATTAACACCTTTATCTCGGATATTACAGGTACATTGTGTACTCAGACATTCTTATTGGATTCTTTTATTCAATACACATCACAGCCACTTATAACCGCTGTACATATGTATCACATACATAAGTACACAAGTAGGAAATACTTAACAAATAATATTTCGTTACGTGGTCATGTTATCTTGCATTTGAAACATCTCCATCCATCTTCGTCACAACAATTTCAAAGTCAGAAGAAAATCAAGTAAAAACAACAATGCAATTCCTTAGGGAATGTGAGACTCAAATAGATAAATATGTATGTACATATGTATATGGGCAGGGCAAGAATGAGTCAACATTCATTGAATGCATGTAAATATTGCATACATCGATATATAGGTCTCGGGTCTTTTCCTGTCGACTCTGGATATAGCTTAAAATTACAATACAGGAATAATATTTTTTCTATTCGGGGTATATATTTGTGACTAAACTTCTACAACCTTGTATTCACTGTACATTCATATGCACCAGACCAGACGAGGACAAAACAAAGCAAAAGATTGATGTCTGTTAATGATTGATTAGATCGAATATCCATCTGGATTTATGTGTATAACCGCCTCGTTCAGAATCCAACTCATGTCCTGGTTCTCAAAGCCATCGGAAGAAACTCACGACACCCAAATTTCGGGTTTGCTCCAAGTTGTCAGTGACTTGATTGATGCCAATACCAATTGTGAAAAACAATCATGGACTATAATGCAGGCTTCTGTCTATTCCAATTCAACCCAATGTCAAAGAAATTACGGCTAGAATAACCAGCGCATTTTGAAACAACTGAACATGATTCACTCTTTGGGTAAGTTATTAATGATACCTACAGGAATTGACCGGAAAATGCTTTTATAAATATTAAATGAAACACCCACGATTTCAAAGATACACACATTTATGTACGCATGTACGGATACAAGCGAATAGTACGACTAACAGGAGATAGGTTTTTCTGGACCCAAAGGAGAAATTAGCCTGATCGTTGTTCACTCAAGGTTTGCCGAGGTTACATCACAGGGACTCAATTAAAGTGCTCGGCGTAGCTAAATTCCATCCATTTTGTTAGCTTATCCTTCTACCTGCCCCCATTTCGAGGAATAGTGGATTGGATACTCTAAATACGTATGTACTCTGGTCGAATTCAGAATTTACGTATGTAACAGTATTGTGAAAGCTCGGGTTGTTTGTGGCAGCTTGCACGTTGACAAGTGATGTATTTCCACTTGCATTATAGACACATTTCCACCTTCGCCAAAAAGGGAAGTTTTTGTGTTTGTCTATTCTCCGAACTGAACTTGTGGTTTTAAGAGGAGACAGTTCAGAGTGAAATGTCAATTGGACTGAAATGTTTTTAAATGTCACACCTGGTCATTAGATTGATGGATGACTGTCCTTGCTTCGTCATTACATTAGTCCAAATAGCGACTAGTGTACATACAGATATTCCTGTTCCTATTTTGCAATGTGCTGCAAAATTCATTTCGTTTCGCTCTGAATCTAAACGGAGGTAAATAAAACGTTCGAAACTGCTATTGGATTAAATTCGAAAGGAATTGGAAGTTATGTGACATTGGGAACACCCCATGAAAAAAGTACCACCAAAAACGAATGTCCTGCTCGCCTTTACTCGGACATACAGTACATTACAGTTCCCAATTCACCGTGTGAATAATTCAGACAGCTTTCAGGTTCAAATTGAAGTTGGTCATGGACACATTCTTGTTTTTTAATTGCATTTAATATTTGAGGTTGTAATTGCCTATGGATTGCAAGTTCTAGTTTCTGTAGAATATCCGTAGAGCAACCAATGTTACTTTTTCGTCATTAGTTCTTGTAATTGATTTTGTATAGACATTTATACATACGCACATATGCAAATGTCTCTACTTGCGTAGATACTCAGCACTGCAAGGATTAACAAAAGCATAGCACGCACACATGAATCCTGATCTTGCAGTCAGTAATACAAATTAGGTAGGTTTGTATTAATTGCTGTTTGTATTGAATTAATGTGACCATGCGGCCTTAACCATTATGCACATAATTAAATTATTTTGGGTGGATAAGTAATGTATTCACGTTAGTTAACTTAATTGGTAATTTAGTATCATATTTTTAGGTTAAATATCGAGAGTTGTTGCACTTGTATTATTTCGTAATTTTCAAAAAATTTTCTTAGATTGTGAAATAAAAATCCCAACAACTAAAGAAATGTTTCCACCTACTCTCAGCATTATTCACCACCATAAATATCTCGTCATCTATTTCAATTTATGTCTCATGTTATCATTTTACACGTGTCAGTGTCATCTTGATCGCTACCCATACGTTAGCTGTGAAGTAAAAGCTAGATCACTGAATCCCTTCTCCTTGCACGTGAATCCAACCACAAATATCATTTCGTACATATCTATTCAATGCAACCACTGCCGACGCAGTGTCAACACCGCAATCTAAATTGAAATTGATAAGACGATGGCGTTTGGTCGTCTCACCCGTTGGTGTTCTGCTCTGAGACGAGAATGAGATTGGTGCAAGTGCGATTGAGAGCAGAATAACAATGCCTGCGCGAGTCAACAGACAACGGACGAGGAGATAATCTCTTAAGTAAACCAAGTCGGCTTCAAATCCTTTAATTTTTCAAGGGGAATTTCCTGAATCAACAGAATCGCCAACCATGATGAGCTCGCCTCGTTTTCCTTCCTTCCTTGTATTGGTTATTTAATATTGGTTATTTTATGACGGGTTATGGATGGATAATATTGAAATTAATTAAACGCTATGTACGTGATCAAGCACTATGTGCTGCACCCCTTCAAATGTTATGAGATTTTTTCAGATGATTCATATGTAGGTATAAAAATATTTTCAGGAAAAGTAAATTCAAAACTGTAAATTTTAATGCATCCGACTTATGTAGCATTATGCAAAGGAAACGAAAAAGGGTTCAGAGAGACGCATACATAAGACGGCAAAGTAACAAGAGCCAGGCAGCTTTAGAAACTAATAATGGAAACTTTCTGGCATTAAGGGGTTGAGCTCGCAGGCAGCATTACTTATTGAGTTGACTTGTTCTGTCCGAAACGTTAACGAAAGCAAGCAAGCTCAGCTCAGGTTGGTTAATCCTCATGTTTATCCTTTAACAAAACAAGGGAGAGAAACTCAATTTGTAACATTGGCTTATCCTTCTTAGCTCTCGTATCTGTTTTCAGTGACGGATGTTTAAATGTTTGATATTGGATCAAATTTCGTTATCTTTGGACTTGTAAAGTTTTTGTAAGTCACACAAATATGTAGAATCACACCTTCCGTCTCCTTGTTAGTTGATTCTTTCCAGTGTCGATTCCAAAAGGCGTTGGGGCAAGATTTATGTATCCGGATTAAATGACTTGGGAATTTACTACACTGAATACATTCAGTTAGGAAGATGCTCCAATTTTGTGCAGGGAAATACAAGCCCCGAGACTTTTACGAGCAGAAAATAACGCTTTCCATACATAATATACTCCCGTCATGAATATGATACTGTGGTGTTGCTGATAATTGTCCAACTTTTTAGAGTGTATCATATATCAAAGGTAAAAAACCTTTTCTAGAAGCATAATTTGGACTGAGTTGTCCAGTAATAATGAGGTACATATCCACCATACATATACATATAAATATATCTATAGAATATATGTACACATAAATACACATAAATTATGTTTGGTGACGAAGACGAAGGACACATGAATTACGAATTCCTTGCAATCTTAAATCTATTTCAGTTGAATATTTGCATATCATCTTATTTCTTACATACATATATACAAAGATTTTCCACTTTCCCCAACTACTTATGAGTCCCATCGAAAACCTTGTATCAATGGAAGCTTCAGAACAGAACACTTTATGATGAATAGCAAAACTTTGGAAATTCAAATATTCATCTTTTGACACTTCACACACAGAGGAGATGCTCTAGATCAAATTCTAAAGTACGCCTATTGTGGTTCCTTCCCTCTGAATTTCTCCTGAAGGTAAATAAATCTGATCCTGAGAATCAAAACACATTTGAATAAATATGCCTAAACTTTCGATCGGTCTCAGTAGACTAAACAAAATGGATGTATGTTACCGTAACCCTTTGAAATCCCTTTCATTCATGAACATATGTCATACACGCTCTAAAAATATAAACTCGGAATTGTAGAATGGTCAGAAACTCTACACATTTATTTTATGGTGTGGAATCAGTCAGACGTTTGATAAACGTCAAAGTCGCTGCAGCTTGTCTGATCCTTGTATTGTGACCAAGTTTGAATGAACTTTGGTTTAAGTGCTCAGGATGAGTAGGGCGGATCCCTGGTGGTGGTTGATGGCTAATGGAGAAAGGTTGTGGGAGATGACGTATAATGCCATTGTGCACGTATTCGCGTTTTCTAACCATTGTGCTTTCCCACTTCATCCGCCGTGGTCGGTTGGGTTACCATTAATTGGATTGGAGTGCAGTGAAAGTAGCTTCTTCTCAGTGGGAAAGCTTTAAACGGAAACTTTTCGCTTTGTCATGCCTCACAAACGATGGACAATGGAGCCATTAAATCGTGCTTAATAATACACGCCTTCCACTAATTTTGCATTTTAGTCTAATCTCCTCAGTTTATATAATTTCATCAACAATTTTAGAGAGATTACAAGTTACCTTAATTCGACTTTACATGGAAAAAGGGATTTAAGTTGCACTTTCACCAAGTGAAAATACCCAACCGTGCATGCACTTTCGCACCACGAGGGCTCTGAAAATATTGACAGTTCCAACCACACCGCGACCAATTTATTGAATATAAACGACCATCTTTAATACAGCATGAGCAACAAAAGCACGGGTTGCTGCTGGTGATTGGTAGTACACACACCGCCAGTTGTTGGTGGTCGAGTAGAAGAGCAGCCAATTTTAACTTGGTGTCAGCCAACGCTTTCTCTGTCAGGCGACTTTCTCCACGGGCCGTGTTACTGGTTTTCACCACGACCGCTGTTATCCTCCGTACATAGGTTACCTACGATAGGTTGGGTAGCAGCAGAGGCAGGAATCTAGTATCTAGAATCGAAAATCTTTTGATATTCGAATTGAACTTGCATGGCTTCCCATTTCCTACCAAATTGATTCATAAACCACAACAAAGAAAGTGCTATTGTGATATGCAGCCCGCAACCGTTGTTGGTTTCGAAAGCCGTCCAATATCATCCGGCTTCTCTCCATTACTTTCCATGACCAATATTATACGCTACCTTTTGCTGGTCTATTTCTGCTTTGAAGTAACAATGAAATTTAGTTGTTTGCATCTGCGTTTGTGAAAGTATGGTGTGGTGTGTGGCCGTATATGTAAAATGGATAATGTCTGCAGTAAAAGTTTCCGTGTTCATCTTCATATAAGCAAAGGTTAAATTGATATAGACCTTTAAAGCTAAACCACAGGTCTCATTTTTGTGGTTTTCAAGCTATTTTAAAATAATCCAGGTGAAATGCATGCGGTTTTTGTTGCCCTAAATTCCACATTCTCATAAAATTTATGCTATTTAATATTTAAACAGAATACTTATGTAAATACGTATGTATGCAGGTGTTGTGAATTGAAACTTGTATATTTATAGATAACGAATATATACCAAAACAGCGTCATGCACTGTAAAAGGTGTTCACCTCGAACAAAACTAAGAAAGTTTTACATATCCAGCCAGAGATAATACTAATCTACGTAATCGCTCGGTTTGTTTTTAAGTGGGGGGTTGGTTAGTAATTGGCAAACTACTTGACATGAACTTGGCTACTATTCAAGGTGTTCCTTTTAAATTCGTTAAATGGTCCTGAGCATTATTCCGCTTTTCTTTCTTTGTAAGTAAGTATCCATCTTTATTGTACGGAAAAATAGTCGCATTCAGTTGTGTTTTTTGTTACTTTCTCCTTTTGTTTGCATGGCTGGAGGTAGTAACAGCAATTTACAACATGGTGGCTGAAGTAAAAGAGATAGCAAATCCCATTTGGATTCTCGGTGCGTTTCAATGCTCACAAATTCCATTAAAAATTCATGCATTTCTGCTTCAGGCCCGTTGTGGTGGTCGGACGGAGGTAGTAACTCCGACGCTACTGCCCACCATTTCTGCTTCTCATCCTCTCGTCTCGCCGCTCGCAAGACGTTTCGAAATCCAGGTTGATGGCAGCTTCCTTCAAAATGTGGGGCTCTTGTATCAGTGAAGAGGATTGGGATTACGAACACAGCCAAGTGAAACAATTTCATGACAAAATTTGCAGCGTTCTGCACTTTGTGTAGCCAAGTGCCGCTCACGCTTTACTCCGCTGGCTATTAGATACGTGAGTTCAGCTTTGTGTGTGGGTGGTGAGCTGGTGGTGTTTCGCTCATAGGCGAGAGGCGGTTGGCGGATGGATGGACCGGGATCGAGTGTACATTGTTGTTAACACAATTCTGAACTCTGGTGGAAATTATTGATAAGCACTGGAACGCTTGTGAATGAGAGAAATGTGAGATAGTACTTTTGCTCAAAGTACTAAATTTTTACCGGGACCTGGATTTGGTTAATTTAAACGCTGCATGGAGAAACTTTGAATTTAATTTACTTTTATATTTATTACGACGGTCGATGAGTTGAGTATATACAAATCAAGGCTGGCGGACTGATGGAGGTGTCTATTGTAGATTTCGTCACATGACTGCTAGGGAACCGTCCGAAGCCGTGAATTTCCGACCCGTACCGGGCCCAAAACACTGAAACCTGAGAATTTAATGTTTTTCTCGCTTGCATAATGTGTGTCGAGGTCTGTCACCATAAAATATAGTTGGTTACCGTTCGGATTTCTATAAATTTTGACGGGAAAAATCAAAAACAAAAATTATTAAAATTTTTCCCGTCAAAATTTATAGAAACCAACTATATTTTATGGTGACAGACCTCGACACACATTATGCAAGCGAGAAAAACATTAAATTCTCAGGTTTCAGTTTTTTGGGCCCGGTACGGGTCCGAAATTCACGGCTTCGGACGGTTCCCTAGCAGTCATGTGACGAAATCTACAATAGACACCTCCATCAGTCCGCCTGCCTTGATACAAATATGTATACAAGTATACAGTTTGTCTGAAATTAGGACTCCGAAATATGCACAATTTTATTAAAATTACGATAATCATATGTTTGTAAAAATTTCAGATCGCTAGTCTGCCGAGGCTGAAAAACGTTGACATGGACCAATGTACAAAAATAAAGTGCACACTTCGCGTAAAGATGAAGTTTCCTATTCAAATTTTCCTAATAAGTTTGATTTTCTATTCAAACGTTGAAAGTCTTGATCTTTGTGAGTAATATTTGTGTAATTTATCGATATATTATATCAGTTTGTATATTTGTCATCAATTTTTTCGCATTTTTAATAGCACAATGTACAATGCCTTTGGGGATGGAAAGTTATGACATTGCAGACTCGGACATTACCGCCTCTAGCTCTTATGAAAATGGAAATGTTGGACCATTTCTTGGCAGGTGAGTTCTGTTCATACTAAACTATAACACACTGTTTTCATTGGCGTATTATGTTAATTAACCATTACAGAGTTCGAACGGAAAATCAAGGAGGGGCTTGGTGTCCGAAGAATCAAATTACTTCCGAAGGCGAAGAATGGCTGCAAGTAAGATAATATCTATGTTATTGTCTTATTATGATTAAAAGAACCGCATTGTCGCCGTCTTTCCAACTAATAATGGCTCATTTTCAGATTGATCTGCACACAACGCGCGTGATAACTGAGACGGAGACACAGGGAAGGTTTGGTAATGGTCAGGGTCTGGAATTTGCAGAGACTTACATGCTGTCATACTGGAGACCGCAGTTAAATAAATTCGTTCGTTATCGAGATCACACGGGAAACGAGGTACGTTGGTAGTTGGTTGGCACTCACTTTGTTTCTGAGCTGATTTGATGTTACATAGCTAGTAACTATATATAACCGTCAGTCGTTTGTGGTAATGAAGTTGCCAAAATAAATCATTTTTATTCCATCCGCTTCGCAAGCCATCTTAATCAACCTCTTCTCTCCTTCTTGTTCTTCCTCTTCCTGCGCCGTTTTTCGCCCGTCCGTCCGTCGGTTTCCATTTTCTCCACAAATTCAATTCAACAGAAATGAGAAATTCATGAGAATTTGAGAAAACCGTTGTGATACCTTAGCTTATGTATTTTGAAAGCCCATAACTCAATTCCCCAATTTTCCTCATTACAGATTCTCAAAGGGAATATCAATACTTACCTGGCCGCAAAAACGGAGCTAAATCCACCCATAATAGCTTCTAAAATTCGAATCATTCCATACTCGTACCACAGACGGACGGTATGTATGCGGGTCGAGATTTACGGCTGTCCATATCGAGGTAAGGCATGAATTTCGCCGTCTTGTTCTCTCTCCTCTTTCGAACTAGCAACACCGTATGGATTTTCTAATCAACCGTGGCTTCACTCCAGATCCACTGATCTCAATTGTTTTCTTCCCTCTTCTTCAATCCTAGCCCATAACTTTGCAAACTGACATAAACTTCCATGGGGCTAGAATGGCCGATGTGGAGGTGGTTCTATGCATTTCTCATTTTCTTCGCTTTCACTGTTTCACCTGAAGTGAGGTTGTTTGTGGTGTAGTTGAAATTCCACCAACAAACTAGGTTCAAGAAATGAATCCGGTAATGGGCGGGTGCACAAACTGCTCGTATGAATTGTATAATGCAGAACGAGAATTCGACATGAGCCCCCTCGCACTTTATTACATTAGTCCGGGTCCATTTACTCCCATTTCTTGGCGATACCACTGACATAGAAATTAGGAGTTGGTTTCGGTTTACTGCCCTCACAGACACACTGTTTTTTATGGTGCCGTCGAACCGAACATCATGCATTTACAATAAGCCCACTCTTATTACATGTACCTGTTCGTAGTGTGGTATATACATGCATAAGCGGTTTAGGATATGGTTTTAGGTTGCGGTTGTCAACCTACTGCTCGGTTTTGCAATTCTTTGTACTTGTACGAAATGTATTTTGCATGAGAAGGATGACGAAAGGTAAAGTAGAATACTTTCGGCTTTCTCCTGTAGTTGTTGGGTTTGGATATGTAGGAAAACCTTTATGAATAGTGCACAAGTTCTTTAAATTACCTGTGCAGACTCAAGTGTCGTTCTTTATGGGAGATTTGGGAGAAAGTCTGATATGTAGTTTTACCCATCTCCCAAGAGCTGACACAGATTGGCCGCGGTGGGTTCTGCCTTATTCAGTTTCTCATCTTGGAGAAGGAGGTTGAAGAAAGCAACTATGTATCCACTCCTCGTTCTCATTACGGACTTATTGTTATCTGTCTCAAATTAAGACAAAGTACTCCTGCGGAATTTCTCTCCGAGTGCCCAAAGAGGCCAATAAGGTGTTCAGCTTTAGTATTATGTGTGTATAAGACAACATTATGTAACGACAGATTCAGGTCATCGTTAATCACCAATGGGTACACCTTAAACATCTGCACTTTATACATACATAATACTGTTCCCATTTACCACATTATCCTATCTGATCTAAGATATTTCCCCTACAGTCTTGCCTTATCTCACCCTTACCCTTCTTAGTAGACGGATGTTTAAGAAAGCCCTGTTGACCAGAACAATTTTCAGGTGAAGTGAAAGTTGGCTTGATGAAATCTATTAAAATTTCAGGAAAGAATTCCAAACTTTTCTAATTTCGCAGCCTTACTGCCCACGACGACGGCCAGTTGAGCACTTTACTGCTGTGTAGCAATGGTTAGGAAATTGGTTGTAATTGTACTATTTGTGTACTTTATATGTGGCAGGGAAGAGTAAGGTACGAAACAAATGGTATAGTTATTTTCTCACAAGAATTGGTTAATGTGTCATGATATTCGGTTCAGTTGGGTTAACACGCAAGTAGTTTTCATGAGGTTTTCGTGGTGTAATAAGGAGAATTATTTTTCCTTGGTGAAAGGGCCGGCGAGCTGACAGGAGAAGACGGCAGCAAACGACTTGACAGCAATGACAATATGAAACCAGTTTATTTATGAGACTTGGAAATGAACACAAAAGTTTCCTGGATGAGAATAAAAATAAATTCTGAGAAGGCGAAGCAGGTTGACCTCACCTCTTTTGGGTGAAATCACTGCATCCACTTTCGTATACCTGCACCGTGTGTACTTTTGGATACATTCTCACGTTTCTTTATGCGAGTGTATGCATGTAAATTTGGCCATGTTGATTTTGGCATTTGGAAAACCCTTGGAAAACATTACTACTTCATATGCAAAATTTGGAGCTTCATCTTCTCCCAACTGTCTGTCTTACCAGCAATTTAGTCGGTCACCTGTTAATTATGCAGACAGCTGAATCTACCATGTCTAGAATTTGTTCAGCTCCAAGTTATTTCGGAGGTAAGGTACATATGACGAACGAGATTAGAAAATTAAATAATTATAACTCGGGGGAATCAACCAGCAGTCAAAATGCACTATCTTGAGGTAGTACATAGCAGCACTACAGTATTTTAAGCGTAAAGATGCTACCGTGTAGGAAGAGAGATAGGAAAGAAATTGGTGCTGAAATGTGAACCATAAAATATTTCACGACCAAAATAAAAAAATTCTTCATGGTCATGGTTTTATTTTATGTTCACCCCCCGGGTCTGATATCACCTATAATAGCGCACAGTCAAGGATCGGGCTTTCTCAAATGGAAAACAATAAATTAGAAAGCACGATGATGCACTTATAGATATCCGTTTATTCGTTATATATAAATCATTTCTCAACTCAACATACACAGTTCTCTATTATAAAAATAATATTACAAATATTTTTCGTATTGTTTTTTGGGACGTTGTGGTCCTTGTTGTAAGCATGATAATAATACAGCCTCAAATTTTATGGTTGGTAATAAGAAGTATGAGGTGCGAATTACTGAATGCTTGACATTTCTAACTATCTGGAGAATATGGTTTAAATCTCCAATTTATTAGGCGACCAAAATTGGTCGCAAAATTGTCTGCCATTCCATCAGTCACCGCGGTACTTTTTCCATAATGATATTATTAAGATGATCATAACTTGTGTGGTAGGTGGCCTGCAAAGCTATGCCATGTCTCAAGGAAGCAAGTTGGGCGAAAACTGGGAACTTTATGACTTCAGTTACGATGGACAATGGGAGGGACAGTATTTACAATACGGACTCGGGCAGCTCGTGGACGGAAAAGGAGGCCCTGTAAGTAACTACTTTATTTATTTAAAAGAAACGAGATTTATGCAATCACTAATAATAGGTAGACTTCAAGGACGATTATTATGCTGAAAATGGTATAACTTTATCATCATCATTTCTCAACCACTAATGTGACAATAAGTAGTTGATGCTTCTGTAATCCACAGGGAAAGGCTGGGTAGGGTGGAGGAATGAATCTAGAAATGCCACAAATCCCTTAGAAATTCTCTTTAATTTCGATGCCGTTCGAGAGTTCAACAGCGTACACATTCACACTTCAAACCAGTTTACTAAAGGCGTCCAGGTGCGCAATTCACTTCTACTCGCCTGTTTTTTTTACTTGTTCTGCAAATGGAGAAAGCCTGAGAGTGGCTGAGTCACTATTTTTTATATCTTTCGTCTTCACCAAAGCGGAAACAAAAGGTTGCACTAACTATTTTTATCTCGCTAAAAGGTGTTTTCTGAAGCGAGGATATTCTTCAGCATTGGGGGCAAATTATTCCCTGGAGCCGCCATCGCTTTTGTCCCAAGTGAGGACTGCATTTTCGAGGACCCTAAAAACATTACCATTAAACTGCATCATCGAATAGGGCAATATGTCAAAATTCAACTTTTCTGGGCCTCCAAATGGCTGCTCATTAGTGAGATTACTTTCGACTCCCGTAAGTCTTCGTACTAGTCCTTTTGGTATTACAAGATTATATTTCTCTAATGCTTTCATTCTTCATGGTGACTTTGTCTTTCAAAAAGATGAGTTAAAATGAAACGAGTTGCACTAGTGACGAATGCGAGGAGTGCTTTCTCTTTCTGAGATGAAATCCGAATAAATGCATTTCATCTCTTTTAATACCAACACATGTAGAGCCTGCCATGGGGAACTTTACGGACGAGGGGAGCTTGCCTGTTGGCAACAGCAGCAGCACGAAAGAGACTAAAGACACTCTCAACAACTCCCAAACTAATGTCTCCTCACGTATCGTAATTGATAATCCCGAGCTTCCCATCAACGTTGCAAGTAAGAAGATTATCATTTTATTTAACCATGTCGACATCATCATTTGGCTTCTCTCTTCTTCTTGGTTGCAAACGATTATGGCAGGCTTTTAATTTTTGTACTTTAAGTATGTACATGTTGTACTTAAAAAATGATGAGCTCCCCTTGCTTGTTTATTTTCAGATTCTGTTGTAGACCGTACCCCAACATTGGTGGAAGAGTTTTCATCATCTACAGTAGTGATAACTGCCGTGATCAGCTCCTGTATCGCCATTCTCCTTGTCCTCCTAATGATTTTGGCTGCTTTTCTTCTGAGAAATCGTCTCTTTGTCCAAGAAAAGATACCACCACCAAGCCAACCAAATTCCATGCACTATGGAGAAGTAGGCTTCAACAATGGAATCGGGTTCGCCGGCTGTCAAAGTGACTTTGGTTATGCTGCCCCACTTGTTCTGCTGGCATCACGAGGAGACACAAAATCCAAGTCTCCACAAACGATGGCTTCATCCCTTTCAAGAGATTATGAACCCTTTAAGGCCTTTTCCAGCTTTGTGGGATCAAATGCTAATAATACTGCTGCCAAGTCTAATGGGGGTTCCATTAGTTCATCAGGAAACTCTAAAACAGCAGAGTACTATAGCTGTGCTTTGCTACCAAACCCAGCCTTCATTAATAAGACAGGTAATCCAGAATTGTATGCAATTATGTCGCAATAAATCAAAGACAGATATATGTATGACCACTGTCAAAGTCGATAATGCATCGAAGTATACCATGCAGTACATATACATATATAAATACATACTTTTGTATGCTTAGTTGTTGGTAGAAATACAACGAATATTTTATAGGTGTTGTAGGGCACGCTACGTAACGACACATATCAAAGCATTAAGTTCTAGCCACTTATTCTTTTTTCTTCTTTTTGGCTTGCGGCAACCAAGAAGAAATTTATAACTTTTTATACGGTGGTGAAAGTAAGAGGGAGATTATCGCCAAAAAATTGCACCTCTTCCGTTCCCTAACCACCGATTTTCTCTTGTTCGCTTTGTATCTTACCCTCCTCGCTTTCCTTTCTGTTTATAAGCTACGTGAAAGTTATGCGCTTTTCCTTTCACTCACTATGTCGTATCACCACGGAAGTACAGGACTATTGACGCGTTTTCCACTACTACGCCACTATTTCTGATAAAGTGATACGAGTTTTTGGTGGGTGAAAGTGGAAAGTTATGAAACATGAGGTAAAGTAAAAAATGGCGAGTCTTTTAAAGAATTTCAATCCTCCTCAAACAACCAACTTAGAACATCCATTTTCCAAAGAAATAGCTGCAAGGACTCCAAGTGGAATTTCCCATCGTTGAATGGGATAAATCAGCCGAATTTTGGGTTTGTTGTGTGTAGCATTACTGAGAGCAGGATGTGTAAAGCATGTATAACGCACTGTACATTTTTTGACACGGAGAAAGTACGAGTTTTCTATTTCCAAACTGCGTCCGAGGCGACGACCTATTTGCTTCCAAATTCCTAAACGTAGAGCAACTTTGAAGAAAGTGTGGATGGAAGATGGAAATGTAATCAACCGAATTCTGCTACATATGTACTTAAAATACTACTGCCACAGTATGGACTCTGAGGAGAAGAATTCCAGTCTTTTACTACTACGGAGGGAGAGTGACGAATAGATAGCACTGGAATTTTTGAAATATCCTTGTTGTGAATGCAGTACAAAATCTTTAGTATTCACCTCATGCCTTCTGCGACTAATCTTAAAGAACAACAAATATTTCCATCTCGAGGTTAAAAATGCATCGTTGTCAGTTTCTTTTCCTTTGGGGCGGCAAGAGTTGTACAAGCACGCACTATGTAAATAGCACAGCAAAATGTCACACGTCGTCGTGATACTAATGTGCTACACACAGGAAAATATATATTAAGGTTGGTTGGAAATGGTCTGCGAGCATTGCTGACGTCAGAAAGTTCAATCACACTTTCTTCTGGATTTACATAAATGACTTTCACTCCTTAGTTCTAATCGGACTAGGCTTGTCCTTTTTGCACAACTGCGAGTCCAGAAGGTTGACTTGGTAAATAATCAGTATTTCAGTATAAGTACCATGTTTTCTCATACTGAATAGTGAATATCATCGAGGACACCAATCATAACGTTGGTCTCACGATAGTCGTCTCATATTTCACGTTCTTCTTCGAGTGTTAAAAGAAAGGTGACATTTACTTTTAATTGCTACAGATTTGAAGGCAAGTGACTACGAGTACGTTTCAAACGCGGGGGACTTTAATCTTGTTCCAACAAGTCACAAAAATCCCAGAAGGAACAGATCTCCAGATACATCCCTCTCCCCACCACCAATGTTCAAGACCAATATCAGAGGTCATCACAATATCTCACTACGACTGAGGGAACTCGGGCTGCCCGAAATCCCGAAAGAGAATTTAATTCTTTTGAAACAAGTTGGCCAAGGAATTTTTGGGACGGTAAATATTAACATTTATATTATGATTACTAATACTCGTACATGTGCAAGACTAACAAGTAAGTAGTGAAAGTTGGAATTGTACTTAAATTGCAGATATTTATCGGCGAACTTCATTGGTCAAATACTATGGATAGACACCTTGTGACAGTGAAACGCTTGTTACGAAATGCATCTGAAAAAGACAAGTGCATAATTTTTCCTATCTGCATATTTACATACATATGTCATAATTTACAAAATATTTAAATAATGTATTTCGATGTTTTTGTTCAAGGATGGATTTCCTTACAGAGGTTCGACTCTTATCCACTTTAAAAGATCCCAACGTCACGCAAGTAAAAATACAAATATTTCTTACAAGTTATAAATCCTAATTGTTGCATAATTGTTACCAAACTTAAACTATTCTTCTTTGTGAAGGTGATGGGCTTGTGTACAGAAGAGGAGCCCTTTTCTGTGGCGCTTGAGTTTTTGGAATTAGGGGACCTTTGTCAATTTCTCAGACAAAACGATACTCTACAATCTGCTTCAAAGAGAAAGCTAAGGTGAGGCCTCATTTTCAACATATTGCTATACTTTCCTAGTCCTATAGGGAAATTGAGAAAGAGAAATCTGTCTGAAATATACAAATTTCACTCCACCACCACTATTTTTCCTCCCTTTCATTAAAAACTTGTAATAAAATCAATATTTCAAATGACAACCAACAAGCGAGAAAGAGAGAGAAAGTTATTCAGAGAAATTGCTTGGCAGACCAAATCCAGCTGGGGCTTTCCAGTTGATTTCCTTCTCAATGGGACTCAATCCACTTAATTAGATAAGTTTTATAAGCGGCACAACTCCCATAAGAACTAGCCAGCATAATTTAAGATGTTGTATGAAACCCGGCAGCAGGGCTTTTATAAATTATAATGGCAAACAGAGTGAAAGGGGGAGGTGAGGAACGCATTTTCATTTAATTTTGAATCTTACGCAGTGATGGAGACCTTCTTCATTTGGGCAGCCAAATAGCAAGCGGAATGAAATTTCTCGAGAGCAAGAATATTGTACATCGCGATCTAGCTGCAAGGTGAGTGTATTTACAAATAACTACGTATGTAGGTAGCCTGCTTTTCCATCCTCTATCCTTGTCGAATGACATATTGTGAAGTGGCATTCCAAGTAGTCGTTGCTGTTCTGTTGTGCTCTGCAAGTGTTATGTTAGTTGCTGACATAAAACTGAGCAAGATGCTTCAAAGATGTTAATTAAAATTAATCTGTGTGGTGGTTACAGGAATTGCGTTGTCAGCCGGTGTCTGACGGTTAAGATTTCTCATTTTGTCTCAGACACCGGGCTTTACTCTCAAGATTACTACCAAATTGATGGCAAAATGGGTTTACCTTTACGCTGGATGGCGTGGGAAAGTATATTTCTGGTAAAACTATCTAATTTGTGCATCTTCAAGGGCCATTAAATAAATTATTTCCTAAAGAAGAATCGTTTGCTTTTCCAGGGAAAGTATTCTACCAAAAGTGACGTCTGGTCAATGTACACACATACATATAATCCTCCACTCGAATGTCTAAATTCACTTGCCCAACTAAACTAAGCTCTTTGAATTTGCAGGGGAGTACTTCTTTGGGAAATCCTCACATTTTGTCGACAATCTCCGTACCCTTCATTCACTGATCAAGAAGTAATTCATAATGCAAGACGCCTATCTCTCGATGATGATGCTGATCCCTTTCAAGTGTTAAACCATCCCTACAACTGTCCCCGAGATGTTTATGAGCTGATGTGTGATACCTGGAAAAGAAATGATGTGGAAAGGCCATCTTTTTGGGAAATCCATTGTTTTTTGATGAGAAAGAATATGAATTATTGTAACAAGACCTCGCATCCAAACTCGCGAACGAACGTTGGAACAACGAACAAACCTGATGCACGGACTTCGTACTATGTCTGAGTCCTACGACCCCTCAATAATACGTAATATTATATGCATACAGGATACCACATTTGCATTCATTCCTGATAATTTATGACACTTTGTAATACTTATTGACCCTTAACAATGACTCGATCGGTGTTATACCATCTTTATCGTATACATATATTTCGAAATTCTTATTGCACAAGCTTTATATATTTATTATTCACGAAACAATTTTTACCAATTTTGAAAATGCTATTTATAAATATGTATGGTTGAATTTATTGTACTTGAAGGTTATGAACTAGTATTATATCAAAAGCCAGTTTGTATGCATGTGTGCCATATTGTCTTCTGTATGTATATATATTTCTCCATTGTATGTATGTAAATCAAGGTGCTCGCTCCTTTGTGTAGGCTTCTTTCACGAAAACCTGAACAAGTGTCAAATGTCAGAAAGTCAATATGTGTACAAAAAGAAAAGAAAATACAACACAAAATTTCTCAAGATGAAGTCATCATTTTTCATTGTTGCAATAAGGGCATGGCATAAATACGAGTATGATACAACAGTCTGGCACAATGCATTTCAATAAATATACACTACTGATGTAAATGGAGGGCAGGATTGGAAAATGAAAAAAGTTGCCTCGCCTATGGAACTGGATTGTAGTTAGTTACGACCAATACGTATATTGGCTTCTTTCTTGTGGATGACTGATTGTTATAATAAATTGTGATGGATATGATTCAACTTTTGTTGGTCAGGATGATGCAGACGTAGCTGAAGGAGCAAGGAAAATATTTGATGGGTGCACCACCTGAGACCATAATTGAATAGCTCCCCATTTTCGACTTTTACCAGCAGCAGTGGCACCTTTATCTCCTGCAATTCCACTAAATATTATAAAGTCAACCCCTTGGGCATGGGCTGCACATACAGCTAAGACATTTCACATTCACTATTGATCGAATATTATAAATCGGATGAATGAAAACTCGGCGAACCAACGACGTACTTTTATTCTCGTGTGGCAAATTGGTTCAAATTTGACTTGCTCGACTGGGTTGGCGATTTCTATTCACTTTTCTTCTTTCACCAGAGAGAAGAGGGAGTCAGGAAATTAGACCTAAAAAGCTGACAGAAGTATGAATTGAGCAAGTTTTGTATGCATACATACATGAACGATGTTCACCATTACGAAGCAAGAAACCACACCACCAACCCCAAAAGTTTCCGAACTTTCCTTTTCCATCATCCATCCATATCGATAGCGATTCAATGAATCCCAGAATAGAAGAGTTGCCTGTGTTGGTGGTGCTGCTACTTCTCTGGTCCCCTCCCAACTTATAAAGACATTTGTATTTATCAAGGAGTTATCATTCTGTCAAGAATTTGAAAGGTAAAAATTGCTCCACCACCATTGCAACGTTATATGCCACACTGCTTGTGGAGGGTGAATAAACGATTCCACTTGAGTCCCGAGAAGTCATCTTGAGAGATTGAAGGCTTGGGTGGGTCCTTTTCTGAAAATGCATGCACTTTGCAGTACGATGACTGCTGCATGGATGAATAAGTCAGGGACAGAAAAATCATTCTTCCAATTAGACCCCAGCATCAGTAGTCGAGTGCCTTTTCGTCTCCTCTCTGAAAAGAAGTATGCAATATGAAGAACAAGTCCTTTAATTTGGGTGAAGACTTGACGAATATTCGTTACCTCGTTAGATCTTAGCACAAATCTGCCAGGGGTAATTTTATTACCCCAGAGATATAATCATGCCCATGATAAATATGTTCCGTAATAAAGACTACAATTAGAATTAATTTGAGTAAAATAATCAATAAAGTAAAAGTAACGCATTAAAAAAAGGTCCAATCTCATTTCCTTCCTTCCAGTGTTGCAGTGCAGCGACCAGAGAATTGCTTCATTCTGGCCGTGTTCGTCCACGTTCCTTCAGATCAAACACTTCATTTCCCCAAAAGAAATAATATCGAATCTTGAGCAAGAGGCCAGCAAACATCAAAGAAGATTGAGTCGAGTCTGGACTGAAATTGACACAGAAAATTTAATAAAGTAGCTTTTTTCGACCCTAAAGCCAATTGAGTCTCTCACTCTTCTATTCTCCTGCCTCCTCCTCGCAATGTATTGCAAAGATGTCTTGATGTCAATCAAGTCTCAGCTCAAGACTTCGCCTCGTCTTCTCCTTCGAGACAATGTATCGGCTGTAGGAAAATGAGACGAGTTTCTCAGCATAATATTTACTCTGGCATTGTCAATAAGTAGTACATACAGACATGAGGTTGCTTCTGGGTTGCCCACACTTAGAATATACTTTGAAACACGTAAGTAGAGATTTGATACAAGAGTTACTGTTTCTTGCTTGTTAAAAATGTTTCCATTTCACCGAAGGAGAGGAGATCTTCACGCTTGTGTGAATTGGTAATTTCTACTAAAAACGCTGCATTATATTTTCCTGTATGTGGGCATACAAAAAGAATAAAAAGATATTCCAGTAGGAGATGATGACAAGGACAAATCACAAAGTTGACTTGGCCCCTTTAAGTCTTTCATTATCTGACGTATGTTTTTAGATCAAATGACACACTACCCTTAACACGCCCTTCATCCTCGGCTACTCATGCGATTAAACGTGAATGCAGGGTCAACATTTCACTTGAAGATACTTTCGATATCAATCACCCAGATTTCTTCTGCATATGTACACGCATCATGTATGTACATACGACCACGAATATATAAATCAGTCGGTTTTGATTTGATAATCACGGGTGGGAGTTTGATGTCAGCTTGTATTCATTCAAGATCCAGCGTACAGATAGTGTTTGAGGTGGGTCGAGAGGCTTCACGAGAGTCACAGAACGAGAAACAGAATAACGGTATCGCGGATCGATTACATTGGACCGGTTGGTATTGACATTCGGTCATCTTTCTTGCCTTGCATTGTCATTTTACTCCCATTGTCCAGTCCAAACCGGAATTTTGATCTATATGTCCCATGGGCATCAACTTTAGACAGTCAATGGAAGAGTAGGTATCGTGAGGATTGGACAGTTATAAAAAAATTAATAATCCCACAGGAATACGGTACATGAAAAGGATGGTTTTATGAGTCTGAAATTGGGGAGTCGACCTTGGCAATGAAACTCGTGGAAAGTGGATGCATGCAGATGGTTATTTAGTTGGCGGATGGAGAAAGTTCCCCTACTGTTTGAAGGGTGATCGATATAAGAAAACCCAGAAGCCAACAAGGGAAGCCAATTTAATCCTTTTTCTACCAGGGCACATCGAAAGATTCATTGATGCGAGGGTATAGCTTAAACCCAGCACCTGATGCCAAGTCTGGTAATAAAATGTCCATTTTAAGAGTAAAAGCAAGCAAACACGGCAGGGCAACTTTTTAAGCTCGTATTTTTCTTGAAAAACAAGAAAGCTTGTAACTTTCAGTTTCTGAATACTTTTGGATAAGTCCAATGCTTTTGGGGATTCATAACGAGTTATTTTAAAGTCCTATGAACTAAGAAACACAATTGCTCCAGAAAAGAAAACAATCTGCAAGTGATTAGCATGAAGCAAATAATACTTATCGTTAGATTATATTTATACAATGTAGGTTGTATACAGGTATTTATAGTTACAAGTGTACTTATGTATATATTATTCCACTCTAATTAAAAATAACAAATGGGAGTAGTTGATATCATATAATATGATTCATATTATTATATCGCAGTCGATTCTTCTTCCTCTTGATCTGAGTTTGAATCAATAAGAAGATGAGGGGCGGTAGATGTGGCATCGGGAATTTCATAGCTTGAACTTGTATCGGATACATTGTCTGCTGGAATATCATCAAGAGTGCCGAACGTAGTTAAGAATTCTTTCTTCAAAGTTATAAAATAATCAAGCAATTCTTCTTGAGAAATCGTGTTGGCCATTTCACAAGCAATATTTAACTGAGATCCTAGAAGATATAAAGCTTTCTCTCTTTCTTCTTCGTTCGTCACGTTCACATCTTCAGGATTCTGCAGGACATAAAAATCAACATGTTAGATAGATTATCAAACCAAAGGCGCTAAGTTTTATTTAGGTTACCCTCTCATTATTTATATATCTTGCAATTTGTAATGCATCTTTAATAATAGGCATAGGATATGACGACAAGACTGCCAGTTTCAATCCATAATATTCTACCTCCGGAACACCGCGTTTTATAACGTGCGTGTACTTGAGTTTGCAATTTTCCATAGTGTTAGAAGAGTCGTCTTCGTTTTCATTGACGATAGCACTTCCGGGTTGCAATTTCCATTCTTGAGTCTCCATTGTGTAACTACACACATAGAGAATAATATAAATTCAAAACCAAATTTAATATAAGGTATGAACTGTTAGTGCTGGAGAATTTACTTTAAAACATTCGCGTAAGCGCTTTCTAGCTTGGTGAGAAACATATAGTGGGTCGCAAAGAGGACGAATGACCTGGTTTGCAATAAATGTTCAGCAATGGCTACTGAAATTGAAGTCCCTTCTTCTACGGATGTGCCTCGGCCCAGTTCATCAATGATTACTAAAGAATTATGATCGATATTGTCAATAATGTATTTCATCTCGCACATCTGTAAAGAAAAGATGCACAGAATAAAAATAAACAAACTAACATTTTATTATAAAATATAGGAATATGTACCTCCATCGCAAAGGAGGATGCGTTATCCTCTATATTATCACCAGTTCCAAGTCGTGAAAATATATTTTTAGCTATCCTAAATGTTGCTGCCTCTGCAGGAACAAAGGTGCCAATCTAGCATAGCATAATAACAAACCATGTACTGTACGTATACAACCAACTTGAACGAATTGTTGCAAAACTTTATAAATAAGAACCTGAGCTAGAACTTGAAGGGTAGCTACTTGTTTAAGGTACGTAGTTTTTCCACTCATGTTTGGTCCAGTTATTATTGCAAAATTTACATCTTCAGATAAAAACTGAAAGATATGAAATGAATTTGAGATATAACATCATCATCTACATTATTCCACTGTATGAAGTAAGTAAAAATTTTCTACCGTGTTACTAGGGACGGGTTCCTCACTTTTTACTAGTTCCAAAACAGGGTGACGCCCATTGATGATAGCTGTTGCTTTAGTAGAAAAACGAGGGCGAACGCATCTCAAGGTGGTTAGCGAGTATTTGGAAAGCGCATAAAGGACGTCTAATTGAGCCATGGCTTCGCTAATGTTGTATATGCTAGATATATCTTCTCGAATTTGAGTTACCAAATCCGTTACGACACTTGAATATCAATCATATTATGAATAGATTAGTTGCGACATGATCCAGGTATATACGATAAATTATAAAATTTTATTTACATTGCACTGAATTTCTCAATTTCCTTCCGTATTTCTGTGACACGATGGTCAAAACTCAGCAAACATTCAGTTGTAAAGTTTATTACATTTCTGTATTTTTTGACCTATAACGAAGAGTGCAAATTAGATTTTAATATAGGATTATGTAAAATAAATAGACATGCCATAATTACTTGAAGAAATGTGTTTGGTAAATCTGGAACACGATCTCCTCTTCCAGGCAAAATTAGCTGAATATAATAGCTCCTGCGTATATTTTCTCCCAATCGTAAAGCCAAATTATGTTTGTTGCTCAATTCTGTCACGTGCTCTGATTAATTGTACTATAAGTTAGTAATTGTTTAAACAAATATTACAAACAAATAAGGTTTTTGACGAACGATTCATATCTTCTACAATTTCGCAGTATGCTTTTCTTGAGATATCCAGGATAGGATTTATTTCTGCCTTCACTGCGAAACAACGTTGACGCCTGCTATTTACAAGCCCTTTCTGGACCTGAACTTCTTCGTTGATCACTCTTTGAATTTTTTCAAGTATGCTCTGAAATATAGGAGCTCGCAATTCCTAACAGGCCGTTAAAAACTGATGAGAACTTATTCATTTCCATGCATTTCTTTAGATACATATACATCGAGATAAAATAGATAAAACGAGACTAACATCACGGATTTTCTGGAAGACAATGTTTGTAGTACTTCCCAGAGTAGCAATTAAGGCCGGCAAAAGTTCCAAAGTGTGTTTGAGAGCAATTACAAAGTTAATTCGTTGTTCCGTGACTCGAGAATTCTCACTTTTTGGAATTTGGATTAGGGTTGAGATTACGTGTTCAATATCCAATGGAATACGAGAAAGAATATTCTGCAACACAAAATTGATTTATTAATTTATGTAGGTATAATGTTCCATGTATAAAATAATTAGTTCACCTCTAACCCACACAAGACATCTCTAGAGTCCAAAAGTTCATCGACACAATCAAGACGTTGCTGAATAAACTTGATATCACAAGGAGGTTGTAAAATATCCATTCTAAGCAATCGAGCTCCACCAGGGGTGCGACAATTACTCAGAATTCCATGAACAGAATGTGAAGACATAGCTTTACTATTGTTTGTCAGCAGTTCTAGATTTTGTGCTGTTTTACTATCTTTAAAAATATAATACACAACCACTATATCCCTCAATTATTCAACTCATAATCAAAATATGTAAATAACCTATAACCTACCAATCATGCAAGTTTTATCTGATCCTTGGAATTCGACTCTCATAGATTTCGAAGCAAATACGATCGACTGTGCCAACTCAATGTATTTTATAAGGGCAGCCGCTGCCGCGAGACAATAGTACTTTTGAGTCACTACTTGCACCACCGATGAGAATTTATCGACAACCAATTGTTTGATCCTTTGAAGTCCTCTCCCTTCACTGAATGTTTTGCGTAAAATTGGAACAATTTCTATATCTGATACTTCCGCTTTCAATGCCTTAAAAAGTTGACTTGCAGTCCCGGTCTTTTCACAACATGTTGCCGGCATTAATATCTAAACAGTATTATAAATATTCAATTCAATTTAGTATTTTCGGCCCCAGTAGTTTGAAATTTTCAAAATTTTTTTTAACTGACTTGATGTGGTCTAAAAATATTCAGCTTAGAAATCACACGGTGGTACGATTGCGTGTCAGCAAATTGACACAGGATCAAATGAGATGTTCTGAGATTGATACAGGCCATTCCCATTTCGCCACGAGCTTGTCCACTTCCTTCTACGATCGCTACAAGCAGTAAATCCACATTCGAATATTTAAGTATTACAATAGATAGAGAAAAAGAATTAAAACAAATCAAGTACCGACAACGGTGTTTTCGTCAACCGACTCCACCAAAGTTTTAGTGACGCTGGATCTTGATACGCTTGGTAGAGGGACTGATGAGTGAGTTCTCGTCGGTGTCGAGATGATGGTGGTCATCGTAGGGCAGTGGCGACGTTCTTGTATTGTTCGCGTGTCCTATTTACTAAACCTGAATAGACCCTACAGTTTAGGTAAGAAAACTACTGTATTTAGCTAAAAAAAAATAAACGTAAGAAATCTTATTATATACTAACTATCAGAGTATAATTAAATTAATATTGCTTACAAATATTGTAGAAAAAATTTAATATTGTTAGAAAAATAATCAAGTGAGAATAAAAATAACTTGACTAAATCAGGAGAGAAAAAAATGCGACTTGAAGTCGCAGACTTCTCCGCATAAAAATATAAAAAGAAATGAAGTTAATGGAGAATTTGCCTCGCAATTAAAGTGGGAAATACATCTGCGACCTGGTCATTGACCTGGTGGAAGGGTAGACTTCACTTCTTCCCTCTCCTCATCATCCCGTTTCCCCAGTTTATGAGACAGCCGAAATTGCGTCGTTCTCTCAATTAGCGAGCCGCCCGCACTTTCTCCTTCGCCTGCTGCTTGAGAAACTTGCACAACTTTTTGGTGCATTTAAGAGTGCATTTATTGGATTTCGATATTATGTACCATTGTATGCACTTTAATGAGCCCTGGTGGTTCGTTTTATTATGAGCATTTCTTCAATAAATGCCCTCAAAAAATCCTTGACTGGGTGGGGAGGAAATGGTGAAAGAGTTGCTGCTTTTCTCGTGTTGAAAGTTAAATTGCGTTAGACAACAAGACGACGAGACTGCTGAGCTGCTTACTTTGTATTCCAAACAAAGTTTAACTTTTGAACAAGTTGGAATCGAACGAAACTGAATTTCACGACAAGTTTTGAATTCATATGTATTCCGTCCCTTTCTACTTGTTGGATTGGATGACAAACCAATAATGCTAAGGTCTGATTCTAAATATATGGATTGCTTGGATAGAATAGGAGCTGTGTATATAGTTTTTAATGGAAAAATATTAATTATAACTAGTTCATGCAGTTAGTAAAAGTTTCGACTCTAAAACATAATGGAGTATGCATTCATGGAGATGCCCAAGTCCCGAATGAACATCAATGCAATGGGGGGACAACTCAAAATTATTTAGTTTAAAAGTATGTTTGAACTTTTGTCATTATTTATAAATACATTTCATGAATTTTCGTAGCTGGTTTGATTTTGCGTAATGACAAACGTAAGAACAAACGGATTCTATTTATTAGAGCAGTTCACAAACTTTGAAATTATATGTACAGTAACGAAAAATAATGATACTAAACAAGGGAGCGTCCATAAATCACGTGATCGATTTTTGGACAATTTTGACCCCCTCCTCCCCCTTGGTGACCGGTGGTGTTAATTTCGCTACCCCCCCCCCACCGGTCACGTGACAGGAGATGATGCTCAAATTAAATCATATTGTCCGGAATAACAATATTTTTTAAATCCTTAATTAAATTAGCTACATTACACACATGTGTAAATAACTATTTAATACGCCAGTCAGACATAAGAATTTAAGTCGAAGCAAGTTTCTAAATATGCAAAATGAAAATCAAATTGATATAACGTGCGTGTGGTATGCCAAGAGAGTTTATATATAACTCTCATGACATTTATTGGCATATACAAAAGTTAAAAAAAATTTGCTCATGTCACGTGACATCTGACCATCTACCCCCCCCCCCCCCCCGTAATAATTGGTGACAAATTTCAGACCCCCTCCCCCCCTCTAATCGATCACGTGATTTATGGACGCTCCCCAATGAGGTTGTAGGTACGAGTCGAATTTACAATTTGAACAAGTCAAGAAGGGTTATTGTTTGTTGTCGGTAAAGAAATCCTGCTTGCACATAGTTTCATTCACTTCTTGTTTCTAGTATATACGTACGTATTTATAGTGATTTTATTCTATAGGATGTTTCTTCTAACTGGAACTGAGAGTTCGTGACATGAAATGAATGGGAACGCAATGTTGCTGACGACTGTCAAATGTATTTCAAATTTCAAATGCATCTGTTGTATGAGGAGATGGATGACATGATGACAAAAGACAAGGAGGAGAGGTTGCTCAAGAGATTCGGAGAGAATAATAATAATTTTGCTTTCTGTGGTGGTGTGGAAGATGTGAAGTTGATCGTCTTCTTGTTGGGGTTGTCTCCCTTCTTTGCGTCCCCGTCTCATCCCAAAAAATGTCTCAAGTTCATCGGGCACGATGAAACCAGTGCACGTCTCATTTTCCAATTTCCTAGTAAGAAACCGAATATGCCACTTTTCCGAAAATATTTTACTACGCTGGACACTGACGGGTTTATCATCTTGGAGGAAACGCAATATTCTGACAGTTTTTCCTCAGCAGACGTGCACCAGGAGCAGGATATTCACCTCGACCTTAGTTGTTAGATAGATACGCACAATTTTTGGGAGAGGAGAAAAAAAGGATGTTTTGATTTAATACTTGACGCATTCCATCCATATACGCCTCTCGAAAGACAAAGACGAGGAATAACTGGATGAGGAAAATACCTTTGCCAAAATAAAATCAGATCCATCCGCCTGTCAAGAAGAACCTCTCCCAACAACACTTGAGAACCTCTCCCTCGTCGTCGTCGTCGACCCCACAGGAGCCGGGTGGGCAGCGTGGAGGGGGAATATCTATGGAAAGGCAGGATGGATGGATGGACTCAGTCTGATGGAAATGAGAGGTTTCATTCAAGGTTGGCTTGTTGTTTTGTGGTCTCAGATGCAATATTATGCAACACAATAAAGATAATCAGAAATGCAATCCAACCGTATGCAACCAACAGCACTACTTGAGCTTGCTTGCTCGAATATCATTATTCTCGTCAAATTAACTGTCAAAATTATGCGGGCGTCTAATTATTATGCTTTTATAACTTGATAACCAACCGTGCAAGAAGTCGAGGCAACGAGGGGGGATTGTTGTTGAGTGCACAATAATTTTGCGTGCCCAAAGTCAAGTGAACTACAGTTAGCATGTGTAAATAGATTGCTAATAATACTAATATTTAGTTATCGAACATATATTTGAAGTCACTTGAATTCTTTTGGGTATACATTTCCCCCCTCACTCGAGTCCACCTCCGTTTGCTTGTCTATCAATTTTCAACGCATATCACACGAGAGCTATTCGGCATCCACCCACGCACACATCAAAGTCTTCACCCTGGACCAATGTGTTGCCTCATGAATATTCCGACCAAATCAGGAGGAACGCTTGAACGGATCGCTGCTGCTGCAGTCTCTCGGAGGGTGTCATGTCGTCGTATCAATTCTTTTGAGGGAATATCGTTCCCCGACGGAGAAATGTTGTGCATTCTTTGTTGAACAAATTTACTCTCATTTGGTTACTTTCCCTGGATGGTTTTTGATATGTTTGTGTTTGACGGGACGGAATGAGGCTCGCAGACCCTGTTCTGCTTTGTCTCACAAAACTTGTGCCATCGCACTTGTGTATGTACGAAGGAAAGAAGAATCTCCTCTTTGTTTCTCCCCACTTTGCCTCGGAGCTGGGCTGCACCACGACGACGGGTTCATCTTCATACTTCATATTTGAAATTTGTAGATATTTGAAAGTGAACGTGACCCGAATCTCATTGAAAAATTTCACCCTCTTCGCTCTCTCTCCCTTTCAATTTTCATCCACGCTTGTCCTTCTTGGCTTGAGACTCTTGAACTTATTTCAGGTTCGAAATAATAAACTCATGATTTTAATATGAATTTAATGTTAAATTAAATATGATGCATATTACAATAACATGAATCATCGTAGTTGGCAAACTTTAGGATGTAATTTCTGAGATAAGTATTACTAAATAAGAAGTAAATCGAAATGGTTCAGCCCATTCACAAGTCAAGTTCAAGGACTGGACAACTTTCCTTCCGGATTTGAGAACTTTAAGTGGAAACATTTGATTCAGTGACCCACTTTCTAATGGAAACACTTAATGAAAGGAAGAGTCCTACAACCCAAAACCTGACCCTTAATCACTACTCCATGCTGGATACCGTAATGATCAAGGGCAAGGTCACCCTTGCTGAATGTATAAGTTTCACTGAAAAAGATGAAATACTGCCAGTACAGAACACATTTTTGCGTAGAACAGTAGTGTCTCTCGTTCTAATAAAATATGGCAAAAATTCATACGTTTCAATACTTAATCATAATGCTAATAATAAGTTTTTCAATTTCATCGGTAGCTGTAAGTTCAATACATACTAGGTGATTTTTAAAAATATTTAATTCAATTTCACACTACTTCATTTTACAGGCGAAAGATCTAAGGTTAGTTAATCTTAATCCGGACAACGACATTGGGGTAAGATGAAATTTTCCTAATTTGCTACAGATCAGGTTAAAAAATAATTTGATGTTACAAACATATTTATTATTCTGCAGTCTATTGCTCAAAAAAGTCAACGACAAGGAAGGATTTTCTTTGGCCCACAACCACCCCCACCCTTCATGCAAGGCTCTTTCCCTATAATTCCCCCGTACTACCACGTTCAACCACCAAACCCGGTGTGGTCTGTTTTAAAAGGGACGGGGTCCTTTCTCTTGGAGGTGTTGGACGTGATAAGCTCAGCAGTAGGAGAAATGAATTTGGTAATTTATGCGCATGCAAATGTCGTACTATTTCATGATGCGAGTTATTTTCAATGAAACTTGTTGCAGAATGGGGGACCTTCCTACGATGGCGAGTATGATTATCCAGGATTTGGGGGTGGAGATGATATGTCGTACGACGATTCCTCCTATGGCTTTGACGGTGATTCATCCTACGGATCAGATTCAGATTATCGAAATCTCCCCATGCCCCAAATGCCCTAGTTGATTCGATCCCGGTTGAATGCTATTGCTATTTAGAAACTACGTGCAAACAGTCATTGTAAAAACCGAGTGTTTATTAATTTAATTTCTTACAAAATTACGTAATACTGTCCGGTAACTTTATGAATCCTATTACTTACAATAATGTAGTTTCATAAATAAAAGCACAAATCAATTTATATGCTTTCGTATTTGAATAGCGAGACTGGAGTATTTTGAGACAAAGTTGCAAAAAGTACATATTGATGCTTAGTCAGTCTTCCTTAAATACTTTCGTTAAAGATTTCCACACACTGACAAAGGAATTAAATTCCATATTAAAAATTAGTACGAGTACAGTTTAACAAAATCTAATATTTATACAATATAATGTTCAACATAAGAAGACGTAGTGGAGCCAAGTGTAGAGTTGGCATTAAAGTTTGGCTGGGATGGGACAAAATTAATGTTTTTTCTCGTAAGAAAGACATGAAGGTCTCTAAACGATGGACGATCGTCATCCTCCCTTCGCCACATATCACACATGAGCTGATACACATCTCGTGGACAGGCATGCGGTCGACTTGGTGGTTGGAAAGGGTCCGAGGGGTCGTCAATTGATAGCCGTCTCAGATTATGGAGAACTTCTTGTTCGTTCATATTCCCATAAGGTGGATGGCGACAAAAGGAAAATATTTCAAACAGCGTCGCCCCATATGACCACACGTCACTCTTGCTCGAATATTTACCCTGTGTGTATTACAATAAATGTTAGTCTACAATGTCGTGATGACATATTATTACGGATGCTTGTTATGCAAATTATAATCAGTTTTACCATAAAGAGAGACTCCCATGCCATCCTATGAAATTGAATAATTCCATTATCTGATGGTGTTACATTTGTAAATAAATTAATTTATTTGATTTACAACTTACCATCTTATCGGCAAAGGCATTTTCCCATCAAGTTTGTAATAATCTTGTGAATATTGGTCGGTATCTGTTGCAAAGTGAGAAATTTTCACCAGCAAACCACGTCCTACGACACAATTTCGGGCAGCCAAATCTCGGTGAACAATGTTGCGGATTTCCAGAAACTTCATTCCACTCGCAATCTGGCTTGCGATGTGTAGCAAACTGTTTAAACTATGTAGATTTTGCACAAATATGCAATATTAGAAAGAAACCATGAATGCGTGAATGAAATTATTGTAAATGACAAACCTCAGTTTTTTATTAGAACCAGATCTCATCGAATCGTTTTGCTTAAGGAACTGACACAAATCCCCCAATTCAAGAAATTCCAAAACCACGCTGTACAGGTCACCCTCGGAACATACAACACCCAGCACACTTGCGACGTTGGGGTCATGAAGAGTTGAGAGTAAACGAACTTCCTCGACAAAGTCCAATCTATAATTAATTAGTATTTGTATCATGTTATTAAGAACTCTAGGAGAATTTTTAAAACCCCAAATATAACAACAACGTGCAGGTAAATTATAAATTAAACGATGGAGATTATATAATTACTTGTCTTTATCAGTAGCATTCCTCAAGAGGTGCTTCACAGCAACTAGATTTTTATCCCCCTTGGAGCCATGTTCCAGTTCCCCGATAAAAACCTGCATGTTCAGACAGATGCACAAAATGAGTCACCGAGTGTGAGATAAATGTTTGTTTATTCTGCTTGAAATTGAGCAAAGGCATGCATCCATTGACTCTGTAATGCAATGCGGTGTGTGGGGAGAGTGAGAAGAAGTAAATGGATTGGGCTGTGTGAAATGTAATGATGTAATGCAATTCAATTCAGCTTGAAGTGTAAAAGGATTAACGCGTTAGGTAAATGAGCAAGGGATCTTACAGTTCCGAAAACCCCATCCCCCAGTTTCCTCAACATTCGGAGGTTTCGTTTGGGAAGTTCCAACACGCCCAGTTCACGGAATTTGAGCTGAAGATTCACTCTCGGCTGGGCACAACGATTTACTGCTGCTGGTGAGTTTGAGATAGATTTCATTGGGCTTAATTGATTAGTTGGTAATAGTTTTCCCAGCTCAGCATACTCATACTCGTTCCCAGAATCTGCCAATAAATTCATTTAATTAGACGACCACACTACTTACTATTTTTAACTTCATTTTATGATCTCTGGATCACTAGCAACTTTCTTATTTTGGGCGAAAGGCAATTGAGAGAACACAAGAATTTCCTCAGTTCGCTCGGTTTGGTAAGATAAACTTTGAAGGTGGTACAGTGAAACGGAGGAGTTAATACATTCACTCCGAATATAAAACCAGAATTTCCTTCATCCTCTCTCTCTCTCTCTCCTGTCTCATTAACGGACTCAGACTTCTGCTGGGATGCTCATCTCATCTTCTTAAAAATGACAGCTTTTTAAGGGCGTCTGTGGGAATGTAATGAGTCAGATAGAGTGACTGCTAATGGGAATTTATGACCTTGATGACTTTTCCCGTTTTAGTTTATTGCCTTATTACAGGAGAGCGGAAGGAGGGACTAGCAGTGGTATAACTATTACTACTTATTACCCTGATGATGATTACGAAAGGAGGATACATTAAATGAAGCAAAACAATTTTCAGAGAAATTTGCATCGGTCGCATACCATTCTGATTCCCTCGGCTCAGAGGATTTGAAACAAGTGTGCAGCTGTAGTACTCTGCCATCTTCCCATTCGACCCATTATTCGAATTCCCCAAGGAAGTTGCAATAAGTCCGTTCGATTCTAAAACAAAACTAGAAAATTGGGGATCCACGAAAGGTTCCTCATATTCCCCTCCAGACGATCCTTTAGATTTGTGGACAATGTCCTCAGGTGCGGTGTAGCCAATGCCAAAGTCCAAGTGATGGCGATTATGGTTTTCGTAGTGTGGAGGGGATGCCAGCGTTCCGTTATGACATCCTGGAGGAATTTTCCCTTGAGCCACAAGCTTGTGTCGGAATAAAAGTGCGGTGAGGATGAGCAACAGGACAAGAATGATGGCGATGAATGAACTGATGACTGCAGTGAGCACAATGGTGGCAGAAGTCCATTCCTCTGAAGAAATGATGCTGGGTGGCAGGAGTGGTGGGTGTGGTCCAGATATTGGATTTTTATTCGATGTGTGAATTCGATTGTGGGAAATGGATTCAGATGCATCACTTTGGGCGATTGAGGATCCCACTTCTTGTGAAGGAGGGTGAATCATGGTTGGGGGAGGCAAGGCCATTTCCTCTGTGAAGTTGCCCATGGCCGGTTCTGCAAAGTTTAGAAAGCTAATTTAGAGAATGTATCTTCTCATCATTTCAAAGTCAGTGGGAGCATCAGTATTTTTATGTATTTATAATGAACTGTATATGAAATGGAGAGACTTACGCGAGTCGAAAGTAATTTCGCTTATGAGCAACCATTTAGACTGCCAAAATAGCTGAAGTTTCACATATTGACCTATAGATGTATAGACATTAGTACACATTATGACACATTAAATAAACGAATATATTAATTTGAATGAACAAGTAAGACACCAATATTGGTGATGGACAAAGTATTTGAATATCTGGTGAAGAGATTTTAGAGCGAGATTAAGACCGGCAGTTCTTCTCCAGCCATCCTCACCGGAACAGCAGTATTACTGCTTATTTATCAAAATAAAATTATTTTAATAAAACAAAAGTTCATACCAACACGATGGTGCAGTTTAATCGTGATGTTTTTAGGGTCCTCAAAAATGCAATCTTCTTTTGTCTGGATAATAATCGGCTCTCTTCCGAAAAACTTGCCCCCAATGCTGAAGAAGAGCCTCGCCTCAGAAAACACCTTTACATGTGAAAATCAAAAAGTTAACAATACAAACCAGGAACTATGCCCGTATTTACACATACTGCATACCATTCATCAACTTTTGTATTTTCATACTCATCGATTCATCCAATCTCGTAAATTACTTTTTCAATCACATAAACACACTCACACAATGAATGTCAGTTTGCATGATGAAGAGCAAAGATGAGTAAACAAGACAATTAATTACAAGAAGAATAGAGTTTAATTAAAGTCAATCGAGCAGTAAAATTAACTGCCCTCCATGTTTGTCTTCTACCTCATTAAGATTGGAAAATTGTTTAATGCATTTTGTTGGCCAATACATGCTCCTACTTACTTACTGCCAACCTATAAAGCAACCATTGTACTGCACTTTCAATCACCACAAGCCAAGCAAAACCACCCATCATGACTTTGGACATGGGGAAAATCAAATTCATTTATTGTTTGGTGGGTCCACTAATAGGCGTGTATGTCTTGTGCAGATGTGGGTGAGGAGATAAATAAACTCAACAGGACCAGCCCGTTTACAGAAGATGTCCATAAAACCATTCCGGATTGTGACATTTATGTATGCGGATTTTATTAGCCAAACCCTCTTCGTAAATATTTACTCGGTTTGACACTGACAACCCTTTTCCTCACACTTATAAATTTCAGACATGCGAACAATGATCATGTTTAAATTTTTCACGGTGCCTGCGCCTCCCTTAGAATTTATTTTTTTGACAGGACAGAACATCAATTAATGCACATATTTTCGCTCTACATATACATATTCTACAGTATGCAATATCCTACACATTTACGCACCAGTAAAGTTTGATAAAATTCTAAACGCATGTTATTTTTTATACCTTAAATGCTTCATTTCAACTAGGACTCGTTCATTTTCAATCTATCTTGTTTTTTTATACGTAGGAATATATCAGGAAAAAAATGGAAAGTATAATGGTATCGGAGAAACCGTCGTTGCAATTTTATCACGTATCTCGTCAATGAGTTTTTTTTACATGAAGAAGTTCTCGAAATTTTCGGAACACCGAATCCAGGGTTTAGTCAAGTGGTGTATGGAAATAAGTGGGAAGAAATTAGAATCGAAGACGAGGACACAAGACAAGCAATAATTTACACAACTGAACACCACCACTACTACTGCTTCGTAATATGCTTCTTGGTTTTACGACACTCGTAAAAGCGTTGCTCGTCATTAAAATTCTCCAGTTCTGTTTTTCATTCCGTCAGTCACCAAGAGAGAAAGAGCGAAAAACGCACTTTTACTCTCTCTTTTTGGTATGCTAGTTCTCTCTGTATGGGAAAATTGGCATGACACTTTCTTCCTCAACTCAACAATACCGATGACCCATCCAAACCATATTTTACGAATTACTACAATGCACGAATTATTATTTTTTAAATGAGCAGCATATGTACCTGAAAGTTTGCATACATACTTACTTATAACTATATACGCCGTCTAAATATAATATAAAAACTCACACTGACGTCCTTGGAGAATTGATTTGAAGAATGTATGTGAACATGAGAGAATTCTCTGACCGAGTCGAATTTAAATAAAATTTCCACGGGGCTGGTTTCATTTTTGGTCTCTCTCGTCTCATTCTTCCATCCTACCCAGCCTTTCCCTGTAAAAAAGTGAAAAAAAACAAGTGGAGTTTAATACACATTTTCCTTAAGGAGAGAAAACATCTGATTTATTGTACTTGGAGAATAAGAAGTATAAGCTTTATTGGGCATTCATTCATCACAACGTTCATACTTTTATGACCATTTGTGCTCTTGCATATGAAGAGAAAGGAGCATGGAATGGAACAAATATTTAACCAGAGACAAGACAATGAAACCAAAATACGTGATAAATTAAACTTTGTCTGGATTAGCTTGACAAACGCTGTGTGCTTATGGTTGGGCATAATGTGTACATGTGTTAAATCTGAAATGGAACTGATCTGATAATAATCCTTCTCGTGAGTGTGTTCCTCATCGTTTTAATTCTCAGGAATTGTGTGCATTTCAAAAAGCTCACTGAGCCAAAGTTTAGCTGTTCAAGGTACGTTCTAAGCATTTAAACACACACACACAGGGTCATAATCAAACAGATTTGGAATGACACTTTGTTTACTCATCTCCAACAAAATATATGAGATTCCACTAATTCAACAAAAGCCAGATGTCCATCATTCGGTGAGAATGATGAATTATTGTGGGTTTTATTATTTTAATTCATTTGCACTATTGAAACGAAAAGGTGTGTTGTAGGGGTACTTTTAGATATGGTTGATAATATATATTTTAGTAAATATGTATCTCAACTTACCTCTTTCATGGCCGTAATAATCGTCTTTAAAATTGTTGGGGCCTAAGAATTCATAATATTTTATGTAAGGTGGTATCCTACGGATCATATGAAAAAATATAATGACAAATCGCTCACCAATCCGCCCGTCGGTTAGTTGTCCTAAACCAGACGATAAGTTTTGACCCTCCCACACACCATCGTAAGTGTAGTCGAACAGATTCCAATTTTCTCCTCTTTTCTATAATTTCAAAACAATAAAACTTTGTCAGAACTGAGCTAGACTAAGAAATATTAGGGTTCGATCCTGTAATGCAGGTGAAACATTAGTCTCGAAAGTGAAAGTTTGGTGTAAAAATAAAATATCTATCTTAAACATTGGGCGGAATCCATATCAGCTTTTTGGACAATGAAACCATTAAAAAATGCCAAATACAACAAGAGAAAATATACACTTACACTTCCTTGGATCGTGGAATAGCTCAAAAGACCACCTGAAAGTAAGAAAATAAATGGATTGTTCTAATCAGTCCATAACAAATCCCAAGATAGAGTTGACATTCTGTAGTGGTGGCATGTCTGCAAAATAATAATTGCAATCGATTTCCTGCATGGTCGTCGTCAAACGCGATAACTAATAATAACACAGCGGGTTGACATGGTGTGGTGGTAAGTCTCATTGTATTTCGTGGTAGCTGAAACCCCATCACGTCGTTGATAGTTAATAAGTAGCAGCAGCGGATAAATGAGACGGCGAATGGCAGGGAGGCATAAAGTCAATCAGCGTGTCGAAATGTCTCATTATTTCATTTGCTACCGTGACCAACTTAACGCTGTTCGGAACCATATTATATTACCGCCGTCGCACTTTGCTACCTCTCGTTATCGATGGACACAAAAAAAGATATGAAGCCAAGTAGAGAGAGCAATATAGATTGGGGAGATTTGATCGATCTCAGCATGCAGCAAGGAAAAAGTTCATTCAGACTCGGTCTATATGTAGTTCAATTTATTTGATGATTGGTTGGTTGGTTGTGGGGCAAATAAAACAAGATTTTCAGCCAACGATAACTTGTTATCAGCAAGTTCCAGCTGACAACTTGGAACTCAACGGCACAATACGTCCAAGACGGCACAATACCGCATAACGACACGCCATGCATGCCAAGTCGTGAGGGTTTGACAAAAGATTTGAAGCTGAAGGATCATTGACTACAGTGATGAAGTGAAATGGCATCAGCATGACTGGGAAATGAGAAAAATGTTTTGCACTGTTAACAAATAGCTTGTTTGGTAGCACAGCAGCAGCTATGCTATCTACTCAAGTGAAAAAATCTCATTGTTTTGGCAGAAAGCGTAAGTGCAGCGATATGAAAGAGAGAAATGAAGTACGTTGTGCCAAATCAGATGCCAGAGAAATTCTCACTTCATCATTTTTGCACCACGATTGGCTGGCAGAAGAGAAATCATTTGGCTGGAAGCCTGACCGAGAACTTCAACATCGTGTGGAGTATACGATGCTAATGATGATATCTCGCACAAAAATAAAGCATGAAAATACCCCACAGAATTTTCATGACAAGCCACAACTTATATATCTTGGATTAGTTCTAGTAGAATTTTGCGTATGCATGATTTCCGGTTGCAATTTATTTTGTGGTCCAGTCACGTCACGATAACGAGAAGCTTGAAAAGAAAAATAAGGACGTACCTCTAAACGCGCAACCATAGATCTCAACTCTCATGCAAACCGTCCGTCTGTGGTAGGAATATGGAAGAATGCGGATTTTCGAAGCAATTATCGGTGGATTCATCTCCGTTTTCGATGGAAGATATGTGTTAATATTTCCTTTGATTATCTAAGCACAAAGGAATGAAATTCGTATATTTTTAACAATACTTTCATGACAGTGACAACATGTTTATTATTCTCTTTATAAGCGTTTTGGATATTGAAATATCACTTCAAAGTTTTTACAATTTCGTATTACGTGAAGCTATCCGGATTACTTTCTTTAATTTCCACAAATTCTCACCTCATTTCCGGTGTGATCTCTGTATCTGACCCATTTATTTAATTCTGGTCTCCAGTAGCTTATCACGTAGGCTTCAGCAAACTCTGCCCCCTGTCCGTTCCCAAATCTCCCCTGCGTCTCGGTAGCAGTTATTACATGCACCGTGTGTAACTCGATCTTTTGAGAACAAGTTCGCTGATTAGACACGTGATTTCATACGTACACAAATTGATGCATGTATAAACTAACGTGTTTTTACGTACCTGCAGCCACTCTTGGTACTCAGAGGTTACCTAAAATTATGAAATTTGTACATTTTAACATTTTGAGTTGGGTGAGATACACAGAACTACTTAAAAATCCAACATGAAATACCTGGCTCTTGGGACACCACGCACCTCCAAGTCGGTCTTGATTTAGCCTGTAAGAGAGAATTTGTAAAGTGTCTCAAATTTATGCCTTTCAACACGTATACCCTTTAAAAAACAACAACCATTAATTTTCATAAATTATTTCTTGCCCAAACTGTTTACGGATTTCAAACAAAATGCCATCACTAATTTTTATAATTTATTTTTGACTTGTTTCATGTTTCCAATCTCACAAACCAAGTATCCTGCAGGTACTCACAGCAGGGACCCTTCCACTCTGTGGAGGCATCTCCGTTTAAGTATTTAAAATTTTAAGTGTATAAATATTTTACTCTTTTTCTAATTCTTTACACTAATGATTAAACAACCCAAGTTTAAGAGTCTGGATATCACATGTATAATGGATGCGGGTTAAAAATATAAGACAAGGGTGTGTTTTCTTCTAATATGTTTTACACTCTTTGTGCCTCATACATACATCCATACGCATACACGGAACTAACAACTGAGGATGAGGGAGAGTGTGAGAGATCGACAACATAACACATCCACAGGCATGATGATACATATAAGGCATCACAACGTGCATGATCCCGAACTGCGAGGATATCACCAACAACCAATAGAGCAAACACGTAATTTATCCGGATACAGATTGTGCCAAGGAATTGTGTGTGTAAAGGTAACGAGAGAATTGTTTTCGTTACGCATGGAAATGGTTCACATATGCATGGAAAACATGGATGAGAAACTTAACAAAACCAGAAAGATTTTAATATTTTTCGTGCAAGACAAGAGTAATCCGTGGGGATCCGTGTTCATCATCATCGTCTTCCTTGTGAGAATTCACAAACTTAAAGTAAACATGGAAAAGCAACGCTACTACAGGCCTGAGAAAACTTTGGGCCCTCTTATGTACACTGGCTGACTGACTGAACTCCCTTCTTTTTTCTCGTGTGGCTGTTGGTTGGTGGTATATGAATGAGTAATCTTATTAGATATGGGGGATGGGCCAAGTCAAAGTCTTGATGAAAAATTAAATCCACAAACACAGACTTTTGCGGAGAAGGATAAGAAGAGGGAGAATAAATTGGAAAGTTGTTGGAAACTATGGCTTGAGCCAGCAAAGGCAAAATCTAAATGGCTTTACGATGAGTTTCAGCCCAAACTCGAGGAACGGCAGCCAGTAATAGGGAATAAAAATAAAGAATCTTTGGAAATAATCTATAAAAGTGCCCAATTCTTAATTTATTGAGTTCTGGGCTTCCAGCCAATGTCTCTTGGTTTCAATTTCAGAAATAATGAACCTTCAGGTTGAAGATCTGTCAATAGTTGTATTGTCTTTTACGCAGAATGTGTATATGTATGTATTCCACCAGCCAAATTGCTTATGTATCTGCATATGTATGTACATACGCACAATTGAGGAGAGCAAAGTAAAAGTCGCTCACAATAAAAAAAAACACGTTCTGTTGTTGTGACGAGTCTTTTCGTGTAGCAAAACTGCATGATGCACACAGAAACAAAGTTCAACTTGTGCCATGAAAACGTGAAATATGTGGCGTAACTGGAAAACTCGCTGGCGTTGGTCTCCTCTCATCTTTCACTCGCTCATTAACTTTCTACAGCCGGCTGTCTTGCAAACTCTCACGTGTCTAATTACCCAAATTAATTAAGACTTGAAATGCAACTACGTACGGGACATGGTTTATGCACAAATCCTATAAAACATATTTACTTGTCTATGCACCCATATTGCGTAATATTCTCTCCGAAATCAATCCCTTCTCAAATCCTACCCACAAGGAATTCTGAAGCCATTATTGGTGTGCCAGGGCCTGCCTCATTTGGAAATTAATAATAAGTAAGGGATCCCATCCGTCACCAGCAACTGTGGGACGACCAGAGAATTTGTGGTGCTTCAGACCGAATTGAAAATGGTTTTAGCATTTCAAACAACACATGTTCTCTAAATTTTGGTTAATGGGTCTGTCAGATGTGGCTACTTTAAGTAACTTTGTTCGGCTTCAGTGAAATGAAGCTTTCGTCAAAATGTGGTCGTGAAGCCGTCAAGATAAGGCGAGGATTGTAGTGTATGCATGATAATAATGAAAAACTTGCATGCAACACTTCTGCAATAAGTACCTATGTATGTATGCGCATAAAAGGGATTGTGTTCTATTTAGTATATTTATGTATATTATTGGTTACCGTCCGTTCTGAGGCCCCACCGTGCCTGGTTCAAAACTTGAAGAAGCTGACAAATCCTCGTCAGGAAGTTCATTCGACTCCATTCCGAGGGGCATATTACATTGGGCTGAAAAACAAAATGAAATTTGTAAGTGCGTAAGGACCACAATTATGTCAGCAGTAATACTACTTCTGGTTAAGTGTGAAATGTAATACAAACAACTGCTCGGACCCTGTCAATTGTAACAAGGTTTTAACATTTATGTATGACTTGAAAGTGCACTTACACAAATCCAGGCCTTCGACAAGGGATAAGTGGCAGTAGAGATGCAGGAAGGCCCATAAAATAATATCGGAAGTTGCGGTTGATCGCTTACTCCACGTGGGTTTCATTTTGAACGATGGCAATAAATAATTTTTCACGAGGTAGTGAATCCGCATCCGCCAAGGCTTCAACCTGTTCAGAAAATAATAACTCAATTTAAGCTAGCAAAAATTTCCATCACAGCAAATTATCGGATTAACCAAGATGCTTATATCACCAGTCAGAATGAGTCAGGTGAATATCCTAACCAAAACTAGCAATTCAATTATCGACAATCGTTTACAGATTACATCCCAAAGATGCCAAATAAGGATTCATGATTTACTATAAAGTGTTTTATGTCTGTCGTCATTTTTCACAACCGGTGATATAATGACGTCGAATTTAATGCATTCGGGTCTTAATGATGTCCAAAAGTTGGCATTATCATCGAAACGAGTCGTTATTTATGGACAGTTTAATTTGTTGGAAATACCAAGTGCTGACGAATATATGCCTGTTGACGTTTCAGCCTCTGGATGAATTGTAGTATGCAATTCAAAGCATGATGTTGCTTTTGCACAACACGGTAGCAGTTAGAGAAATACAAGAACTGACACATCAAAATTGCTTTCAAGGGACTGTTTGATCATCCACTTTTTGTGCGTCGTTGTTTTTGTGTACAGAAAGTGAGAACAAGCTTGTTTAATTAATCATTAGCTCTATTCTTATCACAAGTGGAAGGTTGTTCACTCCGTACAAAAACTGGTGCTTATTATTTACTACTCTATATTCCTATTTATCACAGGTATATGCATATCAAGCGAAGCTGCCATTTTAATTGTTTCTTGGAGTGACGGTTATTCACATGTTTACGAAAGTGGTTATCTGACACAAGGAGTGCATCACTACCGAGATCACGATTTCTCTGTTGTTTAAAAAAGCTAACAACTTGTCCATCCACGTAATCCCTCAACATATTCAAGGATACCTACAAAAGTATCTTACATTGCTGGTGGGGAGGGACTACCGCATTGGGCTAGCATTATGGCACCCCTCAAACCTCTGACCATTCAGGGTTTTTTCCTGATGATTAATACTGTTGAAAATAAAGCAAGCGGTGGCTGCAGGAAAAGTGACATGATGATGAGAGAAACGATGAAACAGAAAGATAGCAAAATTATCAATAAAACAAATCTTGTCTTATTATGCATAAAATAACACTCGTGCATCATGTGAACCAGAGTCATTAATCTTCCGTCCATGGCAGGTTCCTTATTTTCTTTGATCACAGCTTTGAAATTAGATACACCGACACCCGACCAGACGGCCGGAGCTTGACACACCATCGGACTATTGATGAATCCTCGGTACTCATCCTCCGTCAAATCTACACGTTGCTCCCACCCTGTCCTGCACATTGTATCGCAGTAGTCAGTCATCTATGCCGTCGTCCTGCTTTCTTTTTGTACATGTAACGATGCTGGTTTCGCCTGGGTTCATGCCAACCCTACCCACACCCACCCAACACCATCAACCCTGCTATTTACAATCACACAAAAATTTACAATCTGCTCACACCATCTCGAAATCAATCGGTTGTAGGTTGGTGTATTGGTCGTGGTGAAGATAATTTAGAGCATCAGTGGACACCTATCTCAGTTTTTCTTTCCATTATTCCGTACCACGACACTCCTCGACAATTCGAGATCATCCATCTTCCCACTTCCACCTCCACACGGCTATCCATCACGCAGAGAGACTCGGTATTCTCTAGATTGCAACTCTCAAACGCTCTAATGGTAGTCCAATTCACGTGATGATGATGATGATGCATGAGGGGTTTTAGTTCTGAGCAATTACATTTTCACTATTTTCAGGCGTTGAATCGAAAAGAGTTTGATCGTCAAGAGAGAAACGCATATTTCTGTCGCCATATATGGATTAGATAGACGACCTCCCAGTGATTGAAGAGTACCGCAAAATATTTTGCAAATGGTTCATTCGTGAGAATTTTATGCTTTCTCTCGCGGAAAGATGTTAAATATAAAACATTAAATCATAAAATTTTAATGAGAAATTACATTTGATTTTGTCAAGCTGTCGCTAAGTCAGTCAGGACCCGATATATATTTCGAATATATGGACCGCATAACTCCCTTGCAGCCAGACCGCAGCACTGTCGTTTGCACCACTGGTGCGGTAGCATCGTGGCATGTTATTAAGATTGGCAGATGTTTTGAAGTCATAAAATACTGGGAACGCATCAATTTTATTTTATGTCTCATTATAATCGTGCAAAAGTATGAAATGGAGGTTGTGGCAGATGTCTTTAATCTAGTCAACTGATGAGGAAAAGGTTCCTTCCCATCATGCAGCCGGGCTTAAAGAAGTTAAAGAAGGATGTGAAACCTTGGCAGAATGGCTTTTATTTTGCGAATATATGACTCATCATCAGCACCGAAGGGGTTTCTGGTCGAATTGATCGCGATCATGCCATGAAAACACAAATGAAATGAAAGATTGCAATTCAAATAAAGTGTCTGAATTGTATTTTACAACTTTCAGTGGGATTATACTCAATTCAAAGTTTCGTCGGATGGAGAATATCTCTGAGCTTTATGATTACTGCGCAATGAAATTCGCGAATGAATTATTTCATACAAAAGCTTTGTCTGACGACTTCAATACCTTTTTATTCGGGTTGTATTCAACACCAAGTCGTACGTGGTACGTACAGTAATGCATTATTGTTTCATCTGTGACCCAGGACAATTTCGCAATTGAGCGAAGCCCTTGATTTTTTGCAGTGTTTTGCAATGTGGCGCAATCCTAAAGGATCAGGTGCACTTACAATGAAATAGGGTCTGCATTTAATAATTTCTGTTTGGGTCATAAAAGAAAGTACCATTTTTATTTTCTCACGCACGCAGCAAGTTTTCTGAAGCTGGTATAAATAATCGAAGAAAAGTTTTGATACTTCAAACAGATTTGACCATTATTGAATTTCCATCCAAGAGCTGCCCCTTCGCTTCGTGCGTATTTGTGTGATTGAACTTGAGTTGTTTTCAGACTGACAGCTCTAACTGACCCCTTAACGAATTGAGCCTCACAAGAAACAGAAACAACCAAATTCAGCTCGCTTAACCAATAAATCCATTACATTACTGCTGCCGTGTGTAGCCACGGTTCACTTCACACTCTTTCTTTCAATTGTGTGGTGGTTGGTGAAGTAAAAGTGCATCAGGCAAATGGGAAAGCTGCAGCAGCAATACGGCAAAATAAGCAGAGGGAATGGAAGCGATGGAGGGAATTCTTTGGGGAAAACTGTTTCATCAGTTCTCGGATCATCTGGGAACAACATAACAACATTATATTAACTCTATTGCTTTCCCCGTTGAGTTTATCCCTTAACTAGCGGAGCCTGCTGCATCCCATCATTTCATGTCGACTTACCCTAAAAAAAAATACAAAATTCAAATACAAAATTCACATCAAGGAATGATCCAGCCAGCAGCTCAGCGATGCACACTGTCATCGTCGTCAGAATTTTACCATTATTGGCACCACTCCACTCGATACCATTGAAGGAGAACTAAGTGCATTCCCTGTCACTGGTATACAGTGACTTCTATGCACATGTGGTGGGGTAGAAGGGTCAAGGGTTATCAACGGGGTTATCTGAAATCATTCCCTTTCATTATTTCAGCGTCACCCTCTATCAATCGGTCAGATTTCAGACAGCGGATTATTTTCATCGCAAGGGATGACGGCATAACTGGGAATTTAGATTAGACGCGAACTATAAGCAGCTACAAATTCTGGGGAATTTTCCTTACTACATTTTCTGACATAGTGATGAATAGTTGTTTAAGAACTTCCACACTGTTGCACATTCTCGCCCCAACACGAAGGAGGCTACCGGCTTCAATAGTTTTCCAGAATGATGTCGCAATATTCAGAAAAAGGAATTCTCCTTCTTTTCGATTTATTTCGCCACCCCAACTAATGTTTATTCTCTTCATCAAACTCTATCCAACCCCAGAGTTATTTGGCGGAAGATTATCATTATGACCATTGGATCATTCCGAGGACATTATTTCGTATATTTATGTACATCGGTGACGCAACATCTTCTCACTCACCCCAGCAAAGCATCTCGGCCCAATCCTTCTTCCATGAATGACTTCAGATCAAATTCTACAACGACAATCGGAGTAATTTACCCGTTTCAGATGGGTTGGAGCATAACCAAGTGTAACAGAGACACCCCAACTACTAACCAACCCCTTACGGAAATTAGATCATGTGCCACCCTCGAAAATGACGTGTCGTCTTTAATATCCTGGGAAGTCATCATTTGATGCCCTCTTCCTTATCCACCAGTAATTTCCTGTTATTCCCCAGAGCCTGCACTGGAAAATCGGGAAATGTAATACAAAAATGAGGAAATAGTTTTACTTTAATGTGAAGGATTCAGTCAGCAGTATTTCGACATTTCTTATCACTCAATTTTTCCTTCTCCCGTCTCGTAACGCATTAATTTATAGCACAGCCAGATCTGCTGCATAGTGAGTTGGTTACTTCACTGGAGCCTTTTGTGATAAAGCTGTGTTCGTGCTAAAAAGTCATATCCGTTGCAAATTATTGACCCGCTATAATTATTCCCGTTTGCATAAAGAATGCATTTTTTCCCGTTGCCTGTTATACATACATCCAACCTCTATTTTATTTGACGGCATGAGACAACCATGAAAATAAATCATTGAAACCAAAAGCTATTCTAAATCGATTAGTGCTGCAAGTAAAGCAGACTTTGAAGCGGGGTAAATAAAAATAATGTCCAAATTTCATGAAAAACCTTTTAGTCGTCCTTCCCGATTCGGTTGATTGTGCCAGTCTTGCAGTGTCAACGTACAATAAAGTGAAAGCCAAGTGTAGCGTAATGCATTTCACCGAATAGCAGCCAACCTGGAAATACAGCCATTTCCTGTATTTAACTTTTCCATTTGAGAAACCAAGTCCCCTTTCTACTGCAAAACCTTCCTTCGCCATGATTTTGAGATCCAGGCAATGACGACGACGACGGGTGGACGTTGTCACACGCACACACCAACAACGGCCGGACGAAGTCATGATGAGTGCATAGTTCC